GGAGCTTCAGAGGTGTAGGGTGTGGGTGCGGAAATCTCCCGCCGAATTCATAGATTCCCAGGTTGACGATGAGAAATGCCGAATTCTTCTAATCGACAAGTGGGTTCTCTTCCGCCTGGGTATCTTTGAATTTTGAGACCGTTTTAATTGCAAAAATTTCGCTTTTTTAAGAGTATGAATAAGATTATACAATTCAAAATATATGGGCTTCATTGATTTACTGTTCATCGACTGTGACTTAAATGCTAATATTTCCTCGATTTTTCTCCATAAAAGAAGCTGCTTCTGATGCGTAGGTCGTGAGGAGGAGAGCTCGCCACCAGCTCGCTGTCAGTTCCCTTCGGCCAAAGCCACACATACCCTTCCAGGAGCTGGTTTCGTCAGCTCGGTTGAAGGCCTCACTTCTCCCTCAATCTCCACCCCCGCCCCCGTCACTCTATATATGACAACCGCCCACCCTCCGCCTCTTCCACCATCCTCTAAGGCTTCTATATTCTCTCTCTCTCTCTCTCTCTCTCTCTCTCTCTCTCTCTCTCTCTCTCCCTCCATCATCAGCCCCGCATGGAGGCACTGGGAGCAGGATGCAGCCAAGGATGACTTGCCGACACCCTAAACGGAGCCTCTCTCCCTTCTCTCCTGTGGAGAGAGAGAGAGAGAGGAGAGGGAGGGCAGAAGAGAAGGCAGTTTGGCAAGTTGTCCTTGGCTACATGGTGTTTCCAGCCCTACATGCCAGGCCCGAGATGGCGACAAATACGCCGAGGATTTTCCTCAAGGTAGTGTACACGGAGTCATCTTCATTTCCTCGTTCTTCAGTCACCCTCCTTCTCGTCGTCTTCTTCTTCCTTCCATATACGCGATGCATCCCAAAGATTTGCAAACGGATTTCATTCACCAGTTTCCAAAGCTTTTTGATCCGGAAACAACTGAATTAAGGTGAAAACAATGTGTCTGAGTATTTCTCGCGAGGAAAACCCGATGACTTTTTCGCGAAAAATAGCAGGCATTGCGTAAACTGGCAATCATCCGATGGGCATTGGCTGAGAGAAGCTTTTCTTACAACAAGACCCGCCTGTGCTATTCAAAAATTAAAAAACACTGTTTTTGCACGTTCTATCCCCGAAGATGATATCCAGGGTTCTTCATCTCCTGCAAACCTGCGCGCTCCTCCGTCTCGTCTGCATCTAGTAATTCCAGATTTTGATCCCCCGTGTTGCTCGTCTGTTGCCGACTGCTCCTCTGATTTCTCCGGGTCTTCCTTGCAAGAGGGATGACTTCCCAAGGGATAATGCCCGCAAGTTACTTGGATTTTCTCCCTCTTCGTCCATCAATGAAGGGATTGTGTGGCCAGGGTTGAAGGCTTGTCTGATCTGAAGTAACGCCATCCTACATTCACGATGCGGTTCACAGTCCTGGTGTCGAGGGTAGAGCGAGAGAGAGAGAGAGAGAGAGGTCAAGGGTTTTCCTTCTTTTTTACAATAATAGTGTTGTTAGTAAATAAAATATTTGGGGTACAATTTTCCGATACTTTACTCTCATAATATACGCACTAATGTGCAGTCCTTGGTATAAGTCTGCATACTTTCTCCACCCAAAAACTCGGAGTTCCTCTCTCTCTCTCTCTCTCTCTCTCTCTCTCTCTCTCTCTCTCTCTCTCGTTCTTCCTTCCTCCTCCCCTTCCCCCTTCCCCCTACCCTTCTCATCCAGCCAAAAACTGTCGGGCCGAAAAAAGGGCCAGCCCATTAGCACAGCCCAGTATAATAGGGGCCCACAGCTCCGGTAAACTACAGGCACGTGCCGACTGTTCAGTACTGTCAGTGCCGCCCATTTCAGCCCGTCAGCATGATCTCCCAAAGCGGGCCTTGGGCCGTATCAGCCCATCTCCCCCGACCGAAACCCGTTTGCGGACTTTTTCCGGGGCAAAATTATTGATAAATAATATCACACTAAATATTTAAAATACAAATAATAAGTGCCCAGATAACCCAGATGCAGGTTCAGCCCTAGAAATACGAGAGATTATCAGATATCCGGACCTACTTTCTAGCCGATTTTTTAGGAAATTCATATTTCCAGGGGGGGCCTTCTCTCTCTCTCTCTCTCTCTCTCTCTCCCTCCAAACCGCGTTTCTTCCGAAGGCGGCGGAGAAGGCTAGGAACGTCGAAAAGTCGTCGTCTTCCCCGTCGCTGCTGAGCGGCCTCAAGCGGATCGCTTTCACTCCGACGTAGATAACGCCCTCTCTCCGTTTTTTAAGGAACAATTTTTTTTATGGTATTTTTGGAGGGGGGATGGATGTCTCCATACGACCGGGTGCTTCCCCAAGACCCGGATAATATTATTTTAAAATAAATATATAATATTAAATCCCAGTTTTAACGACAATACTCAAAAGGGCTATCTTAATGCGAGGTTACCGTAATAAGCGTACCCAGCTGGGACATCACGACACGAAACTCAGGAGATTAAGAGCAGAAATTTCACGTATTTTTTTACAAGTATATTAATTGAGATTTATTAGCGATAAAGTAACGTAGTTGAGAAAGTCAACAGCCAAGATCTGGTCCCACTTCGAATCGAGCCGGATTCGGCTGATCTGGAATAAAATATGAGACGGATAATCCGCGCGAGGCCTAGAATTAATGGATGCTCATAGTACAACTCGTAATTAATGAATCGAGACACTGAGATTATTTGGAGGATACCGTGGAGGTCTCACTGGCCCATGAAGTCAAGATCCCGACTTCGTATTTTCAGGTCAAACCCCGAAAGAAAAATGAGATCTGCCCCCACCAGAATGCCACGTCACATTTTATACCAAGCGTCAGCCCATCTCTCTCTCTCTCTCTCTCTCTCTCTCTCTCTCTCTCTCTCTCTTATCGGGCGGGCCGGGCCAGGCCCGGGCATTAGAAGCCATGAAAAGATGAAGAATTTTTAATATGAATTTGGCAGCTTACTGTCATATCGGGGAAGGGGGAGAGGAGGTGGTTGGATAATATTAAGCCGCGTTGCACCTCACGAACGACGATGGCAGCTTCACTTGAGCCAAGTTGGGGGCGGCCACATGCTCGACGGAGCGCCTGAGAGAGCCCGTGCGGGCCCCGGGTAAAAAGAAACCTCTTTTATTGCTGATTCGGTAGGGGCGGGCATCTGGAAGGGGTCACACAGAAAGACACGCCACGTGCCGCGAGGACGCGGAGGTCAGGTCGGAAGCAACCCGCCCCCCGCCTCCAAACCTTATCCAACCACACGGGGGATGGGAACGGTTGAGGGAACCTCTCCTCGAAGAAAGAGAGAGAGAGAGAGAGAGAGAGAGAGATCGGTCGTTGCATTCGTGGCGTTCCCCATTTGAACCTGCGACCACGCATGAAAGCATAGTTGCATGGAATACACATCGACACAAATAAAAGATAGCGAGAGAGAGAGAGAGAGATTGATGGAGAGAAAGGGAGATAGGGATGGACGAAATTCAAAGGGAATAGCTTTGAAAGTCAGCGGATTCTAGCACGAGCAACGGTCAGAGTTCTCTTGAACATTTTGGTATTTAATGGTGTGAATGGGTCACCGTCCACGTCCCCGGCGGAGCTGCGGCCTTGATGGCGGCGGACGGCGGCGGACGGCGGCGGACCCCCCGGGCCGAGGACGCTGACGGGGACGTGGCGACGGTCATCGGTGCGCCGGGTCTGTTTCATGCGGAATATCCATCGAGAGGGACATTTTAACTTTGGATTTCTTTTTTCGACCGTTCTTCTTTTACTCGGATAAAAAGTAAGAAAACGGAGCAATCTGCCGATTCGGACTACCAGTTGCTCGAAGAAATCTGGAACGAGCCCAATATTTGTTTCCTCCGTCTGGGCTGTATGCCCTCTCCTGCCAGCGAATCCCCCAGCCAGCAAATCTCCACGGAGGGAAGCGAAACGGAGTGAATTGATCCAGCTCCCCCCCTCCCTCTCTCTTTGACTCTGTGTGTGTGTGTGTTTGTGTGTGTTGAGAGAGAGAGAGAGAGAGGGAGGAGAGAGCTTCCTTTTACTTGCGGCCGCTATCCAGTGGAGCTGTGGTTACTTACCTCTCCGGCCTTGGACATGACTGCGAATCTCGCACGTGGGAGAACACATGGGTTGCCTGCTTCCGTCGAGACCAATTCAAGAACACTGTTCAACAATCGATTCTTTCAAGAAGAAGAAGAAACGATCAAAAGGGAGAGGAGCAGGAGGAAGAAGACGATGACGAGAGTGAGGAGGAGGAAGAACAAGAACAAGAGGAGTAGAAGACGATGAAGAGGGACAGAAAGAAGGCGAAGAAGAAGATGATCAAGAGGGACAGGAAGGAAGAGGAGGAGGAAGAAGAAGAAGATGAAGAAGATGAAGAAGAAGACGTAGAAGACGATGAAAAGGGACAGGAAGAAGGAATAGAGAAGAAGAAGATAATGAAGAGGGACATAAAGGAGGAGGAGGAATAAGAAGAAGAAGACGATGAAAAGGGAGAGGAAGAAGGAGAAGAAGAAGATGATGAAGAGGGTGAGGAAGGACGAGGAGAAGACGATGAAGAGGGAGATGAAAGAGCATAAGATGAAGAGGGAGAGAAGGGGCGAGGAGAATAAGGAGAAGATGACAATGACGATGAAAGAGGGAGATGGATTTCTTCGTCTGCGAAGAGGAACGAGACAAGCGGAAGTAGGAAATGAGCTAACTCAGGGAAAAGAATATGAATCTACATGACGACCTTCACCTTTACAGCATCCTTGCTCACTCTGTGTACGAGTAAAAAGAAGAAAACATCACTCGGTATTACCGGACAATTGCCAGAGCTTTCATGAGCTTCTGAAACAAATCCTGTAGATGGAGAGATTTTACAGGAGAATCTTCACCCACAGAGTAGAGCTGAGAGCCCTCCCGTCTCCAACTCCACCGCTGCGATGGATGAAGATGAGCAATCCGGATCATCGTACACTGGGGATGAGTTTGTCGACCTCATGCTTGGAGACCTCCGAAGAGACCTCTGTGTTGCTACCGATGTTCGAACCCGTTTTCTGGGGGAGCGCCACCCATTGACAGGTTGGAGTGGCTCCTCACAGCGGCGGCGCCTCTCAGCATGGCGTTCTCATTGAAAGTAAAGTTGTGGTTCCTCTCTTGGTGGGCAACGCCGGCGTTGGGCGAGCTTTCGAAGGAGTGGTAGGCATGTGGGAATGGAGATTGTGGGTAAGATATGGGGCTTTTCTGCATATTGTAAGGGTTAACTTGAGGGGTGTGGTGGAGCATGCTGCTCTTAAAGGCTTGGAGATTTCCCGTGTCCATGGTAGACTGTAAATAAGATGGATAGGAGGAAGATGGAGTTATCGCCTTGAAGTCGCGGTCGCCGTCGTCGAGGAAGTATGAGTGTCCATCGCTAGGATTGTAGCGAGGAGAATCGAGAATGGACGGCATAGAAGGGGAGGCGAAGTAGTCGTCTTCCGATTGTAGTTCCATTCCGAAGGAGTCAGCCTTCGGCTCCTCCGCCAAAGGTGCCTTCTTCAAGCCTTCACTCTTATGAAACACCCTACATACCACCCATGAATCCTGCAACCACAAACAAAGTTCGAAAGATCATCATCAGAGACTTGTTGAGTGATTTCACAGGCAAGTCAAATCATGTGATCAAGTAACTATTGGTTGATTTTGAATCAGATACGAATAGCCGGTAGAGAAGAAGAGCGCCACAGCGATCGTACCTTCGTAGCTGTGGGCAAATTGTAGTGAGAGGAAGTGCCATCTAGCCTGTATTCGTGCATGACCCAGTTGGTTTTTTCTCCCTTGGGAGCCCTACCCTTGTAGAAAACAAGGGTCTTCTTCATTCCTACGAGGCAATTCCTCCCTTTGTAGATCTCCTTGTCCTTTCCAGTGGCCTTCCAGTATCCAGATTCCGTGGCCCTGTTCGTTCGCATCCCCGTTGGGTACTTCCTGTCCCTCTGGCAGAAGAAGTACCATTCCTTCTCCCCCATCTTCGCCTTGCCTTCATCACCGAAAACCAAGGGCAAGGGCTGAGGAAGGGAGGAGGAAAGAGGAGGGGAGAGGGGTGATCGAAGGATCAAAAAACTTACTGGAAAGATCCCATGGCTCGCATCTGTTCAGATCGACTTCCCCGATTGCTTTCGCTTCGAAATTGTTATTGGCGACCTTCTTGGTGAGGTAGTGAGTTATGATCTCTTCGTCTGTGGGGTGAAATCGGAAGCCGGGAGGAAGTTCGAGGGGCCCTCCGTCCATCTCCATGGCTGGCATCTCCTCCACCTTGATCGAACTCATCAACTCAGGGTTACCTTCCACGGACAAATGAAAATATCGAGAGCCCAGAAAGGCTATCAACAACCAGAAGAAGCCGATCGATGAGAGAGGGTGAATTATCTGATAGGAGAGAAGGACAGAGGAGAAGGCGGTATCTGACGTTTGCCCTGGGATTTAGAAAGAAGATTACTGAGGGAGGAGACCAAGCTTAAGTAAGGGTTTCCTCTTCTCTCTCTAAGATCCGTGTAGTGCAAGGCACTATCTCTCTCTACGCGCGCCGCAGCTGTGGGTGTAGGCCGGTTCCTCATTATCTCTGCTAACTGGTATTTATTAATAAATCTCATCACCAGAAACATGACAAATACATCGTCCTCTATCTGGGTTTGGCTTTTAATTATTAATCTTCTTCTGTGGATGCTTCCCCAGGTTCTCTCGGTTCCCATGTATCTCCTCCCATTTGACGAAGAGCTGCCCAGAGGCCGTGGCCTCCCGACCCATAGTTTTACCACCCTGTGGGCGGGTGGTCAACTCATTATCCAGCAATTAGGCTCAAAGGAGGCCTATTGTCCTCCATGAAGAATCTTGCCGAGCGAAAACATTATTACGCGTATTCCTCCATCCCCATTACTCCTCGTTTCGTCTACCTCCTCTACCCCTTGCGCCACGTTTACCGCCTCTCTCTCTCTCTCTCTCTCACACACACACACATCTCCATTCACCCACCGCTGATTCTACCTACGGCTGTCGTCTCATTCAACCCTGGTCTTTGTTTCTTCTTCTTTTTTTTTCCCTCGTCTCGCCGGCGAGGGATCAGAAATCCGCCACCTTCCGCGGGAGGATCCGCCGCTTGGGCGGCTGACGGGCAAAGAAAACAATTTACGTTGTGAACAGCATCACGCCACGTCGGTTCTCCGCAATCGCTCTGATCCGCCAAGCGGAATTCGATAAAATTAAATCATATCAATACAGCAAAAGCTTTATAACCCCAGCCGAGCCGGATTCCTTGTGGCGACGAAGAGAAGGGAAGGAAACTCGAGTTCTTGTTCTTAACCCCCGATGTTGACTTTTCGCGCTGGTGTGCCCGATGTCGTCATTCAGCGTCATCTGAAGGAGCATGCTGACTCCCTCCTGCTCTCCGTTCAAAACTACCGATCGAACGTGTTCCAGTCAAACGACACCATTATTGCGCCCCCCACCTCATTAACTCCGTCCTCTTGTTTATACTAGATCAATATTTATCGTTTTTTTTTCACGAGAGACGTGTGGGAGGCAGATACGAGGGAGCGATGGGAGAGAGAGAGAGAGAGAAAGAGAGAAGAGAGAGGAACCTGCCCGCAGCCTTTCATGGTTGGTTGACTCAATGAGGAGGAGGATAAGGAAGTCTGTTCTCCATCCGGTGTCAGAGACTCTTCTCATACAGTAGAAGAGTCGCCTACGACTCTGCGCCGAATCATTTTAGCACGTGTGCGCGTGAACAGAGGCTCGCCGTACGATGGGAAAGACTTTGGAGAAGATGGCCTTCCTTCCCCGCGTGATCATTTGCATTTCAAAAATCTCCTACAGTGGACAGTAAAGAGAGAGAGAGAGAGAAGGGATGAGATGAGAAGAGGAGAGAGAGAGGGAAAGATATGAGATGAGAAGAGGAGAGAGAGAGAGAGAATAGATGAGATGAGAAGAGGAGAGAGAGAGAATAGATGAGATGAGAAGAGAAGAGAGAGGGAGAGAGAGAAAGAGAAGAAGAGAGAGAGAGAGAAGAGACGACGAGGAGGAGGAGAAGAGAAGAGAGAGAGAGAAAGATATGAGATGAGAAGAGGAGAGAGAGAGAATAGATGAGATGAGAAGAGAAGAGAGAGGGAGAGAGAGAAAGAGAAGAAGAGAGAGATAGAGAAGAGACGACGAGGAGGAGGAGAAGAGAAGAGAGAGAGAGAGAGAAAGATATGAGATGAGAAGAGGAGAGAGAGAGAATAGATGAGATGAGAAGAGAGAGAGAGAATAGATGAGATGAGAAGAGAGAGAGAGAGAATAGATGAGATGAGAAGAGAAGAGAGAGGGAGAGAGAGAAAGAGAAGAAGAGAGAGAGAGAGAGAAGAGACGACGAGGAGGAGAAGATAAGAGAGAGAGAGAGAGAGATATGAGATGAGAAGAGGAGAGAGAGAGAATAGATGAGATGAGAAGAGAAGAGAGAGGGAGAGAGAGAAAGATATGAGATGAGAAGAGAAGAGAGAGGGAGAGAGAGAAAGATATGAGATGAGAAGAGGAGAGAGAGAGAATAGATGAGATGAGAAGAGAAGAGAAAGGGAGAGAGAGAAAGAGAAGAAGAGAGAGAGAGAGAGAAGAGACGAGGAGGAGGAGGAGAAGAGAAGAGAGAGAGAGAGAGAGAGAGGGGAGCTGGTTGGCTTCCCCGAGGTTAGACTGACTGTAGCACGGGTTCAATGATCTTCTTTCTATCCTGTCGCCATGACGACGTAATAATATTCTCGTTGGCATCATGCAGAGCTTGCGTGGCGGCGGAATCCCTCCCGATATGGCGCGCAAAGCGACGCTTTGTTGGCTCTGTCGGTGGGGTCGCAAACGAGTCTGAACTAAGCTACCGCCACCCCGCCGCCGAACCCGGCGCCGGCGATTTGCTGTCACGAGAAGCCGGAAGATGGAGAACAGCGCACCGCCGTCTCCTGCCGTCACAGTGACGTCAACTACTCCTCACGTGGACATTGCCGATGGCCGTGTTGGCCATAGCCTGCTTACCCGCCGGCAACCCCGCCGGAATCTGCGTGCTCCGGCGGCGCCGCCAAAAGATCGCGCGGCGCTTGCGAGCAACTTCCACCTGTGTCGCCGGAGTGACGTCTTTGACCGGAATACCGGACACATCCTCCGACTGTAACTTTCTGGGGAAAGAAATGGCGGCGGCGGTGACGACAGCAGCGGCGGCGCTAAACTCGGGTTCGGATCGCGTACCCGCCACTGCTTCCAGAATGCCTTGTACAGCAACGGATTGCTTTCGGTACGGCTAGGCGACCAACGGAAGCAAGCGCGTGTCAAGAAGAGTGCGATGAAATTCAGACAAGGGCTTATTCTAGCAGAGTAGCTCTCTCAGTTTCAGCTGGTCGACAGAGGTAACAAGCGAAGCAGCAGCCATTATTAGAAGGTAACGGGCTTTCTCACTCCTCAGAGTCGTAGCAACCAGGAGCGACTCCACCGTCAGTTCTCCACCGTCAGTTCTCCACCGTCAGTTCTCCTGTGATATCACGAAGGCCCCTGTTAATGTCCGAACTGTACAAACATGAAGAAACAAATCCAAGAGTCTTCTACTCTTCTCACAAGATTAGAACTGGGTTATCTGCCTGAAGTCAAATCCGGGCAAACAAACGATTCATTTTTAGCAACTGGGTTCCCCAAGGTCTACCTAATTCCATATTTTTTTACTTTAATGAGGAATTCATCGCATGAAAAAAAAAGAAAGAGCAGCCACTTACAGTATGGGACTATCTTCCATCGCTGGTTCTTCCCCTTGAGCCACTCCCAGAGGACGACGGTGGTTCCATCGCGAACGCCGCCGTGGTCTTCGTCGCCATGGAAGGCGTCGAAGTTCAGGCGGATGTTGTTGACCATCCGAATGCACCGGAAGCCCTCCCCCGTGTCGTGGCTCTCCGTCCACAAGATCGACTCGTCCAGGTACTTGGGGTTGTAGGGGATCAGCCTCACCTGGGGATCAGTTTGAGAAGCATGAGGGCTGCTCCTGCCGGGTCATGATACCCAAAAAGTCAACCCCCACCCAGAAGTCAATAATCCATGACGAATTAAAAATAGTGAGGTGGTGGGCAGGAAAGTCCTCCTCATAGGAAAATTGGAACACTTTCATGAATTTACCTGAATTGGGTTAAAACTATGCGGTTAAATCTGATTGGCAGAGAGGGAAGGGGGAGGGATTAAAAGTAACCAACAGGTTTTCTAATAATGTCCTTTAGGTCATCATCCTTGACTGAATGTGGGGTGACCATGGGCCTGGGTAGCCAGACGGCTGGCCCAATAAGAAAGTATGGCCCAATTCGGATACATTAAGGCACTGGTAGTACATACTCCCACCCTTCATCAAAACATGATCAATAAAAAAATCAACCGCAAGAAATGGTTACCTCATTTATGCTGGGACCACGCCCACAGCTGAGAGCTGCTCCTGAACCGAGCCATAAATGGCTCATGCTAATTTTATATGACTCTTATTTACGATGAAAATAAATATTATATCAAAAAAAATTATTTCGGATAGAAAAACTATTCGAAGTTAGTAAACCAGCCATCAACGCACATGATCTCCCACGCATTTCATATCTCCATCGAAACAAGAACTTATATGTCTGGGAACGATTGTTTCTGCCTGCATTTCTTCGTGAAGTTCAAGGTCTAGACCAAGAAAGGACTGAATATTCTAGCATATCAGCCGAAGCATCAAGTAAGGAGCTCAGATCAAAAGCTTCGACATGCGCTGATTACCCGATGACGAGGACACAAGAAACTAAGAAGAATGATGTGGGTCGTCGAGATCTTTGTGTTTGGATCTCATCAAAACTCCATTCAGACCTGAGAAACAAACACGACATCCATGACCAGAGCTCCTGCGGAGATTTATTTTTTCCTTTAGGAACAGTAGACTCGGTTTAGCAATCTTATTGGCCTTTTTCATTTTCTGCATGGAACAAATCTGTGTTCGGTCACAGACGGCCAGATAGAGTCTCCAGTGGGAGTTCAAGAGTTGTGATTGGACTCGGTTTCTATTTTGGGCAACTCCTTCTGGCTAACCACGGTTCTAGAGACCTGGTAGAAAGATGCACAGGAACCGGATGGGATTGTGCCAAAATGAGACGAATGGCAGAGTCTGGTGTGATTTAGATTGGCCTGAAACTACAAGATTGTTAGTGATCATGATGCATTTTTTCTTGACTAAGACATTGAAAACAAAGCAGATAACGATGATCTTATTCGCGCTTCATGAAAAAATATGACTGGATTACTTGACCATGACCAGGGGATAATAAGATCCAACTCCTAATGTCCTAAAAAAAAAAACCGAATATGCACACCTGGTAAACAAGATATCGCCTTAAACTTCAATACTAGGAAGAATAATTCAAATACATTTGAGACATACATATATGACCCACAAATCTCTGTTAAAAAGCTTTAATGCCAGATTAAACACGAAATTTTCATATCAAAATGGTGAATTAATCTCTGAAAAGAATGGTGGAGCAAACCGTTAAAAAGATATGCAAGATACTCGATTCCTTCACCGTTTATTTACAATCAATTCCCTTTTACATCTAGACAGGTGGCAAGACCACAGCAAGCTTAGAAGCTCCGGCAGACCGAAAAACTATATTCTCACAGGAGGATTAAAAATCTGTGCATGAAACTAGGATGAAACACTGTAAACCAGAAATAAACAGACCCAGGAAGTAAGAAGTAATGATGATCAGGAACTCAATTTTATTTAGATCTAAATGAAGATGACGATTTTAAAACCACAAGCAAAAACCACTAGGTATCAGTCGGAGGTAAAATTGAAGCTTGAAGGGGTCGTCACCTGGACTGATTCTGTCCGGGTAAGAGGGCGACAAACTAACTTAGATTCAGCTGTAAATCTGACTTACAGGATGAGTCGCTCCAATAGAGTGCTTGATCGCCTCCCCGGTGACTTTGTTGACAAGGGCAAAGCACGGGAGACCTTCCTCATCTTTAACCTGAGTGCTGAATTTTTCATCCTTGATCCAGTGCTGTAAGAGAAAATCGATGGGAGAAACCTATCAGATCCTTTCAACGCGTGGAAAAAGATCGAGAAAAAGGAGAAAAGGAGATCTGAATTAAGGAAAAAAGGGCATCGATCCGGCAAAACACAACATGCAGGTGAAGATCGGGAAAACTAGGACTATAGATGCGAACGGAAAGAAAAATTGAGAAGAAATATTGCCTGATACTCGTCGTTGGGATTAGCTCTGGCGAGGATGATCTTCCCTTCACGGATGGTAAGGGAGTAGTTCTCCTCCGCCTTGGTGAAGATCCTCACAGTCCTACGGTTCGCGGGAAAATGACCAGAGCCGGAGCTCTCGTGGCTGACGTGCTGAACGAAGGGGAACCCGTGGTGACCGCGGTTCCCCTCGTGGTCCCTACCTCCTTCCTGATCCCTCTCGTAGGCTCCAGGCCTCACCTCGTGAGCAACATGCTGCACCACCGGAAAACCAGGCCCCGAGTCGTAGCTGCCGCCATGGGGGGCCGGAGGATACGGCCTCTGGTAAGATCCAGGACCCACTTCGTGAGCCACATGCTGCACCGTCGGAAAACCCGGCCCCGAGTCGTAGCCGCCGCCATGTGGCGGCGGAGGATACGGCCTCTGGTATGAGTCGCCGCCATAGCCGTAGTCCCCTCCTCCGTGGTGCTGGTGAGGAGCACGCTGATACTCCTCCCCCCCTCGGCTTCCGTACCCCTCCGGGCGGTAGGGCTGGTGACCCGGCGGAGGATGCCCCCGCTCCTCCCCCCTCCGTCCTTCTTCCTCCTCTTCCTCGCCGCGGCGGTGGTGGTGCTGGTGCCCAAAGGGGAACTCCATCTCTCTCTCTCTCTCTCTCTCTCTGGCTGGCTTCTTCCATCGAAATCTCCGATTTTGTTGCACAACCCTGGTAACGGGCCGGGCTCGAAAAATAAGCCCGGCACATCAATTCCCGGGCTTAAAGGACGACCCGAAATGCTAAAATGGCCCGTGAGCCCGGCATTTACATCTCCCTTTTCGTGGCGCCCCTTCGCAAACCTTCCTGTTCCCGTTTTCGGGCCTCGGCTTATCTTAACTTTTCGGGCCGGGGCATGAGAGTCGCCCAGATCCAAAGCCCGGCCCGTATGGCAGATTTCACATGAACGTTGTGATAAAATAGGGAAATACCCATATTACCCCTAGTTGTATTAAAAAAATCCAGACGGCCTGATATGGTACACATCAATACTCATGGTAGACAACTAGTCGGAGAGAGGCTCAGATGCTGTGGATTTTGTCGTTACTTCAGAAGCCACGCCCTCTGCAGGACGCACACAAATCTATACATATCGAAACGGATTAAAAATAGAGGTCAGTACGTCCACAGATGGGATGTCTCTCAAGGATAGAAAAGCAACGTGTCAAAGAGAGGTCCCATGACATCCGCCCACAGAAATAGTGCCGTCGTCATCTGACATATTTTGCAGATTATCCAACATCATTTATTTTTTTATTAGACACGAAGCTAAAAAAAATATTTTTATACCCTCATTATTCTCTTTCTTCCGGAAATGTTCGAATAAATATCGGAATTAAAAAAAAGTTTGACCAGCGGAATCTGGGAACCGGGAGGTCGGGCCATTGGACCAAGGGCTCATGAACGACTCACAGTCTGGGATCAGTAAAAGTCAATAGAGAGTTGACTCTGTGCTACTGTCCAGATGCAGAAAGTCAGCGGACGACGGGAGGTCGACATGAAAAAACCTGCCAGTCGAATCGAGGCGAGCTTCCCCTCGATCAAATCCGCGCAGATTTATAAGGAATTATCGCAGTCTTGGATCACAGAAGTTTCTTGCGATCAGTTCCAGAGGGAGAACCCGCGTTCTCTGGTGACGCTTCTTTCTTCCGGCTTGCTGAGGGAGTTCCTGCAGCGAGGGCTCGACCGCCCTCCCGTCTCCCGCTGGTCCGCAGGAGGGGGGACGGCAGCGGCGGCGCCCCCCCCGCCCGGCGGGTTGCCGGAATCTCTGCCGGAGAAAAACGCCTGCATCATCTCCTCGGTCCTCGGCTCCGGCGAGAACCCTCTGACCTTCATCTCCTCGTAGAACTCAGCCGCCTCTGCCAACTTCCCATTCAGGAACAGCCCGTGGATCAAGACGACGTAGGCGCTCCGGTCGGGGCCCCCGCCGGCGGCGGCCATCTCCGTCCAGAGCTTGGCGACGCTCTCATGGCGCCGCCAGCGGCAGAGCTTCCTGATCAGCATGATATAGGTCTCGTTTGCCGGCGGGCACTTGGCCTGCTTCATCAGCTCCAGCATCTCGAACACCTCGTCGGAGGTCTTCACCGTGTCGAACATGGCGTGGAAGGTGCGCACGCAGGGAGAGAGCCCCCTGCTGCGCATTTCCTCGAACATCTCCCGAGCTTCTCCGGCACGGCGGGCCTTGCACAGCGGCCTGATCAGAGAATTGAAGGTGGCGGCGTTGGGGGCGATGCCCTTCTCCTCCTCCATGGCCTTGACCAGCCTCCTCGCCTCCCTCATGCGCCCCCCCTTGGCCAGGGCGTACACCACGGCATTGTACACCTTCCTGTCTGGTTCGATGCCCAGATCCTTCATGGAGTCGAAAACCTTCAGGACGTCGCGGAGGTTGCTGGCTTTGGAGTAGCAGGAGATCATGGCACCGTAGGATATGGCGTCGGGCTGGACCCCCCGCCGGCCCATCTCTCTCCAGAACCTCTTCGCCTCCCGGAGGTTCCCCACGGCGTTGCACCAGCCATTGAGGACGATGTTGAAGCTCTTGGTCGGCAGGGGGGAGAAGGCGGCCTCATTGCAGAAGAGTAGGTGCTCGGCGTCGGCCACGTTCTTGTACCGGCAGAGCGCGGAGAGGAGGCCATGGAAGTCCTCGATTCCAGGGGAGAAGCCGAACTTTTTCATGGCGTAGAAGGTGCTAATGCTCCTCGCGACGTCGCGGGTGGCGGCGTATCGCCGGAGGAGGATGAGGAGGGTCTGAGGGGTGACCAGACTGGAGCTCCTCATCTCCTCGATCAGGGACCAGGCGGTGTCGAATCGCCGCATCTTGCCGAGGATGGCCACCATGGAGTGGTACTCGCGGAGGGAGTGAGCGTAGCCCGGCTGGTTCGCGGCCCAGAGGAAGAAGGTGAAGGCGGCGGCCCAGCGGTGGCGCAGCCGCGAGAGGACCTCCCGCACCAGCTCCGGTGAGGCGGCGGCGCCACTCTGCTCCAGCCGGTTCCTCGCCGCTGTGCCGTCAGACTCGAAGCCCTCCAGCGAGGAGAGCACCGCCTCCACTTCTCCGGCGAGCTCCTCCGGCGATGGTGTTCCTCCTCCGACAAGCTCCTCCTCCTCTTCATCATCATCATCTTGTTCTTCTTCCTCCCCGTCGAAGCCTCTGCCGCCACTGACGCGGTGGAAGGGAGGAGAGGAGGATTGAGACCGGTGGGGAGGAAATAGGAGGCGGTGGCGGCTTCCTTGGAGGTCGCCGGAGAAGGTGGAAGGAGTGAGGCGGCGGCAGGAGGAGATGGGGAGCGCACGGATCCTTCGCATGGCCCTCCATCGCCACATGACTGAAGCTCTGCGCCTGTTACTATTCCTCGAGGGTTTAGTAGAGGAAGAGAGGTGATCGCCTCAACTACATATCAAAGAAACACTTGCATCTTAAAGAAATTTCAGAAAAGTATTATACATTTAAATTTTGCATTAATACCTGAAAATATATTATTGGAAATTGAGAGCATTTTTTTACTAACAGTGGCATATTTTGAAAATATCATCCGTACGAGGTTTTTTTAATGTTTTACCACGTTTATTATATTTTTGTATAAATAATCGGATAAAGTTGACGTCTTGTCCTTATCCTGTTGGGATTTGTGGGGAGAGTCTAGCAACAGTCTCCCATTCATAGGAAGGCACCTAAGCATCTGCCTTCAGGGAATATGCTGCCCAGCGACTGCACCAATTTGTCACTCCCCAGCGCGAACACTTCTCTGCCAGGACTCTCTCCTTCTCTCTTCCATACCCAGGTACCCGCTTCTTCTTCTTCTTCGTCTTCTTCAGTTTTCTGCATCATTCCGATTTATTGTTTTGATTCCACGGGCGAGAATCGGAAGTCTGTTGTAGCTAAATGGTGAGGTTGGGTCGACGAGTACCCAAATCTTGAAGCAATGGGGATATGAGCCCACTGCGGATGATTCCTGAGAGGAGACGTACCTCCTGAGTTCAATAAATTCCTTCGTCTTCGTTTCTCGATGCCGAGGGTAGTCCCGCTTAGAGGACCCCCGAACACTACCTCGAAGAACTTTCTAAGCTGGGATACTCTCCCCCTGAAAACCACGCCGTTCTTCATGATTTGACGCCTCCATTCACGGGCAGGGGATTTTTTTTCTGAATCCCCTTCCCGTCTCCTCCGCAGATTCACCCGCCACATCTTCTCGCCCTTCCATGGACGTTTGTGCCCATTTTCCCCACTAGGATCTGGATGGCCATTAAACCGCGAAACCATGTTCTTGGGTGTTCATGGCGAGCTCACTTCCTCTTTTTTCAGTGTCCAGGGCCGGGCGACAGAGGGTACAACCGCGCGCTGAATGCCTCCATTTGCTCGTGCTTTGTCGAGCTTGAGAACGTTTTTTTCTGGGTAGATAAGTCAGTATGAAGTTTCTGGAGTATACACCTCTGGACAGGTAGCTCTTGAGCTTTATTTTCTTATGATAAAGTTTTTTACTTGATCTCATCAGAATGCTTGGAGAAATATACTTCGTAGGCAAAATATTCAGAAATTACTTTTTCTCGAATTATGTTATTATTTTTCAGGTTTAGTATTTTCCTGAGTCATTTAAACCTCGGGGAAAGCATCATCAGGGGAAGCGTGGAAGCATACTCATGTAAGCACATTCAGTCATCCTGATTATTTCCTGTAATTTCCCTACTAATTATCTTCGCGTCCGATGGCAATGAAAAAAAAAAATTCTGAGCCAAGAAATAGCAGAATAAATATTTATTTATTTATTTTTCTTTTTTTTTCTTTCAAAGGCAAGAATACCGTGTCCGATCAGAAGCTCTCCTTTAGCCTAGAGCATCAGGTATCAAAGTCTCCAGTTTACCCTGGAGTCATATCCTAGTACCTGATTTATTTCTTTTACTGTGTCATGATTGTTATGCTTCACATGGAAAGCATATTCTTTTCCATCTCATACTTTGTTATTTTTCTCACTCTAGATCCTTGACTATATCGGGCAGTCTTCAGACAGCGACTCCCCATCGTCAGTGGGCGACTTGTGCCGCAGATCAAGGTGAGTGGGACTCCTCATCTGTGCCTCATTCCGAAAACTGTCCATGGCTGCTGACTCCATCTTCTTCTTCTGTGCTCCAGCCGGAAAACCCTGATCTATCTGGTTCTCACTCTGAGTCACATGTACCCAGACTACGACTTCAGGTATTCTCCCTTCTATCTCAATACCCAGTCGATAAAAAGAAGAAATTTATGTCGTAAATGAGCTCCAAGGAGAGAGAGAGAGAGGGGATCTTTGGGTAATGCCACTGTCAGCTTATTGGGCGACGTGGCAACCCGCTGTGCATCCTTCCCTCAAAGCCTCTGGAAGTGTTGTCAAATGGTTTGACAGATGGCCTCGGGGCCATCGCTCTTGAAGGAGCTGAGAGTTCGAGTCTCTCCATTTCCTATGTGGTTTCGTGGGCTTCATTCACTTGTTCATGTTCCACTGGTAAGCTTCTGACGGTGTTCGGCCTGACAGTGCAGTTAGGGCCCATCTTTTCTTCAAAGAGGAGGATTGGAACAGCTTCAGGCAGATGTTTGAGACCTACCTCTTTGAAGTTGCCGAGGTTTGGGATTATTCCCCCTCTGTTTATTTCCTTTCGTCCATGCTCTACCTCTTGCATTGCACTTCTTGGTGGCCCATCTCACAGAGAGAGAGAGAGAGAGAGAGAGAGAGAGAGAGAGAGAGAGAGAGAGAGAGAGAGAGAGCGGGAGACTTAATGGGCTTCAAACCTCTAAAAGAATGGAAATTGGGCCGAAGTGCATTGCCATCTCTCATCAAGCATATCTGACGAGGCATTGACCCTGGATGATCCCATCAAATGAGCCCGCCCTTCTTGGGACATTGCCCCGAGTAGGTTCCATGATGGGTTTCACCTCATGTCCAAATGGGCCTCATCTCCTACTCCGATTTGCGCTCGTTTTTTTTTTCTTTAATAAAATTGCATTTATCTGTGACATCAAGATGGCTACTTCATGAATCTGTGGAGAGAATCGCAAGTGAACCAACTCAAAGAAGGGCCCAATGAGCACGGTAACTGGGTCTGTTTTCAAAATTAAATATCGTGAAAACTTGCATTCCATCCCCCCTCGGATCACAAGAACTCTTCTGGATTCCTGCTGAGAAGGAGATCTTTTTCTTTTTCTTTTTCTGTATGAATCCGATTCTTCCGAGTTTTCTTCATGTTTTAGTTGAATAAAGATCTTAGAGGAAGAAAGCCAGGGTCTTTAGAGAAGTGTCTTATACTTCATTCTGATCCGGAGATTATGTCGAGACATTGGGTTTTAATCACGCTCATGGGTGTGGTTCCAGGAATGGGCTCTGGAGAACGACGGCAGCTCTCTTCTGGACGATATGAGTAAGGCTATTGACGAGGTGGGGCCCGCAGTTTTAGTCAACTTCCTCATCGCGTAGTCAGCTCTCGTCGCACTTTTAGTCAACCCTCCATCCTTGTCCCTCCCCCTCAGGTCATGAAGCTCGACGAGTGTGAGATCTACAGTTACGATCCGGACTTCGACGGCGACCCGTTCCTGGAGAAAAGAGCCATGTAATCCCCCCGAGGGCCCGCCCTTCTTCCCCCCACCTCGGAGGCGCTGACCTAGGGTTCTTCTGTCCCTCCCGCAGATGGTCCTTCAACTTTTTCTTCTACAACAAGAAGCTGAAGCGGGTGGTCAGCTTCAGATGCTGCTGTTCGAGGTGGGTACCGGAGCCCCTCAGTTTTTTCTCATCTGTCACAAGATCCAACCGAAGTCCTTGCGCAGAATCCATCGAATGACTGACAAGGAAGGCTTCTTCTGTTCTTGATGGGCAGCAACCTGGGGTCTGAAGGGGGCCTCGCCGAGAAGATGATCGAGGAGTCCAACGACGACGATGCGATCTTCAATGACATGGACATGTGATCGCGCGCGGTCAGCGCGAGCCGGCGGGCTCGACCAAGTTGGTGTGGTGTATGCTGTACATGCTCTTGTATGTATGATAGATAAATAATGTCTTTGATGGACGGGGGAGGGAGAGAGGGTGTCGTTTTCCCTCCCTCTAGTTTCCCCTTCTCCTGAGGCAAAGTGGATCTCCAGAACCAATGCGGTTTTTAATAGAGCTGTCAATCTCTCTCTCTCTCCCCGGCGGAGGGTCGAGGATTTGGCCGGGCCCGGGCTCGAACCCAACACGTGGGGTGGGTGCTTTCGTAGACCCGAACCTGTTTCACTCTCGGCCCACCAAAAAGGACGGATCTTTGGGGACACTCGTTTTTATCCTTTGTTCGATCCCGTTCCCGTGACGGTCGCTGCGGGGAAGGAGAGGAGGAGATCGGTGTCCGAGGGGCACTGCAGCGGCTCCCAGCTCGACAAGGTTCCACTCCCACCGACCCACCCCCAGCCGCACTTCTCTGGTTTCTCTCTGATTGTTCCAGCTCCTCGTGATACCTTTATCCCTACTTGTCCGGGATCGGGGATCGGGGACCGGGTGGAATGAACACCCAGTTTTTCGGCGGGGATCCGCCGAGGGAATCTGTTCTGGCTTTTGCATACGATTAGAACCTGCGTTTTTCTCGGGTTTCCTCTCGGATCCATCCTTTTCGACGCTGCTCTGACTTTGCGGAGAGCTGAGAGAACGTTTTCCCGAAGAATCTTCACCTGATCGCTAGGTTTCGAGCCATGGAGCTTTCTCCTACCATAAAAAGCTCCTGCAATGTCGAAGAATTGAGACGACTCTCCTAGTCAACCCGATGCAGGCTCTTCAACTGTCCGATTGGGGCAGTCAATGCAGAGCCAGTGTGCAACGCCCGGCTCCCAATCATACCGTATTAACTCATATTTTTCGTGGGTTTTTTTTAACTTTCTCGGAGCATGATTTTCTGCCGGATGTCGCTCTTCTTCGGTGAGTTGACGTAGATTCTGTGATTTCTCCTCTGATCGGTCTAATATCGTGGCGAATCAGATCCACATTTTTTTCTGGCTCTCTCCCCCATCATTCCAACGGAATGAAGGGGAAGGACGTAATGGCGAGGCGAGGGAGAAATTCCAAGGTTTTTCTAGACCAAGTGATTGACGGATATTGATCATATCCTCTCTGAGTGGATCATTGTGAAAGAGGGTCAACGATTCTGGTTTGTCAACTATCATACAATTTCTATCCTAGCTTCCGAGCCCAGTATCAAATGAACCAGCTTCCCTCCTATTCTGAGCTGCCTTGCCGTCAGTCAATGCCAGGATCTTACTCTAATCCTCTTTGCTGAACCCTTATAAAGCTTTCTGGCCATTAATTGACGATTGCTTGCTGAAGTTTACAGCAACAATGTAATTGCAGTCTAGGAATGAAACATTTTTCTTTGCTGAACCCATATGCGAAGCTCCAACACCATCCTGATTTGGAAATATTTTGGATTATAAACACAGAAATGCATTCCAGAATCCGCAGAATCCATCCGATTTGTTGAAGTGTGGGCTAACTATGATCCGAGACAAAAAAACAAAAAAAAATAAAAATAAAAATTGGCACTGTAATATTTATTTAATTTGAATATATACGCGGTATTATTTAACAAATTGTAGTCTGATCCACATGCATGGATTGTGATGATTGGCTCAAACCATTTTCTTCGGTGATCCATATAACTGCTGCTTCAATGGTTTTTTTTTTTTTTTTTTTTTTTTTGTTGAGTGAGATCATATTAGAGATGATGAATTTGTTATCTGATATGCAGGTTATTGGGCTCATGGAGGGGCTAGGCAGATCCATGCTCTACTCCTCTCTGCTGTTCACTGTGATTCTCTCACTAATGGAGATGTACAGAGAAAAGCTGGCCTCCTCTGAGCCGTTGACAATCCTCGGGGGTTTCATTAGCTCCCTTCTCTTTCTCACGCTGCTCACTGTAAGTCTCTCACCAGCCTTCATCCAATCTCTGATGGCCCTTTCTTTAGCTTATTCCATTGGTCAACAGCTTTATATTTAAGTTCTTAAATTCCGAGTTGACCGGCGGATTGCTACTGCTGATTTTATCATATTAATATTCCATAATATTTGATAATTTAATGTTTATAATTGGGAAGAAACCCCACCAAGCTCCCATTGCATAATTGTGAATTTCCTCTGCCTAGAAATTAATATATATCTTATTCTGCGTTTTCCAGTTAATCGGGAATTTTCAGGAATCTTCTGGCAACAGAACAGGTTGGGGCGCTGGTAAGCATCATTATTTATTTATTTATTTATTTATTTATTTATTTATTGCCATTTTAAGCCTGTTTCTCCTCGATGGCTCCCATGCAGTGGCATTGGCTGAATCTGTGGCTCTCATCGCCGCTGGCACCGTTCATCGCGTCTGCATCACCACATGGTATAACAGGGCTCGGATCACAGAGGGTGTTTATTATTACTATTATTATTATTATTATTATTATTATTATTATTATTATTATTATTATTATTATTATTATTATTATTATTATTATTATTATTATTATTATTATTTGTTATTTCTAAAAAAGAGGGTATTTGTGCTGGACGCGTGCAGCTTCTTGTTCTCGGCGGCACTGCTGTACGAAGTGGACAAGCTCTCGGGAATGGCCTCGACGAGGAGCGAGCCGAAGACGGCGAAGAGATACTGAGCGGGGCGATAGGAAGAAACTAGGAGGAACTTGGTGATGTGGGCCGATTCGCTGGGGACTTTTTTTTCTTTTCCTTTTTTGTCGGAATGTTGGGTCAATCTGGTTCTTTAGATTTGGATTTTGCCGTCTGAGAGAACATCAGGCCCAAAAATAATTTACCAGAAATAGAAAGCAGTTGACTTTTCTAGGCCAGAGCTACAACGGGTGAGTTTATTCTCTGAAGGAAACAGAGCACGAAGACGAGAGGTGCCCTGGTCCTTTGCTGCCCTTGGGGATAAATAGATGGCGACGGAAAGATGGTGAACCGGAGAAGGGTAAGCGGATCATATGTTCTTGAAGACCGCAAAGAGGTCGCCGTTGACGTAGTCGTTGTCCACGAGGCTGACCAGGAAGTAGCTGCTCTGGACCTGAGGATTCAGCCAAAGGAATGGAATAAGCGAGGGAATATTCCGGTGGGGGGGGGTTCGACGTTACCTGCTCTAGGAGCTGCTTGGAGGGGTCGCCGTCGGGGAAGAGGGAGGCCCAGACCTGGGTCCAGATCTCGAAAGCCTCGTCCTTCCAGACGGCGAAGCTGGCGGGGTCAACGACGGTGGGCTGGATGATCTCCTTGGCGGGAAAGACGCCCCAGGTGACGGCATTGACCTCCGCCGGGCCAACGTTGGATACGCTCTGGCCGTCCTTATTCACGGCGATGTAGGTCAACGACGACGCCGCCTTGGACTTCTCTACCAGCGCGTCCAGCTTCTCCTTGGAGCAGAAGAACTCCAGGTAGGCCTTCTGGTACACGTAGCCCCCCGGGCCGCCCCACCCTGAGAAAGGAAAAGACGGGGAGAAAAACATATTGAGCTTCGAGAGGTTGACTTGATTTGACTTCAGTGGTGGTGGTGGTACTGACCAACTGAGGACGAATCGGATTTCTCCCCGTTGACCGCTGGCTGGCTGTTGATGGTGAGGAACCCTTTCAGGTTGATGCTCTCCAGTTGCTCATTTATGATCTTGGTCTCCGGCTGAAGGCTGTCCAGCTCGGACCAGGGGCTGCTACTGAGCTTGCCCAGGCAGTAGCTCGAGAATCTCTGTCGAGTCGTCGATGGAGGAGGAGGGGGTTCAGATGACGATGCGGTAATTTAGACACTCGCCGAGCTGAGTCAAAGGTGGCCGACGGTTGACTTACCTCGTTGATGTCTTCGATCGATTTGATGGGGATGCCCCACTCCTCCTGGAGTTTCTTGTCGCGCGACCTCGGCCGCATGAACTGTGACAGCGAGTGGGTTCGCATGAGAGTCTAGTTTTCGGATCGAGCGCTGATCCAATGCGTTGTCAAACTGAGATGTGATGAATAGTCAACGCTGAGAAGAGTTCGTGAAGGTGAGAGGATGATCACCTGGTAGTCAGTCAGCGCCCCGTAGGACGGATTGCCGGAGTCACCCCAGCGACCGCGAGGGTATTGTTCCCAACCCCCAGTCCTTGCGATGTAGCTCCTCGGACGATTGGCCCTGTAATCAGTTTCCTTTTTCGCTCAGAGAGATTATACAGATTTTTGCCATTTGCAGGGAGGGAGGAGGGAAGACTTCGAGCACTATGTCGGTCAGCTCATAACTCGGATGGATATTAATTTCCAGAGAAAGTAAAGTACCAGAATATGGGGCGGACGTCCTCTTTAACACGGAAAACATTCGTAGGGCGTCTCCACGGTAAGGATCTCGATATCTTTGACTCCTCGATCAATCCAAGATTCTGCAGGGTGCAAGATTGATGAGAAACCTCATGAAACTCGAAGGTACATGATTTCCGAAAAAAGCAAAGCTTGACGGAAGATGGTCACCATCAATATCCCGAGTGCAGATTTCTCCATGTTTAACGTGTAGAGATGCAGAGTCTTGATCCCGTGAGCCAAGATCTTCTTGCACATTTCCGTTCCAAGGTGAATCCCATAAGCTTTGACCGCTTCTTCGTTGTCCTTGATCGGCTCCAGAGCAGCTGTAACCTCAGGGGGGATCTGGCAAATATCACAGTCAAACACACAGACATCTCAGCATTTAAATCCATCATAGAATGTGCGATTAAGGGCGTGATAACCCTTGGAAATCTGCATTTTAAAGACTAAGGATGAATATCAGCCAGAGCAGGCTGCCGGCAGTACATTTTAGGATGATACCCAAAATGCAAGTCTTCGAAGCAATATCTAAGAAACAGTGATTTTAACGAAACTTTACCTTGGTTTTGCAAAAACCAGTCATACGCAGGAATCCTTTGTAGTTATTAATAGGCATTATGCCTGGAACAATTGGGCAGGATATTCCAATTTCTCGACAGTCGTTTACAAACTTTAGGAAAATATCGGTGTCGTAGAAAAGCTGGGTAATAATGATATCTGCGCCAGCATCCACCTGCACAGGAGAGAATACTGCTTTCATGATATGACCAAGGCAAAATATGGAGTCCAATAATAGGAAAGAAGACAACCAAGGGAGAAGAAAAAGAAGTTAAAAGGATGACATGATATGAACGGCTCAAGAAGACATGAGAAACGCATAATTAAACTTCGTCGATTAGAGACCGTTCTGAAAAATGGCACAATCTGGTGACGCTAAAAGTTATTGTCGCCATGATTATTTGACTGCAGGATTTTTTATGAGAAAACCTCATGGGCAACCTTGTCATGGCAGAACTCATCGTAATGGAAGATCATTAGAATATAGGGAGAAAGAAAAATTATGTGCGTGTGTAGTAAAAGAAAATGGGTTCGAAGACTTATAGAACAATAGAAAATCAAATATAAATATACCTTTTTCTTCAAATAAACAAGGTCATTTTGGTAATCTTCCGCAGTGACACCTTGTTCACCCTTGATCATGTCCGGATGCGCCTCTGTGATAGAAGAAAACTATGAGATCGTATTGTTGAAGAAAATTACCAAATGCGCAGGATCTCGTCATTTTCTACACTCACCAGGATATCCAGCTACTGTAATTCCAAAGTAATCACCATACTTAGCTCTAATGTGTTGCACCTGTGGAATAATTTGACAGCAATCATTATATTGTAGACTATAAATAAATAAGAAAATGCAACAAAAGTGCACGTATAAACTGTTATGCAACGGTTACACATTATCCAAAAAGATGTGCATTTAAATTGGCCAGTTATTGAAACAACGGAAGATAGACATCATTTTTTACTTTACCATGAATACCATTGGTATGGTTAAGGCAGCACTAGACAAAAAAAGATTTAATTTCCACTTCGCGGTTAGCATTAAATTCATGAAAAAAAATCGTAAGACATGAACGATAATCAGGTCCATGCAAACAAAAAAAAAACAGTGATTATCTTTTCATCCGTAAAGCAGGATTTCCCAGAACAAGAATATTACGACATGCCATTTGTCTTCATCTACATAAAAAACTTTCTGGGGAGAGAGGGAAATCGGTAAACATGCTCAGAAGAAGGATGGTAATACCAGATCAAGTGCGCAACCAAATCCACCGGAGACTTGAACAAATTTGTCCTGTCCGTGAGGAGGATCGCCTCTCAGTGCCAGAACATTTTGGATCCCACTGCTTTTGATGGTGTCCAAGGCATGATCAATCTTCTCCACTGGCATGTTTGTGCAGGTCAAGTGCATCATTGTCTCAACGCAGACCTACAAGGAGAAAAAAATTAGAAAAGAATCACAAGAACTGCATACTCAGCCTTCAGATAAAAATCCTCAGTTTTTATGATAGAAAGGAAAGAAAAAAAATCATTCTATAAAACTTATGCAATGCACTGGCGGTAATATAACTGTTATGAAGCTGCAGGAAATTATCTATCCTACTTTCACAGTCGCTCGGAGCTTTTTGAGAGTTCACCATAATGGAAGCTTGACGAGCAAATCATCTCGAAGAATAAATGGGAGCAGAAGTAGTTTCTCTTGATAACAAAAGCTTGCTTTCCTGCAGCAGAATCTGGGATCTACTGAAAAGATAACTAGATCTGATAGGCCTCTAACGTGACAAAATGACAAAAACATAAAAACTTCCCAAACGTCGACGAGGAGAGGTCCTAGATCGAGAACGAGATGTTTCGATCTGTTGAACACATAGCATCAAAGAGACGTGAATGGGGGTGACTACTTGCCGCTGGTATCAATCCGAACAGACCAAAGAAGTCCGCTTACGGGAACGATGCGGGCAGAGCAGATCTGGGGGAGCGGGGTCGAGGCGAGGGCAATACCATATTCTGCATCCGGTTCGCGATGTCGAGGGTGAGATCGGCGGTGGAGCCGCCGGCTCCCCAGGTGATGTCGCAGAAGGAAGGGTTGTGGGCCACCATCCGGTCCATTCTCTCGAACAGGTTCTCCACCCCCTCTGCCGTCTTGGGAGGGAAGTACTCGAAGGAGAATAAAGTCTTCCCATTCTCCTGCTCCGCGGCGCGTATCTTCTCGATCACCTTCATATCCGCCTCCCTCTCTCCCTCCTCGGTGAAAGAATTCGAGATCTCCTCCTCTCTCACTCACACCACCTGCTCTGGAGCTCTCTGCGGGAGCAACTCAACTCCGCTGCGTCGCCGAGCCACTCCGTATAAATAGGACGGGGCGGAGGATGACGTGGAGATTTTCCACTACCCTCCCTCCAACAACCGCCGACTCCGTCGCCGTCACTCACCAACCCACCCCGTTCTTCGCCTCGAGCCCGAGTCCGAACCGGCTGAGCCCTGGTTCAGACACACCGCCGCTCATGACGTCACTGTGGTCTGACATAGTAGTTAGACTCGCACACTAACAATTGGATGGATGGATGGATGGTTAGCCCCCCGTTGGTAGCCGTTAAACTTCTTTCTCACACGTGTCCATGTTGCCCGAATATTTTTGCGCATAGTCAAACCCATTTATTTTTATTGGAATTAGATAAATTTGGGGCAATTTGTCGAATTAAGGCCCAAAAACAATAATTTCGTAATAAAAATAAATCCGACGGAAGTTGGTGGGTTCAAGATCGGCACCCATAGGTGATTTAAATAATTACTATTAATATTTTCTAAACATTACCCTCGAGTAAGTCATTAAGATGCCGTTGAATAAGTCCAGTTATTTGTGTGGCAGTCAACGTCGGTTAAAGTCAAGTTCAAAAGAGTATTAATACGCAGGGTGGAATTACTCCCTCCATCCCTACCCCTCTCTCTCTCTATATATATATATATTTCTCTCTCTAGTACTTGTCGAAGTAGTAATCCAGACAGATTATTGGAGAAAATCGCTGGCCAGTGGGCCCCATTTTTGACTGGGCCCAAGGTAAGTGGACCCCACATGGAGCTAGCTGGCAGACAGGCCCGGGGTCGGAGGGTTGCTTTCTTCAGCGGGTTGGCGGTGGGTGGGTGAGAGGGGGCCCACCCATGTGTTCGATAAAAAGAAAAGAAAAGTGGTGCGGACCCATCCGGAACCGAGGCCCGAAACTCCCTACCTACGTCACATAGATCCGTGTGAAATTAATCACTGGCCCCCTAGTCTTCATGTCTTATTTACCTGAAACCCACGAAATATTTCAAAATAGATAAAGAACTCCAGTGAAATGAGAAAGATCTTGTTCCCTTCTCCGGCCGCCCCCCGGGCAAGGACACGCTGAGGCGGCTGAATGGACGGAACCTATTCCGACCCACTTTGAGCGGCAACGTGGACTTTAACTGGCCGTTGGATCGGGGCAACTGATGGAGTCCCTCGCATCCGAGGGACAGGATCGGAGTCCAGGTTCAAATTGCCGCCCCCTCCTCCTACGCCTATTTTCCGTTATTCTCGGGGCGGGCATTTTCGTCTCGCGGTTGTCATCACTACAGCGCGGTGGAAACAGGAGCTTTTGAATGAATTTCAGGTGGTGGTAGGGAAGAGAGGCCGATGAGAAAATAAAGGCAAGGAGCAGCACGTTAATGGCGGATACTCTTTTCTTTCTCTCTCTCTCTCTTCTTTCTCTCTCTCTCTCTTCTTTCTCTCTCTTTCTCTTTCTCCTGCGTATTTTCAGGCCCGCAGAAGGAATATCTGATGGTGGGATGTCGACGGAGGAGGACGCCGGAGGTGAGCGTGGAAGACGGTAAAAAGGAGAGGAAAAGAAGAGAGAGAGAGGGAGAGAGAGAGAAAGGGGAGGAGAGGAAAGCGAAAGGGGTGCAGTGAGAACCTGCGTTTATATGTCATCTTGATTGCCCTTCTGTCTGTGACTCTCTCTCTCTCTCTCTCTCTTTCTCTCAGTCCCACCCCCCCTCCCCAGTCTCCTCACACACCTCAGCGACAGAGCTCTGTCCTCGTTGTTGTTGTTGCTGCTGCTGAACCCAGCTTCGGTTATTCACCAACACCGGCTCTCTTCACCGTGCCATCCGCCGGAGTAGAGCGGAGAGGCCGTTCAGGGGCCCGGGAGATTTGGCGGTGGCGGCGGCGGCGGTGATGTCCTTTCGATCTTCAGGGGAACAGGGAAGAAGGTGTCTGTGGATGACTGGATTGGTTTGGGCGGAGGGACTGAGCAAAGAATGAGAAAGCGACCAGGATGGGCAACTGCGGAACCAGAGGGGAATCGGCCGTCGCCGTTGCTCATGTCCCAGGTACGCCACCTTCGGCGCCTTTGCACCGCTTTTCAGTGGCACGTCCTGCGGCTCTGACCAATTATACCGTATTTCTTCTCGATCCGTCCAATGTCTCCTCGCCCCTCCCTCCCTCACCGCTCTCATCCGTGGTATCGATGGATCTGTCACATCGGGAGCCACCTTCTCGAGTACAATTATCCACACAAATCTAGGCGTATACAATTCTTTTAAAATTCTTGCGAGGTTTCCTGTCCGTCGTGGAATCGCTTGTATGGTGCATTTAGGGTTCATCGATCCAGATTTTCTCTCGAAGCTTTCTGAACATTTGTGGACAAGCTTTCGTTATCTTCAGCTCCGAACGTCAACGATTTGAGTCAACTCCGCAAAGCAATCCCCTCTGCTATGCGTTTATCTCTGCATAATCTGCAAAAATAGGTCAAACCCAATCAATCGACTCTGATCTGCAACCATTTCCGCTTTGCTGTGTGATGATCATCTTCTGCATTTCATGGCGCCATGCTCACCGTCCCCGCATGTTTCCCGGTGCCAGTCAGGAGCGCTTCCCTGGAGAAGAAACAGAGCCGCTCCTTCTCGGACCTGAGCGATTCGTCCACACCGCGACCCTTTGAAGATTCGAGGAACATTTCGATCTACACCAACACCATCGCCTTCACATTATTTGAGCTGGAAACCATCACCAAGCGCTTCCGCTCTGACTACGTCCTCGGGGAAGGAGGGTTTGGAACGGTGTACAAGGGATACATCGATGAGAACGTGAGAGTCGGTCTCAAATCCCTTCCCGTTGCTGTCAAGGTCCTCAACAAAGATGGCCTTCAGGGACACAGAGAATGGCTTGTGAGTAAATTTCTTCATGTTCTTCATTTTTCGAGGGATTCCTCGTTGACCTTTTCAGAGTTCCAAGGGTTGACCGGAATATTAGGTCAATTCTAGTCGGTTTACATTACATGCCTAGCATATAACGTGGGCATCGATCTGATGAATGCAGGGTGACCCTTTTGTTTTGTTTTTTCTTGGTCGTGCTGAAACTTGAATCTCATCAATACAGAAACTCTCCATTCATGTCTTGGATCGAATGGGTGATGAGCTGTACTGGATTAGCTCGCAAAACCCAGTTGGAGAATCTTTCCTTTGACTTGTTAGTTCGATGATTGACCCTCTAAGTCAACCCGTCCTCGGTCCACTTAATCGCGGGCATCTCAGCAAAGTCGAACCTTTCTTGCCAGGCATCGGAGCTTGTGAAAATTTTATGGATGCATTTGTTTATTATTTTATCCACATTGGTTGAGACCTGAGGCGCTCTTGCTCCTGCAGACGGAGGTAGCTTTTCTCGGCCAGCTGAGGCATCCGAACCTGGTGAAGCTGATCGGGTACTGCTGCGAAGATGACCAGAGGCTCCTGGTTTACGAGTTCATGTTCAGGGGGAGCCTCGAGAACCACTTGTTCCGGAGTACGTCCTCCTCTTCCTCTCTCATTTAGTTACTTTGACTGATTAATGGGGGATTCATTTTTCATCCAAGTTCTTGCTCTTGCTTGAGGAGTTCAGAGACGGCGGCGCCGCTGCCGTGGCCGACGAGGATGATGATCGCCCTAGGCGCCGCCAGGGGGCTCGCCTTCCTCCACAACGCGGAGAGGCCCGTCATCTACCGGGACTTCAAGACCTCGAATATCTTGCTGGACAGCGTAAGTCCAAACCAGTTCCTTGTTCTTCGCTGGATCGAACTTTTCGGCTCTCTCGCCGGCGCATCACCTCCTGTTCTTCCCGGCTTCACAGGACTACACGGCCAAGCTCTCCGACTTCGGGCTCGCGAAGCTCGGCCCCCTGGGCGACGAGACCCACGTGTCCACCCGCGTGATGGGCACGTACGGGTACGCGGCGCCGGAGTATGTGATGACTGGTAGGTCCTCCTCTCGGGGCAGGTGGCGCCGCCGCCCCCCACGACGGGGTTCGTCCTCATCGCCGGTGCTGGTTTGTGTGCCTGCGCGCAGGTCACCTCACGGCGAGGAGCGACGTGTACAGCTTCGGGGTGGTGTTCCTGGAGCTGCTGACCGGCCGGAAGGCGGTGGACAAGACCCGGCCGGCGAAGGAGCAGAGCCTGGTGGACTGGGCGCGGCCGCTGCTGAGCGACAAGAGGAAACTCCTGCAGGTGATCGATCCGCGCCTGGAGGAGCAGTTTCCGGCAAGGGCCGCGCAGAAGGCCTGCAGCCTCGCCTTCTACTGCCTCAGCCAGAACCCCAAGGCCAGGCCCCTCATGGCCGACGTGGTGGAGACCCTCGAGCCCCTCCAAGACGCCGCCGCCGCCACCGCCACCCCCACCGCCACCGGCCCCCGCCATCGCCGGCCCGCCGGCCCCGCCGGCGCCTGCCGCTCCGTTCGCAGCCCCAAGTGCTCCCCTGCCACCGCTCCCCCTCCCTGCCGAGTGAGGTGATCAAGAACTTCCCTTCCCTTTCCCCTTTCACCCCTGGGTCTTCCGGAAACACGAGATTTCTGCTTCTGCTGTAATTTATATAACACAGAGTTGCCCGTTGGTTCAACAATGGTAGTAGTAGCTTCGTCGAGGGCTCGCGGAAAAAAATGGTCGCCATTCCCCGGCGAGAGCTTCCCTTTTCCCTTATTCCCTCGACGGGAACATCTGCTCGAGGACGACGACGATGGCCATGGCGATGGTGGCGTCGAAGCCTGGCTGCACGACGAGGCGGAAGACGTCGGCCCCGAGGCCCACGCCCCCCGTTGTCTCCTTCTTCTGGACCTCCGCCAGGCAGCACCGCCGGTCGTCGTACACGGCGACGGACCTCCGCGGGTAGGACCCCTCCACGTCGAAGTTGCGGTAGCGCTTCTCGGCGGAGCCTCCGCCGCCGGCGACGTGGACCAGCACCGCCCGGTGGCGCAGGAGATTGACGTGCTTCTTCCTGATGGAGAGCAGCGGGTGGCCGGCGACGGCGCAAGAGGCCTCGTCCCCCTCGTACACCAGCCATTGCTCCCCAAAGCTCAGCCTCTTCCGCCGAATGGTCAGCAGAGGCGTCCCGTCAGCGTCCATGAGGACGACCTCCCCTCTCCTCCCGGCCCCGTAGTTGTCCACCCGGAAGAGGAGGTTCCCCTTGATGTCAAACACTGTAAACCCCTCGCAGTTGAACAGGAGCGACTTCCTCCATACTGTCAGCACCGTCGTCCCGCCGCCGGTGCCGGCGGCGGCGACGGCTGCTTCCGCTGACTTCACTGAGATGGCACTCGGATGAACCTTGGACATTCTCCAACAGACGATGGTGATGACGGCGTCGGCAGCGATGGCGATGGCGGCGGTGGCGATGGAGGATTCTCCGACCTTGGTCCTCCTCCCTGCGGTGCTCACCCTCTATATATATCCCGCCAGTGGGAGGCTAAGCATCAGCTGGGCCCCAAGACCGCCGGAGGAAGAAGGGGAAGGGGTGGCGTGATGATGGATCGGCGGCTCTTGTCCGTACACGTGTCCATGGACGGCATTAAACTACGATAACCAGCCCTCGTGTCTCATCTGGGGTTGTCGGGTGCCATTTCGGGTACGCCCGGTGGGTCAGGGTCGGAGTGAAATATGGGAATCCGACAGAGTAAATGCGTACGTGGACCCCGATTGGCGGAAAAGTCGGGGGCTAGACGGAACACGGCCGCGTGGCGACATTATTTCTACACGTGTCAAGAAGCGTGTGGAAGAGGTAGCAGGGTCGGTGGGCATCGTCGCGGACGTGGTTGAGCTCTGAGCCGCTCACTCCCTCCGCCCCAGTCAACGAGATGCCGATGAAGTAGATTCCCACGTGACGCGTAATAAAAATAAGTTTCATTCTCTCTAGATATTCTTAAGTATTATGATCGAAAATAAAAACTGAGGAAAATAGTTTTTTAAAATTATAATATACGCAAGCCACCGCAAATTTTCGATTTTAATCTTTAATATTTTTTACTGGGATTTTTTGATGTGATATTTCGAGTATTTATGATGCATATGGCTTCAAGCGCAAGAGCTCGCACGTGTCACTGCTAGCTTAAAGGGGTGATGCGGGGGATGACGCAAGCTCCCTCATCTTTTCCTTCAAATATCAATCACACGCACGTGTGGGTTAGACTCCGTCAACCCATGAAAGGCCCATTTCCAAGAGTATTCACCGAGAAAGCCTCTAGAAGGCTCGGCCCAAATTTTGAGCATAGTCCATCAAATGAGCTTAGTTTTTATTGGGCTCGAGTTGGATGGCCTAATAATTTATTCACAAAGGGGTTTGACTTAGGTGCGGCCAGTGACGCACCCGATGGGCGTCAACGTCAAGTATGTGTTTGGCCAGGCCCATTTATTTATCGGTCTCTCGTGTTAATAGTTCTCAAGGCAAGGCCCAGTAAAAGTAATTGATATCATGGGCCTCACCCCTACTCTCAGCAGTCCAAGTTGGGGTCCTCGAATATCCTCAAAACGGTCCAGATATTTTAGGAATGTTCCAGAAGGATATTCCGGCATCTCCTCCACCAGGTGATCACTGGTGGCAGGGTTGCTAGGTTCTCAAGATCTGCACCGTTGAGGGTGGCGCAGCGGCCCGTCAACTGGTGGGCGGTTCACGGATGTTGACCCGGGGTCCACCCACAGATTCCCATCTGAACCGCTCGCTGGTTGTTTTTGATCGTCGTTTGTCAACGTGGCGGCGAAATATAGGGCGATCAGCAGGCCCTAAAATTAGGGTTGCCGGCCATTTTCGAAGGGAAGATCTGTTTTTGAGGCTGAGATCAGATATTTGGGCCAGTGGGGGATTAGTTTAGTCCACGCGTGGCCGACGGCGAGATTGGGGGCTGACGGCGTTTTTCTGGTCGGTCGCTTTCTCGCTGGTGCCATAAAACCCGCATCTGTCCCCCGGGGGTGGGTTCTCGATAGACGCCGTCCGGTTTGCCCTAGGTTCTCTTCTTCTGCTCCGTCTCGGGTTTCCGCTCTCTACGCGACTTCAGGTGCGGAAATCTATCTGATCCGTTTTATTAATTTGGTCTACTGGGGGAGAGGAAGGGCTTAATTTTCTCGATTTGTTGTCGTCGTCGTCATTCTTGTTCGAGTCGGTCTCGAGTTCTTTCTTACATCTGGTGTGGCTTATGGTGCGGTATCTGTCATTACTTCCACTACAATCTTTGACGAAGCCCGCCTTTTGTTTTCCCCTCAAATCTGTTTGTCAAAATTGGTGGTGAAATATTTTTGGATTTTGAGGAGTGTTCAATTTTTATTTCGTATTTCTCCACAGACAATCTTCAGCTATGGGTACCACTGAGTTTTCATGGAAGTTGGCCGACCACCCAAAGCTCCCGAAAGGAAAGACGATTGCTCTTGTGGTTCTGGATGGATGGGGCGAGGCTGATGCTGACCAGTACAATTGCGTTCACGTCGCGGAGACGCCGACCATGGATGCCCTTAAAAATGTAACTGCATCATAGATCGCCTCTCGTTCTGTTTCTTACGATTCTAGTGTTGATTATGCATGTTGACTCTAAACATTATATCCCCTATTTATCTTATTGTTTTTATCTTTTCTATCCAACCTTTTTATTATTATCACCGTTGTCCGTTACCCGACGACCATTGCTTTAGCTTAGTAGGTGCCTTCTGCCATGCTTGGTTGAAAGCCATGGTTTCTGGAACCGTCATGAATAGTCATCTATCCCTTAGCAACATTTGTAATGCATGTGACCGGATGCTTTTTATTTCATGGTTAGTCTTCTTCTCCCCTGATATGAATCGCCGTATGTTTTCGCCCACACGATTCCCTCTGAAAATGGTTGCTCGGCTCAATTGTATATTTACCCCAAACTTGCTCTCGTGAACATGTATACTTCAGGGGCACACGCTCCAGTTCACCAGTGATACTTTTACTCATGTTATGGGCTTTTGGACAGATTGCCGAGTTGTAGAAATGGCTTTATAGGCTCCTTTTGCAAACATCATTAATTGGGAAGTGGTATGCGAGCAGGGCTGTGCTCAGTTATCCTGTTTTTATTTTATTTTATTCTTACCAGAATCCATATTGGAATAAGTTACACTCTATACATCTGGAATGTTTGAAGGAATTGAAGTGTGTATATCTTCCCTATCATTGATATTAAAGAGTTCTGGCTTGGTGTCATCTCTTCTGCATTGTATATTACCTGCACAAACCTGTTGCATGCTATTAATGACAAGAAATTTCTGACCAAGGTCTTCAAGTTTTTTTACTGTGTGCTATTTACTATGAATGTGCAAGATTCTAATATTTCTTCATATTCAGGATTCATTAAACATCAATCTTTTGTCTCCTTCAACAGGGGGCTCCCGAGAGGTGGAGACTAATAAGAGCTCATGGAACTGCTGTGGGGCTTCCTTCCGAAGATGACATGGGCAACAGTGAAGTAGGGCACAACGCACTGGGTGCTGGGAGGATCTTTGCTCAAGGGTATAAACTCAATGCCTCATTTCTCTGCATTGTCTATAACCTTCTTTGATTCTATGAACATATTTAGATTCACAAAAAAAATGATTGCTAATTCTGGTGGCTGTCTAGGACTGTAGAGCTCCTGAAAATTCTGGCTATGGGCTGAACAATTGCAATGTTTTATGGGTTCAACTTAAATTGCTTATTTCAGTTATTGAAAGAAGCCGCTAATCTTAATGATTTGACTGTTGACCTTGTTCTCTAGATTAATTTTCTCTGATTCATATTTTCATTTATTCAGTAAATGCATTGTTTTACTTTTCCATTTGGATCCATTTATCAATTTTTGCAAGTGTTCTGTTGTCCTCACTTCATCTTATTGGTATCAGAAGAAAAGAGGAGGTATATATATATTTGAATTGAAAAGGAAGGTGTATTGATAGTATAAGAAAATGAATTTCTTCTCATCATGCCATTTGTATTGTTTTTTTTTTTTTTGGGGCTTGGGGAGTGCTTATAAGATGGTTCTTCTTTAGATGCTTGGAAAGTGGGTTATTCTCTTTGTCTTGAGTGACCTCATCCGATCATCTCTTACTTTATTGAATGGTGATTCGTAGTATTTTTTTTAGTTGCATTAGTCCAGTAATCTGTTATCAATGGATATTATCTACTTATGGTTAATGATCGGCAGCCTATTGATCTATGTACACTTGTCTTGTATGTATGTCAGCTGTCAATTTATGTAGCTATCTACAGCAATGATAGTCGATCTCGTATATTTCTGACATATGTGTGCTCCTCTCTTAGTGCAAAGTTGGTAGATCACGCACTGGCATCTGGGAAGATTTATGAGAGTGAAGGCTTTAAGTACATCCAAGAATGCTTTGATGAAGGCACCTTGCATTTGGTTGGGCTACTTAGTGACGGAGGGGTCCATTCTCGGTTGGATCAGCTACAAGTATGCGTTTTGCACTTGTCGCTCTTTGTTTTGAATTTCTTTCTAACAAACAATTTTTTAAACTATATTTCATTTTCAATGATCTAGTTGCTACTGAAAGGTGCTAGCGAACATGGTGCCAAAAGAATACGGGTCCATGTTCTTACTGATGGCCGTGATGTTTTGGATGGTTCGAGTGTTGGTTTTGCTGAAACTCTTGAAAATGACCTTGCAAACCTGCGGGAGAACGGCATTGATGCTCAAGTTGCATCAGGTGGTGGTCGAATGTATGTCACCATGGATCGCTATGAGGTACTTATAGAGTTCTTTGTGCTATTTTTCTGCTGCTAAATCTTTTACATGTTTAGGTTAAGTATTGATACGACATGTATATTTTAAATTTTATCTTATATTTCAAACTTCATTGCTCAAATTATCGTTTTTCAAGGGAAGGTCATATATATCCCCAGTTTTACCGAGAATATGATAAAAAACATTTCAATAACGAGGCCGCATAGTCATCAGGCTTGACTGCTTGTTAAAGAGGACGCAATACGTGAATTTCTTGAAGAAAGAGTACAAGCAATTACATGAATATAGATATTACGTGGATATATATATATATATATATCCTTGTGAAAGATTGCAGCATGGGACGAAGTAAAGAGCACATTGCATGAAGGAATGACAAACCCGGGATCTAATAACTGGAGTTGCAAGCATTTTTCTTTTTGACGCCCTATGAAAAATATTTTTCATCAACAGAATCTACGGCCAAAAAAAGAAAAAGCTTAATGCTTGCATCTGGTAGTTTAAAAATTAAGCGGGAAAATATTATGCGGTTTCAATATTTAGCATTTTATTGCGAGAAGCCCCCCTCGATCCTGATCATGACTACAATCTGTTCTATACTAATTTTAGACACCGAACTCCTACATTCTCGCTAAAATGCACACTAAATACATGTTTCCCCTTCATTATCAGCTTCATTTCAATCTATTTGCGATCCTTTACCTTTCGTCAAGGATCGTTCTTGTTGATGTTACTAATCGTATGTGAGTATGATACCATGAAATAGAAATAAACTAGTGATAATCACGTCATGTGGTTTCTTCTGCAGAACGACTGGGAAGTTGTCAAACGAGGATGGGACGCCCAGGTTCTTGGTGAAGCACCGTACAAATTTCGTAATGTCGTTGAAGCTGTGAAGAAACTGAGAGAGATTCCCAACATCAGCGATCAGTACTTGCCCCCTTTTGTTATAGTCGATGAAAGTGGCAAGGCAGTTGGCCCAGTAGTCGATGGTGACGCCGTTGTGACATTCAACTTCCGCGCAGATCGTATGGTCATGACTGCCAAAGCTTTTGAATACAAGGATTTTGACAAGTTTGACCGCGTCAGGTTTCCAAAGATCCATTACGCCGGGATGCTTCAGTACGATGGTGAATTAAAGCTTCCACACTACTATCTCGTTTCTCCTCCAGAGATAGAGAGGACCTCTGGTGAATACTTGGTCTATAATGGTGTCCGGACCTTCGCTTGCAGGTAGGCATCTTGCAGGAACATAAAATTATGATTTTTTCAATTTTTCTTTAATTATTTTTTATGTCAGTGTTTTTCTTGCATAACTGGTAGAATATTCTTCTGCATCATCTCTCACCTTTCTGTTAATGTTGAGACATGATTTTAGTATAGTCAACGGTTGAGCTCAATCTGTCGCTGTCATCATCTGGTTTTTGTCTGTTAAAAGTCAAGTCAACCGATGATCATCTTACCTTTCTGTACTTGTGGAGCTATCATCTGAATATATATTCAGTGGTTGAACTGATTTTACCATCATCATCGGGTTTTTCCCCCTTTTTCTTGATCGTCGTGGATGGGACGGAAGTCAACTGAACATCCGCTTTTGGTGTGGCAGTGAGACCGTCAAGTTCGGCCACGTCACCTTCTTCTGGAATGGCAACCGTTCCGGTTACTTTGACTCCTCCATGGAGGAGTACGTTGAAATCCCCAGCGACAGTGGAATCACCTTCAATGTCAAACCGAAGATGAAAGCACTGGAGATTGCCGAGATGGCCAGGGACGCCATCCTCAGTGGCAAGTATCAGCAGGTGCGTTGACTCTCTCGCCAATGCAGGTACCACACGTGCTTAGGGATCTCTCTCACACCTGTGTAAATTCCACTGCAGGTCCGGGTCAACGTTCCCAACGGAGACATGGTGGGTCACACCGGGGACATTGAAGCCACTGTCGTTGCCTGCAAGGCGACTGACGAGGCCGTCAAGGTGCTGGCTGCCTTTCGACCATCCCATTTGTTGCATCATATAGTCAACGCTCTGCAGCTGCTGCTAAAGTCAAAACCCTCGCATTTTTTCACTGGGCAGATAATACTAGACGCGGTGGAGAGGGCCAACGGGATCTACGTCATCACGGCGGACCATGGCAATTGCGAGGACATGGTGAAGAGAGACAAGAAGGGCAAGCCGCTGCTGGACAAGGAAGGGAATATCCAAGTCCTCACCTCTCACACTCTCCAGCCGGTCAGAAACTCCCTCCTCCCCCCTTCTTTCCATTTATAGAATAATCGGCGGGATCGCCGTTTTTGAATCATTTCCCTGAAATGATGCTCACGATCACTGTTCTTGCTCTTGATCGGCAGGTGCCCATCGCCATCGGAGGGTCCGGGCTCCCCGCCGGCGTCAGATTCAGGGCGGACGTGCCGGACGGCGGCCTGGCAAATGTGGCGGCGACGGTGATGAATCTCCACGGGCTCGAGGCCCCCGCTGACTACGAGCAGACCCTCATCGAAGTCGTTGACTAGTAATTTATGCCCGCCCGATTCCACCACAAAACTACAAGCTTTTTTATTATGATCAGATATGGGCTATTTTTTTTGTTATTTTTGTGGGATCTCTGCCCGCCATACGCCGGCTATCCCCAGAGCTAGTACAAGCTCCCCAATTTAGCTCGCTGTCTCAACGCGTATGATGTTGACTTTTGGAGTTGACTTTTGAAAGAACCAGAATAAGAGGCAATAACGTGGGAAAAAATGGCACGCGACCCGCATATATCAGTGTTTTTGCTTCGCCGGATTGTCTGAATATGCTTTTGTCGCTGCAAGTTCATCGGATGGAAGTCAACCATGCCCCGTGCTGTTTTGGGAATTTTTTATTTTTTATTATTTATTTTTTAAAACTGATGGGGATATTTAAAATGGGGCATTTATATAATAAGAAAAAAAATTGCGGATGGAAGTAACCGTTGCAGCCCAGTCGATAGTCGGCACGATTTTGCAGTTGGCTGTTTTCGGATTCCGCCCCAACGGGTAGAAGATAACAGGTCCACGGCATCAGACCCTTTCAAATTTTGAAACCGGGATCTCCCGACCGTTGGCGAAAGCGAGGGCCTTTTTTCTGGCACGCGTTGGCACACGTGTGGCATCCAGGCCCAAATAGCCCAACAAGCCCGTCTTCCCCGTCGATGATCTCCCTCTTCCTCCTCCTCCCTCCCCACCAGAATCCCGCCCAATTCAAAGCCCAGAACAGAAGCCATCCGCCATCGACGAAGAGGAGGAAGAAGCCCTAGGGAGGGAAGCGGACCACGTAGATTCCGCCGCCTTCTTTTGCTGCGAATCCGAGGCTTACCCTCGAAGATGGACAAGTACGAGAAACTGGAGAAGGTTGGGGAGGGGACTTACGGGAAGGTGTACAAGGCCAAGGACAAGGCCACGGGACAACTGGTCGCTCTGAAGAAGACTCGGCTCGAGATGGACGAGGAGGGCATCCCGCCCACTGCCCTCCGCGAGATCTCTCTGCTTCAGTTGCTCTCCAAGAGCATCTACGTCGTGAGGTAGATATGCTCGCCTTCCCACCCCGCCTCTCGATCTCACTTGAGTCGTCCCTGTGTCTGTGAGTCTGATCGTCGTCACCTCTCGGTGATCGTATCTGCAGGCTACTTTGCGTGGAGCACGTGGACAAGAACGGGAAGCCCATGCTCTACTTAGTATTCGAGTATCTCGACACCGATCTCAAGAAATTCATCGATTCTCATCGGCGGGGTCCGAACCCCAGGCCTCTTCCCCCGCAAGTCATTCAGGTCCCGTTCTTGCTGGTCTCTTTGAGCAAAATTGAATTGGAACACGTTCCCCTCGCTCGTTTCCTCTTTCTTGGTTTCATTCCCTGAAATCGTTGCTGATAATTCGCTAATTATCTGCAGATTTTATTTCTAATTTCTTGTTATAATTTCCCTTCGCACACAATAATTAATGCTGATTTCGAGCTTGGTTGGATCCCGATTCCCAATAGCTTTCATTAAATTATATTTTATAAAATTATTGTGAAAACTGTGAAAACTGCCGTGCATACTCCTGTCCTTCCCCCCCTTCGTGGTTTTCCCGAATCCCAGTGGCGCCTAGTCTTGAAATGGCCGCAAAATATTTTATGGGGCTGGCTTTAAGATCATATATTTGGATACCCATCCATGTCTGTGACTGAGAATTCTCCCCCTCTCTCACACTGTTATTACAGAGCTTCCTGTATCAGCTGTGCAAGGGGGTTGCCCACTGCCATAGCCATGGTGTGCTTCACAGGTTGGTTCTCGTCCATATATCTCCCAATCTCTCCGTTCCATAGTCTATGCTTCCAGATGCTGTCGTGGGCAATGTTTTGAGCATTTCAACGGCGTGACACTAACAGGGATCTAAAGCCTCAGAATCTCCTAGTCGATAAAGAAAAAGGCATCTTGAAGATTGCAGATCTTGGTCTTGGGAGAGCCTTCACCATTCCTCTTAAGAGCTACACTCATGAGGTTTCAGTTGCCTCTTCCTCCCTGGCAGCTTTCAGTTGACTACTTTGTTGACTCTTCCTCTTAAGAGATCTTCCTGCCGATTTTATGCTAACCCATGCCTTTTTTTAATTTTTTTTTGGGTGTTTCCGAATAACAGATCGTCACTCTTTGGTATAGAGCTCCAGAGGTTCTCTTGGGATCCACCCATTACTCAACTGGAGTCGATATGTGGTCCGTTGGATGCATTTTTGGTATGCAAAACTTCCATTGATCCTTTTCCCAGAACCCCATTTTTCAATTTTGCTCATAGATTTTGTTTTTCCCATGCAAATTATCGATGTTTTTGCCTAAAAATCTTTTCAGTAATCTGCATGAGATGATCAGAACTTGTTATCGCATGATCTTGCATATTAGTTTTCCTAGCTTTCTGAGATTTTGATCCGGCGCGGTGGTAATGTAATGCAGCTGAGATGTCAAGAAGGCAAGCGCTGTTTCCCGGTGACTCCGAGTTGCAGCAGCTTCTGCATATCTTCAGGTACTCCGGAGTAGTAGACTTCAGTTCTTCAGCGTGGACCGCCCATTCTTCTTCTCTTTCACAGATCATTGACCGCCGTTTGACTGTTTCTTTCTTTGACCTGGGAAGGTTGCTGGGGACCCCAACCGAGGAGCAGTGGCCTGGTGTGAGCTCATTGAGGGACTGGCACGAATATCCCCACTGGAGGCCCCAGCCCTTGGCCCGTGTTGTTCCTTCCTTGGAACCCGAGGGAGTGGACCTTCTCTCGGTAAGTTGACTTTCTGTCACAACAGAATCTGAGTCAAAGCGAAGCATTTTTCCCGTTTACAGAAATTATCCCATCAAATGAGCTGACTTTTCCGTCATCTTTCTAACGGATGTCTCAGAGAATGCTTCTGTATGATCCTGCCAAGAGGATCTCCGCCAAGGCCGCCCTGGATCATCCCTACTTTGATAGCCTCGACAAGTCTCAGTTCTGAAGCTTGCCTCTCTCTAGGTAGCTAGCTAGCTAGCTAGCTAGTTAGCTAGCAGCAGCAGCAGCAGCAGCCTGCCTGTTAACTCTTTTAAGAAAGGGCCGGGCAACTCCTCTGGTTGACCTCCTCCTGTTTGTTCAGTGCGCATCACTGCTGACTTTTTTCAGTAGATGACGTCACATATTGTCTATTCATAGTTCAACAGTGAATCTCTCTCTCTCGCTCTCTATCTCAACCTTGATTGACACGCTGGAGTTTCCATGCTGTGAAGCCTCCGAGGCCCTGGGGAGGTTCGGTTCCCCCCACAGGCCCATTTGGGCTGGTTCATATGCTCACAAGCCCACATAGGCCCACAATGGTTGTGGATCCGCTCCTATGGTGGGCGAAGTGGGCCATTTTATGTGGGGCCCACACTCTTGCCCTGGGGCCCAATTGGCGGGGCCGATAACAACTCTCAACCACAGTTAGCTAACTCGCACCGTACGGACAAAATATCAGTGCACAAATTCAAACATAGAAAGAGATAGAGATAGAGATAGAGATAGAGATAGAGATATATATATATATATATAGAGAGAGAGAGAGAGGGAATGTAGAAATACCCTTCAGGAGATTATAATTATCAAATTGCACTATTTTTATCCCTCAATCTGAAGGCTAGCATATGAACAACAAATTAAAATTGTCTCTTATTGTAATTATAGTTCTTTTTGATGGTTTAGAATAACTCCAGGTTTAAGGGAATGTTATTTCACAACGGCAAATTCTGGTCAACGTGATTGTATCGAGCCACCCACCCTACCTGGCTTCCAACCAACGGGATCTAACAGATAAACTACCCTCTTCTTATACTTTAGCCTAACCTCATGCGCAGTAACGTGAACTGCCGTTGTGGAAGAGCACGCCGCCGTTGCGGAGGAACCGGCTTAAGAAAGCCTCCACGACGGATCACGTTACCTCCTCGCAGGGGTAAAATAGAAAATTCTGGCGCGCCAAAGTTGCCCCCCACACTTCTCTCTCTGTACGGGCCCGGCTCCTTCTCCTTCACGACTTCAACCGTTCCTATTCTTCTTCTTCTTCTGGGCTTCCATGAATGTCCTCAAGAGGATCACAGCCGGCGGCAGGAGGAGGAGGATCTGCATCGCCGTCGCCGTCGCCGCCACTCTGGTGGCCATTGCGCTCGTCTTCGTCGTACTTGGATTCACCGTCTTCCGGCCGCGCCACGCCATCGCCACCATCAATTCCTTCTTTCTGGGGGTCGTCCAAGCGGGGAACAGCTCTTTTGGGATCGGCGTCGACGTCAACGCCACTCTCCTCGTCGACCTCTCCGTCACCAATCCCAATCGCGCCAGCTTCAGCTACCCCCGCGGCGGCACGGCGGAGCTCTTCTACCGGGGGAATGTCGCCGGAGTGGCGGCGATTCCGCCGGGAGCCATCGGCGCCCGCGAGACCTTGCGGATGAACGTCACCCTCACGGTGCTCGCAGGGCGCTTCATCGCCGACTCCAATGTCTACTCCGACATACTCTCCGGCTCCCTGGCGGTGAATACCTTCACCAGGATCGCCGGGAAGGTTACGGTGCTGGGGCTCCTCAAGCTCCGGACGGTGGCCTACACCACTTGCGACGTGGTCGTCAACGTTACCAGCCGATCGATCTCGAGCACCAGTTGCAAGTATAGGACCAAGGTGTGAATCATGCGTACGAAGGACTCATCTGCCATCGCTCTGCTCCGATTTTACGTAGTTTTCTTGTCCATATATAGTGATAAAAAGATTGCTCTTTTTTTTTGTACTAGCGATTGCATCCTCGCGAAGAGGACTCTCTGTCTATCTCTGTCTCTGTCTCTGTCGGTCTGTCTCTCTCTCGATATATATATATATGTTTATATGGAACTTATTTTTATTTTTGTTGGGTGGGCTGTTAATGGGACTCTCGGAACCAGATCATCAATGAGCCCAACACATTTTATTGGGCCCTTTTTTTGGGACCAGCGTGATATATAGAAGCCCATATTCGACCCATACTCATGCTGGGCCTGACAGTTTTCCGCATGCTCAGGTTTACGACGCTTAAAGTATAAGCACAATTTCACTAAATTAAGGGTTTAAAGTACGATCGTTCGCTATAAGGGTGCGCTGTTAATGGGCCACTCGGAGCCAGATCATGTTACTAGGCCTGTCTTTACCAAGCATCATGATCATTAGAAGCCCATATTCAGCCCATCTTTATGCTGGCCCGGGCCGGTTCGGGGCCCAGGTTTACGACGCTTATCGTATAACTACAATTTCAATGAATTAAGGGCTTTTAAATAGTATCGTTTGCTATAACGGTGCTCTGTTAATGGGTCACTCGGAGCCATCAGTAAGCCCAAAAATCGGCAATATGCCTTTCTTTACCTAGCATCATGATCAATAGAAGCCCAAAATCGGGTCATCTTCCTTCTGGGCCGGACGTTTCCGCGTTCGGGCACAAGTACAATTTCAATGAATTAAGGGTTTTAAAATATGATCGTCTGCTAGAAGGGTGCGCTGTTGATGGGCCACTCGGAGCCAGATCATCGATAAGCCCAAATTTCGGCAATGGGCCTTTCTTTACCAAGCAGCATCATCTATAGAAGCCCAAAATAGGCCCATCTTACTATTGGGCCGGGCAAGTTTCCGCGCCCGGGTACAAGTGCAATTTCAATGAATTAAGGGTTTTCCATTATTTCGGCGGCGAAAACACGAATAAGCTAATAAGAATAATAATAATAATGATAATGATACCCACAGTCTGTCAATTGTGGGGGTTTAACTGTAAACACGGTACGGCGCGGTTGGCAACAGTTCTACTCCGGTCATTTAAGGGGGCAGTTGACTGTTGGCCGACTCGCCCCAGTCGCCGTCGCGGCGACTCGGTAATAACAGGGAGAGGCTGCCCTGGGCACGTGGGCATCGAGACAGGGGAGCGTCTATGCAATTTTCTCTGCTCTTTTTATCACTGGCGACGTAGATGGTGAATCCCCCCACCACCTCGGCCGTCGCGTCTCCTCTCTGGCGGCGGTGCCGCCCAGCTGAGCACCTAATTAATCCCTCGAGTCTCTCTCTCTCGCTCCCTCTCGCTGCAGTCTCCCGTCTCTCTTTTATTTTTCATCTTCTCGGTTCAGTTGGCCGCTGCCGTCTCATTTAATGCAAGCCCAGCACCCCACACCCCTACAAACTCCCGTACAACACCCTCTCTCTCAGCTCCCCATCCCCCACCTCTCTCTCTCTCTCTCGCTCTCTCTCTCTCTCTGTATCTGAAGGATGAAGGAATCCGGTGAGGCGTTCACCAAGACGGAGACGGGCGACGCCACGGTGAAAGGAGAAAAAGAAGAAGAAGCTGTCCGCACGCAGCAGCAGCAGCGGCAGCGGCGGCGCCGGCGCCGCTTGGCGTGGGCCTGCGGGCTGTTCCTGCTGCTGCTGGTGATCCTCGGCACGGTCGCCCTCGTGCTCGCCCTCGTGGTGTTCAAAATCCGGGAGCCTACGGCTACCCTTAACTCCGTTACCCTGAAGCGCATCGCGTCGCAACTCAGCCTCGCCTCGTTCACCTTGCAGCTCAACCTGACCCTCCACCTGGACCTCCTCATCCACAACCCCAACCGCGCCTCCTTCTCCTACGGCTCCGGCGACACGGCCGTCCTCTACCGCGGCATCTCCGTTGGGCAGGGAAACGTGCAACCGGGCCGCATCCCCGCGCGCGGCGACGCCCACCTCGCCGTCAACCTCACCGTGGACGCCGCCCGCTTCGCCGGGGACCTCCCCGGGCTGACACAGGACCTCATCGCCGGGCGGCTGGAGCTCGACACCTCCACGAGGATCCCCGGCAGGGTCTCCTTCCTCGGTTTCATCAAGCGCCGAGCCCTCGTCCTCAGCGGCTGCGAGTTCGTCATCGGGGGTTTGCCCCAGCCGAAGATCCTCGAGCAGCAGTGCCGCCAGAAGACCGAGCTCTGAGCGGACGAGCGCCATGGCGCAGTCACTTAGTTCTCTGTTATATAGAGTAGAAAGCGGACTCCCCCTTCCTTCCCCACTGATCACGTCCAGATTGTCATCCGATTTCATATACGTCGTAGATAATAAAACACCACGGATTGCAGGTAAAAAGAAACTCTCAGGGATGGGCGGAGGTGGAGGGTTGATCTACTGATTACTTTGGCGGGTTAGGAGGGGGGGGCGGGAAGCTCTGGGCCGCCGGCGGGCGGTTCATCTGCAGCCCCGGGGTGAAGCTGGGCATCATGCCGACCGGCGGGGGAGGGAGCGGCCTGGGCGGGCCGTTCGCCATCGGAGGGGGAGGCACCTGCGGGGGCGGCGGCGGCGGCGGTAGGCCCTGCGGAGGCGGAGGCAGAGGCCTCGGCGGAGCGCCGGGTGCCGCGGCGCCGTTGGCCGGCGGCGGCTTGATCCCCTCCGCCGGCTTCACCTTGAAGTACAGCTGCAGCTGCCAAATGATACCCAACGTTAGAAAAAGATAGGCAACGGGGTAGAGGAAGGGGAGGGGCGGTCGACGAACCATGTAGGTCTTCAGGTCGGGGTCCCAGTGAGAGAAGAACTTCGGCGTTGACTTATCGATCTCCGCGCTGGGAACCTGAGCAGGAAGAAGACTCACTTACAGTGAGAAGAACTCGGGACGGGTTTAGGTAGGTAGAGCGCAGCCTGACCAACCAACCTTGAAGGCGATGATCTCATAGGGCTCGGCGGCGAAGAGGAGATACTGGTACCTCTTGTCGAAGGATTCGACTCTCTGGGAGGAGAGGGGCATTCATTCCGTCAAGGGCTAGAATTTTCCGTTGTTGCTGGGCATTTTCTATGGATCATGGGGATGTAGAAGCACCTACCTGCTCGTAGGATGACATGAACCTGTGCCTTGGTTTCGCGAGGTCCTCGATTTCAGGGTACTCAATCTGCAGTCACAGTCACAGGCCGTGGTGGAAGGTTATGCAAATTAATATGGATGATCACATCAACAGGCAACGCAGAGAGTCACGCGTGGGCGTCTTCTATCAACATAAAGAAACCCACATCTCGTAAATCATTCCCAGGAGTCGCCGATTTGCTTCTTCGAAAACTGGGGGTTGAAGGGGAAGTGATGGGCATGCACTAATGCCTTTGCTTCTATGTTTCATCTCATGAGACCTCCCAACACAGATTATGCTAAAAGTAACAGCTACCAGATGGATCATCGATGAGACTAAAAACAGGGCAACATGCTTGGATAGAGCGAGTTCCCTTCCTTATGAACAGTGCCTATGTGCATAAATCTTAGCTACCAATCATGATGCCATGGTTAAGAGGGGAGTTCAAGCGAGTAGTTAGCTTCAAAGAATGAATGTCAGGAGTTAAAACAAGCATGATAATATGGGGCGGCACTTGGTCATTACTTTGAGATATCTACAGCAGCTAGTCTCTTAGTTCTACTGCTCTGATCAAAGGGTGGAACAGTTGAACCAAAGACCGTGAATGATGAAGCCATGACTCCGAGTTAATTTCTTGGCTTTAGAGATTGGGGTTTTTGTACCATTTCTAAACTTCATCCCAATTTTCATTACGTATAAAACTTGGCGACTATGCAGGCTAGGTGTCATTGGACAGGTCCACACAAGGTATCGAAGATGCTGAACGACAGAACAAATAAGACCATTTGAGGCAGACAGATGAACAAATAAGAGAGATTTTTCGTATGGTATTCCAACTAGGACGTGGATAAGCCAAAAGCCAGATGATCCATAAACGTACCCCTCAGATCTACGGGCACTCAACGAAATACTGATCCTATCATTCTTACCAAAACCTTAAATTTCACGTAGTGCCATAATACAGACCATTTTCTCCTTGCCTTAAGAAAGTCTTACCATAATCCACTTTTTGCCTTTCTCGTTCCAATTCATTTTAATAATAAAAGTTCATTTCAATATCAGTCCACCCACTTCACTTTTATTTATTTATTTATGAATCTGGACTCATAAAAAGTGATTATTTCAAGCTGATGAAAAATGACAGAAACAGCTATCTGATCTGAAATTGGCATTGCATTTATTTAAGGGCTAAGCTTAATGAGTGTTACAATGAAGAGTCAAAACCAAAAATGCTACATATTGTGTGGTCAACAAGTTACAACTATCGCAAGGTTCTCATTGTTGATAAATCAGCTAATATACTTCAAAAGAAAGCAAAAGCGCGGGTGGTAATTAGATGGAACTGAAGGGGACGAAAAGCACGATGCAAAATCTTTATCAATCTGAGTTCCTAGCACTATAGCATAAATAAATAATTGGTCTTCGTATGCATCATACGGACCATTTGTTTTAGCTGAAGAACTACCATGAGGTTAGAAAAAAAGCTCCCAGTTGACCACAGTAAATGAGAAATTTTTATGATCTCTGCTTTAAGAACGAAAAGATGTAGGAAAATCGAGAAAAAAAATTAAAATCGCAAGAGTTGAATCGTCTGAATCCATTAACCAAAATGCGTTCCTCATCAAACTTAATGAATGGAGCCTCGAAAATAAGATCAAGAATAAGATATACGATATATCTCACATAGGGGGGACATAATCAGAAGAAGAAAAGTGCTCATAAAATTATTTCGCTTTCTACTTTCACTCCCTCTCTCAAAATTTTCCATGAACCTTGCCAGACCATTAATCAGCATACAGATCAATACAATGCCATGATGCTCATGATGACCAACCTATATTCTCCACCGAGGAAAATGAAACCCAATTGGCAAAGAATAACTTAACATCCAGTTTTTCTCAATATGCACTGATCTTTCGAGACTGAAGTGAAACTTTATACGTATTATCATGCGTCAAAATCCCCAAAAATGAGAGTAGCATAGGAAATAAGGCGCATAAGAATAAAACGAAGAATAAAACAGTACTATGCAGGAGGACATACCTGAAAGAGAAGAGAGCGTTGTTTGGTTTCTGAATCAAACTGCTTCGTAACCCTGTAACCAGGTCTGCCGATCTTCACTGTAATTATGGAGAGGAGAAAATTCAGAGTCGGAGAAGAAGGAAATTATAAACAGATTTAGAGCCTCACATGAAATTTAGATCCCTAACATCACTCAATCTGCACAAGTGGGGGGAGAATAGTGTTTTCAAGATAGCTAGCGAAACCCTAGAAACAACTGACGTCTAATGAGGAAGAAGAACAAGGGAAACAAGTCAGTGGGGCCGTACCGATCTTGCGCAGGGGCGCGACCTTGCGCTTGTGCGGCTGGGGCTGGGCGGGCGCATCCTTGGCCTCGCGGGCGGCGCGCTTGGCGAGGTTGGTCTGGTGGCGCTTTCCCTGCGTATGCGCGAGATAATTTCCCTCGTTATTGTGCAGCGTCAGGCAAAGCTTGCACTCATAGCTCCCCAGGTGATTGCGCATGAAGTAAGGGTCCTTGGCCAGGTCGATGGTCTCCAGCGCCAGCCTCCGCAGCCTCTCCCTCCGGTCGATCGCCTCATTCTGCGCCGAGGCGGCGCCGCCGCTCCCCGGCTTCGATCCCCACTCTCGATCCATTAGCCCGTCCGCTTCTTCTCCTTCCCTCCCGGAAGCTCTTCCCCTTGCCTTCTCTCTACTCCCCCTCTTCGGTGTCTCCGAAACCTGATTCAGCCTCCCTTCTCCCCACAGCCAGCCTTGGCCTATAAATACCTCTTCAGCATTTTGCAAAGAAGTGTACGTCGTTGTGACAGTATCTCATTTCTATTTTTTATTAACAGTATCTCATTTTATTTTATTTTATATTTACAGTATCCCATTTTTTTTCCTATTTAATACCAATATATATATATATATATATATATCTTTATATATTGACAACATCTCCAAATTTATTCTATGTATATTAACAATATCTATTTTTTGTTTTATATTAAATGTATTAATAACTTAAGAGCATTCTCATGTTCTGCAATGTGGTCGTTATTCGAATTTTTCACCTCGTAATTAAAATCGAAAAAAATCTGGAAAATAACTTTTTTTGTTCTGTTTTTATTCATTAATCAATATGGGAGTCGTCCTGAGTGGGGATTTCATCGCTCTACTGGTAAATAAGTAAATAAAATAAAAAATTCATAGCTACCGTATTTTTCAGCATATATCTCGATGAATAATAAATAATTTTATTTTTAAAGGCCACATACCTTAAATGTTATTATTATCGTGGCGCTTACATCGGTCAACTGCAGGAGAGGGGAGAGTCCGGAACGAAGGCGGGGATTACCCGGAAAGGGGAGATCTTTTGAGATGGGAAAGGAGAGGCTCTGTGGATGCCGTCAGTGCTGCTTCTTGTCCAGGAAGGGGGCCCTTGGGATCTTCTTGAGCAGCTTCTCGTCCAGGACGGCGTACTGCTTGCTGACGTGGATCATTGCCTTCTCGGCGGCAGTGTCCACGTGGTCCTCGTATCTCTCGTACAGCACCGGCAGGGTGTAGAGCAGCACAAATACTGCGAGTGAAACCGAGTCACATCTACTGGCAAATTGCTTTTTTGTTCTATTTCATCTCTCTTTCTCTCTCTCTCTCTCTATGTGTGTGTGTGTGTGTGACTGACCTATGTAGAAGAGAGTCAGGAAATTGAAGCAGCTTCCAACGACGGAAAGGACCCACAAGGCAAGAACAACCTGAGAAAAGAAGTTAATGATAAGAAGCAGAGTGGAAGGGTTAGAAGAGAAAATATCTTCAGTGTTTCAGATATCACCAGGAGGAATTGTTTCAGGTCTCTGCCTGAAGCGACATAGCGGAAAGTTGCGAAGGCTTCGTTGATTTCGAATCTTAGAGTGCGGGCGAGGTCCAGGAACATTTCTTCTGGCAAGATAACTTCTGGGAACTTTGGAGGCGATCTGAGATTCAAAAGAAACGTTGAGAAGAGCAGTAAACCTGGTAGATGGCATCTACACAAAAAAGCAGGCTAGGCACCGATTTAATGAGGACAACATGAATAACTGGGAGATAGTAGAGAAAATGAAGCCAAGTTCGCGGGCGGTCGTGGAAGAGAAGTGATGGGAAGAAACACAAACCAAGCTTTAACGATAATAGAAACAATTCAAGCACGATCAGAGAAAAAGTGTGGCATTTTCACGGAATGAAACAGTGGAAGTTGCTGAGTGGGCGAAATGTTCTTACATGTTGACGAATGACGATGCATTTGACCAGACAAACAATGCGGCAAGTGCGACTATAAGAGAGTGGCAGACAAGAGTGAGCAAATGATAACCCATCCATTCAAAGAGAAGCCAGACGACCGTCACACTGACAAGAATGCTAGCTGTGATCTGCTTGTTTCTCCACAGTAGAATATCGGCAGCTGTAAAAACAACATACCAATTGATCAATTGAAAATCATGGGCAGAAGTCTCCCCAAAATTACCCAGTCTTGAAAGCTTCAACTCTGAGTAGAGGCCAATGGTAGCCCTGACTCTGAGTTGTCAAAGACAAAAGACAGAGCCATACATAGACCCCATTCATGCTTCCTGTTCCTTTGAGCAGACCTAGGAATGATATCTGCCAGCGTCCACGCATACTGATTCATGGGAAGGCCATTGTTTGTTTCACCACATTTCACAATAAAATGGTAGGCCAGGTTTTGTTCTGATCGCGTTATTGTTAGTTTCTGGAGACTAGTTTTTATTCAGATGCATTCTAATGTCTGCTGAAGCCATAACTATGATAAACAAAAACAAGCTCGTCCCTCAGATAAAGCAGATACTCCCTTTCCTTCGGTTCTTTCTCGATGTTCAGGAGACATCACTAATAATATAACCCCGAGTTCATGTTTTCTACGTATAACTCCAGAAGATTAAAAAAATGGTTCCAGCTTATATCGACATAATCATTATGCAGAGAATTTCAGATCGTCCATCATCCAAACAGATCAATGATTGACCAATAGAAACGGAAGTGAACGCGCGTACTAGTAAAAATTTTCGTAGAGAAGGGGAAATAGAGCTTTGGCTGCTAATGGAGTGGAATTCCGGCGGAAAGTTCAATAAGATGGATATGAAACTTTGGCGGGGGTTGGGGGAGCATGCTCCTAAGGGAGCGAAATGTAAGAAACGGCCGTCGTTACTTACGTTTTCCCCCTCCGAGAACCTTGTGCACGGGTTCCTTCCTTCCAAATAAGCGGTTCTTTTTGGGAGCCGAAGAGCTCTCACTGTCAGAGTCCGAAGATGAGGAGTCTTCTCTGTACTCGTGGATTTTGTCATTGATCTTGTCCATCAGAGATGCATGGTCCACAGTTTCCGACATTTCTCCTCTTAAGCTGGAAACAGATCAAGAACTCCACAGCTGTCAAAAAGAGCATTCTGAAAAAAGCTTATACAGAGCCTCAAAAGCATCCTCAGAGCACAATGACCACTATACAAAGAATGTCGTGACTAGAAATAGAGGAAATGGAAAAAAAATGCAGAATAACACAGTGATCTGTTGGAATCTGCTTCTTCAGACAGCTGGGAACAAAACTCCCACGCGTCGAGCAGAGGATCGAACATCAAACACAAAATGACACATTTATACGATGAAAATAAGCTAAAAGTAAATGTGGATCGTCCAATCCTTCAGATAAACAGATACATACGATGCATTAAAGAACAGAAACAGACAACATAAACAATGAAAAAAAATCTACATCAGGCGGAGAGAACATTCGAAAATTCCACGAGTAGATTCCGCCAATGTCTGAAAACACACCAGTTATGAGCAAGGGGGACATAGGCTCTCACCGATCACAGATCACGAGTAACGTCTTCTTTCGTCCTCAACGCAGAAGCCAGGCGGTCTTCTTTCCTCCAAGGCCCTCCTCTTTCTCTCGGCCGTCTGTGACAGTAACCGATCGACCAGGAGAGACGTCAGAAGCTCTTGCAGAAAAAGGCGGGTCGACTTATATGGCCCTCCACCGGCCCACCGCGATCGACTACGTGTCATGTCCATACTCGAGAGAACCACGGTTACCGCCCTCGTAACGAGGACGCATCGTAACGGCATTCCACGTTGGAGAACGGCAATCCCGTCGGGCTATAATTTTGAATATTTTTGAATTTTCTAAAAACATAACGGCAGCTTTTGAAGCCTCCCGTCTAGCACGTGCGAGCGGTCTGTACGTGCACGTGGCTATGAACCCCAGAATGGCAGGTTTCAAAATTTTAAGCTGGCGAGAAAATATTTATTCAGGATTTAAAATTTTATAAAAGGGGAGATTAAATGAATTAATAAATATGGATCTCGATATAAACGTCGATTTTATAATTTTATTGCTGGTAATTCGTCGAGATATATGTTAAAAAAATACCACAGCTATGATTCTTTTTTACCAGTTATGAGATATTCTTAATTTATAGGAAATAAAATTGGAATATTATTAATATAGAAATACAAGGTCAGAGGCTGCTCGAGGGGATTTTCCTCATCATCTGCCTGAATTCGGAGAAGTCAACCAGGCCGTCGTGGTTGGCGTCAACGGAGCGGATCATCTCCCGGGCGGCGGCGAGGTTCCCTCCCTCGGCGAGACCCAGCTTCCTCAACACAGAGAGAAGCTCCACGGCGGAGATGAACCCGTCGCCGTCCTCGTCGAACACCTTGAACGCCTCCGCCATGTCCTCCTCCTCCTCCGCCGCCGCCGCAGCGACGGCGCCGCCGTCGAGATCCCCGAAGAGGAGGTTCCCCAGGCTCCGGTGGAGGTCCTCGAAGTCCCCGAACTCGAGCCCGGCATGGCCGGGCCTGAGGAAGGCTTCTACGGCGGAGTTGAGGTCGCTGGCGTCTTCTTCCAGGCCGAGCCGGCGGAGGACTTGCCTCAGCTCCGCCGCTGTTATCACTCCGTCGCCGTTCTGGTCGAACAGGTCGAAGATCCGCCGGAGCCGGAGCACGTTGAGGCTGGGGCTCCTCAGCCGGAAGGACGGCGCGGGCTCGCCCAGCCCCCTCCTGCGCAGCGTCTCCTTGGCTTCTTCCATCATCACCGACCACCGATAGAGAGAGAGAGAGAGAGAGAGAGAGAGAGGATGGAAGAAGAAGAGGAAGAGGAAGACTATGGAAACCGGTGTTTCTTCTCCGCGCAGGAGAGGAGACGAGGGAGTTATCTATCGTCCTCCCCGCCCTTTTTCTCGGTCGTCGGCGGCCGGGTTTCCGCTATTCACATGGGGAGGAATCCGTCCATGGACGACTGGAATACGTCAATCAGGGGTTGGGGATCGAGACCCAGAGAACCTTTCAATGAGGGACCACGTGCGACCATAGACCCTTGCCTGTTTTTCTAAAATGAATGACCTTTGTAACGGTCAATTGCACGGCTTCCTAAAGAAAAAACCGCTGAGACTAGCGAAATCTTTGCGGAAGAAGATCAACGCTGACCATATTTAAATAACATTTCAATTTTTTTTGGCTGAGATAATGGGACTCCATGAATGTTCTTACTGAATATTTTTGCCCACGATAGTTGACTTAAACTTATGCCCTTGAAAGTGGATGATTTGGGGCGACTTTACCTTGTTCACCGCAAGTAAGGATAGCCTTCACGGCGGCGCCGCCAGTGGGCGCGGCATTTGATTCTTCTCCGAAAGGTGGGGGCTTTCCTTGTCCGGGAATACCTTTCTTCCCTCACTCACCACCTCCATGCGAATCCTCTAAAGGTCCTTTCTCTCCGGGATCCCTGTCCTCTCCTTCTACCTCTCCTCCCTCTTCTCTCTCTCTCTCTCTCTCTCTCTCTCATTTCAGGTCGAGGAGGGGATGGCGAGGGTGCGGATCGAGGTCTGCATGATCTCCGCCCGGGGTCTCCGCCGGTCGTCGCCGCCATGGAAGCCTCAGTGGTTCGCCGTGGGTTGGGTCGACGCCAACAACAAGTACTGCACCAGGGTAGATAGCTCGGGGAGCTCCAGCCCCACCTGGAACACCAAGTTCTCCTCCATTATCGACGACGGGGGGAAGGATTCGGTGCTCACGGTGGAGGTTTACAGCAGAGACCCCTTCTTCCTCCGAGAGAAGCTCCGGGGCACCGCCACCGTGAACCTGACCGAGTTCCTGCGCAGGGCCGGCAACGGCCCCGCCGGACCGGAGGTGATGAGCTACCAGCTGAGGAAGAAGAAGTCTTCCAGGGCGAGAGGGTTCGTCGACGTCTCCGTTCGCGTCTCCGACGGTGAGCATGGATCTTCATGGCAGAAACAAAATAATTTCTTCAAAAAAAATAAATCTACACCTGTTATCTAGACTCATCGATGATTTTTTTTTCTAGTTCGTGGAATCGGGGATTTAGAGAGATCTCTGCTTCTGTTTCCTTCTCCATCTTAACCTAATCTAGCTGCAGGCAGTCGCGACGGAAGCCGGGACTGGGATAGCGGAAGCGGCATCTCCCTGGTAGTGGACGACGGGCCGAGCTTTCCTCATCGGAACGAGCCGCCGATCTATCCAACGGCTCAGAACGGGATACCTTCCGGTAACTACCCGAACCAGTTGCCGACGGGGATGGAGCAGCGGCGGCGGCCGGGGACTCCGCCGCCGCCGTCGCCGCCGGCGAACGCAGGCTTCATCCCGTCTTTCTTCCCGGGAATCAGCAGGCTGCCGGAGAGCTACGTGAGCCAACCGAATTCCGGGAGTACGGTGGCGCACGGCGGCGGTAGTGCGTTCGGAGCAGGTGTCGGAGCTGGGGCTCTGGCGGCGGGGGCCGTCATCTTCGGCGACGATTTCTTGTGGGCGCAGGATATTCCGCTGGCCTTCGGGAGGAGGTAGCCTCTCCCTTCCCGCGAATCCCATGTTCTGATGCTCTCACAGCGAGTCTTCGGGCGCCGGCCTTCGGGCGCAGGACATTCAGAAGTCGACTGTATAAATTATCCGATACGCATCTCACAGCGAGTTTTAGAGAGAGAGAGTCAGTGAGGGAGAGTGAGCTAGAGATGGAGAGAGAGAGAGTTAGATGGAGAGAGGGAGAGAGGGAGAGAGGGAGGGAGAAAGAGAGAGAGAGGGAGAGAGAGGGAGAGAGAGGGAGAGAGGGAGAGGGCTGAAGGCTCATAGAAATCTTAGAGAGAAGGTGTGAGATTGGAGAAGAAAGTGAAACAGAAAAGGGAGAGAAGGTGCCGATTGTTCGCAGGTGGGTACGTGTCCGCCGACGGTGTCCTCCGGAGTTATGTGTGTTGTGATTGGTCGACGGTTTAGGAACGACTTCTGGTTGGCTGCATCTCCTTTAACATCCTCCCATAAGTTGTGTAAAAACTACACTAAACTGAGTAAGGGCTTTGTCAGGATGTCGACAAGTTGATGGGAGCTTCGCATGAATAAAACTCAGAGAAGCTTATTGGCAACCTGCTCACGCACGAAATGAAAGTCAATTTCAATGTGCTTCATTCATGTGTGAAATAGAGGATTAGCAGTAAGGTAGGTAGCTTCGATGTTATCGCAGAAAAGGATAGGTGTCCTATGAAGATAGATACAAAGCTCTCAGAGTAGTGACTGGATCCAAATGATTTTGATAGCGGTATTGGCGATGGCTTTATATTCAGATTTAGTGCTGAAACGGGTGACCATTGATTGCTTCTTTAATGACTAGGAGATAAGGTTGCGTCCAAGATAAGTAGGTATCCTCCCGTGGACTGACGGTTCTCTCGTGATCTGGCCCAATCAACATTACTATAGCCAATCAATTAGGTTGAAGAAGTTTGATGAAGTTAGAGACCAAACGTGATGGTGCCTTTTAGGTAGTAGAGATGGTGTTTAATGTTGACCCAATCTGTAGTCGTAGGAGAGTGCATCTTCTGACATGCTTTGTTGACGACAAAGCAAATCTGGTCTTATAATGGTTAGATATTGAAGTGCTCCTAAGAGGCTTTGATACATTGCTGTATCTTGTAGAATAGTCCTTGTAAATTTTGTTAGTAGGAGTGGGCCACGGAATGAATAGTCCTTGTCAATTTTGGGATAAGATAAAACCGTCGGAATTTGGTACAAATTCAACACTAAGAAAGAATTCAACCTTGCCTAAATTCCAAATAGTAAAATTATTGTGAAGTAGCCGGATAATAAAGTTAATAAAAGCTTGATTGGGCCGATTAGAGTGAGTCATCGACATAAACTAAAAAAAAAATTAAAATCAGTAGTTTTAGAAAAATAAAAGAAGGAGGTGTCGGTTTGGATTAAGAAAAACCAATTGAGAGTAAGAAATGGGATAATTTTGAAAACCAAGCTCTTGGAGCTTGCTTTAATCTATATAGTGATTTATGTAATTTACAAATGTAATTAGGGAACCGAGAGTTAACAAAACTTTGTGGTTGTTCCATATAAACGATTTCTTTGAGATCATTATGAAGAAATACATTATAAACATCTATTTGGTGAATATTCTATTTCAGACTAACCACGCGAGAGAGAAGGATCCAAATGGTGGTGATCTTAATTACTAGTGAGAAGGTGTCAAAGTAGTCAAAGCCTTCTTCTCAAGAGAAATCTTTGACTACTAGACGAGCTTTGCACCTATCAATGATACCATTAGATTTTGTTTAATTTTATAGACCTATTTGCATCCAGTAACATGAAGATTGGGTTGTCGGGGAACTAGAGACTAAGTAATATTCTTAATTAGGACATTAAAGTCCAATTACATAACCTATCTCTATTCAAGTTTCTTCCATGCTATAGAAAAATTAAGAGGTTCAGTTATGGACAAGGTTGCAAAAAAATAACTAAGAATAAGATGTTTGGTAAATAGGGCGACTAAATAAGCACTAGGAAGAGGAATGATTGTAGTGTTTCATTAAATAGATCTAATCCTTTGGAATTTGGTAAAAGGGTTCGAAGGTGTGGAGTGAGATTGGGTGGATTTTTGGTGTGGAGTGCTATCGATACTAGTCAATGATGATTTTAAGAATTTGGGTTAGGAGTACTGGTAGAAATAATTAAGGCCGAATGAGTAGGAATTGAATCAAAAGTGTTGGTGTGAATTCATGAAGAGATTGAGCAGGAAGAGCTGTTGAATCTAGTGATGAAGATGAGGATGGCTGAGGTGAGATGATAGGGGTTGGAGTGTAAACCAGATAGGCCCCTAAAATACCTTTCTGAGTAGAGGGGGTAGGAAGTGGAATAGGTGTCAAGGGAGTAGAATTATAAGGTTGTGTGGAATAGGAAAAAATAGTTTCATAGAAAATTACATGTCTAGAAATATAAAAATTTTCAGTAAGAAGGGATTTACATTAGTAACCTAGGTGATTGATGCCATAGTCGAGAAATAAACATGATTTAGATCGGTTATCTAATTTAGTTTAGGAATAAGGTATGGTATAGAGATAATAGAGGCACTCGAAAGATTTAAGGAAATCATAGTTAGGTGAGGTATTGTAGAATATTTCAAAAAGCGATTTGAAGTGAGGAATTAAGGTGGCCATGCGATTAATGAAGTATGAGGTTGTGCAAACAACTTCATCCCAATATTGTATGGATAGAGAGAGGCCTGGTTAAGGAGGCTAAGGGCAGATTCTATGAGATGCTTATGTGTTCTTTGATGTGGAGTATGGAGACATGAGACCCAATGATGAATGCCATGATTCTTAAAATGCTTGGTAAGAGCCTAATTGAAAATACATAATTTTGGAAGAAAATAAAATTTTGACCTTTTTTTGAAAATCCACAAATGTTTGGAAAACTTTATTTTTTGTTTAAAGAGGATATAATCAAGTAAACTTAGTAAAATCATCAACAAATATGACATAATAATTAAAATTAAAAAATGAAGTAACTAGAGAGGGCCCCCATAAATCATAATGAATTAACTTGAGTGGCTTTGTGGCACGATGATTAGTGAGTTTAAATGAGAGTTTATGCGATTTTGAAAACATTACAAGCATCACAAACATGATGTTCATGTAAATGAAAAGAGAGAAGCTCAAATTTGTCAAAAATAATTTTAAGAATTCTTAAGTGTGGATGTCTCATGCGATGGTGCTAAGTGGGAAGAGAGATCCTTGCTCCTAAGAAAGCTTGATGTCAAGTTTAAGGTTAATGGAGATACAGACCATCCTTAGTGATTCCTCGGAGGAGGATTTGATGAATTTCTTCGTCCTTCACAAGACAATACTTAACATGAAACTCAAGAAAAATGTTATTATTAGTAGTTGATTACTTAATTGAAAGTAATTTTTTTTATGTGAGGAATATGAAGAATATTTTATAATTTGAGGAAAACTATGAGTGTTAATGAATGATAAACAAATAGATGAAATAGTCATGCTAGTTTCATTGTCGATTTGGAGCTAATCTAAGCCTTGATAGGTAGTGGGATATTGAATGAGAGCTGGGTCAATAGTGATATGGTGGGTGGCACCAATATCAATATTCTAGTTTGGTGTGGCAGGAGAAAATGGTGTAGTCATGGCCAAGTAGACTTGTGGTTGAAGGGTGGTAAATGAAAAGTGAGGTACTTGAGGTAATTGAGGTACCAGATTAGGTGGAGGGTAGAATGATGGATGACCATGGAAGGAGACATTAAACCTTTCCTTACACTCTTGAGTTTGGTGACCAAAGTGGGAATAAGCAACGGGATTGTCAATTATTATTGTTGCGACCTTTTTGCCTCTATAATTGTTGGAATCTTTATTCTCTTGTCAATTGAGTTGTTGAGAGATAGTGGTTTTAGAATTAGATTTGGAGTTGTTCGAACTGTTAGTCACTTGAGAGAAATGGGCTTGTGGAGTTATGTTGACTGATCTAGATGTAGAGGTTTGAGACATTTGTTTGTGATATACTAATGTGGCTTCATGTGTGTGAAGTTGGGAAATGATATATTTAGTTGCAGGAGGGTATGTGTTCGCCAACGGTGTCCTCCGGAGTTATGTGTGCTGTGATTGGTTGACAGTTTAGGAACAACTTTTAGTTGGCTGCATCTTCTTTAACAAGGGTGAGGGAGAGAGAGAGAGAGAGAGAGAGGGGAGAGAGGATAGAGAGGGAGAGGGAGAGGGCTGGAGAGAGAGAGAGAGAGAGAGAGAGAGAGAGGGAGAAAGGGGAGAGATATGGTGAGAGGGAGAGGGAAGGAGGGAGAGAGAGAGAGAGAGAGAGAGGGAGAAGGGGGAGAGATATGGAGAGAGGGAGAGGGAGAGGGAGGGAGGGGGAGAGAGGGAGAGAGATGGAGAGATGGAGAAAGGAAGAGAGGGAGAGGGGAAGAGAGAGAGAAAGAGAGCAAGAGAGCAAGATGGGGAGGAGAGCGAGAGAGAGCAAGATGGAGAAAGGGAGAGAGATGGACAGAGCAAGAGGGTGAGGGAGAGAGATAGAGAGAGATAGAGAGATGGACAGAGCAAGAGGGTAAGGGAGAGAGATAGAGAGAGATAGAGAGATGGAGAGAGGCTAAATCCCCTAAGAAGTTGTTATAAACATTATTTTTGCATTCACTTAGGGCTTCACACTATTTTAGAGTAACGGTGCAGAATAATTATGATCTTTTAGCCTCACAAAGTACTTTTCATCCTAAGAATCAATCATCTCACCAACTATGTGATCGAGGCAATGAAAGATACTTGTGCACATTTAGCCTAATACTTGCTCCCCTTAGGGATTCAAAATCTGAGAGATGGAGAGAGGGAGAAGGGGGGAGAGAGATGGAGAGAGGGAGAGAGAGAGGGAGGGATAGAGATGAAGAGAGGGGGAAAGAGAGAGAGAGTTGACTGGGCCCAGCTAGTAAGTTGGGCCTATCTCACCGGTCCAAACTTAGTCCTGCAGAATGAGCTTCACACAACGCCATTAGTGGGCCGGTCCCCGTTTCAGGGAACGCGGTTGCCAAGCTGATGGGCCCAGTCCACAACGGTTCTTGATGTGGGCCCCGTCAATAACCGTTGATGTGGGATCAACGGGACAGAATCCGACCGGGCCCCCTCCCCCCACTTTTGGATTTTTGTACATAAATAAAATATAGAGAGGTACCCCCGTGAAAGATGGCAGCGGGTGCTTTATCAGTCTGTTTGTACCCACTCCCTCTCTCTCTCCCACTCCGGCTGCGCTAGGGTTTTGCAGATCCAGTTTCCCTTCTCCTCTTCATCTGCTGGTTTGTGGAGGTGATACGGCTGGGGGAACTGCGCAGGGTCGTGTTTGATGCCGCTCGGCGTCTTCCTCGTCGGCTTGTAATGCTTGCCAGGGGAGAGGAAGAGGATTGAGCGCGGAACAGGGGGCCATTTATTGCGGGAGGCTTTGTTAGATTGGGTTTTTGTGCTGCACCGATCTAAGATCCGTCTGAAGCGGAAACTCGCTGAGAAATCTTGTTCGTGAGGATTTCTTCAGGTTCGCAGTTGCCATTCCTGCAGACGCTGCATTTATGTGGCCACAAATCGGATGAAATTCGGAATTCTGAGCTGCGGAACGGGAGATTGTCGGAGACTGTTCACTTCCCTGTGATCGAAGAAGTTTCGGCCTATTACCTCTGGAACCGGAATATTGAGACGCAGTTTGAAACTACTCGTGTTCGAGGAATTACGAGTAGTTCTTCGTGGAAATGTGGGAAAACTACTGAAGTTTTCGATCCCTCATCGTCGAGCATCTACCTTCGTATCCCTCTCAGATCTCTTCCGGACAAGGAAATCGAGCGTCCGGAGGTCGCATTCTTCAGCCATTCTTCCGCATTATTTGGATCACAGAGGAGGCGATGGAGTCGATCGCCTGTATGACGACGATGCTCCTCATCTTTGGGATTCTTTCTTCACATCAGTCCAGTGCACACTCGCCGGGGCAGCCTTCGACCGGATTTGCTGCCGCCATCGCCAAGTCGCTGGACTCTCTTCTTCGTGACTACTCCTTCCATGGAGTCAGCCATCCTCGCACTGGAGTTACCTACCAAGGTAAGGTCCCTTCCAACATCTCCGGAGTCAGGACGGCCATGGTGAGACTCCGCAGTGGGAGCCTCAGATTCAGAGGCCTTAAAAGATTCCATGAATTTGATATCCCCGATGGAGTCATTGCCCGGCCGTACGTTCAGAGGCTCGCACTCGTTTACCAGAACCTAGAGAACTGGTCGTCCATCTACTACCGGCTACCTGGTCACAGATTCATAGCTCCAGTTCTCGGCCTGCTGGCCTACGAAGCCGAAGATCTTCCCCTCACCAACTCCACCGAGCTCCATATTCTCGCTACGGAGAAGCCCATCTCGATCAAATTCAGAAATCTTGCTCAAAAAACAGGCGCCAAGTGCGTCTGGTTTGATCCGGAGGGGCTTCCCCGGTTGAGTGATCTGCGGCCGGGCAATGTCTGTATAACGCGCCGCCAGGGGCATTTCTCAGTCGTGGTGAACTCCGGCGGGCTGGTGGTGCCGAACTTAAGGCCCGGCGGCGCCGCCGACGGCTGGTCGAACATCTGGAGGATCGCCGGAGCTGTGGCCGGCGGCTTCCTCTTCCTGGTTCTATCGGTGCTGCTGCTCATGTGGGTCAAAGTGTACAGGCGAGAGAAGAGGATGAAGGAGATGGTGCATCACGCCGAATCAGAAGAGGCCCTGCAGAAGCAGCGGATTGGCGGCGCTCAGCTACCGGTGGCTCCCATGGTCCGGACCCGGCCTGCCCTCGAGAACGAAGAACCGATGGCCCCACATTCTCCGGCCAGTGAATGAGGAGAAGTCAACCTCCTCCCCCCACCCCGAGTTCCACGCAGACAAGAAGGTACATGGCTTCTTCATCTTCTGTGGGTTTCTTCTCCAGATGTGGATTTGTTTCCACATCTGGCTCGATCGAGTCTCACTCTTCCACATCTTCTCCCAATAATTAATGCAAGAATTTCTTGCCTCGATCCTCCCCCTCTTCCCTCATCTCCAAAATTCTGTACTCACAACCAAGATGTATCGGTGAGCTTTGGTCAACGGATGGCGGTGCATCTGACTCATGTTTCTACTTTTGGCCCATCCAGCCACCCTCGAGAGGATGAGATGACGGAAATAAGCATTCTCACACCACACGCCTTCTAAAACATGCAAATGTCCTCGAAGAACATGGCGGCGAATGACCAGGAAGACTACGGAAAGCCATGGAAAAAGCGTCTCAAGAGGACCAGCTCCTAGCAAGCAACGGAAACAGACATCTTATTCTGGAAGAGAAGATCAGCTCATCCGCCGGATGGATATCGCAGGAAATATGGGGAAAATAATGAAGATCGGAACACCTGCGCCATGAACATATAAAGTCAGAGAACAGGCAATCACTCGCGGTATGCTCAGGCAATCATTCGACGCGTGGATTCGATACAATGAAAATAAAAAAAATCTAGATCTTTCTTGTTTATTTCTCTGGTAAAAGCCTGTTCTTTCTTCCTAGTAAGCAGATTGAACGACATCACCAAAAGTGTGCAAGGAAATATTCAGTTCGTAGATGGATTAAACTAAAAATGGTAAGGGGGAGCCCTCCAGCCTACTTGCTACTCCCCACGTGGCAGCTCACCCATCACATGCATCGAATATTCCGAGTATATTCTCTGCATTTTCCAAGATATGAAGTGACGAGAGGATAAAAAATGGATCTGATTTTGGAGGCCAAAAAAAAGAAAGAAAAAAAAGAAGAAAACCAATCCCCCTGTTGTGTGTTTTGCAGAGATCTAAACCGGGAAAACCCATCATCTTACACCTAATTAATCTTAAATGGCCTCATTGTGCTCTCTGAGCATCATCTTCTTTCCCATATAAATAACTCAAATTTTTCGACATCATAAATAATGAGGATTAACCCAAACATTGTTCATTAAATCATGAATAATGAGGATAAACTAAACAATTCATCGACCCATAAATCTCTCAGTCCACCGCTATGAAATCACTCCCTCCAATATAATCTGAACGAGGAATAATGCAAACTGAGAAAGCTTTTTTCTCATACAGGCATTAGTCAGATACCAGTAGGACGTAGAATCATGACTCCTCTTGTGAGGTGAGGGAAACGAGCCCAACTAGCGGCATACCATACACGTTCAGGTTCTAATCAATATTCTCAAGATCCATACAGAATAAATGGCGCAATCCAGTGAAACCATGGCCGGATAACTAGTCTACTGTCCAGCTTAGACATGCAGATAAGGGTATTCCAGTATGATGCCGCACTGCAAAGATGAGCAGTCATTCATCTAAGACAGCTAAAGTTATACCCTAGATAGACAGATGGTAAGCTGTTCAGAGAAAAATGTACAGATAGGTCCCCTAAACTCGTCCTCAAACCGCACCAGCCGAGCAAGTTAAGATTCTAGGTTTGTGGATCTACCTGTATGAAGGATTACACAATAACTTGAGCACCAGAATCACGCATTTGAGTAGGATACATACCCGGGTAATTATTTCCAGCCAAACCATGCCAATTTGAAAATAATAAATAAATAAATATTTTTTTTGGGGGATGCTGTCTGGGCTCACCTTTGGACTTCAGCATGCAGACTAGTAATATGATCAATTCATCTTGAAATAAACTTGTGAAATATAAATTTTTGGCGTACATTAAATGACCTAAACTTTAGTGCAGCAGCTACGCAAAGCCTGAAGGATATAAGTCTCGGCATTTATTTTTTAAGTAACACAGAATTATGATTTCCATTTTACAATACAATGATGCCATGAGAGTGAATGCCTGACAGTTCAATATAAATGAAATATACCACCCTTTGTATGTGAATCAATTTTCAGCAAGGGATGATTCACAGAGCCGATGTATGTTTACCATTAGATGCCAAGACTGATCTTCCATAGACGAAATGGTTAAAAACGCACGGAAAGAGAATGACGATACATGAATTTGATGAATGAGCAAGGAATCTAAACGGGAACCGCCTGTATAGTGCAGGCAGAGAAAAATACCCTTTTAATGAATATGAATGAAGAAGCAATGATGCAAAAAAGGAACTCTCCGCATAGATATGAAACGAGATATTAGATAAATAGCTGACTTCATGCGGCGAAATGTAGAATGCTGGAGCGAATAGAATCATTCTGCATCATTTTTATATCACAGATAGTAAACGTAACCGGCGAAAATAGAATCGCACGCACTTTCCATATAATTAGGGCCGGTCCAAAGACGAAATCTAGTCAGGAATCAAGGACTATGACCAGTGTCAAAAGGAAGAAAGCTAGAACGAACGCCGAATTTCGCGCAAGCGAAAAGCTAAGGATAGAAGCTGCCAAACACATCCGCTGATGAAGCCAAAAAATAGGATTCGCATCGACACATGATCCAACGGAAACCCCAGTTCCCAAAACTGACCTAATTCCCCGTTTCCATGATCTTCTTGTCCCGCCTCTCCATCGCCACATCCCAGATGTCATTCCCGATGTGCTTCGGCTGCAACGCACGACATCCGGTCATCAGAGACTCAACGGCATAGGCAACGACGCCATCCAAGACACGGGATCCACAGAGGAAAGGAGAATAAACGATGCATCTCCTCACCCGTCCATGCGCCGCTTTGTGGATGTAGTACTGGGCGTTCCCCATCACGCAGAGCATCCCGGCGATGATCCCCAGCGGAAGAACGGCTTCCAACCAGATGAATCTCCCCATCGAGAGACCTGTCTTCCACCCCTCCTCCCGACCTTCTTCCTCCTCCCCCAACCCCTCTGAGAGTCCCCGGAGCGTTATTTTATATTTACTTTAAAAAATATAAAATAACCCAAATATTTATAACACCGGGGAATTTTCACACGTCAGATGCCACGTAATAAAATTATTTGGCTAAAACTGAGCGTTTTATAGACACTCGAATTGGGCTTCGGGGCGCTGTGGTGCATTAACGGGCCAGGCCCGTTCGAAGTCTGCCCAGCCTCCCGCGTTGACTGACCTGAGGTAGAGATATTGGGCCGTAATGTGGCCGATTGCCAAATGTGGTAGTACTGCGGCTCTCCACTTGGAAATTGGGCCCATAGGCCCATGGTCGTGGGTTTCATGGAGTCCAGCCCAGATCCTGTTTAGTTGGTTCTGTTATGCCGGGCCGGGATCTACATGGGCCCGTGGGCCCTACCCCGATTATTAACCAAGTTGTAATAAATAATAAAATAAAATAAAAATGGCAATAAAATACAGAATTAAATAACTACGAAGTTGACGTTACGTGTGAAAACATTATTCTATATAATATTTATCAGTAGTAATTCCATTTTACGGTCAAACAAAACAAAATAAGATGGTCAACTGTGGGCCCTCCCGCCCACCGAATATCTTCCCTCTTTACGACAAAGGCGCCACCTTTGCGGGGTTTCAGACAGCCACATCGCCGCCATGTTCATACCCTCCCCACCCCCCGAATGCCAGTGGATACATCGGACGAAGCACATCGAGAGAGAGAGAGAGAGAGGGGGGGGAGGCCGAGCTGTCGCCAATCTGCCTCCGTTGGCTTCCGTCATGTGAGGACATTAATGGTGCAGGGAGCTGCTGCCTTCTCGTCTGGGCACAGAGATGTCGTCCCCACGAACCACCCACCGCCCTCTCCTCCCCCCCTCACCGCCTACAAGAATCGGACCCCATCCAGTGTAGCGACCGGCGACCGGCGACCGGGTTCTCCGTCCAAGGGGATTATTCTGCCCTTGTTGCTCCGCTGACGACGAAACAGCGGTCCATCGGACGGACGCCGTGCAGCGAAATTATTAGGGTTTAATGGCCGGGCTTCTGTGCTCCTCCCCACATTATTCCTGCTCTTGGATCGCGGAATGGGTTTATTGTAAATGATTGGTGTCGGCGTGGGCGGGCGGAGATTTCTGAGCTCAGCGGGATTTTGAGCAGACGATGCTCGAATTGCCCAGCTGGGGTGGGGGCAGTGGGTCTCTCTCTCTCTCCTTCCATCGTGTTTTAGGAATTACGTCCCAGATTTCTATATCACGCGGGTAAAAAAAATTTATTTTATGACCCGATTTTATCAGGCTCAAAGGCCGATTTGAACCCCCCCCCCCCTTCCCGAGGAGGAATCGAGGAGCCACTCGTTCTGCTGCAACCCCTTTCTTCCCTTCTCACCCCCCCCCCGGGGCGCCCCCCTCCACCCCTTCTCTTTTATTTGTCGATTGCAGGTCGGTGATTAAGAGAGAAGGGGGCTGTTCCTTTTCAGCATCCAAGAACGACAGCTCCGTCCCACTTCATCTTCTTCCTCCTCCTCCATCTTCTCTTTTCTCCATTTATTATTCCCTCTCGATTATTTTCTCTGCTTGAGCTTCTTTTGCCGGCGCCATGTCAGGGTTATATACCCCCAACTTCTCCCCTTCAAGAGCCATCTCTCCGCAGATAAGGGGCGCCACAGATATAGACAGGTACAGAGTCATGCTCACACGGCGCAGTGTTTGTTCGTCGTCGTTCAGGTCGAGTTCTTTCCGCTTCGTTCCTAATCTGTTTCTTCGTCCGTATAGTCAATACTTGACAGAGCTATTGACAGAGCATCAGAAGCTCGGACCCTTCATGCAAGTTCTTCCCATATGCAGCCGATTACTCAATCAAGGTCAGCTGTTGGAAGATTTCCCCCTCGCGCGTTGCTCATCCTGTAGTCAATCTGAATGCCGTGTTGCCGCAAATTTTGGCCATTAATCGGTCGATTATAACCGTCTACTTTCATCGTGACTCAATGGATGGACAGTCTTTGGTATATTATTTCGACGGGACTCCTTTTGCTTCCATTTTCGTATAGAAAACAAGTCATAGCGTTCTATCCAGGAACCAGGGCCCCTCGATATCCTGCTTACTTCGATTGCCTGAGATAGTCTAAGCTGATGATGGGCTGTTTCAAGGCTCAATACTCTGCTTCTTAACCCCGTGGAGTTCGCTGTAGCTTCTTTCTTTGCATGCTAGTATAAACTATGAAGAGAATATGTCCACTTTCTGAAGCAGCACTTTATGATGTGCCTAGCAATTAGAGTAACTCGCGCTTCTCTCTCTCTCTCTCTCTAGAGTTTCACGTGTGAATAGTTTGCTGACCGGTACAGTTGGTTGCTCCTTTCCACCCTCCCAAGAAGAATTGACTTATTTTTGTATGATCCATTTTTCCTGTAGAGATTATGCGGGTCTCTGGCATGGCTTCCAACCATGGGTTTAGCGACTATGATAGATTGCAGTATCGAAGTCCGAGTCCCATGGCATCTGCAAATCTCCTCTCTGATGTTGGAGGGGGCGGTTGGAGCGGGGTCCACCCGGAGGTGAGCATCCACAAGGCCATCTGCTGTTGTTGTAATGTCTAATCCTACTTCGCCATTTTGCTATGTTCTTCTTCTTGATGTTTGTTCTCTTTAGCTCTGAAAGATGGTGTTGAATCTCATCCTCTTCTCGCGCTGTTGCTCTCATATTGCCCAGAACTTCGTCTTGGAGCCCCTGTCGCACCTGACTGAGATTGGTAGAGATCAGATCAATTGGAGGGTTATGTGTCCCGTGTCATCTTCTTTGTTGTATATCTCATTGATCACTCTACCTTTGAGCTTTCTTTTTCACATTATGTCGCAGCTCAATTGCCAATGGTAGAGTGAAAAGAGGAGTATGCCTTGGTGGATACTGATGCCATATTTTATAGCAGCCCTTCTCTCTATTCGCCGTCCTAATTTCCACTACACCTGCTATCAGAAACCTGACCTTGAGTGATACCCATCTTGTCTTACATCATCTCTGTTGATCCACTCTTGGAGAGCTTGCTCTGTGGACCAATGGGCTTGTGATCCTAAGTTTTCTTGGTCTATTCATCGTTTGAGCGGGTACCGAATGGTAGAGATGATGTTTGCAATCAAAGATTTTAAGGAAGAAACCTTTGTAATCGAAGATTCATCTTCTTTGTTTTATTCACTCTTCGTTAGCATTTTTCTTGGAAGGTTAAAGCGATTTGATCCATGCTTTCAGTTAGGGGATCACATCGTTTTATCCGGATTCCACGCGGAGATTAAGTCAAACTAGAAGTAGATGGTGTTGATTCACTAGTAGAATTCAGCAGTTTCTCACGTTGACGAATTTTATGTATATTCAGGAGGTCAGAGAGATGCTTCCTTGTGGTCTGAGCCCGTTTTGTTTGGATTTGGTCCTTGTCGGCACCCACTTAGCACTTCTTCCGTTTCTATACCATCTTTGATCACGTAATATCCTAACATTTTTGCGGATGGCTTATGTTTCTGATTTTGATAGTATTCAGCTATCGTTTTGTGAGGAAATAGACAAGGGTAACATCTTTGCTAAGATATTTCAGCTAAATGATGCTATTAGGCGACTTCAACACAGAAGAAGAGGATCTGTACTCAATAGTTCATATCAAGAAGCTTCCCCCACTAATATTTGCTTTTAAGAGTTATTACCATGGGATTGACTTCAGAGTCCGTGTATGGGTTGAGGGAGGAGTTTATTTTATCACTGATCTATGGTTAGGCTTGAAGGTAGCCGCTTATAATGTCACACCATCTTCTTGTTTGGAGTAAGAAGCGAAAATGATTTACATCAACGTGTTGTGAAAACTGCTAGTGGAGCATGTTGGTTGCAATTTATTGTCATTCTTCTCTTTTTTCCGATCATTTGGTTTATAACAGCAAGTTATTGTCATTAATGAAAGGCATCCGACAGGGTTATGCTAAAAATCCCAAAAAGAATTGATTGGCGCATAAGTTGGTGCAATTCGGACCAGCCTGAGGCTGACATGGTGAATGTGGTCCTCTGTTCTATGGTCTCCTACACGGTTATACTAAAAATCCCAATTACGATTGATTGGCTCACAAGTTGGTGCAATATTGCAGATGCCTTACTACTAACCTAGTAGCTGCATAGATGGGCCTGTTGTGATTGTGAAACTCCTGTTCCTCTTCATTGCTTTCCTCTCTTCCTCACTTGTGCTTTTACGCATCATCTTGATTTCTTTTTGTTTTCTTTTCTGCTTAATCCTTTCCAGCTTCCACTGTCCTTGTGTAGAACAAGAATGCAGCAAAGCAGTTGTGCAATCATAATTTCACAACTTTTTTGGTTATGGCAGAAGTTGCAGTCAGCGGTTTTTCAGAGTTTCTGGTGTTTGTCGATCAGGGTTTCAGAACGCTTTTTGTGTCTCTCCCAACAGGATTTTCCAAAAGCTTATGCAACTGCCTCAGGCTTGTTTAGAACAGGTTATGGTGATGATGGGTTGTCCTTTGCTTGCCTTTGTGATGACAGTTAAAATCCTCATGTGAGAACTATCTGAAGGTTCGTCCATTTCTGCTTACCATGGTTCTCAGTGTGATTATGCTCCAGGCAACCACAGTAGCTCCTTCTTGATGTGAATCAGAAAACATATTCTGTACTGGGGAAGAAACATGAGCAGGGTAGCCAGATTGTAAGAGTTAGCTGGATGATGACAAAGAAGCAACATCACGGTGACATGCTGGTCGATTTTCAAAGATGATAATAATAATAATAATAAAATAAAATAAAACGTTTTGCAATCAGTTGACTGTTTAATGTATGTTGGATCCCCTATTGAAAGTCATTCCACCATCTTTTCTTTCTTGGATTATATTTTCAGAAGTTTTGGAAAGGCCCTTCCATGGTCACTTTATTTATGTACTATTTTTGTTCCTGCATTGCGTTGACTTTTTGTGCTGTTTATTCGGTGAGCAGAGATTTGGTGCTCCTCGGGGAACGACGATGGATTGGCAGAGCGCGCCACCCAGTCCGAGCTCATACATCGTCAAGAAGATCCTGCGCTTGGAAATCCCAGTGGATACATATCCGAACGTAAATACCCCATCATTTGCTAAGCATTTCAGGTTGCATTCAATATTTGTTGATACTCAGGTTTATATGGCAGCAGTTCAATTTTGTTGGGCGGCTCCTCGGTCCCCGGGGCAATTCACTGAAGCGAGTGGAGGCCTCCACCGGCTGTCGTGTGTACATCAGAGGAAAGGGCTCGATTAAGGATCCGGGCAAGGTATGCCATCTATTCTGCGATTTTGGTTTTCTGAGGAATCATTGAATAGAAATTCCCATCAGAGCACTGTTTCTCTTCAAACCCATTGTTTTTTTTTAGTAGTGATTTCGACTTGCCATTATTGTATTTACTTGCATTTATTTAGAAACTTAAACTAGTCAAGAAAAAAATGGGAATCTCTTGTTGACTGTTACATCCAAGCCAAAGCTTTTGAGAAACCCTTTGACCCATCTCTCTTCAAACCCATTATTTTTTTTTAGTAGTGATTTCGAATTGCCATTATTTTATATATTTTTGTATTTATTTAGAAACTTAAGCCAGTCAAGAAAAAAATGGGAATCTCTTGTTGACTATTACATCCGAGCTAAAGCTTTTGAGAAACCCTTTGACCCATCTGGGTTATGCTGCCAGCCCAAAATGTGATTTCTCCCCACTCCTTGAGAATAATCGCACGCTATATCTTGCTCAAATAAATGACCTATGGGGTGTTGTTCGAGTCCCTGACTTCCATATCATTTTCTACAGAAAGAATTCCATTTTCATCTCACGAGTAGCTGCAGGATGTCATATATTTTCCCAATTTAATCATATAATTGGAAAAAGCCTTGGAGAAGTTACGAAGTTATCAGAGTACTACTTGGTAGATCTGCTTGAAAAAAAAAAAAAGTCTTTACCATACTCATGATTTTGTTCTCGTATACCATACACTTTCGAGTTCCATTTATTTTCCTGTTATTATGAGCAGCATAGCATGCTGAGCATATGGATGGGCTTGAAGGCAACTACATAGAGAACAGAGCCTTCTGTTTTAGGAACCTCGGACTCTGTTGCTCTGCTTCACAAAGATTGCTTCTCTCCTCTCCTCATCTCCTACTTTCTGTCGGTAAATCTAGGGTTTAATTTCTCTTGCCATTGTTTTTCCAACCCGAAGGAGGTGAAGCTCAGTGGAAAATCCAGCCGTGAACAGCTGAATGAGCTAGCTGTTGAACAGATTTCTCTCGTTGACTCCTAGTTTCCCTCAGTACTTAAGAATTGAATCCCTTTTGGCATTGTTTTTCCAACCCAGAGTAGGAGAATCTCTGAGGGAAACCCATTTCAATGGCCCGCTTCACAAAGTTCGATTTTTTGTAGGCTTCTAGTCTCTTCAGTAATTTTAGGGCTTGATAACTCTTGCCTGTGTTTTTCCGACCCCGAGGAATAGGAGAAGCTCAGAGGAAATCCCAGCTATGAGCATCTGACTGGCCCGTCTCATGCAGATCGCTTTCTCTGTTGATTTCTATTCTCTGTCAGCAGTTTTAGGCCCTTTGAATCCTCTTGCGCTGAATCAGTCTCACCAGTTTTTCTTTTTTCCACCCCAAGGAGGAGAAGCTCAGAGGAAAACCCGGCTATGAACATCTCAACGACCCCCTCCATGTCTTGGTCGAAGCGGAGCTACCTGCTAACATTGTAGATGCAAGGTTAAGGCAAGCCCGGGAGATCATTGAGGAGTTGCTAAAGCCTGTGGTATCTCTCTCTCTCATGGTCTTTGGACTAATATTTCTGCTGCTGTTATTTACACCTCGACCAAAGTTGAGAAAGCCCACAAGTTCTTCTCTATAATTCTTCTCTGGGCGCAGGATGAATCCCAGGACTTCTACAAGAAGCAGCAACTGAGAGAGCTAGCCATGCTGAACTCGAGCCTGAGGGAGGACAGCCCTCACCCCAGTGGTAGCCTCTCCCCGTTTGGCAGCAGTGGGATGAAGCGGGCAAAGACTGGGCGGTAGCAGGCTGCCATTCCCTCTGTCGGCCGCCGCCGCATCCCTCCACTGGGCCATGAAGGGCCCGTGGTGAGCTCCGCTGGATTCCTGCTGGTGGTGGGATGGCTTCTGGGTAGGAGGGCTCCTGTAGATTGCCCTTGTGTTAACATATTATCTGCTGGACTATGCGTTCCGTGACTGCTCTACTTCTTGGCATGGGAAGAAGAAGATGCAAGTGTGCTGATGATAGTAGGAGCCTTTTTATTTATTTATTTATTCTTTCAGTCTAATCTTTGAGACGGTGAGAACCCCAATACCCCCCCCCCCCCCCCTCACCTTCCTTCTTCTTTCATCCTGTAATATCCCGAGGTTTTCTGTTTTCAGTGGAACCGTCTATATCTACAGTGGATTGATCACCTGGGTTCATATGAGGTTACCTAAGGGTCAGCCCTGGGTTGACTATTTTTGTGCCTATGGGTTGACCACCGTTGAAGGGAAAAGGAGGAAAAAAGAGGGAAAAAGGACCCAAATTTATGAGATATGGTAAAAGCTCTCTTATTTATTATAATAAGATCCATCAAGTAGCATGGCAGAGTTTCCAGAAAGCTTACATCAATCCTTACACAGACCATGGCCAGTGGATTACCGTTTCTTGCGGTGGATCAGCCTCTCCAGGTGTCCTTCCGTCTCCTGATCTCCCTCATGGCTTCAACAGGAGAGCTGCACCCAACTTTTGCCTACAAAAATGGGTTCCGAAATTATTTAACAAATTCATGCCTTAATACCCTGAGATTTCTGATTCGTCGGGAATAGTAAAAAGGATTTGGGGCTTCAAAAGAACAAGGAGAAAACCTGTATCTCTTCCAGATCCACTCTCATGAAGGGATTTGTCTCGAACTCTTCACCGATGGTCGACGGGATTGTGGGGAGGCTGGCCTGACGTTGATGATGTGCCCATGCAAGCTTTTCCTTGATTTTCTCGTTCTCCGGTTCAATGGTTGCAGCGAACAGCAGATTCTTTTCTGTGTACTGAAGGAAACTGAAGTGTTATCTGTCGAAAAAATAACCATGCGCTCTCTAGCTTCCCCTATAGGCTACAAGATGATTCATCTCTTAGTGTAGCATTATCTAAGGCTCATCAGACACCTAAAACGGACGGGCTATTCCTGTGTAATCAGGCAAAAATGGGTTCTTTCTTAGATGCTCTCAGGCATTTACCCTTGCCGGCGTTATTCCATAGGCTTCCCTGTCATTTCGGGCCTACGCTCTTAAATCACTAACATGGGAGAGGACGGGTGTATGGAGAAAAGGGATGAAGGAGTACCTCATGGCCACAGTAAACTCTGGTGGGTTTTGGCAATGAACCCAATGTCACGCAGAGAGATTGGTACATCTGGTCTGCAGTGCCTTCGAAAAACTTCCCACAACCAGCGATGAACTACAAAAAGATGGAGCAAGAACCCAGGTGAACAGACATACATACCCAAGAAAAATAATGGAAAATAATCTTTTTTATAATTAGCAGGAACATCAAAAATAAAATCAGGATACATAAAGCGCTTCACATTACTCACGAGGGTGTCCCCTGTAAACACAGCTTGTGCTTCTTCGTGTTTACTTGTCACAAAATAACTTATATGACCCTTTGTATGGCTGATAGACGGGCAGCAAGAAAGATGAATTTCATCGTTAGAGATTATAAAACCAGCAACCTAAGTATCCGACAATATAAACACGAAATTGAGTAGAGTTTTACATCCAAGAAAAAAAAAATCAGTAGTTTTAGGTAATAACGCAAGGGGGAATTCGCAGAAGCAAAATCTAACAGTGAGAGTCTTAACGCTGCATGCTTAATTTGTAAAATAATTCCAATCATGGACAGCATATTTCAACAATTTTATCTAGAACATGCTGATGGGCAACGGCTACTGGATCCTCCCGTAGGTAGGAATACAAGACAAAAAACCAATTCTAGCAACTGAGAACTGTCATCGTATGCCAAAGAATATGCGACAACAAGTATGGAGAAATGGTGCAGAAAAATATCTCAATGGAAATAATATGGGCCTGAAAGCATACCATGGTGTGTGGAGGGCTAGTATCTCTATGTCTTCTCCCAGCGACAGCTTATCACCATTCTCCAACTTATTGGTGCAACCCTTTACATTGTCACTCGATCCTCCAAACACCATGATGCCAGGTACCATCTGCCTTATCTTATCATTTCCTCCAGCATGGTCCCTGTCAAGACTCAGAAATTGAAGGCATATTGTTCCAAGTCAAGATGAGATCTAATAACTAGAAACACAGCGTAGAAATAATTTTCCTTAATATAAAATGATTAAATTAATTCAGGTTCGGCATAATTGAACTCTTTCAAATCTTCATCTACATAATTTCCAATTAATTATCGTTTTCGATCTTCACACTTTATTTTCCCTAAGAAACTAAAATATACAATTCCTGTGTTGGTTCAATTCTGAACTCCACCGAAACAATTAGAGGAAGCTAGACCTTCCCTGTACTAATTATGCGACACAGCTCGCTACAAAGGGGGATCCGTTCTTCATTGCAAAAACTGGCCAAGGAAATGAGTGGTAGGAGTCTCCCCGACTCGACGGGGTGATGAAGAATAGGAGAAGCTCTTTCTTCGTTTCACTAATGGCCAAAGAAATGACTAGTCGAAATCTACTGTAGAGCGGGGATGGTTCTGCAACAAAGCCCAGTGCAGAGGGCGAGCCGGCTTCCCTATTTCAAAGAAAGAGGTAATTGGAATCTCTCTACTGCAGCCGGAATACATCTCACAACAACGGGGAAAGCCGGTTACGACTGTTCACAAGTTGGCCAAAGAATCGAGGGATGGGAACGGACTAAAAGTTTGGAGATCCCTGAAAAAGTGAAGCGGAAGGATAGGAGGGGGGCAAAACCAGTGATGATGCGTGGTAAGCACAAGCTTCACGTCCGCTCCCTCATCCCGGGCAACCTGCAGGACCTTCTCGGGCTCCACGGGGTCGACGACCGCCGCTTCCCCCGATCTCTCGTCCAAGATCCTGCAATCAACAACGCCCCGGCTTAAATCACGACATCTACCCAGAAAAACGAAATCCCCGGAACCAGATCCCCAGCGATCTTCTGCTCGTCGTCACGTACAGGTAGGAGTAGTTGTCTTCCAAGCACGGGATGTGGCAGACCCTCATCCTCGTCCTCTCTGGTTCGCCCTCTCCTCTCTCGCTCTCCCTTTCCCTGTCCCCGCGCTTCCGAATGCTCCCCAAAAGATGGGAGGAAAGATTAACATTGCCACGTGTAGAGAGAGAGAGAGAGAGATTATAATAATTGTAATTATTATAATGATTACTACTATTATACCTTATTTTTATTATTGATGTTATTATTTGAATGTCCAAATTATGGAAAATACCTCATCTTTTGCAGAATTTGCAATTAGGAGTAGGCTCCCTCGGTGTTTATTACCATGTAAGAGAACATTCCTTGAGCAGGACTTCCCCAAATTGGGTTTATTTCTCTGGACAGATATCAGATTTATATGTGAGTGAAGGTCTTTTTTTTTTCCTTTTCTGGGGGGATGCCTTACCAGCAATTCTTTACAGTCAGGAATCCTGTCTCGCCGCCGCCGGCACCGTCATCTCACCGCCTCCGGGGCGGAGTTGCAGTAGGGAGTGTGCAGGCAGACCATCTTGGTGGAGGTCAGGCAGGCGCACGCGAAGCCCAGGCCGATGAGGAGCCCGTAGCAGCTCCCCGCTGTCTCCAGCCGCGTCGCCCGCCGGAACACGCTGGCGAAGCTCGGGACCAGCAGTCCGCAGGAGAAGACCATCAGATAATCCAGCCCGCGGTAGTCGATCCCCGCAAGGATGGCGCCGATGGCCGCTAGGGGCCCGGCGAGGCCCGTCCCCGCCGCGGCGCTGAGGGCCGCCCGCCAGCTCCCGGTGACGCCGAGGACGCAGCTCGCGACGGCGGCGCCGCGGGGCAGCCCGTGCAGCGAAACGGGGAGGACCATGTGGCGGCCCAGGCCGTGGGCCCTCGGCGCAGCGACGCCGAGGGCTAGCCCCTCGGCCAGCGCGTGGGAGAAGATTGCGCCGCAGGCGAGGAGCGACTGGAGGGTGACGACGCTGATGGAGAGGCCGGAGGAGGGGGAGGAGAGCTCGTTTAGGGAGGACTTCTTGTGGCGGGAGAGCTTCAGTAAGGCGGAGGTGCAGGCGTGGGAGGCGGCGCCGCCGGAGGCGAGGAGGAGGAGGACGGTGGGGGGCCACATCTTGCCGGCGGCGAGGAGCTGCAGGGGCCGCCAGGAGGCCAGGAGGAGGGCGATGCCGGAGGAGACGCCGGAGAGGAGGGCGTGCTGCGAGGAGAAGGCCAGGGCGAAGGCGACGAGGATGAACCCGCCGAACAGTGGCCCGAGCCCGAAGAGCAGCGAAACAAAGAACCCAGATGCGTCCTCGGCGCTGCAAGAAAGAAAGAAAAGCCAGCAACACAAGGAGGGTTTCAACTCTTTTCATATAGAGGAAGATAGGTCGATAGATAAAGATGGATTATACAGATACATATATTTATTTATATTTATATATAGATAGATAGAGAGAGAGAGAGAGCTACCGATAGTCATGGGTAAATGTAGAGAGAGAGGAGGGTCTTAGCTCTCATATGAGATATAGATATATGAATGGATGGATAGAGAGAGAGAGAGAGGAGAGTCTAAGCTCTCATATGAGATAGATGAATAGATGGATGGATATATATATATAGAGAGAGAGAGAGAGCTACCTGTAGCCATGGCTGAAGCTCTGAAGGACAGTACTAAGGGTTTCCATGAAGGCGACGGCGAGTGTCGCAGATGATGCAACCTGAGAGGGAGTGGCCTCCTGGAGAGGGGAACGACAAGTCAACAGATGGAGGGGGGACGGCAGGAAGAGAAAGTCAAAGGGCCCCGCTAGTCAACAGGTGGGCTACCTTGAAAGCGTCGGGGAGGACCTCGGCGACCACCATCCAGATCATGCAGCCGGCCGCGAAGCCCGTACAAAAGGGCAGAAATTTGTTGAAGGCGTCAGCGCACATGAACGCGGGGACGGCCACAATTGGCTGAGAAGTCCACACCGGTAGGACAGTTCAAAAATAGATCAGTACTCTATTCTACAAATGAAATATCTACTTTCCAAAACAAGTAATACAAAGTCAAACATAGCCGTAAATAAGATAGTCAACGGTCTGAAAAAGCTCAGAAAAACTAATCCGTGTGTAATAGGAAAGATAGCCCTGGCGCAACCCAGAAAAGCCAAGAACCTCATGCAGTCCCTTCCCCAGACCAACTCTCTCTCTCTCTCTCTCTCTCTCTCTCTCTCTCTACCCAAATCGCTAAGATAGAGACCTAGCTCATCCATGAGAGAAGATATTTCCAACGGTTACCTGGGGCAGAGAGGTGATGATGCTCCACAGCATGGCTTTCTGCGGGGAGACTCCTTTGGACGCCAGAAGCATGCTGACGGCTAAACCTTCGGGGATGTTGTGGACGGCAATGGCCAGGGTAACCAGCAGGCCCTGGGTCAACCCTTTCGAGCCGGCGAAGGACACGCCCACGCCTGATCCCTCCCCAAAGGAATGGAGAGTCATTATTCCCACCACGAGGACGACTTTGCTTGCGTCGGCGCCCTTTATGTCCAGCATGCTTATTTCACCATACTGCTCAAGAAACTGCAAAGGAGAAATTTAAGAAGATTCAAACTCTTTTAAAAACTGAGAAATTGTGTTTTTTTTTTCATTTTCCCAAGTACGAGCACAAACTCTGAATAAAGCTGAATAAATCTGAAGTCTATGAGAAGAGAAGTGGGTTTTATGAATTCAGAAATCATCCGGGAAAATCATCAGTCGAGTCTACAAATCTAGCCCAGGGGCTTAAGGTGCCCAGCATTCTTTACTTCATCAATGATAATTTATATAAAAAATGATATCTTTTTATAAAAAAATTTGTAGGGCCATGAACTTAGAGTTGGAGGCTGAAATGTCTGATGATATGTCCTATCTAATTCACAATTTTTATTAGGAAAAGGACGGAGGGCCAAGAAATAGGAGATGGAAATTAAAAAAAAAGTGGAAAGGGGGAAATAATATCTTCCACATCTAATATCGATGCTGAAGCCCTTCAATTTCGGTGCACGTGATCGAGAGATGGCAGCATCTTAGCTGATAGAATGGATTGAGAAATAACAACAGAATTGCATGCCTCAAGGGAAGCCATTGAGGCAGCATATCCAGGGGTTGATGAACTACAAAGTGGTGCACAGAGAGGAGACTTCGACAAACTGAGGAAAACGAAGACATCTGTGAGCCCTACAATCCTGTCGACCCTTCTCACTCAAGATGCTTGTGGGTCTTGTGATGATTTCCTAAAAACGAATTCATGGAGGTACTCACTCTACGCAGAATACTAACATGAGCTTCTAAAGTAGAATAAAACAAGATCCAGGAAGCGGGAGACCACACTCACTACAGTATTTAATGATGCATCCAAGATTAAAGGTATGATCTCTAAGAACTTGATCCGATGTCCATATAAATACAGGAGTTGGAGTAAAGACGCAAAGGAAAGTGGCACAATATTTACCTTCTTGCACAACCAGATGAAGATTCCTCCGGATAATATCCCAATAACCACCCAGCTTCCAGAGGTGGAGCTCTGGCCTTCCTGCACAAGGTCAAAGCTGGCAGCCAGCATCACCCCAGCCGCCAGGCCATTGCATATACCTGCCCACTGCGGCTCTAACTCCACAAAGAAGAACGGCACTGCGCCCAACCCAGTTGCTGCAGCCATAGCAAGAGTGAATAACGCAACTGTGGACGTCGAGACTCTTCTGCTTCTCTCATCAATCCCATGGAATTTAGCCTCAGATCTACCAAACCCATTTTCCGTCACCCGTCCATCTATAACAGAGTCTTCCAAGTATCTATTAGGAGCTGTCTGTATCTTTCGAGGCACTTTCTTTTCTGAGAGCTCAGTGGCAGAGCCGTGGAGGAATACATGGGCCAGAAGAAGAAGGAAGATTGCCGACCACAAGCCCATGTTTTTGCCAATAGAACTGCCACCCCACCTCACAGAATCTTGATCTTATGCGAATAAATCGAAATATTGTTCGGGATAATACAGGTAAAAGATATCTTAAGACTATCTGAGCTCAGTTGGACAAGAAATCGTCATAAGAATATCTGCCGATTCTAAGAGTTAAATCCATCTCGGCAGACTCTCTGCTTGAATGTGGCATCGGAAGAATAAATACCGCCGCCCAATCATATTCCTCGGAGAAGAAATCCCCCACCTTCAGAAAAGAAGATCCCAAGAACAGTCACATGTCGATGGCTCCACTTTATGAACAATGGAAGACGCAGAAGATAGGGCCTGAAGCATGAAAATAACAGGCATTATTGTCGAGTCGACATAAATCACCCGATTGCCTCTCAAAAAAATCACGAAAAACAGTAAAAGAAGACAACTAAGCACCACTGGGGGACTTGAAGTGGAAAGAAGAAAACCGCTTCATAGATCCTGAAAGGAATCAGATGATGAAAGAGTTGTCGACAGCGTCATTCAAACAAGGAATAGAAAAGCCATCAGCAGCGCCGGGGTTAAGTAGATCTAATGAGTCCTTGTTGGCAAACCGAGCTCGTGATGGCGCAAAAGCGTCATTCAGAGGAACGTATCGGAACAGAAGACGATAGAAATCCAAACGACAAAGAATCAAGGAGAACTACGTTTTCCTCGAGAAAAGCTCGAATTCAACGACGGCCCGACGCAAATATAGCATAGACAGACTCCCAAGGATCGCGATCGGGATCCACCAACTTACCTTTCGAGGGGCGCCCTGGCAAGGATCGACCATCATAGGACAATTTCGACCCTCTCCGACCAGATTCAGGTCGGCTCACGAACCGTCCCCAGAGATTTACCACCCACAGCGCGTATCTAAATAGGAGGAACGAAAACTAAGGGATTGCCGGAGTCGCCTCCGAGAGAAAAAAGGCTCCGCACGAACCCTAGTTCCCCCGAAGACAACCTCCACCAACTGTCGACACATCGCTCTAAACGCAACATCTTAAACAAAAATAAAAAACAATATAATAACATGCCATTGGGTGGAGCCGCACGTTGTTTTCGGGAGACAAAAAAGGGACTCTCAGAAAACCGGCGATGGCCGCCCCCAAAACCGCTTACCCTGCAACAGCAACGCCTGGTTCCCAAGATCGCCTACGCGTCTCTAGGCGACGACGACCCAATCCGCGGGAATGTAGGGAGAGAAAGAGAGAGAGAAAGGAGAGAGAGAGAGAGAGAGAGGGATATTCTCCAGGATCTCGACAGGGGACGGCACGGACCAGCGGTGGCCGCCGGTCGACTCCGAGCCTCAACGCGATCTTAGCGGCCGTCGCGGCGGATTTTTTTACAAGAGTCGTCGACTCCTCGCATTGAATTTCTGTCGTGGCCGGTGAGCAGATATTTACCCCACATAAATTCCTGTAATTAATTATCTAATTAATAATGCTGACGCGTCGCTCGCTGACCGACCGACTGAGGATGGTAACGGACCCTTTAAACGGTTCCACATACCTGACACCATAACCCCGTTTGCTTACCGACCCGAGGACAGGAGACTGGCATTTTTTTTTTGAATTATTCATTTTATTTAACTAATATTTATGGTTGACGGAGCAGAGTGGAGGTCAACGGAGGAGAGAATTCTTAATTTTCAATTCAATTAGTGGGCAATATAGGAAAATAAGATAATGCCGGTGGGGGATATGAGCTGCGGAGGTTCTCAGCCGTTGGATCAAACAAACGTTGCCATCAAGGACATTGTCCCCAACGATGGCGATTCTCTTCCATGTAGGGGTGGAGCACCTGAGGGGCAAAGAAAGGGAAGAACAGCATCAGACTAGTCTATCATTGCAAGGAAAATAAACATGATTGAACGCCAGGTTGACCAGGGATCACACCTTGGCGGGTTTTCCTCTGGCAGCATGTCTACAGGTGGCAGAGGATGGGCCCTTGGAACTGAAGGAAAGTCAACGATTCCATTTGATATTTGTGGAAATTTACAGAGAGAGAGAGAGAAAGATACGCATGAGACTATGTCATGACGCCAATCCCTCAGTATCTGGGGTACCAGAACATTCCTTTAATTCCTTGGGGGTCGGGCTCGAAACCCAGATTTCTGTAAAAGTCAACCACTGCATTGGGCAAGGAGACAGAAAGATCAAACCTTTGAGAACTGCATGGATTCCACCTAAAACTCTGAAAAATGATTAGATGCCATAAATGGAAATGCGAGAGAAACTGGGCAATGCCCACCAAGGAGTCCCCTCATGGAGACCCAGCTCATGCCCAACGAACGAAGACGAAGTGGTCAGAATCTGTACCTTTATCATCAGCAAATAATGTTATGTTCCCGATGTCTCTCTGCAGCAACGCCCTGATCATCTGCTCAATGAGGGCTTTCCCAAGGCCCCGCCCCTGCAACATGTAGACACGTTTCAAACGATGCCATGAAGACAGAATATGTACTTATCGTCTCTCTCTCTCTCTCTCTCTCTCTCTCTCTCTCTCTCTCTCTCGTTTGAGAGCACTGAGGTTTTGCCATGAATTCCAAAGTTCCTGGTCCTCATTTGTGTTGTCCATGAGATGCAGCCAAAAATAGAATTGAGACAAGGAACATTCCCACATCAATCAGGATATTAGAAAATACCGCGCAGTTCGAGTAGCTTTACCTGGTATGAAGGATCAACGAGGACATCCCAAATGGTGGCGTTGAATGCATGATCGGATGTGGCACGAGCCATCCCAATGAGCTGCTTCCGATCATTTCCCTCTGTTATATAAATGAGTCACGCAAAGTTCTGCACTTGAAGAACAGGGCAAGGCCATGTGAGATCAGACAGTGAACTGGGGGGGAAGAACCTGAGCCAGATGATCTGTTTATAGCATGCAGAGTGGCAACCATGTAGCTGTTCTTCAGAGCAGTAGCTACTTTTGATGGTGGCCTTCGAGGCCAACCCACCTGTGGATTTCGTCTAGAACCATCAATGGCAGGGAATAGAAAGGCAATTACAGACTTTGGGATCAATAAGCTCAGAAATATAACCTTATCACATAATGCTTGAAGATCATAAACGTCCACATCACCACCTGAAGAGAAAACAATCTCCTCAACTGTTCCATCCGGCTGGGTCCTTTCAGTGAGGACGAATTCTTGTGGCAGAGGCTCCTCGTCCTCAGGGGGTGTTGAGGGAGGTTCGATTACTTCTGTTGTGTTGTTGTTCTTCAAGAAGCTGCAAGAACAGAAGCATGGAAGTATTGTTGAGACGCTATGGTCAACTCACGGTTCGTTCCAAGAATGGAACATATGACTCAATATAACATTAGGAAAATAGGAAGACTGATGATGAACCAGGCGAAATCAGCATCTAAAGACTGAACGCAGGATATTCTAGTACATTGTGATACAAATCAAGAGAGCCAAATGCCTGTGGCTGGTGCATTGCATGGAAAGTTTGGACCTTCAATAAGTAGTTAAGAAGGCAAGGATTAAAAGCTGTTTGGGGCATTTGATACTTTCATTGGCCTTATTCCAGTATAAATTAAATAAGAAAAGAATATGGATATCTGCCAACAGATGTTACCATTCAACTTGTCATTCAGAAATTTAGAACAAATGAAAGTTTTGCCAAACGCAGACAATTGAGATGCTTTTGCTTATTTGTTGATTCACAATCATAAGCAAAAGCCACATGTGAGGGATGACTGCATTAGAAATCAAAGCTTCGCCATGGAAAATAGAATGTTCTCCTATAGTTGTTCATTTAAATCCTGAATGCCACCTAGAGATTCGAACTTGTTTCTTCTAAGTAGGTTGTTTTTTAAGTACTACTAAACAACTTGAGGCTCTGGCTCTTAGCAACCCAAATGAACTCTCTTTTTGTGATGCCCATTTGCTGCACTAAAGCAATTCTAAAGTTCTGTTTTGTCATTTTTCTTTGTTGACTAATATTGTTTAAAATATGCCTCTGATGATACTAAAAATATTTTCCTTCTGTTTTTAATTTTTAGTTTAAGGAAACCTTCCATTGTGCTAAATAAGCTCAAGGGGCTTACATCTCGCTGCTAGCCCCCACTCCTTTCAGACTCCCATGAATTGTTCTTAACTGCTTAATGGGTATTCATCTTTCTTCTTTTCTTTTACCTTTTGTTTAGTGACTAGTTTAAGCTCATACTTTAACCAGATATATTCCGATGAAATTCTTGTAAGACAAAGTGGGTCTATTATTTCTTCAGGAAAAAAGGAACATACGAAGATATTGTATACATAAATTGGAAAGCATGCTTGAGTCCACAATATGGCATCAGTTGCCCTTTTAATGCAAATGTACTATACATTTCCGTTACCCAGATCTGATGGAATCCCAGAAATTAGCCTTCAGCGGACAAACCTTTGTTGCCCTTTTCCCTGCATATATAAGCAACGAATGATGAGTAATTTTGCAACTATCAATACGTGGTAAAGATTTACGCATCAAGTAGTTTGTCAGCATGGTAAAGACATAAATATCAAGATTATTATTAGATAGTCTGCATAAGTAGAAAGAGAAAAGCCAAGAGTTGAAATATGTCAGTTAATAAATTCTTATGAAGCTAAACTCCCTGCTGCCGATCAATCTTCTTTCTAAAAAAGCTTACTAATGACATTGTATGGTCCTGCTCTTAATGACACACTAGATTGATGCTTAATGTGAGACAAACTTAAGCAACAATGGATGGACCCATGAGAATGGACTGGATTAGAACAAGAGAGGGAAGAGACTTTGCCAGAGAAGGAAGAGGCAACACCCTTAGTGGGGAGTTGGAAGATGCCTATCAGATACGAAAACAATAGTGGGATATATACAATTGGAAAAAAAAAGAAGGGAAAAAACCCATTGGCAGCATATTGGATAGAAAGCAGATATGCTTATTTACAAAGTAAAGAAGGGGTTAAAGACGGAAATATTGGGCAAATGTAGACCAATCTAGTGGCTAAACATACTTTTGCATTCTGCCTTGAGGCCAAATATTTACACATTTTTTCCACAGTCCAAACACAGGTAGGTTGACTGAGCCTGCACACTCTCCTGGCTCAATGATACTTGGAACATTCACAACTCAGTCTAGAGTAAGTAAACGGAGATAACTTTACACTTGCATTTGGTACTATCCCAGTCGTCCGTTTGCTCTATGCTCCAAAAAATATGGAACTACATCATGCCAGGCCTTTCATAAGCATATGTAGACGGTTTTTTGGATTATATTAATGACAAAAATATGATTTTTCCAGGAAAAAGATATGGCCATCAAGAAGAAATCGAAAGCTATGTTCATTAAGCATCATGCCACTATGATAAAAAATAATACTGACCTGGCATCAATCTCACATACAGATTTGGAGGAACTACATATCTCTTAGGTCCTCGAAAACGGCAAGTAATATAGTGAGTCCTACAACTGGTACAGAACATAGAAAAGCTTAACCGAAGAAAAATTAAAAAACTAAAAAAATATGAAGAAGTTATACATTAAAAAGTAAAGAAAATAGAAAACGATTTGAGGAAATCTATTGGCATCTTTCTGCATTGTGAAGAAATCTAATGGCGAATTTCATCAGAAGAATCATAATGACATATTCTGTGAGAAAAATGAATTTACAGCAAGGAGAAATCAACAAGAATCGGAGTCGCAAGAATTCCCTTCCAGCAAGTTCAGACTTGATAGAACGAAAAATGAATTTACAGCAAGGAGAAATCAACACTTTCTGTGAGAAAAATGCATACCAAAAGAAATGGAGGAAACTTGGAACCGAGTAATTACACGAAAATATATAAAAAAAAATCCAGGACTAGTTTTATCTGTGGCCATAAAGTAAAGGACAACAAAGGCATAATTACATCCAATTTCAATCGATGAAAGAAGGGACGGAACTTTTAAGCAATTACAGGGAGGGGGCCAACAAGTTCCCCAAGTCAGTTACAACGAGCAGGAAAAGAAATTGTTCTCCAGGCCGTTCATTGTGGTTCTCTACTAAACTCCTTCACAAAGCATCAACGTTCCACGACAAAGAAACATCCCGACGCTTCATCGGAAAGTGTAAACGCATGCTTTTACGGGAGCATGTACCATACCCGTGCGCTAAGGCAGAATCCAAGAGAAGAAGAAAAGAAAAAAAGAGGAACAGGGAGAATGCGCAGCGATCGTTCCAAACCCTTACACGGGATGCACCGTCGCGACGTCGAGAAGCAGCATCGCGCGCTCCTAGAAGCCTTCCAGCCAGCTTCAGATGGCTACACTTCAGCAAGTGGCATGCGATCCGGAGACGAGAAGGGCGACAGGAATCAGCCCCCACCTCGCCCCCGACGACCGCGAGGATAAGGGCTCCCAGTGACTTCGATTCTGAAGCCCACTGCCGCTCAGTTCTCTGGTCAAAATAAATTAATATAATATTTAATAAAGACTCGCCATTTATCCAATACATTTAATGGGCTATATGTTTTGGGCCTTTAGAGGCCCATAAAATAGGAGGGGCCAATTTGAACCAGGTAACGGATGAGCTGGAAGTGGCACATCCGTTAGTAACGTGAGCCCTCCTCTCTCACTCTCTCTCTCATCCAGGCGTAGCTTCGTTTCTTCCGACTCTCGTCCCCACGGACCGCGTTTATCTCGGGATTTCTCCACGAAGTCCTTCCCCTCGTGATTGATCCTGGGAGTCGATATCGGAGGAAGAAGGGCCTCCTCCACTGCTTTCGGTACATCGTATTTCGATATCCTGGAAGAGGAGGCGATTCGTCCGCTACTTTCGGTGCGTGGTGTTCCGTCATCAGGTTAGTAAGTTTTTTTCTGAGAAGAAGGGTTAGCGTCTTTTGTTTAGCTCTGCGACGGTGTCCGGAGGATTAGCTCTTAAGATCCTACATGCTTCAAATTCTACTGCATCAGCTCGTAGAATGAAAATCGAATCAAGTAAATTAAAAGGTTCCAAAAGAGTTCGTGAACAAGTCTATCGTCATGGATTTTATCCTCCCTGCAATTTGTATGAACCAATTACATGGAGGACGTCCATAATTTAAATCTTGAGGTGAGATCTTCATGCAGGCTCTATCGCGAGTTCCTGATTTAGAATTCCGTGGGCTGATTTGTGATCCTTCGGTTTGTGTAAGCTTCATTTGTCACGAGTGAGCCTTCTCTTTGCTGATGGGGAGATGACTGTTTTTCAGACAAAGGCGTCCACGAAAGTACTTCCTTAAGTTCGGGGCTCGTCTGATGTAACTGTCCTGTCTTTCTGAAGAAGCTGACTCGTATCCGGTTCCACGAGAATCCCCTTTTTTTTGGATGGATATTTACTCACAGGGTCCAATCTATGGCTGTCCTACACTCTTTCATTTGATCGACAGCTTTCTAATTTGATACCATTGTCGAGCCCTTCGTGCTTCAGCACTACATTCAATTCAGATTTTATCTAAGGATGTTTAGTCTCACTGGAACAATGTGCCGTGCAGCATACATCCCCTGTTTCCTACGCCAAGAGGTTCTAAATCTGGCTAAGATTTTTAATAACATGTTCTTCATTTGAGTATGATGGTTTTACATGGAACTTAGAAAAGTATTAGAGATGTAATTACGTACATGGAGGCTTGATGGGGTGGCTCTTTCTAGAGAAATAAACTTGCATTTAGGCAGTTACATCCCGTTGATAGGCATGGTGAAAATTTTTATTTACTGTGTTTTCTTTAACCCTGGTTACTGGCATACTTCTTTGTCAATTCGACCCTGCGTCTCTGGACCTGATTTTGTATTTCTCACTCTATTCTATATTGATGTAAAAAAATTCCCTTTAGGAGCATAATCTTTAAATCTGTACATCAGTTTTCTCCATCGAGGCGTTTATATTGTGTTTTACGCAGAAATATGTTATTTATTTTCCTGATCCAACCTCGCGTGGGAGTGGATATTTATGAAATATCATATGATACGTTTTGATTTCACACTCTGACTCCTGTATGACGTCTTTCATACCTGTTTACGGTGGAGTATGAATATCCAAGTGTTTTTCTAACTATCTTACAAGAAAAGTGATGGTGCCTAGAATCATACATTTGGAAACGGACGTATAAAAAATTGGAAAATTTGTTTATCAACGCATGATCAGCCAAATGCTTAGGTTTTCCAAAATATTTGGAAAATCACGTGAGCAGATACCCTTATACCCCCTATACGTTTGAATATCATTTTAATAATTACCATTCATCAGACATGCCAAATTTAGATAATATATATGTATATATATCAACTGGATATGTAAAGTCCATTATTAAATGGATAACAAAGTAGCCTTATATAATCAAATGAAAATTTTCTTGGGAGATGTTGAAATCCAAAGGAGACAAAACTCAAAAACTGAAGTGTCTGGTATGATGATGCTGAGGAACTCTCTCTCTCTCTCTCTCTCTCTCTCTCCCCTCCTCTGAGGGTGGTAAGGGGGAGGAGGAATTAAAGAAAAAAAACTATAGCACAACTTCGCTGACTAATCGTAGATGGATATTCAATGAGTACCAGTAAATTTATTGGCACTTAGATGTGGGCATCATCTACTTTTCTTACTAATGATTAACATGACGTATCCACATTCTTCACCTTATTGCTTCTGGGTCGTAGTTTCCTTAAGATATCGTATCCTTTCTTCCTTCTACCTGCGATTCATTGGATTTTACCTCTTTCCCTTTTTATTGATAATGCTTTTCTTTACGTTTTTTTCCCAAGTTTCTGTGAGTTTCCCCTACCAGAAGCCACTCTGAAGTTTAGATGGGCAACTGCAGTTTCTTCAAGGTTAGTCTTCCAATTTTCTGTACCACTCATGATCATATGATCTGTTTTCAAATCATTTTTTTAGTTATTTTTTCAGTTTTTTAAGCATATATCCTTCCCCCCTCTTTTATTTTTGTTCAAACGTTAAAGTATTAGTTTGCATATCATAGATTTCTGATGAGCTATGTTTTTGCTGAGGGCTGATAGTTTCATACTATTGTGTTTACTAATGGCTCTTTTTAGTAAGTTTCTCGTCTCAGATTTACCTTTATTGGATGTTTATACTTTAATTAAAAGGAATAAAGTGATCGCATCATTGCTTTAATCATTAACGAGGGGTTCTGCCATCAGCTTAGTACATGCACGATTAACTGATCTTATAATCGAAATTTGATGTCAAAATCATCTGAAGTTATACTAAGAAGCATTTTACGCCAAGCTCATGTGGCTTAATCCCTTTGGTCCTGTTTCCTAAAATCTTGTCCTCTTCGTCTAATCCCATATTGAAACCACGGTTTTTTGTTCTTTGATTGCAGAGAAGAGATAATGGATCTGATTCTGAAGAGAAGATAGATTTCAGAAGTGGAAATGTGCAGGTGGTAACTTCCAAGGAAATGTGGGACGAAAGGATTTCCCAAGCAACTAAAGATGGCAAGATGGTAAGCACATTCTTGCCCAAAATCTTATTTTTTGAGTGGCACATTATTGACAAATGCATATTGTCTTATTTTCTGGAGCCACAACTTTAATAATATTTGGCAATAATAATTTCTAATCACATGTTTCGCGATTTATGTTTTTTTTTACTTCTTCTTGCATCATGGTTTGATGGAGCTAATTTTATGTAAAAAATATGGGTAAACATTACCAATATTTTTTAACAGTAACTTAAAATAAAAGCAAAAAATAAGTTAAATATATGAAGATTTTGAAATAATATAAATTATTATTATTATTATTATTATTATTATTATTATTATTATATTGTATACATTATTTTCATCACCCATCCTTTGAACGATAGTGGCCAACAACATGATAAAATTAATTACTGCAGAAATAAAGTGTTACAATTTTATTTTGTAAGATGAAACATAGACTAATAGCCATCGTATAACATAATTTATGAAGGTTCATTACTTGCATAGTTTCGCCTTTTTTTTGCTTGTCCAGCATCTGATCTTCGTTTATTTATCATCCTTTTCAGGTTGTTGCGAATTTCAGTGCAACTTGGTGCGGCCCATGCAGACTGATTGCGCCCCTTTACAGCGAACTTTCCGTGAAGTACCCCTCGCTCACTTTCATCACGGTGGACGTTGACCAACTCACGGTATGTTCTGCTTCTAAGACTCGGTCAACGAATTCCTGATTCAGCGGGGGTGTTCTTGTTGGGTTGACCCAGCGAGCTGAGTGAAAAGGACCCCAGAAGGGAGTCTTTGATCTTCTGCTCCACATCAGATGACCCGTTGACCTGTCTGAAACCCGAGCCGCTGACTCTCAGATGATTCTGTGTTCTCTTTTGGCGGTGTTCAACAGGAGTTCAGCTCTTCCTTGGACATCCGAGCGACTCCCACCTTCTTTTTCCTGAGGAACGGGCAGCATGTGGATAAACTCGTGGGTGCCAACAAACCAGAGCTCGAGAAGAGGGTGGTCGCCTTTGCAGAGTCAACCTCCCATTGACGAACAAAAGTCTCCGCTCATATCTATCAAACGGTAATACCTCACCATCAGATCCCAATATATATCGTTAAATAAGGCCCTTTTGGACTGAAATCGATCAATATCTCCTCATCATGTCCCATCCTTTCTTTTCTTTCATGTGAAAACATGGTCAACGGGTGTTTATGATCATCTTTCTCAAAGTAATGCAGGTTGTGTCAGTACTAAAAATGGAAATATATCTGCATCAGATCCTCAAGAACTGGTCTGAAGCCATGGCTGATGGGTGGTGGCGGCTCGTGAAATATATTTTTCGTCAGAACTTAGCTAAAAATGGAAAAAATTATCGGCATTAGATTCTGGATGATGCTAAGGTTGGTGAGAATGCTGTTGTGAGGAGGGAGGATATCCGGTGAGGAGTTTCCTTGTAAGGAGGTGCTGAAGAGAGTCGAAACGGATCAAGCCCGACCCAAACCCGGATTTTCTCCTCCGAGGCCCATTAAAAGCCATCCGAGGCCTATGAGCCGAGTAATCGTATGGAGCGGTTTATTGGAATTGGGCCCACTTATAGGCTCAATTGGGCCGGGAATTCTCTATAAATTGCCCAAGTCCGAAGGAAAACAAACTGGGCCGGGGCGGTATGGGCTAGAGACGAGGATGTTCGGTCCATTAAGGGGGGGCAGCGGCGGATAATGCACGAACTAGCCTTCGGAGGGCACTTGCGACTGCCGATCGATTTCTAGTTCTGCGACGAACTGTGCGATCCATGGGGGATGAAGAAGGGGACGAGCGGTGAAGGCGAGGAGGATGCGATGTGGTGATTGATCCCACGAGGTTCCCGGAGAGGCGGAGGCCTCTGCATCGATCTCTGCGAGCGGGTGCAGGCGTACATTTTCCAGCCGTCGGCGGAAGATCGAAGAATCGCTGTGGATCCTTATCTTCTTGATTCGGGAACAGGTGCTTCTCCTGCAATCTCCACCCTCTCGCCTTCATCTCCATCTCTTCTCCGGGGAGGAGGAGCGGCTGCCCGAGATTCGGGATTGGAGTCTGTGATTTCCGTCGACCGTGCCTTATCTCCGGGGAAACGTCGGAGGCGCAAGAGTTTGAGGGGCTGGGGAGGGTGAGGAGCGCTGGTTCTTCTGCAGTCGTCTCGGTTTTTGCAGGGCTCCGGAGTCTCGTCGGCTTCGGTGATGTGCGATTGCGGCTATCTGAGTTCCCGCCTTCTCCCACGCGAATCCTCCGGTGAGAGGATTCGAGGTGGCCGCCTCTCCAGCTGCTTTGCGACGGCGGCTGTGTACCGTGACGTTGTCCTCCAGCATCCCGGCGGGTGGAGGGTGTCAGGCCGTGGCAGAAGAGGCTGCTGGAGTTTTTCTCGGCAGAGAACGGTCATATCTGTTTGTACGGGTGTTCTGGCGGGCGGGAGCTTCTTCGTTAGGGTTGGACAGCACAATACCAAAGGACATGGAACGCCCGGGGCGTTCCCGCCGGACGCGCAGAGATTCATCAGAGCAGTGCGCTCTGCGCGTCTCAGGGATGACGAGGGAGGGCTGGACAGTGCTGATCTTTTGCCAGCGAGGTTTTCAGAGGTTGACGACACTTCTGTTCCATCGAATTTCGATGTTCTTCAGTTGAAGAGGGAGTTGGGGAAGGAGGAGAGGGGAGATGAAATCGCCGACAGTGCGGTGGACGAGAACAATCTTATCCCCTCGGAAGACCCGGAAAGTATCGTCTCAGACTCCGGACAGAAGAACAGCGTTGACCGAATTTGGGGTTCCAGGCGTGGGAGGCAGGTGCTGAGAAGATCAAGCTTGCTGGCTAAGCAAGTCATCAGTGTTCACTCTGCTCGCAGCCTGGGTTTCATCTCCCAGCTCTGGGTGGACACCATTTCGGTAAGCTCTATATGCTTTCCATAACTTCAACCTTCAGCAGAGAAATATGCAGAGCTCATAATACCATTATACATGAAAACCGGAAAGCAAGGCCTTAGCAGTAAGCTCGTCATATCTCTGTTACAACAAGAGGTTTCGGTGATCATCATATACATATAGATATCGCCCATATATAGATACTGCAGTCAAGTCGATCATATTGCACCTCACTCACATTGTCCAGTGCTTATTCACTGGAACGCGTTCCATGTTTCAGGAAGAACCTTGGCATTTGTCAGAAACTCGATTATGCGACTGTGATTCTAGCCCTGTTAGACCTGGAATATGGGGTCCTTTTAAAATGTCTCTCCATTTCTCAATTGCTCAAAAGACGTAGAAAATAGCATGATCCTAATGGGTTTTCTGAAATCTCGTCGTCTGGGTAGAAGTGATCAGAAATAGAAGAATTGAGCTGATCTTCACTGATAATTCACCGTTTTGGGCCCGTAACTGGAAGAACTAGACAGAGCGAGCTCTAGTTTTATCTAGTTAATTATGTTTTCACTGATCTGACTACAATAGGCCCTACCTTCATCGAAATAACAGTTCTTGGCTTGAACAGGGACAAGGAAAGCATCTGGCCACGGCCCCTTTTATTTCTCACGAACTTTATAGATTCCTATAAAATTTACCGTGCTCAGACTTTCATGCTGTGTATGGCAGCGTGTGTTCTTCTTGTTATTGGCATAGTCTCTGGTGATTAATCCCAAAAATGGAACGCGTTCAAGAACAATGCTTTGATCGTCGTTGTAATTTTCTGCAGTGGACTGTTGTTATAGTGGAAGTGAGGCCGAACTTGTTGTCAGGAGAAATAGAGAGGCTGCTCCTCGAGGACCTGGAGCAGGTATGCTAAAGATCCTGATCATCTGATGGCCCATGTTTCTTTAAATATCCATGTCTTATCGCTTGTTCTCACGGTTATTTGGTTGACTTTTCTTGCCCACTCGCTTAATAACTAATGTCGGTGCTATTTCCCCAATAACCACCAACCCGGATATACTAATTTTTTTATTTTTTTTTCGTACGCTCTGCAGTTCTTTAAAAAATCCATTTCTTCTAGCTCTTGCCCCACCGTTACCTCCATTGAATACCACTGCCCACCTCTTCAAGAACCAATGTCGGTGCTATTTCATATCCTGCAAGCTCATTTTTTTCTTTAAAACCCATTTATTTCCTTTTTTCCAACAGCTTACCTCCATTGAATCCTCCAACCTACCCACCTCTTTAAGAGGCAATGATGGAGGTATTTTCGCCTCATAACTTCGGCGCGGATCCGTTATCTTCTTCCTTCTCAGGTGAAAGCATTGGAGTTGGTTGACTTTATTTCCCAGAATAACTCAAACCCTTTTCTTTTTTTCTTTTTTTTTTCTTTTTTTTTTCTTTTTTTTGGTGAGACCCGCGTGGAAATATATGCCCCCTGAGGTGAGTAAAACCACTGGGTTTATTATGTTTTTAATTCCCCGGCTTGGGCGTTGACTGGAATCATAAAAATTGAAACTTTATCACATCTGATCCGATGGAGAGATGAAAAGTGTCCCCACCCCACCTGAGGCTCTTCTTCTTCCTCTTCACAGGTGGGCGACGTGGTGCTCGTACAGGACGAGAGCGTGATGGAAAATGAGCTCAAAATGATCGGCCTCGACACCCTGGTAATGCCTTCTTCTCGGCACTACTTCATAAATTAAATAATAAAAATAAATATAAAAAATCTCATCTTTACTCGATGGCCCTTCTCCTTCGCTAGGTAGGATACAACGTGGTGACCCCGGCACGCCGCAAGATCGGGAAGGTGAGGATAACAATATTATTATTATTATTATTATCGTTATTATTATGATAATTGTTGTTGTGATCTTCAGGTGCGTGGGTACAGCTTCAACGTCAACTCGGGGGCGGTGGAGTCGCTGGAGCTGGATTCCCTCGGCATCTCCGTGATTCCTTCGACCCTGGTCTCGATCCGCCCTCCCCCCCGCCGACCGTCTGAGGAGAAGGGCACCTGTTTCTGACCAGATCTCTCCTCTGTTCAGGTGAGCACCTACTCTCTGATGGTGGAGGACGTGATCGAAGTGGCCTCCGACTGCGTGGTGGTGGAGGAGGATGCGGAGTCCCGCTTGCAGAGGTTGACGAAGGTGCGCGGGTTTCTAGGGTTTTCGGTCACCGATCGAGACAGCGGATCGATCGTCCCTCACGGTCTGGTTCATCTTCCGGCAGGGACTGTGGGGCGACCGCTCCGGCGAGGCGTCTCCGGCGGCTTGGGACCACGTCGAAGAGTTCTCGGAGATGAGGAGGCGGGCGAGGCGGCCGGAACGCCGGCGAGGCGGCCGGAGGTTCTCGCCGGAGGGGGAAGGAGCCGAGGGCGACTGGGACCTCCCCATGGACTTTTAGGGTAAGGTAGGGGCGACTATTTTTTTTAAAAAGAAAATTCCAAAAATAGGTCTTCCGTACAGATAATTATGTATATCTGTATTTATTTAGAGTTAAATAACTATGCAGGAATAATGGTTTGTCCGGGCCTTGGGTTTATGCCCGAATTTTTTTCTTAAATGGGGATAAATGTAAAGTCATTATGTTTTAGAGGGCTGACGGGTAAAGACACCGAATGAGCAAGTATCTGCCATTTGTCTCCTCGTGTGGTCTATGCGGATGTCATCTAGGAATTTGGCGTCCGCTCGACTCTCTCTCTCTCTCTCTCTCTCTCGGCCTCCCGCCCTGCGAAAGAGGGAGGAGCTTCCCGCTCTAATGCAGGGCCCACAATCCCGTCGAAACGCAAGGCGCCAGTGCAGAGGGCCTTCCGTACACGTAATAGTCAAAAATACCCTCAATTTAATATGCTGTTAGCATAAAATGAGAGTATGACTAACACGCCATGTTAGGGTATGTCTGTCATTTTGTGTCAGACTGAAATTTAAATGCCACCACCTGGCGAGGGAGTGAGGGAGGGAGGTTAGAAAGAGAGAGAGAGACAGTCCAACTGGAGGCAGCAGGCATTGTTCCCCCCGGCTCCCAATTGCTTCTCGCTCTCTGAGGCTTCCTCGGTTGGAACGGGTTGACCTGAGGAAGCTAGCGGGACTTTCCGTCGTCGTCGGGCAATTTTCGTGCCATTGTTGCGATCGCCAGGGTCTGAGCGGCGGGTTGGTACGTTCCCATCGGTAGTTTTCGCTCATCGGTTGTTTGTCTTTGAATGTCGCGTTTCTTTTTTGTTAATCTAACTTAATGGACCCGTTTCAGTCCGAGATCTGTTATTCTCTTCGTGTAGAAGGATCTGATCTAGGAAGTTTTCTGTTTCCCTTGCATCTCCCTATTTTTGTCGGATTTCTGAACGAGCAGTCTTGTTTCTCTTGTCGGTTTCCATTGGCCGTTGAATTGTTGGTCGGCGTAGCTTGAGTTGGAGTTTTTGAGGTTCGTCTGATCTATTCTACGAGACGGTCCTCGTGCGATGTTTAATTGCTCTTATTCGGTCCTTTTCATTTGTCTCTCAAGTTTAAGGCTGAAGCAGTTTCTCCATCGACGGTGGGTCTTCTGCCTTTTTTTCTTTCGTTTGCCGTGCTTTAGACTGGAAATCTTCACAAATAATCTTTCCACTTTTGTTGTCTCTGCAAGACTCCTTGACAGTGGGATTAGAAATGATGCATCGATAAGTTTCATACTGTATTAGCTTTAATATAGTGTTCATTCCGAGTTATCCTAGGAGTTGTAGTTGAGCATCGGCGTAGTCAGATGGCCTCCGGCAAGTGTATTACCAGGGTACACACTAAACGTCTAATGGATGTGGTTTTACCATTATCCTTTTCATTCGGCGGTGTTCAGTCGGAACTCGCGGAGGTACTGGGATCTTCCTTTTCCTCTGTGGTAGCTGCAACTTGCTGCGACTGGAAGCCCCCTGCTGGGTTCCGTCGAAATATTTAATATAGTACTTTAATGCCCGTAACCGCTGGTCCATGTAGCTTCCAAAAGGAAAACGACACTAACTAGTGATCGTGTAAAAACTGACAACGAACGACACATTTTTTCGAGAAAAACGTCTATAATCATTTCCTATGGGTTTTCCCGTGATCTCCATTTGTTGATTTATGGTATGGGATGTCGATGGTGGCAATGGACTGAGTTTTTTCTGGATTTACTGCCCATTTGTCCTCTCTAGTTTCATTCACCAAGTGGATTTTCCCAAATCAGGACGGGGCCATGGCATTTTCGTAGACTGAGGTACACGTGAAAATCCTTTTCCTTATTGTCACGTGGCGGGCAAGTATCCCTTGGCCTAACCTGTCAATGTTTCCAACTCCGCGGACACAGTCGTCACCTAACGCTCCATTATCACTTCTTCTTTTTTTCCCTGAGATTCCCTGGCTTCTATTATATGTTTGGCTGAAAAATATTCATTCTCATATGCACACAAACTTATTCACGAGGTTTGTTGTCTTTAATTTGTACTGCTTATTGTCCCGTCAAATGGTATGCGACGTGAGAGATTTCGATGTGTTTCTGTTAAAGGCACATTCTTTGAATGGCACATCCAGCACTGCTTCAAGTATCACTGTAATTCAATATATTGCTGCCATCATCGTCCGCTCACATCTCTTCCTCCTTGGCAATTGAATTGTGTTGTTATATCTTCGCCATTTTGCGAAAATCAATATTTTTATGTTCTCATCATAGTAATTCCGTGATATGGTGCCTCCTTTGTTTATCCATTTTGGTACGAAAATGTGTGGGTCTCCAGTAAAAGGGCCACTGGATACTTGAACATGCAGTGATGAGCATGACTGCTGAAGTCCCATGACCCTATTATCTTGGGTGCTTCTAACGTTGCCGCACTATCCAGCCCACTCCCATCCATACATGGAGCACATCGCTGGACAGGGCAACTGTCAAATGCCCAGTGATGACACTTCATATATTTTCGGTGCTTGAGTCATCGTAGTTGTTGCCCTTGAGTCATCCATCTAATATCAAACACTTATCTCAATAAAGTTTGATGACTGGTTTCAGTCCACAGAACTTTTGCTTATGTTTGGTGGGTAGATAGCACTTTTTGTGCCTTTTCAAATAGTGTTGAAAATGAGAAAAGTCCAATTTATCTGCATGCAGCGCTTGAATTTTTCTCAATAACTCATTTGTTTCCGACTTTTTTTTTTGAGTATGAACTTCATCTGATTTACTTATTATCTTCGTAGTTTCGGCGTTGAGAACAATGAAGAGAATGGTTTCTAGAAAATCCCATTCCTGGTGGTGGGACGGCCACATCAATCCAAAGAACTCTAAGTGGATGGTGGAAAATCTTGAAGGTGAAGTGTCCAAGACTGTTCCTTCTCTTCTGTGATAGTCTTGACACAGAAGCCATCTCTTCAAATGCACAGAGTTTTTTTCAACTCGGCTCATGATTCACTTCAGCATCAGAGTAATTCTTAGTCTCGTGAATATTATTATCTCAAAGACCAATATTTCTTAGTCTTCGTATCATTATTCTGTGGGCAGAAATGGACCGCCATGTGAAGGAGATGCTGAAGCTGATAGAAGAGGAAGGAGATTCTTTTGCCAAGAAGGCGGAGATGTTCTACCAGAGACGACCAGAGCTCGTCTCCCACGTGGAGGACCTCTACCGCATGTACCGTGCTCTTGCCGAACGGTATGACCACCTCACTGGAGAACTGCGGAAGAACATTCCATCCCGCCTCCAGTCTCTGGGATCCGCCGGCAGCTCGGATACTGGGTCGGAGCCGCCGTCCCCATCTCGGTCTCCTCTGGAGGAAACCCCGGACCAGACGTTTCCTCAAGCCCACATCAACTCAAGAACAGGCGGGCTCAATCTCTTTCTTGGATCAGGTGGCGAGTCTGATTCCATCAAGAATATTAGGAGCCCAACATCTTCTTCGTCAGAATCAGGGTCTTACTCAGAGAGCGAGGACGCCGCCCAAGAAACAGATGCTGAAGATCGCTTGTCTCAGAGGATAGCCGAGCTGGAGGCCAAGCTGCTGCACTCGGAGGAGAAGCTCAGGAGCAGCCATGGTCCTCTTCTTTTCAGGGTTTCCGAGCTGGAGACCGAGCTTGCTGCTGCAAATGAGGAGCTTCAGTCCGCAAGAGAGACGATCCGGCAGCTGCAGCAGCGAACCAGCCTGGAAATAGAAAAGAACTCAGCTTTGGAGGCTGCCCATTCTGCAACTGTGGAGCAGCTGAATTCTGTGGCCTCAACCCGCGACCAGACCCTTCGAGCTTTGGAGATGGAGATCGCCGTTCTGCGGGAACAATCCTCCCAGGAGAAAGCTCGTCTGGAAGCCGCCATTGCAGGCCAGGAAATGTCCATGGAGGAGCTCCGAGCATCTGTGGAGGGATTTACCCGCGAGAGGTCTCTGCTCGAATCCAAGATCAGGGAACGAGACCAGGCCATTGAAGAGTCAAGTGCCTCCATGGCGAGCTTGTCCGAGGCGCTTGCGTCTCTGAGGGTGAAGCTTTCTTCGTCGGAGGAAGAAGGGAGAAAGCGGCTCGAGGAGGAAGCAGGGAGGGCGGCGCAGGGGCTGCTGGAGCGAGTCGAAGTGCTTGAGCGGGAGGTGGAGAACCAGAGGGCCATGATATCCGATGGGGCCGAGAAGAAGAGGGAGGCAATTCGGCAGCTCTGCTTCTCCCTCGAGCACTACCGAGATGGCTACAACGAGCTCCGCCAGGCCCTGCTGGATTATCGCCGCCCACCGTCCCTGCTATCCTCCTGAGCTCTCTCTCTCTCTCTCTCTCTCTCTCTACAGGCGGGGATTTTCTTTCTTCTGTTGCTTCTCTTGTCTCTGTGGAGCGGATGCTGTGCGGCAGCGAAGGCTGGCTGTGGGTATGAACGCTTGCTTGTCTTTAGTTTGCCGGTGGATTGTCTCCCAGTTTTTATCTTGTTCTTGGTTTTTCTCGGGGAGAGAGGGGCAAGGCTAAGAAATGAGAGAGAAGCAAAGCTGGAAGTCAACTCTCTCTCTCTCTCTCTACAGGCGAAGGCTGCCTGTGGGTATGAATGCGTTCTTGTCTTTAGTTTGCCTGTGGATTATCTCTCTTGTCTTGCAGGGAGAGGGGAAGTAAAAGCTGAGCGATGAGAGAGAAGTAAAGCTGGAAGTCAACTCACGCTGTGGGGGAGCTGGTAGGTCACTAGTCTCTCTCTCTCTCTCTCTTTCTCTCTCTCTCTCTCTCTCTCTGCTCTGGGATATCGACCAATCTAATGGGATGGGAATATGGGGGAGAAATTTAACGCATATGATGAGGGAGCTAGAGGAGTTCACGTTTCATTGATTGGGCGAGCGTTAGGTGATCTGATTTCGCTTCGTTTATTGTCTTCTATATTAAACTAACCACCTGAACCAATCTCGAGAAAAAAAAGATGACAATCCATTCTATTGGTTCTTAGCCCGTCGGTCAGCTGTTTGTGGTTCTTAGCCCGTTGTTCTGGGTCCTACGCAGGGGGAGAGAAGTCAACTCAGGTGATACGAGAGAGAGAGAGAGAGAGAAATCGATTGAATGTACTTGGTTGACGATTAAAAGTCTTCGCATTAGTCTGGGTTTTTCCAAATGAGAAAGGTCAAAGGAGTAAAGTGCATAAAAGTCAACGCACAAGATGAGGGAGAAGATCTTCTTCCTCTTGGTTCATCGTCTTACCCTGTTGTTATGGGTTTTTTTTGGGATGGACAAGCTCAATCCATCCAACAAGAAATGGGAAGCGTGGGTGGGAGTCAACTCGGATAATGAGGGAGGAAAGAGAGCGAGAGACAGAGAAAATCGACTCACAGTTGCTTCATTGACCAGCAAGAACATCGCCTCGGTTTTTTTTCAGAGAGAGAAAGAGGGCAAAGCGTGGGGGGAGGGAAAGAAAAGTCGTGCAACGATGGCAGAGTCAACTCATACCACGGGCGAAACGCCGCTGGCCGCGCCGCCGGGCCAACGCCTTGTAATGAACGTGTTGACTACGTCTTCATCTCTCTGTCCCTATAAACCTTTCTCTAGGGTTTGACTTGCACAAAAACACAGGCTGATCACCCCGGGTAAGTACGGGGCCCCACGCGTCTGTGGCCCCCACCTTGGACATGCCACCACATTCCCCACCTACCATAGGGTTTTATGCCGTGTCCATCGGATGACTTCCAGCCAATGGAAGGGCGCCACGTCATCTACGTGGTGCCTACATTCACGTCCGTCGCATGTTGGCACCGTACGGCGTCTAACCGGCCACGGTTTGACTTTTGTATAGACGACCAAAAGGAGAAGAAGAAGAAGCAGAAGAAGAAGAAGAAGACGAGTAGAAGGCAGGGGGGGAAGGTCCGCTAAAACCTTCCGATCGGGGACGTCGAAGCATCTCCTCCAACGCTGTGCCGTATGGAACAGCATAATTTTGGCTCGACCGTCTACCTTGGAGATTCTCACTAGACCTCTCTCGCTCGTTAAATGTTGGGGTAGTTCGTCCGAGAACGGCAGCGATCGGAGGGAAGATCTGGTGTTTGGTTCAGATCGATGCGCTTCTGAACTTTCAGTTCCTGGTCCGTCCTAGATATTTCGGCAGAGTTGACGGGATTCAGCCAAATTAGTTGTGAGATTTTCCCCTTACTTTGTCGTTCTCCGCGTTCTGTTTTCCTTGGTTTTTCTCGATGGAGTTCCCTCTCGGTTTCGATTTAGCGGTTCTCGTCTGTTCTTCCTTTGGTGATGGATTTCTCCGCGAGTTTTGTGGTATAACATGAATCTCTAATGGAGGGAGCGGTATTTTGCGTGTATCTTTGCTTATCCTCAGATGGTGGTGTACAATCGGCTGGGTCGTTTCCTCTGGTTTTTCCCAATCTCACCGCCGTCTTCGATTCCAATCTTGCAATTCGTGGTTGATTCTGATACCCGACGTCTCTCTACGATCATTGATTCCCACCAACTCCGCGCAAACGATTTCATCCATTCATGGCCGATTTCGCCTTCTAAACGCCTCGAGATCTCTGCTGGTGCTTAGTCTTCTCTGACTCTGGATCCTCCTGTTCGCAGGAACCTTCCTGTAACAGGCGAAGTTGAAAAACCAGTCGCAGCGATGGAGTTCGAGATTCTTCTTCCTCCGCAGTGCTGGTAACTCGCATTCCCCGCGATCGGAAGAAGCTTCAGGAGGGAGCCCTGCGGGCATCTGTAGGTCGCCTTCTTCATCTCAGAGGGAGCCATGGCGGGACAAAACCCTTCTGTGCGATTCGCCCGATGCCCTAATTGCCGTCGTCTCCTCACCGAGTGCAGCGACGTCCCCGTCTACAAATGTGGCGCCTGCGGAACTGTTCTTCGAGGTCTCCCTCTCTCTCTCTCTCTCTCTCTCTCTCTCTCTCTCTCTCTCTCTCTCTCTCTCGCTGAAGGTTGGCAACGCGAATTGCAGCGAGAAATTGGCCGGCGACGGAGGGAAACCGCTCTCCGGAGGTTCTGGGGGGTAACCCGGAGATCTCAGAAGATCCGGCGAATGGAGGAAACCCTTCCTCGATCTCCGAGGACGGAGAGTCCTCGGAAGGTAAAGGCACGGGGGGCTCGACCGGAGACGGCCCCACTTCCTCCCCCTCGGGCTCTGCAGCGGCGGCGGCAGCCCTATATGGCGGCGGAGCGGAGTCTAGCTCCAACGACGGCAGTCTCTCCCCCTGCGACGACTTCTCCGGCAAGCGCGACAAGTACCACCGCCTGTCGAGGAGGACCTTCAGGAACAAAAAGGGCGGCGGCGCAGAGCCCGCCGCCGCGAAGGGGGAAGACCCCACCAGCGCCATCGTGAACCCCCCCAAATCTTCTTCAAGAAGTTCTCCCCAGGATTCCCGGAACTTCGACTATGGGCAGAGCAGCATATCGGAGGATGATCGACGATCTCCCTCCCAGTCTAGTGACTCGACGTTCTGCGGTAGGCTGGGGGCCCTCCGACTGGAAAACGACGATCTTCACAGTGCCTTCGCCGGAGGCCGGAGAGATGACCGGAGCTTCCCCGTCGGAGGCCACCGAGCCTTCCCATCTTCCTTCGAGCCGGAGAGACCGGCGGCGCCGCCCCATTTCCACCGCGACCTTCCCCGGAGCGGCTACGGCGCCGCCGCATGGCAGCGATCCTCGGGGGACGCGAGCTCCTGGAGCGGCATGTCTCACGGCAGCGACACCAGCGGTCTCCATCGTCAACCCTCGGAGAGACGGCCGGTGGGGCCTAAGCGCCGCCACTGCCGGCCTGTGGCCGGCGGCGCCCCCTTCGTCGTCTGCAGCGGCTGCGACGAGCTGCTCCAGCTCCCGGTGGACTTCCTCCTCGCCCCCGGCCGCCGCCAGCTTCGTTGCGGATCCTGCTCTGAGGTACTCGCCTTCTGGTCTCGCGCCGGCGGCCACCTCCTGCCCGCCCCATCGGAGCCTCCCCAGAAGTCCGGCGCCACCACCACCAGCAACTTCTCCAACGGCGGCGAACCAGAGCCCACCGGCTCACCGTGGCGGCGGAGGGAGGGGGACACCCTCCATGGCCTGACGATGGGCTACAACCCGAATGGCGGCGTGGACGACGAGCTTCGAGGAGGAGGATCCTACGGCTACGGGAGGAGCATCCCAAGAGCCAGGATGGATGGGCTCCCCCATCCGGGGGCGGCCGCAAGGTGAGGCCAGCCGGGATTTCTCTCTCCTCCACCTTCAGACTGAGAAATGAAATATATATTTAGTTTCATATATAAATAGGTATTTTATTTTTAATTTTTTGTGCCTTGAAAGCGCATGGAACTGTTTGTTTTGTCCCCGATAATTAAAAGCTCAGCTCAAATTTTCAGATTTCATTAAAAAGAAAAAGCTTGGCCAAATCCCACGTTGCATCTTCACCTGTGCTTATTAGAGAGAGAGAGAGAGAGAGAGAGAGAGAGAGAGAGAGAGAATATATGTCGTACTAATCCTACTATCCCGGTTAAATACGTCAATAAATCTGAATATCTGCACGATAATCAGGATGACTTGGATTATTGCATGATATCGGCACCTCTCTCTCTCTCTCTCTCTAGAAGATACAACATAGTTCTACACATGTCGATTTATTGCTGACTCGGGTCCACGGAACTGACGGTGCAGAGCGTCACAGAGAAGTTACAAACACTAAATCGGCAGCTCGATGCAGCCGACGGCGCAGGTCTGCGTTGACGGACTGGCCGGACTCCCACCTTCGACTCCCCCACCGAGTGCTCGCCCTGCAGCAGCACCACGTCAGTCATTCAATTCCTGTGGGACCCACGTTTTTCATCACCAAAGTAAGACTACTGACCGGTCACCATGGCCGGGCAATTCTGGGATCGCCCCTTCCATGATTAACACAAAGTTCAAGTCAACAAGCCTACAGTTACAGGGCACATCACCGAGCAATGCTAGATCCTCGGTCAACATGATACAGCAACTCATGGGTCAACCTCTCTAGTCAACATCTATCTGCCACATCATGAACATGACTGAGTGATGCATGGCAGGGCCCAGATATTCGGCCAACATGGTCGAGCAATCCATGGGTCAACCCCATACCTTTTCGGGAAACAGCTACACCCCCAATATTCTGGGCTCTGACAAACATGTTCTTAGCTAAATCAAGAATATATGAATGATAAACAAGCAATCTACCAAAAAAAAATCAACGCAACGATGAATTATCTGAAGGAACACCCCCAATAAGTGCAGCTGTACAGCCTGAAACGCAGCTGAACTGCAACAGAAGATTTGTTCTAGGATGGTGCATGGAGATGATATCACGATCGGCTTCGGAGAGTAAGAATCCGGGGACTTACCGGGGTGGGTGGAGGTCGTGTTGCTGGAGATATGTGTGATCCGCCAGAGAGGGGGGATGGTGAGCGCGCTACTGTCTCTTGTCCTCCTCGAGGTCCTCTCCGATTCCAAAAGGGTGATCTACAGAGCTGCCAGCCTTCTTCTCCTTCCTTTCCAGCTTGATCACGGAGTCTCCTAATATCTTTGCGCCGCTGCTCGTGAGCGAAACTGCTTCTTCGTCAATGTCGTCCCCTGCCTCCTCTGAATACGCGTATCTGCAACCACGGTCATTGGGGGGTTAAACCATGAAAGGCCCGCTATGAGATAGATAGATAGATAGAGAGAAACAGAGAGAGAGAGAGAGAGAGAGAGAGAGAGAGAGAGAGAGAAGTCGTTGAGTATGAACAAAGCTGCTACCCGGATTAATGGTTAGGAGAGAGGAAAAGAAGAAGGATGAGGATAGAAGACACCTGGTTGGATTACGGGAGGGCCCCCAGAGAATACCGATCACTCCAAGGAGCACATAGGAGAGCACGTTCCAGAAGGCAGGGATGATCCAAGCTCTTTGCCATAACTCACTCAACGGATCAGTAGCGTTAAAATATAACTGCAAACCATGAAACTCAGAAGCCTGAGCGATACAATGACCGCGACAGAAACAAATCAACCATGCAAAGTAATACCATAAACATGTGGATCACTTGTCAATAAAGGAAAATTTTATCAGGAACACATAACTTCCCAGAATCAGAAGATATTCTCCAGTTCACAATTCCTTATTTGAAATCAGAAGATTAGTTCTCCTGTGGCAAACTACAAGGATCACACAAAATCATTCATTCTGAATCATATATGAGTTAAATATATTTTCCATCATGATAAGCTCACAATCTTGCTGACTTTGTAAATTGCTGCCCGGTTCCTCGTTAATTTAGCGAGCAGGTAAACGGACTTCCAATCAAGAAAGCTTCTTTTCTATTTTAGCACCACCTCAAGAACCGTCAGGTTGAAATCTGAGGTTTTAGGATAGATGATACTGCATAAGAAAGAACAGGAGCATATGGTGGAATCGCAAAACAAGAGACACCCACCTCGTAGCCAATCCAAGAGACCGAGATGAGCGCAGATATTGCAAGGGCATTGGTATATCTCCTATACAGCTCCAGTTTGGCTAAACTTTTGCGTATCTGGGGAAAAAATCAATCAACTAATAAAAGATGCACTTAAAACACGTAAATCAAGAATTTTTGAACAGAGAAGACATTTCATATGAATATTAAAGTCAACTTTCTGACATAATTACGATCACTTAGTTCCGTTTCGATAATGATGAGTGAAAAATCAATAGCCAATTCCCGTTCCGTTGGCAAAGTTATGGCATGCCTTTATTTCTCGAGTCATGGTAAAGTTAGACCTACCAACCAAAAAATCTATGCATCACAGCATTGATAGCTTTAAATAGCACGCCTTAGTGTGGGACCCTCAATCAGTCTTAAGTCAATATCAACAATTTAGTGCAAAGTCTAGCTCTCTACACATGTCATAACTGCCGTGAGATGTATCCAACGGTGAAACTCAGAACCTTGAACTATATAATTGACAAAATTTCGTTACTCAGTAGCATTTATAAAATATTCATTCATTACACGTAGGAGCCTAAAACGGTAGGATTTGCTACGCTTATGTGAAGGCTGAGGTTCGAATAACAACGAATTGGAAAAAACCGTATATTCTTCTTTGGTCACTAAGGCTCGTCGCCAATCGTTTGGTTCTTGCAGTTTTACAAATTTTTCAAGATTAGTCTTCAGAAAATTTGCAGAATATTTCTACTATGCATGATTAGTAGTCATTACCTCCAAACTGGTTACGACATAAGCCTATAGAGGCATCATTTAGATGAAACCAAACATATTACAAGAAGATGGGCTATAGAAAGGAAATCTAATCATTAATATGTCAATTTATTGGAGTAAATCTATGCACAGATTTTTCTCAAAACATGATCCAGCAGAAAAATTGATGAAAACAGATATCCTTACTTGATATGAAAACAGAAATTTACCTGGAGTTTTTCCAGAGTTTTTGACAATGATGAGAAAATCCATACAATGAAACATGCGTCCAAGATAGCAACTGGTAGGACGAGAAATAATCTTGCTTTTCCAGAAAAATCGTTGATATTTCCCAAATTCTCCACAAGCTCAAGAGCTTCCGAAGCCACAAAATATATCACCCCAAGAGAAACAACTTTGGTGGTCAGACCGCCTAATGTTGGCCTCAAAACACCGTAGCCCATTGAGACCACCAGAAGAAGGAGGCGGGACACTGTTTTTTTCACAGCAGTGAATGTCACAGCCCACAGTGTAATGGTCATAGGTCTGACACCAGTTGCATTAAAATTCGCATATTCAAAGTACCAGAAAGCCATCTCACACATCCCCAAGCCAATCACTACCGTAATGTGATAGTGCAGTTGTAATATATCTTTCCAAAATTGCACAAACCTCATGAACCAAACTAAACCAAGCACAAGATATGCCAGCGACATCAAACCATAGAAAGTCATTAATGGCTGCATCTTTCCAGGCAGATATCCTCTGGGATTTCTCCAAACAGTTCTACCAGTAATTGTTGTACCTTTAAGTTGTGGGTCACAAAACATAAAATATAGATAGTACATACCAGTTTTGTTTATCTCAACAGATTCAGCTACCATGGTAGCTTCTTCAGCTTGGCCATCAAAAAAGGTCTGAATACGTTTCGGCCAACCAGGGTTTTCTTCATTTGAACGGATGATCACCTCCCCTATGTTACACTTTGTATCCAAATCAGGACTACAGCAAATAGCATCAGAATTTAAATGAGAGCCACCGATCTTATCCCTGTCGCGAATTTCAACCATAATAGCCTCCACTAATCCACTTCTTCGCTGCATGGCATGATGCTTCATAGCTGACTCTTTGGGCCTTCGAAATTTCACCGATTCAAATCTAGCATAGCATGTCTAGGATCAATCAGGAACATGAATTTAAGGGCACAAATCGAACAAAAAAAAAAGATACGAATCGAAATAATAAGAACATTTCTGAGATCTCTTCAATGAACATTATATCCTAATGACATCACGGTAGCCATTAATTTTATAATTTTACATGAAAAAACGAATGATGCATTTGCATATCCAAAATGAAGTCTAGACTTCGACACTACAGACATTGGTCGAAATGTCTCGCTTTTGCGATTGCGAGTGGAATCAGATCTGACCCCTGCATCGGCTGACTTTATCCATTCTTGTTAGGCACCGGATCAGGCAGGAAATAAGGAATCATAAACAGGTTTATTTTACTTGTTATGGTTTTCACAGTATCTGGACCAGCTCTGTTAATTGAATTTTATCGGTAAGGTTTTTTACAAAAGTATTTTTGGTTTAAACATAGATGCCAGCATAGAGAGGTCAGGCACAATATATTGAACCTGGTTTGATTGTGACACGAGCTAGCTTCACCCAAATATTGACCCACATTTAGAATCGGCCATCAATAGAAGCTCAATTTCTTCCTCTTATCTCCGAGGTTCTTAAATTGCATGGCATTAGATAATGGAACAAAGGCTTTTGGTGACCGAAGGATGATCAATTGATAGTTGAATGGATAGACTAGTTGTCAGTTTGATTATAAAGAAATTTCCAACATTTAATGGTTTTTCGGAGATCCCATGAGTAATCTTTTATCCAATTCCTCAACATGGCACATGGAAGCCATCATTCTTTGACCGAAATGTAAGCTACATGTGTCAATGTAATAGGGGTTTGGTTCATGACTCTAAGGCTCGCTGCTGCATAAATCTACCAAAAACCTGGTCCCTCATGGGGTTCTATGTGAGACTGATAGGCAAAACCATGGGTAACATTCTAAAAATAGATAAATGATAAGGCTAAACCTTACAAGCAAGAAGTGTTTCCCGAGACAAACGACTAGTCCACTGCAAAAAATTCCCATTTTTCTATCTTATCCTACTATCGACTCTCAGATCGATTTATTATCGTAATCTCGTCCCGCTGGTTTTGTCCTTGCGTCAGAAATATAAATAAAAATGACGAGAACACCACGCTTGATCCTAGAAAATCACATCGAAATCGAAGGATAAAAGGAGGCAAAGACAATCACTAACTTGATGAAGGATTTCCCTTCGTTAGAAACAGTACTCCCCTGGACCTCCGACGCGTACAGACCTTCGCTGCCGCCGTGGAAGAAGTAGGAATTGGAGCGCGGAGCGAAGGCCTGCTTGGAGTACTCGTGGATCGAAGCCAGGACCGGCATTGCGGAGCTGCATAGCAGCACAAAGCCTAGGGCAAACCTCAACAAGGCTAGATCCAGACTGAGGAACTCCCGTCGACGCATCTTCGCCTTCTCCGCCCCCCACCCCACCGATTCCACTCCAGCCTTGAGCCTCTTCCCGTCGCAGAAGACCTAGGAGCTCTTCAACCAGGGAGGGAGGAAGCAATGTGGTCGCCTCCTCGAGTATAATGTGGGCGCAGAGAGCTGCTCACCTTTCCCACAGATCTTCTATGTCGTCGGCCATGGGCATGCCCTCTTTCGTCTTCCCTTCGTGCGGCGTCCATCGAATAGCTCTCCACGTGGCTTTTCTTCCGTGCTACGGACGGAGCCTCGTGAAAAACGCTTTGTACGAGGCAGAACAAAGCCATGAGAAGACTTGTCTATGTCATGTGGACCTCATCCGCCGCCGCCGCCGCCTACAGTATCTAATCTTTTATTAAACTAGATTCTACTGCACAAGACGCAGCGACCTTCTCGATTTCTATTTATATTGGAAAAATTAAATGCTAAAAAAAATCGTCGTGGTAGATTTGGCCCACTGAAACCATGGGAAATTTTCGAGTATTCGCCCCCCGCCGCCGCCTTTCCGTTGACCCGGTCCAACCTTGCCGAGGAACAGTCGTCAACGTTTTACTGATAAATAAAAGTCAAACTTTTACCTTTAACTTGATTACGTCTAGCCTGAGAATTTACAACCCGCTTTTTATTGTCTATTTCATAACGATAATTGGTGACTATAATTTCATCTATTTGTTCGTAGAAAAAATCCAAATAAACGGTAAAGGCTAAGTTTTGAAGGAAATAAATCATTAATCTCTTGTCTTTCTTTTTCTTAGACTCAAGATAGATCTTTTATTTCTGGATAACATCTTATCCGAAACAAAGTCAACGTCACTTCCCTCGTACCCGTGCAAAAGCTCGTAGGGTCAAAGGTCCCAGTAGAAGAAGATTCGAGGCTTCATTATCTGAATAATTTGTATAACGTCGGACTTAGTTAAAATCTTCATCTCTTAGAAAAAAAATGTTCGTCTCTTAGAACTCCTCTCAGGCTGTTGAGCACTGCGTGGGCATCCACCCCCAGCGGAGACAGAGAATTACCAGAGAAGAAGACCTCAACGTGGCCCCTCACTTCGATCCAGCTGCACCCGGGCTTCTTCTTCAAGCCCTCCGCCCTCATCCTCCCTCTCGCCGCCGCCGCCTTCTCCGGCAGGCCGCCCTCCCCGTAGAGCTTCCACAGCTGGACGTGTGCCTCCGGGTCGAGCCCCCGAAGGCGGCGCGCCGCCGCCTCGCCGGCCTCCACGTTCCCGTGAACCCTGCAAGCAGCCAGCAGCGACAGCCACACGCTCCCGCCGGCCGCCGGCGGCACGCCGGCGGCGAAGCGGAAGGCCTGCTCGAGGCGGCCGGCGCGGCCAAGCAGGTCCACCACGCTCGCGCAGTGATGCGTCGACGGGGCGATGCGGTGGCCGCTGGTCATCAGCCGGAAGAACTCGAGGCCCTCCTCGGTCTGCCCCGAGTGACTGCAGGCGGAGATCAGGGCGAGGAAGGTGATCTCGTCGGGCGGCAGCGCCGCCGGCGAGCTCTGCATCTCCTGGAACAGACCCACCGCCGCGTCGCAGTGCCCATGAGACCCGTACCCGGAGATCATCGAATTCCAGGTGGCTACGGTTCTAACCGACATTCCTTCGAACACCTGCCGGGCATATCTGAGGCACCCGCTGCTGCTGTACATGTCGATCAAGCTGTTCCCCACCTGGGCATCGTCACGAATGTAGTTCCTGATCTGGAAGGCATGGATCATCTTCCCCATGGACAGAGCGGCGGCGGAGGTCGCCGCCACGAGAGCGGCGGTGACGGAGATGGAGTCCGGCGGCGGGCCGGATTGAAGCATCTGGTTGAGGGCGGCGACGCAGCGGGCGACGTCGCCGGCCCTTCCGAAGCCAGAGATGATCGAGTTCCAGGCCACAATATTCTTCTCCGGCACGGCGGCGAACACCTCGCCGGCCGAATCCAGGAGCCCGGATTTCGCGTACAGATCCACCAGCGCGCTGCCGACGAAGGTGTCCGCCTCCATCCCGCTCTTGACGGCATGACCATGGACCTGAAACCCTATTTCCGGTTGCTCCAGCTTGACGGCGGCGGAGGCGACGCTGGTCAGAACTGCAGAGTCGAGCTCCCACCCCCGGGAGAGCATCTGGTTCACCAGTGAGATGGCCGCCCGGAGCATTTTGTTCTGGCAGAGGCCGGCGATCATGGAACCCCACAACACCTCGTCGTCCTTTTCCTCCGCAAAATCGAAGACTGCAGCCGATTCTTCCATCTTCCCCCATCTCCCGTACATGGTCACCAGGGAGGTCGACACAGAGACGCTGCGTCCCTCCGGGAGCTTCACCGACTGGCCATGGATGGCCCTCCCCAGGTCCAGAAAGTCCACGGAAGAAGAACAAGCGGCAAGGGCGTTAGAAATCGTGAAAGAATCCGCATGGCCGCCGCTGCTCCGACGGTTCATGTTGCCGTAAACAAGAATGGCCTCGCCGGCGCGGCCGCTGGCGTTGCAGGCGGCGATCATGGCGTTGAACAGCTCGGTCTTCTTGTCTGGCGTTCCGGCGAACACCTTGGCGGCGCTGTCCATGGACCCGCACCTGCCGTACGTGGCCAAGAGGGAGGTGCAGACGAAGGGCTCCCCCTCGAGCCCGGTCTTTATCACGTCACTGTGGATCGTCTCCGCGAGGGCCGTCGAGTCACCGCCATGAGAGCAACCTGCAAGCAGGCTTGAGAACGTCGCCGGCACGGCGGCGACGCTGTGACTCTTCATGAGGGCGTAGAACTCGAAGCTCTTCTCCCATAAGCCTATCTGCCGGAGACCTCCGATCATGGCGTTCCAGACACAGACGTTCTCCTCATCCTCCTTCCCCAGGGAAGAATCGAAAACCCTCAGCGCCGGCGATAACCGGCCGCACTTCAAGTACATGTCGATCAAGGACGTGGCGAGGAATGGGTCTGGATCGGAGATGTTCTTCAGAAGATGGGCGTGGGCCTGCCGGCCCCGCTTGATGTCGGAGGAGTTGCCGCAGTCGGAGAGAACGATGCTCAGGGAGTGCCGATCGGGGCGAACGCCGGCGAGCTGCATACGGTGGAAGCAGGAGAAGCCACTCTTCCGGCGGCCATGGCGGAAGAACCCGTCGATCATGGAGTTCCAAGTAGCAGTATCTCTCTCAGGCAATCCGTCGAACAGGTCGACGGCGTCGGAGAGGACGGTGCATTTGCTGTACATGCTGACCAGGGAGGCGGCGATGAAGGGATCGGAGACGAGGCCGTTCTTGAGGCCGGCGGCGTGGAGGGCCCTGCCATGGCTGAGGTCCGATCGAGAGGCGGCGATCTTGAGCAGGGAAGGGAAGGCGTACCTGTCCGGCACCGCGGTGAACGAACGGGCGGCTCGAGGGGAGCTTGACAGAGAGGCGAGCTGCAGATGAGAGAGACTCCCGAGGGCCCTCGTGGCATGGCGCCTGGTCTGCATGGACCCTCTACGCCAACTCGAGGGAGCAAGCAAAGCACGATGAAACAAGCAGGCTGGGCCGGGCCGGGCCGGGCCGTTCGGGGCCCAGTTCACAACATTGGAGAAACCAGACCCTGATGGGTTGATCAAGTTCAGGTCCTTAAAAACTCTGGCTTTAATAATAACCCCTTTCCACTTTTCATTTTGTAACTGTAACCCTTCTGGTTAACATATAAAAGAACTCGAAAATAAGATATATTTTTAAGGAAATGGCGCCAATGGGGAGATGAGGAGAGAGGGTCATGTTAGAGCGCAGGGACACGTAGAGAGAGCTGGAGCAAGAGGGCAAGCCAGTATTTTCCTTTTATTTATAGAATTATATTTAATCAAGGTGTATTCAGATTATTCCTTGTTAATGGGATGCAAATGATGTTATGGATACCTCAAATGGCAAGTCACCATTTTTATTTTTGTACCTTAATTAAATAAAGTTCTAAAAAAATGTTATACAATAAATCTCTACAAAGTATGCTGTAGAACCTTATTTAATCAAGCTATAATCAGATTATTTTTCTGTTAGTAGAGCATAACGGAGGTGCTCGACAGGGACTTGAAAAGATAGGCGAAAAGACAAGGGTTTACCGACAAAATGCAATAGTTTGTAGGGGCCTAAAATCGAAGGAAAATATATCATATTAAATAAAGTCCCCAAGTGTTTGGCCGGAAGGTAGGATCTATTGACCCAAATAGCTCGTAAATTTTGGAGATTTGAGGGGAAAAAAATAATTATATGTCGATTATTCCACTTCCGATGAGAAAAAGTGGGAATCTTCAAACCTCTTCCACCTTCAAAGGAAAAGATGATGGAGTGAGCCAGAAGACCAATTAAAATAGCATAATTATTACAATAAACCCGCCTTAAAAAAAAAAAACTAAGACACTATTCTTTAATAAAATGTTACCACTCTAAACTAAGGTTTTCTGGGTTTTTAAGTATAAGTTTATATTTTTCTTAATTTTTCGAATTTACCCCCTGAATTTTCTATATCTTACATAATCCTCGTTCTTCCTGGTTCTTCGGATTTAATCACATATCTAACATTAGCAAGTAATAATCATAAAAAAAAGATATATTTTTATACAAAGTTACTAAACGTCATATATTATCAAAAATTCAGCATTCCGTCATTTTGTTTAGATACTTCAGAAATCTACCTTCAGTATAGAAATGATATGGTCCAGTTGCATAAGCTCAATCCACAAATGAACCAAAGGAAAATATGCATTTTTACACCCCCAGTAAAGAGCATCACCGTTCTATCATTTTCTTTCGATAATCGACAGGTGTAGCTTTGAGCAGGCAAACAGAATGGTCCACTTACATGAACTCAAGTAAGTCACCAGGAGGAGCAAACGTAGAGACATACTTTCACATAAAATTATTAAACATGTTAAAATCCCCTTCATAAACCCACATAAGATCTGGTCAACTTGTTGCTGAAACCAGTAGATAGCTACGTGTTTGTTCATCATCTAAGTGCTCTTTTTGCCTCATTTAGAGAAAGAATATCGTCAAGAATGAGTGAAGTTTAGATGAAGAAAACCTTATGATTTCCTTGATTAACTTAGATGTTTCATCAATTTTTAATTGAAAGATGATAATATTATCATTCACCATCCTGAACAAGTTTTTTTTTAATTTTTAAATGCAAGAAATAGGATAAAAAGGTATGCGGTAAAAAGCGATATAAGAGTACAATTACTGACCTGAGGAAGGTTCATCAACTCCAGAACAGCTTTCTTTGGAGTCAATTCATTGTCAATGATGCGTGCAACAGCCGTCAAAACTGGCATTTTCACATTGTACTTCTGAGCCAATGCAATAACAGCTCCAGCAGTTGAGACACCTTCAGCGACCTACGCTTAGATATGGTCATTACTCCATGAATAGAAGCAACGGTAAGAAGAACTTGGGTTGTAAGCAACCTGCTTCATAGAAGAGAGTATATCCTCAAGCCTCTCTCCTGATCCTAGACGAACTCCGAGTGTTCTGTTTCTTGAAAGATTGACAAAACACGTGAGCATGATGTCACCAGATCCTGACAAACCGGTAAGAGTCGCTGTCTTTGCTCCCATCTTCACATGAAAAATAAGACAATATCAGACTCATGCTAATTGCAGGTTTGGTTGTATACTAATTTGGTATGAACTGTACGAAAAACGAAGCGAGCGCAAGGTTATTGATAAAATAGTGAGCATCATCTAGCTCTACATCTATCAGTATATACAGGGCTACTGAAACTGTGTTACGAGGGTGTGAAAGGGAGAAGTAGGTCTGATGAGTAATTCCCCAGTTTTTCCATGTTGGACCCAGAAAATAATGCAAAATAAAATCAACGCTGAACGTGAATGATAGTATCCGAAATATCCCTAAATAACATTTTTGGTGACTGAATGGTTGTTGGGCTAAATTAAAATCAGTATGAAATTTCAGATCTCTACATCATAGAAATTTATGATTGAACGCGGACAGGTTGATTGCTAGGAGCGAAGTAGATAATATCACAAGCATGGCACGACAACTAATCATCAATAAGTAGAAGATAAGAGGAATTAAACTGGGTGGAGTCAGATACCTTGGAGGACAACCACCTTATTTCAGAACAGCCCTGTGAAACAAGAGCTGCCATGCAGTTGTTTCCAAGATTCATCCCCTCTACAATCCCTGCGGCTATTGCAAGCACATTCTTTAGAGCACCAGCTATTTCTACTCCTGTCACATCGCTGGAGGACAATAGGTTCCAGATTACACAACCGTCAATGCCATCAATCTAAGCTCATTATGGCAAATTGAATAAATATGCTAAGGTAAAGAAGCGCAGTTAATAGATAAATACCAAAAAACAGACCAAAAAAAAACAGAAAATATTATTCTATTATTCATCTGCACGGTATCATTTTCAGAGTGAGCTAAGTAATCGAGAGTAAGGGAAAATGGAAAATCAGATTCTACCAGCATTTCCTTTTTAACGAGTAATCAAATTCATTTACTGAAAATGAGAACAATCCAACGGAAAGTAACTGCATCTGGGCTGTTTTTCAAGGGGACAGAAAGAGCATAGCACTGGTGGTGACCGTTTAGATAATTTCCTTGTCCTACAGTCAATTTCCGATAGAGCGTCAGATGAAGATATGCTCTAAAAGCTACCACGTCAGTTCTTTCAGGTCATGCTTCCTAAACAGTTCGATTCATGCTCATCAGGTCATGTTCCCTTCCACCACTTCTCGTAAAGATGATTACCCTACGGGCAGATCCAACTTTTCCTGATAATTGCACAGATATGATTGATCTCCTTAATCACATACAAGTAAATAAATAATAATTAAAAACGCAGACAACCATAACACACCGTACGCGATTTTCCTACCCAGAGGAACTGATCCTTAAACGTTGAGAAGCTAAAAGCTGTTGAGCAGCCCTTGCCATCTTTTTGTCCTTTGACGCCACAACCATAGCTGTAAAAAGATTACTCATGATTAGAACAATATAGCACAGCGTGGATCTTGAACAAATCAAAGCTGAACCTAAGTATGCCAATGTGTAGTTCGTTTGTCATAATAGACTGCTTATTCTTTGACAGATATAAATGTTTCATCAGACCTTATCTTTTGAATACAAATCTACTTCAACAGATCAAATTGAATGCAGAGCAACATGATATATCCATGATAGAAATGACGATGGCATTGCAAATTGGAAGTGGACGGTCAACCTGTGGGTAACTTCCTCATCAACTCCAGCGCAAATGACGGCCCCGACAACACAACAAATGGTTGGCGAGGGTTTCCCAATGCTTGTGGAATAATTTGAGACATTGTCCTTAAGGTATTGAGTTCCAGGCCCTTACTAAGAGATATGAACGGTAAATTTGGGTCCACATGCTCAGAAATGCCTTCGAGGAATGATGAACTACACTGCCATAGAACAAAGTAGGTTACAAAGTACTTGTGGCACACAAGCAGATCTGATCACCAATCCATGGAGCACCCAAAAATTTCTCAAAGGGATTCAAAGATAACGAGAAGATTTCACCTGAAAGACCAAGATCCTGGCTTACCTGCACTGGCACTGCATGTAGGCAAAAGTCAGCTCCTAATAAAGCAAGCTTTGGATTGGTTGTCGCAACAACATTTTCTGGCAGCTTATACTCTGGGAAATACTTGCTATCAATTAATGAAAAATCTTAGTAGGCTCAGCTTCGAAGATGTTCGAAGTGTTACATTAGTAATAATAAAAGAAAAAAAAAACTTTCATACGGAAGTGAGGATCTGATGGTGTATACTTTACCAGTTGAAATGTGTTTCATTGATAGACCGGCATACATCAACATCCCGGAGAAGCATGTTAACTTCCATGTCGGCCTTGTTGCTCGCGACATGAGCTGCCATAGCTGTTCCGAAAGATCCCCCTCCAAGGACCACAACCTGATCCGAAAGGAAAAAATGCGTGACAAACGTAGTCAGTCCAAGACCGGAGAAAATTGGAGACGCAGGATATAGTAAAAAATGAAATTTAAAAATAACCTTCTTAGTTCTTTCCAAGACATCGGACCTAGCCCTGGATCGCCATGACCGAGACCAGCGGACCAGCTTCTCCCAAGCGACTCTCACCGCACGCCGACGATCCTTTCCCCCTTCTTTACTGACGACACCAGTCGTGCTCGGTTCAGAGATGAGGCTACAGCCGGCACCATCCTCGCCGGCCACGGGATCCAGGTGTCCGGCTGCGCACGGGCAGAGGGGCACCAGCGAAGGGATGGGAGGGGTCCCGGAGTGGAGCTTCACCGTACGAATGAACGTGAACTTCCTCTCGAAAGACGACGAGAGCCCTCTCTGCCGAGGGGGGGAGAAGAGGGGCCCGTGCAGCCATGGCTCTGCCACCACTGCCGCCGCCGCGGCCGCCATTCTCGGAGCTCTCCGGAGGCGAAGAAGATGACGAGTGAGACCAGCCGTTTCCCGCGCTCGTCCTCTTCCGCCCCTTCAGGAGAATCGGCAGGGCCGTCCGATGTGATCCGCTTATCGGAAGCTCGGATGCTCGACCGTACGACTATGCATTGAACGCCGTCCGATCGAGATAAGGCTTTTTTCTGTCTACTGGACTGGGCCCATCAGACGGGCCCACTTAGGAGACAACTTTTTTGGGTACATGTACAATTTAATTGTTACACGGATACTTACCATTTTAAATATTTAATACAAGTACTCATGTACTCATCAGGCACGCGTACAAGCCACCTGTCTTTAATTGAGTCGGTTGTTGTATTGATAATATGAAAACGTTTGATACCTTTTGAAAATTATTTTATGAAAAGTGGGGTAAACTCATATTTAGACAGCACAGCTGTAGGGAAATATGTGGAGAAAGGGAGTTCGAGGCGGGCGGCTCTCCCTGGTATACTCTTCTGCAACTTCCCCCATCGCCCTGAGCTCGAAGAGCGGACAAGGATTGTCAGGTATCTTCCCTTCTCTCCCCTTATCTCCCCTTCTCTGTGATGCGAGCCTGCGAGGCATGTATTGCTCTGTACGAGGGGTCTACCGTGCGGGATCTCTGCGGTGACGCCGGTGAATTTGGTTCCGGTTTGAAGGATTGGGATCGATGATTCTCGATCCGGATGATTTGAAAGCGGATGTCGGAATTCGCCTTCCCTAGAACCCTAACTGACCATGTGGCTGAGGCCTCTCGTCTTCTCCTGTTTCTTCCAGCTGCCGCAGTTTTCCCCCAATTTTTGGGAAGAGTGATTTCGTTTGAAATGGGTTTTCCGTTTGTTTCCTGCTTCAGAAGGCGATGGGGCGCCATCACCACCACAGCTGTCGGGACTGTGGGAGCGATAGCCCTTACGATGATCCGTTCTTGGCGTGCTGCTGTTGTCCCTGCTTTGTGCTGACCTTTCTGTTCCGGGGGATCGGGAGGTGCTTGTTCGTGGCTTTCCACCCTGTCTTGCGGTGCTTTGGCCTGGACGAGCACAGACATCACCATCACCACCACCACCACCACGACCATTTCCATTGACCACCTCAATACCCTGCGATCACCTCAATTACTTGTCGTGATCGGAAGAAATGGGATCAATTGCATACCATTTAGTTCTAAATTTGCACCATCTAAGTTTCATTACACGATCACAGTGAAAATCTTCGGCTGACGAATGAAATCCTTGCTGGGTTCCTTCTTTCGCCAGAGATTTGCTACCATATGATTTGAAATCCTGAAGATTTTATTATACACTCTGCAAGTCAGAGATCTCTGCTGGCTGCAGACTTGGGTGATGTGACAATCTTCTGTACCCCTTAATCTGGAGAGATGTATGCATCGCAAGATCCAGGTGATCGGCGAGCAATCAGCTACTCCAAACACTAGGTTGACCTGTTGGACCATCAAACGCAAAGCCCAACTCTTGCGGTTCCCTGCACGAGTCAACGCTCAACGAACTCTGTCACCATATTTCCATTATTCCCAACCCGACCAGTGATGAATAGGGTCCACCCATGTATATGTAAAATACAGTTTGAAGGCAGCCCGAAATTGTGAAATGGTCCAACGAATTCTCCAGGGGCCCATCTACAGAGAGAGAGAGAGAGAGAGAGAGAGAGAGGAGACGGTTGACTGGTGTTTTCATATTATCAGAACCAGATTAGCAGAGTAATTAAGCAGCATAAGGGCAACGGGCGTTGAGAAGAAAATGGCCTCCCACAAACAGGGTAGTAAAACAGAGAAAAGGTCCTTCATGTGATGTAATTTCGATCAAAATGTGCTATCTTTACATGGAGATTAAAACACCTTCCGAATCTCCTACAATCTTGGAACCCTTCTCTCTACATAAATCAACTAGAACGGCTCCACGGATCCAACCAGGAAAATCATAGCGACAAGAAAGGGGGGCAGTAAATGTGTAATAGTATCATGTAAAACATGGTACATGGCTATCAGACCTGTTTGTTTCCAAGATCCAGACCCAAAGAATACCTGATGCTCTCTCAGACCATCTCCTGAACAGCATCTAATCATCCCAATCTTCCCACTCATTTCTATCAGAAGAAGACTTGACAGGGCGTCCTCCTCCTCCTCCTCCCTCTGATGGCCTCGGCAGCGCTTCTTCCTCATCCCAGTCGTCGCTCCAATGCTCGTCCCATCCATCGACTCGATCATCGTTAGTCAGAGTTGCAGGTGGGCGTTCAGAGCTCATCTCAAGCTGCTGGTACGCCACTCGAGCGCCACCTGCCCTTCCCCTGTTCCTGAGCTTGCGGCAAGCCCACACACCCCCAATGAAAATAATAGTGAAGGAAGCCACATAGATGCCGTGGACTGGAGTAACACGATTGACGTATGGAAACGAGTAAGCCTTGGCCGCAGGAGATGGGGACAGCTTGAGGGAGCAATTTTCATTTCCCCCCTTCACTGTTATGTTGACATCCTTCGTCATGCCCGGAGGAAGATCGACCTAAAGAAAGATGGGCATGGGAGACCATAAGTGAGGATTTGACAATTCTAGAAAAGGACTACTATAAAAGAAAAGAAAAATAAAAAAAAGGATACGGACGACAGATGGGCATCCCCCACTTGTTGCAGATTCTGGTAAGGTTTGGAGGATGAATAATTTAAAAATTTCACCAAAGTCAACGATTGCCCTTGCTCTGTGCGTGATACACTTCTGTTGTCCACAAGTCAACGCTCAAATAATGGCTCACACATGAGAGAGAGCGTTAGAATAGATGAGTCTACTCGACTTGTTGTTCATTACTTTTGGGCAATGTGGTCAAATACTTTTGCTAGGAAAAGTGTCATCCTTCTGTTTTGAATAAGATGGGATGCTCAATATGATCATATTTCTCAAAAGCAAAGCTCATCTTTCTAGAATCTTTTGCAGATGCCCAAAAGCATGCTGGCTTCAATTTCTGAGAACACCTACGAATTCCTTTTCTACATAATTAAACTAAAAAAATATGTAAAAAGAATGTGCGAACAAAAGCCTTGAACACACTGCTCATACTCAACATGGGTGGGTGCTAGGAAAAAAGTGACCAAACCCTGCCAAATGTCAAACAAGGAAGGCCAATTCATAACTTACATTCTGATGAACCCAAACAAAATCACACGGTTGAGGTCAAGGCAAGTTTAACAAATGGGTAAACAAACCCAATCTGCATCTACATCAGTTGCAACAAGAACTGTTGAAAATTTCCAAGTATGGTAACCACGGATGTCATTAAAAAAGACCACCATGTTGATGTTTCGTGTCTAAAACAGGCTGGATGCTCAACCCAAATTGGTTCTCAACCATGGTTGGCAGTCGTTAAACTTGATATTCTTGCCTAAATGAATTCAAGGTCAACCATTTGGAAGCTGGGGATGATGGCGACTTTCTCAGATATCAAAGGTGAATGCTATTATTTCCAAAATTCATAAGAAAAAATTGCAAGTTAGAAGCAGGCCTTCCCGTTAATATTTCAAGAGTGAGATATGCTTTCGGCGATCCAAACCAGTATAATAACTTAAAACAAATACTTTTGGAAGTAAATGGCCATCTCTTACATGCTTAGGCTATCTAAACGTTTGAGCTTGCCCACACAAATATGATATGACACGTTTATTTTTTATTGGAGAATCATCAGCAATACGTTTCGACATCACACTGGAGAACAGTTTGTAGATGCGACTGATTGTAATCTAGATTGGAGGCCTCCAATCAGATTTAGTCCTTTTTACAAAGCATATGTATTTTGGTTTATAAATGGGATTTACTGGTGGGAAACAAACGACCTGATGGAACTGCACGATCCATATGATCCTAATTTCTGTTTTCCAAAACTATAATCCACATTGAAAGGATAAATGCACAGTGAATATGAGAAGGGAGGTGAGAGAATTGCAGACTCACTATGAATTTTTTTGAGCTGTTCTTCGGTATTTGCTCTCCTCCTTCCCCAGTTACAGAGAGTGGTCCCAAAACGGTCAGATTGAGAGTACTTTCCCCTTCATTACGGACTACAAGGACCCACCTCTGAGACTCTGCAGTAGAGGAAAGGCGAACACATAAAATGACGTAAAGAAAACTAAAATAAGTAGTGGGTTCCACGAGGAAATAAGAAATATAGTAATGCCGGAAGCAAGAGCATGGGGTAATTTCCCTTTTAAGCAACTGAGTGCGCAAATAGTACATCATATCATCTATAAGATGATTTTTTTCTTAAACTAAATAAAATAAAAATAAACAAGTTACAGAAATAATTACATTAAGATGTCAAATATAACTTGCATATGATAGGCCACTACTACTTTTACTTCATCAAGTTTGGAGAAGAAACTGTTGTCAGTCAATAATTTGAGGCCAGAGAAAGAATAGTCACAAACACAGTGAAGGTCAATGGGAAACTATGCACGGAAATAATCCTAATTTTCTTTAAAACGAGACATAGACATGACACATGAGGCAGCAATCTCATCGTTGTCTTACATTCTGACAGCAGAAAACTGAGACTGAGGTGTAAAATGCGTCTAAGAAAAAAAAAGGAAAAAAAATAACACAAAATACTCCTCGGGTTATCTACATACGTAAGACGTGGGAGCTAAAATCGAATGCATTATTTTTTGTCCTTCACCTTCTTCAGCAGGATAGAATGAACTGTAACCCCAGTATCTACTTTACAGCAATTAAACAGGAACACGATCACCTTGCTGATAATAGCTTGTATTTCTCTCACAACATATCACCACCAGAATAGCGGATAGAAATGACCTTTCATCAATAAACTTCAGATGGCAATAGATAGACATCACGGTAAGATCCGAAAGGACACTTTTCATGTGTTGACTTGAGAAATGGAAAGCTTGCGTAACAACAAGAAACTCAGACCAAAAAATGTTTCAAAAAAAGACAAGCTGAGTTCGGAAAGCCTAGTAATTATCCTTTACCATACTCAAGGACATCTTTTCATCTGTCAAGTAAAAAATATTTTCAACGCTATCATTCATTGGCCAATCCTCTTCATTTATTGTAACACCTTTACCATGCATTTCGAATTTTTACGTAGCATATGTCAGCATCACATTCATTGTAACAAATTGACAGGTGACGCAATTTTTGTCTACTATCACCATTGGCCAATCCTCTTCATTGTCATTCAGACTCTTGCGTCACATCTTGTACTGACTCTTGCTGCTATTTTTTCCTCATTTATGGAGAGGGTAAAATATATGCGAAGCTATACATGAGTAGATCATTCAAAAAGAGTGGATTTTGTGATGCGAGATTATTGAGGAGTGAGGCACGTTTGAATGCAGTGATTGTGAACGACAATGAGGGGTAACACTTATGAGCGTTTTGTAGTTGAGAAACTATGTACCTTTTCGCCTATTCGGTTTATAGCTAGCATATTCATTTATTTTTGTCTCCATGCTCATTTGTCCAGGGTTATCTACCAACATTCATTTTGTAGTTACATATGTTCATTCTGATACCTAATGAGAGGTGATAATTTGTTTATAACAGCGAGGATCACCACTAAGAAAAACTCAAAGAAGAGGAATTTCTTGGAGAATTTCTATATTAAGGAAATTACAGTGTCACTATTCTATTGGGTTGGGAAGGGACGGTGGGTAGGCAACGCCTCCCAGCCCGAAAAAAAGAATTACAAGAGAAAATCAATCACTCATTCCTTGCTTAGTAGAATCCTGTCAGCAGACAGCAGAACATTTTCTCCATAAATAAATAAATAAGATACATGCAGTCATCATTTCATAGATTTCAAAAACATTAAATTTTAAAGCGAAAATAAAATTCTTTAGGGCTAATGAATGCAAACTTCAGGTGGGCAGCCAAATTTTATGCACTGTGTAACGCGTGCTAATACGTTAAAAAATGTGAAGAATTACCATTTTGGAGGGGTTGAAGGCAAGAGACAAAGCCTTTAGCTTCACAATAGGTAGGCGTGGAACCGGTGCCATTATGTTGGCACGTATAATTTGCCAAACTTTTCCCCGGAGAATTTTCGGGGGCGGAAGGGCTGTTTTTCTTTCCCTTCGGTGGAGTCGTTGATGGTAGAGGTGATGGAGGATGATTCAATGGATTTTGCGACGACTTGGTCGGCATTGACGGTGTGCCCGAAGGTGGTACCGAAACAGGCGTGTTACTCGATGGTGGCGAGAGAACTGGTGAGGGACTGAATGGAGCGCGTGATGCAGGAGGCGGATTTGGTGGCTTGCCCAGTGGTGATCCAGGACGGGATGGCGACCGATTACCTTCTGCCTGGGACAAAAGCTAAGTTTCAGATTCTTCTTCAAAAGGAAAAACAAGACGAGGACAATAACAGGCGGGGAGAACAAAATGAAAGGCGAATTCCTACCTGCCCGGGCTTCGGTTCCTCCGCCAGCAGAATTCGAAGCCTCGCAGTAATCGGTGGATCACGAACTCCAGCAGAGAACGAGATCAACACGAGCGCTGCCAGAACCCCGATCCACCCCCTCTTATCCATCCCCCACTCGCCACTCGCCACTCACCCAAAAGACTCTTCAGAAACCCTATCCTTCGGTTCCACAGCGCCGAAAAAGCATACCGATCGAGGGCTCCATCGATGAGATGTCCAAACACCTCATTCTGCCGTCAACACACAGTCATAAACAGGCCAGACCAGTTTCCGAAGATCCGAATCAGAGGAACGTTTGGCAGGGGAGAGATCCGCGATGGAAGCAACGACGATCTCCTCCTCCGATACGAGCAACGACCAGCTCGATCGATGGAGTCCGGGGCTGCAAAAGAGAGGGAGACCTCCGTCGTCGTCCTTCCGCCACTCCCCAGCCGCAGCTGCCGCCGCCGCCTCCGTCGAAGAGGACGATTCCCGCGAGCTCTCCAAGAGGGCCTAGGCAACGTATCTCGGCCGTCAATTGAGCCACCCATTCTCCACGCGTTTACGACGGCCGACGTGGCGATGGATACATAGATTAGAAATCTCCACCGTCCAACACAAAAGCAACCGCCCGATCGTCCCAAACGCTGCGGCTCGATGGGAGCTCGAAGTGGACGGGTCACAATCTCTTCATAAATTCGCCCGTAATATTATCCAAATCCACTAATATTTTCGGAAAAACTTAATTTACGTCCAAGTTGGAGAAGCCCGCGGGCCTCGTTTGACTGGACATTGGCTTTTGAAAGACAGGTCAGAGTTGACCTAGATATACAATAAAAAAAGAAGAGGACTCCTCCCTCCAACGGGAAGCCGGTAGAGAGAAACAGCGCACTCTTCCCTACTGCGACCAAAGCTCTGGGCTTCTCTCCGAGCGAGGCCATGGCGGGAGGATGGTGGATTCGCCTTGAGCCTCGGCGATCTTCCGCAGATGGTCCTCTCCCGCGGCGAACGCGGCGGCGAGCTCCGGCCCCATCATGGCGCGGAGGACGGAGCCGGCGCCGACGAGGAACTGGGGGCGGTTCTTCCTCGCGGAGGTGGTGAAGCCGAAGAACTCCATGGGACCGCTCCGGGAGGCCACCTGACAGAAGGGGAAGTACCGCGGCACCCAGAAGACGTCTCCCTCCGCTACTTCGGCGTTCATGGCGAGGGACCCGTTGGGGAAGACGACCTGCACGCTGCCGGCGCCGCTCAGCACCACGCCGTACTCCGCCGCGGTGGGGTTTATGTGCGGCGCCATCATCGCGCCGGCGGTGAGGTTGACGAGGAAGACGCCGGCGCGGGCGTGCTTGAGCGGCGCGTAGTCGTCTTCCCCGACAGCGATGCTCCAGCCGTAGTCGTTCTTGAAGTCGGGAGTTCGCTGGTAGAGGTTGTAGGCGTGGGGGGCAGCGACGGGGAGTTCTCGTTCTTTCTTCCACAGGACGAAGTTCAGGAGCTTCCGCCATGCGCATGTTTTTGCCCCCTCCCCATCTTTGTTTTCCTTTTCCTCTTCCCCAGTTTGGGTCGCCTGCATCATGAAGGTTAACCTCTTCCCTTGCTCGGAGGCCTCGCCCTTGGTGTAGACGATGGGGCCGCTCCCTCTCCTCATCAGTGCTTCCAGCTCGTGGGAAGAGATCTTGCGCCACCAATCACCACGAATTCAGTAAGATCGTAACTTTAACTCGTAATTGAACTGGTCTTTGTGATGATTTCTTACATTGAACGCCGTCGCGAGAGTATGACTGTCGAATCCGGCGAGAACCGACGTGGGATTGGATCCTCCGGAGATGAAGAACGACTGTGATGGAATTCACCGATCAACGGCCGACTGATGAACAGGAACTTGCATGCGCTCATGCTAATGAATCCTCTAGCTATAGAGAGAGAGAGAGAGAGAGGAGAGAGAGAGGAGTAAAAGAGAGAGTCAATGGGGGAACTTACCTGGAACACGCCGTACCCCAAGCTCTCCGATGTGTCGATGCTGCTGATCATCTGCAGCCGCTGGCCTCTCCCTGTGTTGGCTATGTAGAAGGTCGAACCTGCGGGGATTCTGTAGATATCTCCGATCTTCAGCTGCTTCTCCACCAACCTATCCTTGTAGATCCATCCCACCTTCGCCTCCCCTGCGCATCATTTTCCACCACGTTTGCATGACAGCTGAGGCACAGAGAGAGAGAGAGAGAGAGAGAGAGAGAGAGAGGATTACCTCTCCTGACGAAGAGGATCAAGCTGGAGTCCATGTACTGAGGGACGTAGAGGCTGTTGGGCTCCATGGAGATGAAGCCGAGGTGCATTGGAGAGGGCCCGCCTTTCCAGCCGAACCCCTTCACCACCTTCACTTCTCCGGCCTCCGTCTTTACCACCTGCTTTGACTTCTCCAGCAAGAACAGTCCCCGTCCGCCGCCGAACTCCTCTTCCTCCTCCCGGCGCTCGTTCCCCGCTGGCGCCGCCGGATTGGCGGCGATTAGGAGCATCAGAAGCGCCGTCGCGCACCAGGCCGTCATCTCGTGTCCTTCTTCTTCACCCTTTCGTCCTTCTTCTTCGCCCTTTCTCCGGCGACGAGCTGCGTGGTGGAGGAACGGAGAGGAGAGCCACCGGTTAAGTAGAGAGAGAGGGGAGGGCTGGGTGGGGACGCGTGGCAGCCATGCAGGGTTTCTAAGGTTTCTACGTGGTAGCTCCCCCCGATGGGCGCTTTGAGGTCCGAATTCGGATCCGAAACTCCTCCACTCGCTGCTTCGCTTATTTTATGCCACAACCCCAACCCCCCCCCCCCCGACAAGGAGAATGCCACCTCACGGGGCCCATCACCATCGCTATCCGTCTGGGCGGCCGAGATCAGTGCGATGGCGGTCCGATGGAATAAAGGCCGTCACGATCATGCGCCCTCCGCGAGTTTCGTCATCGCCGCATGGTGACGTAAGTCTGACGACATGATGATATCATCACATACCGGTTTGCTTCCCCGGTTCGGTCCGGATATTAACGTAACGCGCGGACATCCACGCGGGCTATATGCCGCGGAGATTCGCGTGGACTGCAGAGCCCCGTTGGCCTGTATATCGGCGGTCAAAAAGCTGGCCGCGGAGCACCACACCGCCCTCCGTGCACAGACAAAGTGCCATAATTACCCTTCCTCTCTGCCCGGGGACCCTGCGGTACGGACGCCTGGCTAATTATTCCTGCCTCTTCAGAAGGCTGGAGAGTCCATCGAATTAATTTTGAGGGCTTACATGTAATTTCGCCAACTAGGTCGCGGCAGGTGGATTCATGGTATCGTTATGATTAAGCTAACAGCGCAATTAATTACGTATTTTAGGGGTCAGATGTGCTGGAGGAGAGAGAAACGAGTGGGACGGCTGTAGAGAGAGGAGAGAGAGAGTTATTGTTGCTGGTGTAGCTTACTTTCGTGCATGCATCTCTCTCTTTCTCTCTCTATCTTTCTCTCTCTCCCTCTCTCTCTCTCTCTCTACCTGGTCTGCATGCACGCGGCCCCCATCTTTTGTCGCCCCTTCATCCTCGTCTCCGTCGTTGAGACCTTCCCCATCTGCTCCGCTCCTCCTTTCAATAGGGCTGCTCTACGGGGTTTATGTGCCAGCATTCCCATTAGCGGCACCTTCGTGATCGAGAAGAGTTCTCCCTCGCGGGACACGGGGCTTCTTCCGGTGGCAGGGGTCGGGGAAGGCCGTTCGCCGTACCCTTGAAGCCTCGAAGATTCACGGCGCGGTTTTCGGTTTGTGAAGATGGGGTTAGCATCGAGGAGTTGCGTTAACGCGGAGTGTGGAGCGACGGCGGCGGGGGAGTGGGGGAAAGGATGGGCGCTGAGATCGGGTGGATTCGCTAACCTTTGCGGCAACTGCGGGTAATATGGGGGAATTGCCAAGTCAATTGTACATGCTACATCTGGTCGGTTTCCGAGTTTCCCGTGCGAGCAGTATCTTCGCGTATTTCTCTCCGTTTTCTCGGTGGGCAAATTCCCTGGTGGTTTTCTTTAGCTCGTGATCCCGCTTTTTTTTTTCCACCCTTCATCTGTGGCCGCTCATTTGTAGCGGACGACGGACATTACTCGTCTTAAGATATTTTCCCGATGCCATTACGGCTTTCAAGGCTATTTTCACGGTGGCTTGATTAGATTTTTTTTTTCTGGAGCATGGATTTTCCCCTTCCGGTATTATAATTTTTGGCCATTAAAGTACATTTCACTCGTTCCTCTTTCGCTTTTCTATACCTGGGCATATGCCATGGTACATTTCCATGCCATGTCGTTCATCTTACATTTTGGGAAAGTTCATATTCGCGAGGAGTCCTTCGTTGAGGACATATTTTATGTTTTTAGTTTCTGATCGGGCTTCTTGTCCCCAGGGGTTTGAAGTTTTCTGCGATACATGTTATTAGATCTTCTGCCATTAGGTTAATGACATCTGGTGTACGCACGGCTTTATGCTTACATGAATCAGTTCGACATGATGCCTTCGTCCACAAGCTGGATTAGAATTTTGTGAAGAAAATTTGGTGTTAATTATACTTTCAGAGTTGTATCAACTTTTACGGATTTCTAGCAAATGCTGAATTCATTTAGGCATAGTTTAGGAGAAACGAGGAAGATCAAGTGTCTCCTATGTCAAAATCCTCCTGGGTGGGCTTCTATTTTGCAAAAAAGAGTCATCTGTTGAAAGACCGACCCTCAACAGGAATGACCTTTTGGTGCTTTGTCGTAATGGCACTACAAAGCATTAATGAACTTTTAAGTGATTCTCTGGTTGTGAGGAATGGATGCATGTTCATTGATAAAGAATTTCCTTTCCACTATTTTTTCATGGCTCATTTGTGCCGCTGCATAATACAGTGGAGTCCGTGATTGGGCAGAAATGTGAGAAAATAATAAAAATAACGAACATATGCAATCTTAAAATGAAGTAGCTTTGCGAAATACTTTGAAAAATTCATCTGGCAAAAGATAAAGAGAGATCCTTGTGAATAAAACCACGCTGATGATTAAGCTATAACTATATTTATACTCTTCCCTCTCGAGCAATAAGTTTTCTCTCGTCAAAATTTATTCTATGAATGGGGTTGCCTGCCTTGGGAACGGTATGCACAATCACAGACATTTGAACTTTTTTTCTGACCTGTTGTCAGCCCCCCATCTGCCTCCATTTGTTAAGCCGAGTAAGCATCTGTTGGAGCAGTCTCTCTATCATCAGCTCTTGACCTTAAGTTTTCTTTTTATTCCATTTCTTCCCACATTTCTGATTGATTAAGGATTTATGTTTTCAACCAACTGTATTCTAGACTCCAAAGAGTGGTATTACCATTAGAGATACAGGATAATTCAATATGTATGTATTGAAAATATAAATATTCTTCTGAAGAAAGGTTTAAAAAACATCTGCATATCACTAGAAGTTGCATAAACACGCAAACTAGTAGTTGCATAATGATGCGCGCTATCATGAACCTGTAACTCTTTTCTTGAGGTGTATTGCCCTTGATGTTCTTGGAAAGGCCATTATTAGATTGGGCCATGGTAATAATATGATAGGTAATTTTTTTTAGTATTTTTTATTAAGAGAAATTGTTTCCAACTGGTTCAGGCATTGATTCGTATTTATACGTCTTATAACTAAATACAGCGTTCCTAACCCCTACCCATAAATTTGTCTTCAATAATCATCAGACACTACTCTCAGCTTGGTTTGTTAATTGATGGTGATGTTTGAGGTATTTTAGGTAATTCCAGTTTCTAAGACCTTAACACTGGGCTTTAATGTGGGAATGTTATCGAAAATGAATAAAATATCACGAAGTTAAAAGAGAAATGGATAAATTTACGTGATACAGTTATTTCCGTGTTTATAGTTGGTGAATGAAGTGTCAGATTAATTTTCAAATCTTTTAGTGAGGTCTAAATTTTCAGTGGCCTGTTTTGCCATTATGCTGCAATAAATGTGGCACTAGATTATAAATATGAGCCTTGTACTTAAGCTCTGTGTTTATTTTTAACTACAATAACAAATAAATGTGTATTCAGGCTCTCTTCGTCTTTTTCTTTCTCATTATCATCAAAATTGGCTGAATAAAGCATCTCCTTTTGTTTTTGCATCATCAAAAAACTAAGTAGATTCCATGTTGGCGAGCTGCTTATTGGATTATTCTATTGACATGTAATTTGGTAAATGATAGGATGGCATATGAAAAATTCATTTTCTGTGACTTGTTTCATGGTAAGGAATCTGGTTGGAGGGAATGCAGTTCTTGTGGCAAGGTAATCTGATTGTTACATATTTCCGTGCATCATATTTTTTTTGTCTATTTAATACAGATTAAAATGATTAATCTGCAGCGTCTTCATTGTGGGTGTGTCGCCTCAAGATCTCTTATTGTGCTACTTGACAACGGGGGAGTACAGTGCGTTAATTGTGCAAAAAATTCAGATCTTAATTCAGTAAGATTTTCATGCATGTAGCCAGATACTCTCATTCAATGTACGCTTATAGCATAATAATCTGTGTTCCCAATGGTTCCGTTGAGAAATTTAAAGAGTAAACTCGATCAAAATTATTGAACTCATCCAGAAAAGTAAATAAATGATAAAATAATTTTGAATACGTTTTTTATGATCATTCGGTATTGTTTTTCTTTTTGAAGAGAATCTTGATTAGCTGAACTCTTTGTATACAATGATGCCTCTATTCCTTATTTTTTAAAGAGCTACCATAAAAAACTTCGCTGCCCTGTGCTGAAGTTATTATTTGTTTTGACAAGTTTCTCCTTGTTCGTATTTGAACGCATTTGATCATTCTTTGATCCGCAAAAGCTATAATGGGTGACGTAATTTTTCTAGAAATTTTGTATAACAAGTCGGAATCGATTTAAAGGAAAAGGGGCCGGTGAAAGTTTGAGCGGATGATCCATTACAAATGATTTTCAAGGTTGACTCTATTTAAAACAGATAAAACAATACCCATGAAGTTTACTTCCTCTGGTAAATTGATTTGGTCTGCATTTCAATGGAAATCAAGAATTTTGCCCATTTTTTATGATAAATAATGCAAAAGTCCATGGGATAAATGTGAAAAATGGAGCATTCAGATTATCCATTATTTAATTCCGAATAGTGAAATTATTGGTCTAAATTTGATCTAAAATTTAATGGATGAAAGACATTTATTGTCTTGTTTGTCATGTAAACTTTTTGGCGCCACTCCTCTTTTCTCTGTGGCTGATGTACGTGACAAAAGTTGGAATAATTTCTTCATACTGTTATTGTGGATTAAATATTTGGAGTTAAAACCTATCTAGTCTTTCCCAATGCCTACATCCCTTTTTGAGACACCTTTTTCTACATTTTATAACAACTTTATGCTAAATGTGTATTGTGTTATGCTAACTCCTTAACTGATCTGCTATAAGCACGGATTCATGTGCTAGCAGTGATGCATGTATACTCTGTGTTTATTTAGTCTAAACATATTTTTTCCGCAAAGTAAATAATATTTAATAATAGTTGTCAACTACTTTTGGTATTGCCTTCTTCTTATTATTGGTGATTTTAGTGATCACTTCTGTTTTTTGTTACAACCTTTTCAACTGGACACGATTTTTGTTATTGAGTGCAGTAATGGGAGTAATGCAACTAAAAGGGGATGAGTAATATCGACCTTTGCAATAAGTTTCTCAAACCTGTTTAGGAATGCTAAAAAATGAATCAGTTCCCGAAGAAGGTTTGCCAAATCTTGAAAAGAATTTCATCACATTGGAAGAGATTGAGCTTCAACTTGCAGTTGAGAGGAGACTTCAATACGGGAGGCTTTAGGGCTTGAGTGTTGTTACATTTCTTACGGCAGAATGGCTCATATGCAACCCATAAAGGTTGGGCGTTGTGGTTAAGAAATGTTTATTGCAGCTCCAAAAGGAGTTTAACAAAAACAGTTAAGAAATGTCTGCGTTTGTGCCAACAAACTTTTTCTTCTTTTCAATTTGTTGGTACGTGAATGACTGTGTGTTTCTGTTCCTATCTTTGGCAGAAGATGTTGAAAAGTAAGCTAGCACTTTCTTCAAACGTTTATCACTACGTACAAGCATTCTATCACTGTATTACATATTTAACAAGAGAGTTATATTCAAACTTGATAGTTATAGAAGTTAATCAAATATACTTTGCTACATCAAAATCCTCTCTGGAGAGTTGACGTTGCATATATCTCAAATTTTGTTACACCATCATGCACTTACATTGCCTTGACAACTAGTCATCTTCCTGTAGTCTTTGGGATCTATCTTCCCATCATTCGGTCATGTTAATGCCTATAGTTTTTATTGACATACTTGCTTCTAGTATTTGATATTTTTTTTAATTGTCTGGTTATATGGATCCAGGTCCAGGGTGAGTTCTTCCAGGATTCATTGCTGCAGCTTCCTGACAAAGGCCTGGCCCTATGTGGAAGAGCCTCAAGAGATGATAAGTCAAATGGTTTTGTTGCATCAACTCCAGGTAACTCCTTTGATCATTATTTGCGTTTATTTTCTTCAATTACACTGATAATGAGTTTATAGACTCTGTATGATTCATGCAGGGAGAAGTATTGATTGTAAAGGGCAGAGCAGTATGCTTCTTGTTCACAGAGATAATCTAAATGGATCTTATAAGCACATAAAACGAGAAGAAGTCATGCTTTCTGTTGGTGACTTAGGAATAACAAGCTTCCCAGATATAAACCAAGTAGGCAATTCTTCTTCACAGACTTGGAGAAGAGATGACAGAAAATATGTTGTGACAGACAAAAGAAGTTTCAATCCAACGAACCCTGGCTGCTTGGGTATCAGTTTAGGGACATCTTCAAACCCAGCTCACATGGCAGATGCCTGTGATTACGGAGGAAATTCACATCTTTCTCTTCCTATGTCCAACTTGGGAGCTGAAGGAAGAGAACAGACTAGATCTCAGTCTGCATTGCAACAAGTGCAGAAAGGTCAACAAGTTCATCCTAAGCCCCTGAAGTCAAGTCTTCTATTTGGTTCGGAAACATCAAAGGAGTCTATCTCAAATATGCGTGTTGCAAGGCCACCTGGTGAAGGAAGAGGCCGAAATCATTTGCTTCCTCGTTATTGGCCAAGAATCACTGATCAAGAGCTAAAACAAATATCTGGAGGGTATCCAAATCAATTAAATCTTGCTTATTTGGATCTTTTATGTTTCGATTTCACATTGTTAATTTCTCTAAATCTTATTAGCCTCATGAATTAATAGGACGTGATTCCTTAATCATGCTAACTTAAAGCTCAAACTCGACTATTGTGCCATTGTTTGAGAAGGTTTTAAGCGCCAGCGATGCAGGTCGTATTGGTCGTTTGGTTCTTCCTAAAGCTTGTGCGGAGGTATGGACCCTACTAGATGAGTGATCTTATTGTGTTTTTTTTTCCCTTCTCATCCACAGTGCTTGATGTTGACCTGGGATTTTAATTCTAATGACCCACTCTTTCACCTGAAACTCTTTCCATTGAAGGCTTTGCTATTTCTTCTGGACATTATGCAGGCATATTTTCCTCCAATATCGCAACCAGAAGGCCTTCCTTTAAGGATTCAGGATTCAAAAGGAAAAGATTGGATTTTCCAGTTCAGATTTTGGCCAAATAACAACAGCAGAATGTATGTCTTGGAAGGCGTAACTCCATGCATACAGTCAATGCAATTACAAGCTGGTGACACAGGTATTCCATGGATGACAAGCGTATTTATTAATTATACGCTTCTTCATTTTATTATTGTGTACTAAAAATGAATTAGTTGTCTTATGGGAAGTTTCTGTGGTGACTTTGAGGTGAATTTTTTGTGTTCATCGACCTTAGAAATATCCATGGGGTGTAAAAGGGTTAAGGAATTTTAAGAATACCTGAAGGCCAGTTATTGTTAATTGTTTCTCAAAACTAACAGAAAATTGCCACAAAATATCTGTCACCTTTTGCGGCGACATTACAATAGCACAGCTGAAGTGTGATTATATAATTTTGTAATTCCCGAAGAAAAAGTGATGTGGTCATTCCATTTTAAATGGAATACACGTAAATGGATATTATTCTGTTTTCACGTTTCCTTATTAAAGGTAGATTGCTGTAATCTTGTAGCCATGGCTGGCTATCTGATTGGTTTTCCGTTTATTACGTTGATAGAAGTAAACAAAGAGACTTTATGCCATACTTTTTCATGATCTGGAGTCTGGGTGAAGTTTTTGAGGTTGTTGCCAGCATTGATCCGATGATGATCTAGACGGGGATGACTAGCAAAGTCCGGCAATAAAGTTGCGCTTGAATATTCATTGGAAACAGCAATAAGGATGGTAATGTCCAACGGCCTGTCCCTGTTAAAATCACAAAGAAACAAGCATCAGCGATTTTATATTGGAACCTTACTCCGACTTGGGATCGTTTGTTAGTTTGTGGCTAGAGTACAAACTGTGTGACAGCATGCTTTTGCTGCAAGAGGTCTAAGTTAGGGCAAAATATATCATATCAAGATGTCAAGTCATTATCCTGAGCTTTGTCCTGTCAAGGTTATTTGCGGAAGGTGTTCCTCCTAATTCTCAGCAATTTTAATTGTCTTTCTATTTAAATTCTTTTAATTCGTCAACCATAAACACATAACAAGATAAAATTTGCATGAGACAATGTGCCAGATTCTGGCTCATAAAAGTTTTTCATTGAAGTCATAAAATTGTTGACTTATAATTGCTGCGACTTACATTGGCTGAAAAATGATTGGATGGTCAAATTTAGACTGAAACACTGAATCGTAAATTTCATCACATCAGGTCATGAATAATATCTCTATTAATCTGTATTTGATTTTTGCGACAAATCCTTAGTGGTGGTGAAGGCCATGTTTTACAATGTTATAGATATGAAGTATTGTGTATGCATTGATTCATATGTTCAGTTACCTTGTATGATGTCAACCTGTCACTATACTTTATTTATTCACATTGGTTATTTATCAAATCAATCTTGATCTTTACACCCTAAGGCTTTGTTATCCTGAATAGATTAAGCTTTCTATATGTACTTCTGATGGCTGGTAAACTTAATTGACATTAACTATGATATTAGCTTGTCTGTGTTGGACATTTCTAGGCGTCGTGTGACATGTTCTTAATATTTGACGATTTATATGCAGTTTTGTGAAAAAAAAATGCATATGGCCATCTCTACAGTTTTTGGCCATCCAGCGTATTATAACTTGAAATCTTGATAAGATGCTAAGAATTTTTTGTATTATAATGTCTTTGTCGTGAACTTGTGATTTGTGCTGTCTGGTCCATTTTCATGTACTTTGGGCTTTTGTTTCAGTGACTTTTAGCCGCATAGATCCAGAAGGAAAACTTGTAATGGGATTTCGGAAGGCCATAAACTCCGTTCCTTTACAGGTAGGATGAATTTCTTCAGAAGTCATTGTGAATGAGTGCATGAAGTGTTCTCTAATGAGGTCATTTTTTATGAACCACATTAGATTAATACCACCCGCCGTCCTTTTCTGTGCCATCTCTCCATTTGATCTCTGAGCTGAACATTTTAAGTAACTGATTTCCTTACTCAAGCAGGATTCACAAATTTCAGCCATCGCTAATGGCAATGAAAGTTTCCTTTCGGGAGTTATCGAGAGCCTACCAATTGTAAGTTGTTACTCTGGCCTTCTTCAATCACTGGAGGCGACCGCATGTCCCCAATCAAGTGGGTTGCCTGCGCATCGAATTCTGGCAGATGGGGTTAGTATCTGCCTTGTTTCAGATAACCTTGCAAGCAGGCTAATTCAGGGATTACCGTTGCAGCCACTGCTAGTACCCGAGAAGAAAAGAAGCCGCAATATCAGTTCCAAGAGCAAGAGATTGCATATTGACAGTGAAGATGCTCTTGAATTGAAGCTTACGTGGGAAGACGCACAGGATTTACTGCGTGCACCTCCTAATGCTATACCCAGTATTGTTGTGATTGAGGATCACGAATTTGAAGAATACGAAGTAAGTACGACATCTGGATACCGTTAGAGAAGGTTTCCTTTCTTTTTGTAAGTTGTGATTTTGATTATTTACTGTTATTCTGTTTGTTTCATACTTAGTAAATAAATTTAGAAAGCAAGAAAAACAAAGGATAAACGAATGCCTCTCTTCATTTTTCCTTTTGATTCCTTATTAAACTTGCAACTCCATCAGTTTTCCACTCAAATATGGCAGTCTCCAACATAGATGGTGAGCTGAGACAGGCAACGGCATGCTTAATGGCTCAGTCTGATTCACCTCAAGAAGGGTAAAATGGAAACTCCCCACTGCTGTTGCTGCCTCTTGGAGACTCTTGGCTGCAACTGCCTTCCTCCCCACTCATTGTGTGGTACGGAAAAAACTGTTGGGAGATGACCGTTGGAGTTTGAATGAAACTATGATTGTTGGAATGGATTAGCTGAATTGGGTAAGGTTTGGTCCATGGGTCTAGGCTTGGGCTGATTGATCAAGATTCCAATGTACGTTTTTAGCTTTGGCTGCCTTTGATGTTTTCTGTGAGAGTCACGATAAGGAATGGGATCTGGATTTGTGCAGTAACCATCTTTCCACCAAAAATCTAAAATTATGATCCCTTGCATTTTTCCAGTAATTACAACAAAAACCCTGCTCTACGTTTGCCAGGCTTCAATAAATCTGCTCTCAAGCTCTGGAAAAACGGGCAAACTTTGGGTCTAGAATCTATTGCAGAATTCGTACAACAAGGATCTAGTTCTGTAATTGTCCAGGTCTGTTCTATTAGACCTGTCTTTCAAAAGATCACAGATGTGTAGGTGCTTTTGTTTTAATGTTAAGCTTTCGGGAGTCAGTTTGGGTTGAAGGCTCAGGCGCGTTTTGGCTACTTTAAATTTCACAGAGCTTATAACTCTGCTGGTCAATGGCTCAGACCTTAGAAAAATAATTCTCAGTCTGATGAGCGGTGATAAAACCTGGTTCGTATTTTTTTTGGTTGTGGTTGCTCAAGTAGCGCCATTATGTATAGAAGAACGCAGGATCCAAAAAATAGATTAGCAATAAGGCAAAACCTAATAAAAACAGCAAAAGAATATGTTATCATCTAACGGGTAGGTGGATAATAGAATAAATTTTTTATCCTATCATTGATTGTGTTCAGCAGGTCTGTTGATGCTTTTCTCCTACTTCTATTACTCCCAATATCCTGGAAATGCATGCCTAAAGGTGTCATGTGTGCACGTGAACTTTCTTGACAATTTAACTTCTTGCAGATGCGTGCAAAAATCATTCTCTGGATTGATTGCGTTTGAAAATGGGAACCACTTATGTACCTTAAATAGTGGTTCTAAGTTCATTTCTTATGCAGTATCTATTAGTTTACATCACAATATGGAATGGATGTTGGCGGCTGATTCATATATGTATTGATGCACAGGAACCTCCAGTTTTAGGGAAGAAGACAATTTTCACCATACGGGCATCTGGGTATGCTTCTATATCACGTTGAAGGTCATTGGGTGCATCAACATTTATATGGGCAAATCATAGTGCCAAGCCACATGTGGTCAATTAATTTCCTTCATAGTATGTTTGACGTTATCCAAACTTGCGTCTCTCTGTTCGCATGTATTCGTATACGTAGGTAAACTGGATAGCTGCAATTTTTTTCCTACATTACGAATTAGTCTCGGATAGGATCTAGTAACGTTTGTCCTTGTTGGGATTGGAGTGGTGGATGGTAGATTGAGGTCCGAGCTCAACTATGAATCAACCTGTAATTGTTGTGCGCGAAGATCTTTTGTATGACAGCACAAACAAAATCTTCTGCATATTTATCTAATTTTGGATAACACTGATGATGGTTTTTCAGAGGCAATGATCAATGGGTTCAATGTGACCATTGCCACAAATGGCGCAGACTACCTGCAGATGCTATTGTTCTCTCAAAGTGGGTATGCACAGATAACGCATGGGACCCCAAAAGGTTAGTCCTATTGACGTACCATAAAGCTGTTAACCTAGTTTTAGTGTTCTTTTTATGAAAACGGCATATTCATTCAATATTTACTCTATGAAAAATCTGATTAAAAGAGCTGATGTTGATAGCTGAGAACATTTTTAATGAAAAATACTTGACTTGATTCCCTATCGGTTTAAGGAAATAGGTTTGATTATATTATGGTCAGAGCAACCTCTTGAACTAAGAAAAAGGGTAGAAGAAAGACTCATTGTTGATGATTTGATTATACAATATTTGGAGATAATAGATGAGTCAGATCTATGAAGATTCACTAAAAACTTTGGTCGATTAGTCCGCAATCTGAGTGTCAGTCCATGTCAGACGCTCTCAGCCAACACCTTTCTCGTGTTTCATAACTTTTTAGAACTTTAATCACCTCATGTTAGATGTTCTAACTTAACGGCACGAGGGGTTGCACAGCAAATGATTTTTTTATTCGTAGCATCACTTAGAAGCCCATTCTGTGTTATATATTGCATTTTGATGAAATATTATCTGGAGGAAATATTGGTGTGTTCAAGGGGAGGGTATATATATATATGTAGAGAGAGAGAGAGAGAGAGAGAGAGAGAGAGAGAGGGAGCCTTCTGAAATCGCCTCGTTCCCCGGTTAGAAAAGGTCCAGATTCACCTGGCCCATTAAAAGGTTCGGTTTTTCGCCATTTCTTGATAAATATTTTATCTGGCGATAATCACTGCTATTTTATGTGAATATTTAATCAATAATAATTCGCGTGGTGACTATCAACGAGCTGACCATGCTCTCTGTCTCTGTCTCTGTCTCTGTCTCTCTCTACATTGCAGATCGTCCTGCTCTGCTCCTGATGAGATGGGCGAAAAGGAAATCCAAAATCTTCTTCAGCTGAATGCAGGTATGAATACTTGTTCTCAGAGTCTGTTTTAGTACCCTTTCCAAGATTGATTTGAAAGCTGGGCCCCGACATGAATAAACACCATCTCATCACGAATAATCATCCCTACGCTATTTCCTGAATATCTCATTACCGTTTTGTTTTCTGCTCTCTCTCTCTCTCTCTCCCCTCTGTCACATGTTAATTTTTGTCGTCGGGAGATCTTCAGAGCTGAAGAAGCGTAAGCTATCTACTGGCTACACCCAGCCGGCGGAGGAGCCCGCCGGCCTTGAGGCTCTGGCCACCTTGGCGGTCCTGGGGAACGAAGCGACCCAGGCGGCGCTGTCGGTCGCCACCGCCACCACCAAGCACCCCCGCCACCGGCCGGGCTGCAGCTGCATCGTCTGCATCCAGCCGCCGAGCGGCAAGGGCCCCAAGCATAAGCCCACCTGCACCTGCAATGTCTGCATGACCGTGAGGCGCCGGTTCAAGACCCTCATGATGCGGAAGAAGAAGCGCCAGTCCGAGCAGGAGGCCGGGGCCCACAAGAAGCTCCTCTCCGACAAGGATGACGCAGAATTGGGGAGCTCCTCAAAGGCCGGCGGGCTGCCCTCAGGCACAGATCCGTTGGAGGCTTCAGAGTCTAGATACAATCCGGTTGCCGCCGATATGGGCACCGGCCAGATCGATCTGAATTGCCGCCCAGAGAGGGGCGACGGCGGCGGCGACAGTGGAGGAGGCGGCAGAGCTGGGCAGACACACATGAGCATGATGACCCTCCTTAAGGTGGCCAATCTCCCCCTGGAGATGTACCTGAAGCAGAACGGCCTCACCAGCCTCGTCAGCGAGCAGCCAGCGAGCTCAAGCTCTCACGCCGCAGTGCCATGGGCAGTGGCAGAGAGCGAGGAGGGGACGGCGGAGGGCGGCCACCAGGCTACCACCACCGGGGAGGACTGCACCATGGCCGACGAAGGGGACTCTGCCTTGGGGCCCCTCGCCTGATCCCCCTTCATCTTCGTCCTTCATCCTCAAGGTTGCAGACTCCCCCTCAGATTACAAGATCAGCAGCCATCGCCAAATCCAATCCACAGACCAAAACCTGTACACATTGACGCGAGGAAAAAGAGGATCGACAGGCTACTCTCAAAGAGATTTGCCCTCTTCTCATTTACAATTGCGTCACCCTCCCCTTCTATACACTGATCTCATCAAAAGGAGGGGGGGGGGGGGAGTGGGTTGTGTTATTCTTCTATCCATCTATGTCTATGTGCATATATACCATCTTGAATCATCATCATCATCATCATGGGGTGAATATGTATAGATAGGGAAGGTGGGATTGCCAGCGATTAGAACCCTTCCACTCCAGCCCTCCGCAGTGGCAGCAGCAGTGGCGTTCTCCGGACGGGGATTGCTTGGCTGTCCTGAAACGACAGAGTGGAAGAACACTTCTGGAGAGGATGAGGTTCAGTCACCGTGGGCCTTGGCGGCGAGAGGGAGAAGCTCGATCTCGGCATGGGGACGACGATCCCGTTGAGGCTGGGGGACCTCTGCATGAGCTTCACGGGAGCGGCGGTAGGCTCCTGGAGGCGGAACCTGCATGAATACTTCATCTCCTGGACATCCTCGAGGGTATCGACGATGGCTCTCATGGTGGGCCTCTCAGACGGGTCCTTCTGAAGGCATCTCAGGGCGAGGTCGGCAATGGTGCGGGCTGCCTTGAGGGGGAATCGCCCTTTGAGCCGAGGATCCATGATGAGGGGCAGGCGGCAGCTGTCTGTGAGGTACGGTCTGCTCCATTTCACCAGGTTCCGATCCTCCTTTGTGTGGCGGGGATCAAGGTGCTTTCTTCCGGTCAGCAGCTCCAGGAGGACGACCCCGAAGCTCCAGACGTTGCTCTTCGGCGTGAGCAGGCCCTTCTCAAGAGTTTCCACTGATATGCTCGCAACAGCCTGCCCAGAAAGGAAAATTATGATTTGCTGATTCAGGCGATGATTTAAAGCTGAATATCAGATGATGATGATGATGATGATGATGCAATGAACATCAGCTGGGCAGGGGAGCAGGAGGAAGATATGTACCGAGGAGTTCAAGATCTCTGCCTCTGAGTTGTAGCTCACACATCCGTAGCCTGAAAGCTTTGCGCTGAAATCTTTGTCAATCTGTATATTTGCTGTGGAGAACTCATTGTACATGGCCTAAAAAAATGACCCAAATGTCGAAAAGAGGAAGTCAGATAATCAGACAATCTAAAGAAACAATATCTGGCACGCCCAGAGATCCGTGAATAATTGGGGACATACGCAGGGAATTTTCTAGTTGACTAGTATGAATTTATCTCGACTGTCTTCCTAATCTACACAGATGCCTTTCCCAACAAAAATGGTAAATAGGCCCATCACTGAATCAGTGCATCACTTTGGGGGTGGGGGGATCCCTAATGGAGAAAATCTCTAAGATTTATAAATCACATAGAATTAGTCTAATTGCTGATGATAAAGGTAAAGGGGGAGCAAAAAAGAAAGAAAAAAAATGGCCAGCATACCTGAAATGGCCCTTCCTCGTGCAAGAACAGAAGACCCTTCGCAGCACAGAGCGCCACCTTCATCCGGGTAGCCCAGTCAATGGATGGTCCGTCAGATCTCCCATAAAGCAGTCGATCCAAGCTTCCATGGTAAAGCCTCTCATAAACTAACATCCGTTGATTGGAGCCCTCACGTGCATGGAATCCAAGCAATTTACAGAGAAGTGGATGTTGCAAAGATGAGATAAGGAGCACTTCACTAACGAATTCCTTGAAGCCCTGCAAGTTGTGACATGTAAATTGGCACTGGTTAGTACCCTGGAAGTCGGCATTAGGATTGACTTTTCGTAATCCCCTAACTGGGGAGCAATTGTCTTCACACAATAATCTGACCTATTGATGAATTAAAAGTCAAATAAAACTACATATGTTTCGAAAATAGGGTTAAGAAGCTCTGGATTCCTAGAACAATGAAAAGAGGAAATTCACTATCTCAGTGGATCTAAACTTTGAACAACTGGGATCGCCAGCTGCATACATGGCGAAACAGTGGCCACAGATCTCCCTAATACCGCTAACAAGGGTTATTAGAAACATGCTGCCACAATATAGCAAAATCGAGAATCCGAGAAGGGGAAACACAGGTATTCTGGAATGGCAAATGTAGAATGTTGACCGAATGTTATGTGAGTCTCAAAAACTGCATACAGTTCAAAATTAGTGCAAGGTGATGATACCTGAGTGGATGATAAAATACGAGTGACAGAGGCTTCACGCCTCTTGGATGACGAGGCATCATCTCCAAAAGAAGCTGCATAGACTACGGATGAAAGACCTTCTGATACACATTTGTCACTGGAGAAATCTTGACAGGCCGCTGCAATGTCTTTAAAGGAAAAGCTTCTCAGCCCCCTAAATGGTGGAAGAGGCAAGGGTCCGGAAGTGAGAGAAGAACTGTTTGAAGTACTCGCTTTAAAACTACCCATATTCTTCAAAATGGAAGAATCCTGTGGTTCTGGAAGTGGTAGAGGCTGTGGATTCGAGACACGTTGTTCCTTCATAAATGGTCCACTATTCTTATTTTCTTCTTGTTCTTCAAGCTCAATCGACCATAGACGATCCTCATCTGCCACAGCAAGGCTGGAAGGCGCAGACAATACTCGAGCTCTGCTGATGCCGGTTCGGTTACAAGGCTGGTCAGCTTTGGATCTGGTTTTAAAACTTGGAGGAGCAGATTGGAGAGATCTCCCATGAATCACCGGCTCAGGGAGCGCGGCTAGAGACTTCTCCTTCACGTTGGCGTGCTCTTTGGAAACCTTGTTGGATTTCTTCTTCTTGATTTTCAAACCTGTGAAGCAACCCATTCTCTTTTTCTTTCCACTCAACAGAAAAGAAACCAACTGCAAGAAGAAACAGGATAGATAATACATAGGGTCTCATAAGCAAAGCCATGGGTAGCAGAGGACGTTCTAGAAAACCAAACGAGTCAATCCAAATACACAGGAGACATTCATAAGCAAAGCCATGAGTAGCAGAGGACGTTCTAGAAAACCAAACGAGTCAATCCAATCTACAGGAGACATTCATATCCATTCAACTGTGATCAGCAAAACTTTCTTGGGCAAGAAATAAACCTCGCGAAAGAGCATTAAAAGAGCTTGAGAGGAAAGAAGCATCAAATCTCTCCCCGACATCAGCATCAGGCTGAAGTTAGTTTGATGATGATCTTCCTAATGACAGGTCGTCAATGAGCAGAATTGCTTCATCAATAGAACAAAATGACGAGAAAAAGGTAGGATGAGAAAAGGTTTTGCCCTCAAACTAACGATAGGAGAAGGAATCTCAGAGAGAAGTGAGGACCAAAAGGTGGTAATCAACTCTGTCGCCCCATAATTTCAGAAAACCCATGTTTTATGCTCAACGAAGCGCGCAACCTCTGGAAGCACCTCCAAATTGCTAAGGGAACTCTTTGCGTTTAAATAAGAGAATGGAAGTTAAAATTCAGGTGGATGGTTCTTAAAAAATTTATTAAAAACGCGAATTTTTTGAAGTAAGAGATCAATTTCGATCTTTCGCAAATTCAAGTCGACCCAAAATCTTGCACCGAGTCTTACATAACAAATTCCATGAAGCAAAGCATCTCAAGGAAAAACAAAATAAGACTAAAATAACGAACAAAGAATCATAAGAATGAAGCAAGTACGATAACGTGAAACCCTCCTAGCACCGCGGGCATATTTTCAAAAAATGAAGAACATAATATAATCAGAAATCCAAATGAGAGAAACGTATATCCAAAGCCATGCGAAATCAAATCCGCGCAACAAATTGACAGATTTTTTTTTTTGTAAAATAGGAGCACGAAACTGGGCCAATGGCACCAAAACAACATTCACCGAACGCAAGGAACGACGAGAGAGTAAAAGCGCGAAGCTTCCAAATCCCGCGAAAAGGGGAGAAATCCTCCCGCATGCAAACTAACGCGAGCGTCCAGCACCAATATGAGACAAGCTAAGCGCCACCTACGGGGGACAAACCCACAGAGTGAGCGAGGATGAAGCAAATCGAACCTCGGCAATCCACTGCTGCTCCAATAACGCCGATTCGAGCAAACTTCCACTCGCCTTGACGAATCCGAGGTCCGAGGACGAGCTGGGCGCCCAGAGAAAGAGGATGCAAGAGGCAAACCCTAGTGAGAAGCAAATCGGGACGAGAGACAGAGAGAGATGATATTTAAAGGGGAAGCGAGGTGAGACGACGACCGAGCGGATCGCCGGTCAAAGCTGAGGGGGGTGTCGGATGTTTTTTTAGAAGAAAATAGAAACGCACCGCCCTCATGCTCAGAATATTACCCTCGTTTTTTTCTGATATCACGATGGTACCACTCCCAATAGCAAAAGTACTCCTACTATTTTAGCACGCGTTCATACGTCATGTCCAATTTCATCCCGGAATTTTTTCAAATTGTCAATGAAGCCATATTGGTTACTGCCTTCGAGCCCGGGTTTCTTAGGATCGTCTCGGGGAATACAGCCAAAGACGGCGCGGTTGGTCCATTCCAGCGACGATGGGGAGACTTCGGGCCTTCATCCGTGGGGCGGCCAGCCGGCGAGCTCCGCTTACTCCGACGCCGACGGCGGCGGAGAGAACCGGCGGGGCGGCGCCGCCGAGGGTCGTCGGCCTACGGCATCTTCGTCTTCGCATCAGTGGCGGCCCCCGCCTCTGCCCACCTTGACCCAGGTCAGTAGAATCCCGGTTATTCTTCCCTCTATCTTTCCATCAATATCAGTCATGGAAGGGTGCTCTTTGTAATTGTGTGCTAAGGGGTAATCACGTAAATAATATGTTTTTATTGGGGCAGTTTCCGAGAAGGAGCTATGACGCAAGCTTTATTCAGAGTTGAAATGCTGGACACCGCCCCTCCCCCCCTGTGGCAGCTTCAAAGGTGGTCAAAGAACGGGTGATTGTGATGACGACATGTTGACCCGGAGAAAACTCTATCCAATCACCGAAGGCCACGTGCAGCCTGGCCCCTCTGAACAGGTTCAGGAAGACTGCAACCCGGATCGCCTACCCCGCCCACCTCCGATCCATTGAATAGTCGGTAAGTCGCCAGTTTGACCGATATCAGGCCACCACGGCGAGGGGAGAGAGGCGTATGCCGACATGTTGTGGGGGAAAACAGGCGGCGCCGTCTTCTCGGAGGGGGCGGAGAGTTCTGGCACCTGCGAGGGAGGGTCTTCCACGTGATATCGACTCGCCCTGCGTTGACTCGTTGGGGCAGCAGAGGAACGAGAACGAAGACGCTTATCGCCATCTCGTGGTTGTTTCTTCTAGGTGAATCCGAGGGGTAGAGCGAGTCGGATGAGTCGCCGTTACTTGTAAATGAGATGAAGGGGATCTCTGGGGGGATTTCAAATCTGATTGCCCACAGCCGCTCTCATGACCGTTGAGGATCTAGCGGCTGGGCCCGGGCAGAGCCGCCTGCCATCGATGTGGAGACCAACCGGAGACGACCATGATGGCTTGGGCAGGAAGAATATGGCCCGATATCGACTCTAGGATCATCAAGTGAAATGGAATAAGGTGGGGGTAGCTTGACACAGTAACGGGCTTGATGCTTTGAACGAGTGGTAGCAACAGGCAGGGCGGGCCCAGATGGGAGCATTTGTTGCGCCCAGAGAGAGAGAGAGAGAGAGAGAGAGAGAGAGAGAGAATTCATGTGTGTACAAGAGGTACTCACATAGACGGAGATAAGGAGGAGAGTGATGACAGGCTTGAAGAGAAATTAATGTGTACATTTAGTTGCTGACAATGTGGGAAAATTATTGATGACTTGCATCTAAATTTCATGATATTAAAAACGATAATTAATAATACACTAAAAGCATCCTCCTATATAACCCTAAGTAAAATTTTGTTCATTGTTAGGTCTAGATAACAAATTCTTATTTATTTTTCTAATCCGAAATTGGGATCTGATAGCCACTCAATATGGAAGAGGTACATGCCTTTCAATCCTCTTGAAGGCTGAAGATTTGAAAACTCTTTTAGATTTTTCCTAAAATATGTAAATGAATTTTAAACAATGATAAGTGTAAAATATATTTACTTTTAAAAGTGATATAACGCTTGGGAATAAAAGAGAATGCACTCATTCCGCATCATTTGTAAAACTGTTGTGCATTAATAAATTAGTGTAAATTGCTATTCTGAATTTGTATATGAAATTGAGGAAAAAATAAGAAAATGAGCATAAAAGTAATCAAGAGATGGAAATAAAAGTTTACAAGATCCTGAATGATGGAAATTACTTTACAACATTCTTGAGACATTTTTGGAATCTTTCCTCTTATACCTCTTGAAGAGAAAATCATTGACGAAAAAAATCCACATTTTTTTAAAATGTATCTATTTATATTCTCAATTCCCAATCATGATACACCGTTTGAATCAAGGTTGGTTGCCTTAGGTCAAATCTATTTTGACAATGAGATGTCAGAAAATTATTGGATGATCAAATCATATTGACGAAACAAAAATGAACACTGTTCTTGTGCACTATGTCGAATGCATGACCTTTTATGATATATTTTAAATTATGTAAGTGGGTCATAATGTAAGGAGTAAACTTATAGTTGGAAAAACATGAACGTAATTTAGTTTTTGAGGTCAATGGGGTAAAATCCTTGAATGGAGAAAAATCTTCTCCTGTAGAGATATGGTGGAGTTGGCGGGTAATGAGGCTAGAAACTATGCGGGTAGCCCATTGGCAAGTCTTCTCCAACAATAACTGTGATTTTATGATACTTCAAAATACAAGAGTCGTACATGATCTCAATCATCCCAACCATGGGACAACCTCACTGCATTCCCTGTGTAAATATTGCAAAGTATTTTGGATTTTCAGTCCAAGCCATCGTAAATTCCATGTGTCTGCATCTGTGCTTGGTTATATTAAGAACATTGGACTATAAGAGATCAATCCAGTTCCCCTCCCCCTCAGTTCTGAATCATTTGACATTAACATAATGTCAGGTGATTTAGGTGTATGCGTTATAAAGTTGTTGTTCTAAATGATATGTTCAAGTTTTGAGGAGAACTGGGAATGAGTTAGAAAAGGCTTGACATTTTTTTCAGTACATTTTTTCGTGATCTTCGAACGAGTGGTATCCTTTAGGGATTTTTTACCTTTGAGATGGGTTCTAGAAATTATCTTGTTGAACTTTGTCTACAACTATGGTTCGCATAATCAATCCTGCTTCCATGGCACATTCAGTGCCCCAACCAGATGTCTGCAAACTCCTATTCAGATATCTTCAACGATCAAGTTATTATCATTGAATTCCAGGATCAAAGGGCTCCTCAATGTAAATCATAAGAAAAATGCGAATTTATTGTTATATGAAACTGACGTATTATCTCCATGCTCCGACGGATTTACGAAATATTTTTTGATTCCAAGCTTCTCCTTTTTGACCTCTTTTTCGGTTTTTTAATGGGTGTGATTGAGATCCCTATGAACGTTGCTGCTCGAGCAAAATATCAAAAGCGACGAATAAAAAAGTGGGTTAGATCCATGCCTTCCAGATTTTTGGTCCATTGACGCGCCCCGTAGCCACAGCTCGCTGATTGTGAAAGGGGGTGAATTTCTACCACATGGATAGCATTGATTAGCCCGCTGACTAGAAAAACAGGCTTCGATATCAATATATGATGGGTTGGAGCGCCATCCACGTGGAACGACTGTTGTCGCCCTCATTAGAACAGTATATCAATATATGAGAATTACGTGGGACGCCAGAGGCCAGGAGCCTACCCAAACTTACCCACAAGAATCCCCCTCTTTTCTTCCAGAATTACGGCTCTCCCCCTCTCTCTGAGGTAGGTGTCGCTACACCAGGTGCATTCACCGGTCGGCGTCCTCCCGGCGCAGCGGCGGGTAGGTAGGGCGAACTTCGGCACGAGGCCTACCGTATATTCTACCCACCATCCCCCTGCGAGCCGGATTAAATAGAACTTCATCTCCCTGGGCCGTGTGAACTCTCAAGACAACCCTTCTGATCCGTTTCTGCCCTCGGAGATCCTTCCGGCAAGCTCTTCGGCGCGGCCGTGGTTGTCCGGAACTGTCTTCGTCACCGGGCCGTGCCCGTGAAGCGGCTTCACAAGTCTGTGACACTGCTTCTTCCGTCTTTCCCTCCGCTTCTCCAATGAGAGGGGCTTCTCGTTTAGCCCGGCCAACGCTCTAACCAGTGAGCTTCTCGTCTGTTTACAGTGGGATCTGAGGTGGTCATGGTGGATGAGATCGCGTTTCCCTCCGTGAATGCAGACCCCAAGCCGCTCGCTCTCTTGGGTTACGGTAAGAGCTCTCTCTCTCTCTCTCACACACACACACACACGCACACACACACTTACTCACTCACTCAATCATTCACTCTCTCTCTCTCTCTCTGTCTTACGCGTTCTGTGATCCATGCGCAGGGATAACGGATATCGAGATCCACTTCCTCCAGATTAAATTCACAGCTATCGGAGTTTACGCCGACAAGGAGATCGTCGGACATCTTGGGAAGTGGAAGGGAAAGAAGGGAAGCGACCTCAAGGAGGACGATGACTTCTTCGACGCCCTGGTTTCAGGTACGGGTAAACCCATGGGGGCGAACAGAATCCGGCAGTTTGGATGGGATTTTCGGCGTCATTTCACCATGATGAAGTCTGAATGCTCTGGGCGGCGGTGCAGCTCCGGTAGCGAAACAGCTGAGGATTGTGGTCATCAAGGAGATCAAAGGGTCCCAGTATGGCCTCCAGCTGGAGACCGCTGTGAGGGACCGCCTGGCGGCCGCCGACAAGTACGAGGACGAGGAGGAGGAGGCCCTCGAGAAGGTCATCAACTTCCTCCAGTCCAAGTACTTCATGAAGAACTCTGTCATCACCATAAGCTTTCCGGCGGCGCCCGCTCCCGCAGAGGCAAGTGCTGCTCCACCGCAAACCGCTATAAACTACAGGCCCAGAGAGTCCAACCCCCTCACTCTATTCTTCACTCGCAGATCTCGTTCTCGACGGAGGGGAAGGAAGAGACGAAGATCCAGGTGGAGAATGCGAACGTGGCAGAGATGCTCCAGAAATGGTACCTTGGGGGTTCGTCGGCGTTGTCCCCCTCCACCGTGGCGTCCCTCGCCGAGAACCTGGGGGAGCTGCTCTCCCAGTAGATGGGGTTAGTCTGGAAAAGAACGGCGAACAGCTGCCGATCCATATCGATCGGCCGATCGAGAGAAGAGAGAAAGAGAGGAGTAGCACCAGGGACCGAAATAAATCGACGTTGTGCCCATCTCGTATGATCCATTTGGCAATAATTCTGGATTCTCTATAATCCAAGCGTCTCTAGAACGGGGATTTCTCTACAATCCGTTTGGGGCGTGGCCCTGGCCCTGGCCCAGTTCAACAAAGCCGCCGCCCGCTAACATTTTCATATATACATAAGTTTATGTCTGGATATGTCAAATTCGCTTCGAGAAGAGAAGAGAAGGATAAAAAACAGCGACGAACAACAGGGCAGAGGGGTAACTCTTCCGCCGTCAACTGATCCGGTCGGCGGCGGCCGCCGGCAGGTCGAGGAGAGAGTGACGGCAGGTGGGGCAGGAGGGGTGCGAGGAGAGCCACCTGTCGATGCAGGGGACGTGGAAGCGGTGGTTGCAGTGAGGGAGCACCCTCACCGTCTCCCCTTCGCCGAACGCCCCCAGGCATATCGGGCAGTCGGTGGCGGTGGCGCCTACGCCCTGCGCGTGCACGGCCACTGGGATCCGCCGCAGCGCCCGCTTCTTCAGCCCCATGACGGCGAACCCCCGCGCCGGCGACACCCCCGGTGCGCCGCCGAGCGATGCCCGCCGCTTAGCCCACCGCGCGGCTGAGCTGAGCCCGAGCCCGCACAGGAGCACGCAGAGCAGGGCTCCGAGGATGATCAGCATGTTCGTGCCGACGCGGTCTTCGCTCTCTCTCTCGACCGGCGGCGCCGACGGCAAAAGCGACGGTGGCGGCATTGGCCGGGGCAGCGCGAACCCGAGCAACCGGCGCATTGCGTAACCAGGCCTTCACGGCGGCGGGTCGGCGTCTCTACTCTTCTAGCCCTCTTCCGGGCGGAGGGAAAGGGGTAGAGAGAGGTAGCTCTGGATCGCAAAGGTCAGATTTTTTTCTCTTTCTTCTTCACAGCCCCCCGCTTCGGACAAGAGTAGGTGTGGCCAGCGACGAGAAGAGAAAATATCTTCCCGGAGTTGGCGGCGGGGAGGGCTGTAAGGCCGTACACTATGGCAGTAATGCGGCGTGGAGGCAGATACCAACAAACATAATAATTAAACACTTCTTGAGACAAGAACATCATCTGCAGGTGCAGTTCCTAACGGTAAGTTTGAAAAAAAAATAATTCCTATATTAACATCTTTACACATTAAAAAAGTATCCTAGTCTTACCTTACTTTTTATGAATAATAATTGCGATATGTTGTGCATTAGAGCACATAACATTATTTTTAATATTTCTTTTAATATTTTATCATTATAATTATAAATAGAAATAATGATAAAATGAGCCATTTTATTCTAATTATGATTTAAGCCTTACATTAGGTTTGATATTCCTCCTACAATACCATGATGAGGATAGGGTTGGAAGTGGCCTCACCATCTATGTGATAACAAAACATGTGTAGTATAGAACCATGGTAGATAACCATAATGAATTATAATCATTTATGACATAGAAGGTATAATCTTCAATTTAAAAGCATAATAGAATTTATTGTCATAACAATCTACTTAGAAAGGATGCTCATGCAATCCTTCTAGCTTTAACAAGTACATGAATTACAATTTGAGAACCATATTGTATAAACTATAATGAATTGGTAATTAAATATGATAGAGAAGCCATGATATTTTATTGAAAAATTATATTATTTTAATATTAAAAAAATATAATTATAAATGATACACTATTTTGGTTGTTTTGTATTTTAGTATTTTGATGTTGAAAAACAATACTATTTTTTTATATGTATAAATATGTTAGTCTTGCACTTTTATTTAGATGATGATCTAGTCCATTTAGTGGTACAATATGTTTTTTAGGGACAATCCAATGAAAATAATCATCAAGAAAGATACATATTAGAAGAAAGTTGGATTTATAACAAAAAAATATTATTTTAGAAACAAAGGCTATATATAGAGAAAGTGTGCCAACCCATTGTGTTGACTCAATTGAAGCAAAAGAGAGAGAAATGTGTTGATCAACATATAGATGAGAGAGAAAATCTAACTCAGCTAAAGTATGATCAAACCATAAGAGAGAGAAAAATGAGATTTTCACTAAGATATTTTACATGTTAGACATGCTAAAAGATGTCACATGTGTCAAAAGAAATTTGATAAGACATAATATCTTGATATGTCACAAGAGCATAAGGAAAAATTAAAATCTTTCATTGACACATGAGTGGAGTGATTAGTCAACAACTAGTCAAATTGATGATTTGATAGTAAAGACTATTTATGGGTTGAACCAAGTATTGCCCTAGTTAATTTTTAACCAATCATATCTTAGAGATTTTAATTTCAAACGTTAGTATTTTTTGGGCTATGTATAAAGCGCATCCCAAGAACTTTCAAGACATATCCCTCAATGACATATCAAATTTTCATACTCATGCAATCTCTAAGCATAGTTCTATTATAATAACAACTTCATCAAAACTTCCTCAAATATTAAATTACCACCAAAATCAAGGAAGCTTGTCTTCTCAAACTTAAGATCATTTTGTTAGTTGGTTACTATCATTTTTAAGTGAAGACACTGTAAAGAGTTTAGATAATAATAGAGAGAAAGGTGAGTTAGTGTATTTGTGTCTAGTGTGAGGAGATGAACTTATTAAATATATTATGTATAGAGATTTGTAGATTTAATGAGTATCAAATAAAGTTCTCTAAGAGAAAATAATGGAAACAAAAAACTTATAAACCCATGGTAAGTAGGCATAGGCTAAGGAAGACCTAACTAGTATTAATTTCAACATTCATTTCACTTTCTTACTTAGTGTGTTGATCCAAAATTAGTCTATGTTAACTTAAACTAATATGTGTTGACCCACTTATTCAATACTTACAGAAACAAATTAAAAACACTTGAAGTGGAAAAATATGTAAATAACTATATCTTAGAGAACTTTATCTGTTCTCTTCTTAATACTATAACTAGCCAACCTTGGAACCAATGGTATTACACTTTTCACTTACCTCACATAGTGGAGAACTATATTTTGGTTCTATTAGACTTATGGTACAAGAGTTTAGCATTAGGTATTTGTTCACCTCAACTAACTACTACTCAAATACTAGATATCTTTTACTTAATCTAAGTCTGACCACCTAACCGATAGGAATGTATGGACCCTAGACTCTAGGTCTGACCACCTAACCTAAGTATAGGTAGGTGTACCAATATGCACTATCAACCCAAGACAATCCGGGAAACACTCGATGATGGTAAGTGTGAGACCTTCTCGGTCCATGTCTGGACAGATGGCAGAATGGTCGTTGTGAAGTCGCCTAGGGCTACAGCTCACAAACGGTGACGAGTCTGACGTAGCGTCAGAAGTCACAATTTTATAACCCGTCCTATCTTGTCTACATTCTCCTGATGGTAGGGGAAATGAATCAAGAAAATCCTTCAAAAGATAATTAAACTTAAGTAAGAAGGGGTACATAACTAACCCTTGGGGCTGCGTAGCTTGGTGGGTTGTGATGGAGAGGAGACTCGACGTAAGTAGAGATGTCCGGTGAAGAGCAATGTTCAGCGTCGATGGTCAGTTCTGGTCAAGAGTCGTAGTAGTCGTTGTCGTAAGGCGTGGCGCGGTTGGTGCGCTCATGGGCCCACTAGTGGGCCGAAGGGCATGCTAGCGGGCACAAGTGGCAAACCGTGTGGTGTGCCTCGGGCACGTAGGCAGTGGCGCCAGGTGGGCACGTGGGCCACAGGAGCCGGCGCATAGGGCGCATGTGGCGGCGACACTTCAGCGAGAATGCCGAGCGTCGGCAGTTGGGCAGAAGCCCAACTATCGTCGGAAGGATCGGCCTTCTTTGACGGTGTTGGGAAGTGGAGCAAAGGAAGGAGATGATCCTGGCCAATGATACCAGGGAGGGTTGAGCCCTTCTTGTCTAGGGGGCGCTAGAAATGGCGCGACAGCAGTGGATCATCGGGAAACTCTAGCAAGGGCCCGTGAGGAGCCTATATTGGATCTAGCTCGTCGGCACGGCTGTAGGATCTCTCCCGACGTCGGTGGTAGGTAGGCGTCCATCAGCAAACGGCCAACAATTGGGCAGCTTCGACGAGTTTATGGTGGAGTTCCAAAGGAAGAGGTGGCAATTGAACTAGGAGTCAAGAGACCTCAGTGGAGTGCTTGGCAACGGCTCGTAGGGAGGCGAAGCAAGCCCCTTTCATCACGACGGCATGATGGGGTTCCAGTAGAGGCAGCAGCGATTGCAACGGCAATTGTGACCGTTTCGTCCAGTGATGGCTGCGATCTCACAGGCAGCAATGAAAATGTTCGGTGGCGGCAATTGGTCTAAGGCGGTGGCGAGACTTAGGCAGCAATGTCACGATGAACGAAGTCCTCAAAGGGTATTGACGACCTTCCTCTCCTTCCTTCCCTCCCTACCCTAGGTCATGAAGAAGGTAACTCACAAACGATAATCTCTCACAAAATTTGGTGCTTTTGGGTTGAGGGGGGGTCCTACCTCCCTTTATATAGAGCCCACAAGTAGGCTAAGGGGAGGTGGGCCCACTTGAGGCCCTTAAGCCCATAAGCCACAAAAAGGCTACAAAAGGGGCTTATTGGGCCTCTAAAAGAGAGACCCAATAAGCTCTCCTAAAAGAAGAAAGAGGAGAGCCTTCATACAGTGCTTAAGTGGGCCTCAAATGAAGACCCAAATAAGCCCTCAAAGAGGCCCAAAAGGAAAGAAACATAGGCCCCCCTTTAAGGTTTTAATTGGGCCTCAAGAGAGAGACCCAATAAAACCCTAAAGAAAGGGAGACAAACAACAACACACACACACATAGAATTGGGCCCGCTAACACACAAATGCGAGGCCGAACAAGTCAACGTGAAAATACAAAGAAAGATAAGGGTGAGCTTGAGCTCGTCGTCGTCGCGGAGGTGAAATGTCATCGTCCTGAAGGGCTAGACTGTGTACTGAAAGCTAGACTCCTTTGTCTTTGCATGTCGATAGGGTTGAACTCGGACTGCCAGTGTCTCCTGAGCTGATGGAGATGGGTCCCGCTCACCATCAATCCTCTTGGAGTTGAAAGAACTCGACTCTGACGAGTTGGCAAGTGAGGAAGGTAGGGGCTCTAGCAGGTCTGGTCATAGTCGCTCTATGTTCGCCTTTGAAATCCAAACATCGTCCTTTGAGGAGTGACCCTACCAACATACTAGGAATCTTCGTCCCCTGTAAAGTCAATTACCTCCTGAAGAATCTCCTCAACTTGCTCGTGCCAATCATGTGGTAAAATGGGGGGAGTGAACTCTATGGCAAACTCTTTCTTAGAGAAGGGGCCAGTAGATGAGGGCTCGATGTCAGATGAAAGAGGTGGGGCTTGGTGCGACGTCAAATCCACCACTTTGAACGTGAAGCTAATCCCCCATGAAGGAGAGATGTCGACGGCATAGGTGTTCTCACCTATCCGAGAAAGAACACAAAATGGACTGGCGCTACGAGCGTGAAGCTTCATAGTAGAGCAAGGAGCGTAACGCTCAAGTCTCATCCTCACCATAACCTAGTCTCCCACCTGGAAGATTCAGGATCGACGATACATATCGACAGCCTGCTTGTACAATGCATTCTAACTCTGTATCCTATCGTGGATGTCTTGATACAACTAACTAATATGCTAGGCGAATGTGACACCATCCTTGGAAACTCTAACATGAGGGTCCAGGGGTACCAGATCTAAGGGCTTGCAAGGTGCTAAGCCGTGTGCGATCTCAAAGGGGCTCATGTTAGTGGTACAATTGGTCGAGGAGTTATAGGCAAACTCGACACGTGGTATGATTAGATCCCAAGTGGTCAAGCTCTCGCCGACTAATGACTGAAGTAGATTCCCTAAGTTACAATTGACGACCTCGATCTGGCCATCAGTATGTGGATAGTAAGTAGTGGAGAACTTGAGCTTAGTCCCAAGTAAGCTCTAAAGAGTTCTCCAGAAGTGGCTGGTAAACCGTACATCATAGTTTGAGACTATGGACTTGGATAGTCTATGAAGATGCACAATTTCTCTAAAGTAGAGGCTAGCGACCTTGGAGGCGTCAGAGGTTTTCGAACATGACATGAAGTGTGCCATCTTTGAAAACTTATCGATGACCACCTTGATCGAGCCATGTCATCGTGTAGTGCGCAGGAGTCTCAAAACAAAGTCCATGTTGACGTCGTCCCATGGGCGGGTCGACATTAGAAGTGACATGTAGAGTCCAGCATTCTTCTTTACCTACTTGGCGAGTGTGCACACTCGACACTGAGTGACGATGTTCCCTACATCACATTTGAGGGTCGGCCAATAAAACTGGTACTCGATTGCTGCAATAGTCTTATCGTGACCAAAATGGCTAGATAGACCTCCTACGTGACATTCTCAAGTGAGGAAGTCACGGAGGGATGTGCATGAAACGTACAATCTGCTCCTAAAGAATAGACATCTGTTGACCACAAGGAAGTCCTTATGATCTCGAGATTGATCATTCAAAAATGTTTGTAGAATGTGGCCGAAGTCTGAGCAATCTGCGTAAGAATCTAGTAGGGACTCAAATTCTATCACTTGAACCTTCACGAGGTTCAGCAAGTGGACTCGTCAACTAAAGGTGTGTGCCATCACGTTCTCCTTACCCTTCTTGTGGCAAAAGACAAAAGTGAAGTTCTACAAGTACTCGACCCATCGTGCGTGTCAATCGCTTAGCTTTCATTGAGAGTGTAGATACTTCAAGGCGTCATGGTCCGAGAAGAGCACAAACTCCTTGTAAAGGAGGTAATGGTGCTAGTGTTTGAGAGCCTAAATGACGGCGTAGAACTCATGATCATAAGTGGAGTATCTAAGCCTCATGTCATTCAACTTCTCACTAAAGTACTTTATGGGATGGCCTTCCTGACTAAGGACACCCCCAATACCAACGCTTGAGGCATCACAGGCGACCTCAAATACTTTGTCAAAGTCAGGTAGGCAAAGTATCGATGCCTGAGTGATAAGAGCCTTCACCCGATTGAAGGCTTGCTCAGCTGTCTCTATCCAAAGGAAGGTCTCCTTCTTGAGGCAATCAGTAAGTGGAGTGGTAATGGAACTAAAGTCTTGAATGAAATGACAGTAGAATGTCACTAGTCCAATGAAGCTCTGGATGTCGTGTATGCTGCCTGGCTGTGGCCAAGTGACTATCGCGTGGACCTTTTTGGGTTATGCAGAAACTCCTTGCTCGGAGACGACAAAACTATAGAACGTAACCTCGAAAGTGAAGAAACTACACTTCTTAGGATGGGCATAAAGCTTCTCTTTTCAAAGTGCCTCAAACACCTGTCGTAAGTGCTGGAGGTGGGAGTCTCGGGTACCATTGTAGACCAAGATGTCGTCGAAGTCTACGACGAACTTGCCAATGAACATGCGTAACACCTTGTTCATTAGCCTCTAAAACATATTGGGTGTGTTGGAGAGGTCAAATGACATGACCCTCTACTCGTACAGGCCCTCATTGATCTTGAAGGTGATTTTTCACTTGTCCCTTGGATGTATCTTGACCATTGCGTAGATCTATCTTTGAAAAGATAGTGGCTCATATCATCATGTCGAATAAGTCTTGTAATCACGGGATCGGAAAATGGTATTTAACCGTTATCCTATTGATCGTGCAACTGTCGCAGCATATGTGCAAAGTGCCATCCTTCTTTGGCGCTAGTAATGCAAGCACGACACAAGGACTAAGGTTCGGCTGGATGAGTCCCTTGTCCAAAAGCTCTTATACCTGTTGGCTAAGTTCTTCGTACTTGGCCGGCTCCATGCGATAGTGTAGCAGGTTTGGGAGTGATGCTTCGAGAACTGAGTCGATAGCATGCTGAATGTGCCTCAATGGAGGCAGCTCTTTGGAAAGCTCCTTTGGGAGTATGTTGACGTACTCCAATAATATATTCTTGACTTTTGGAGAAGGCGGGGTAAGGGTCATGTCGTCTTGCATATCCAAAGAGAGAGTGAAGCACGTCAGGGATCCATTTATGTCCGATGTGATCTCGTGCTGAAAGGTAGGTCCCTTCATCACGATTAACCCAATATGTGACTTACAGCCACGCTTCAGCACGGGCTTGTTGGTATGCGGATACCAAACAAGTTGGCGATCTCGATACATGAAAGAACAAGTGTTTGCTCTTCCCATGAGTTGGATGTCATAGTCAAACAATCAGGGTCGTCTATGATGCCGTCGATTTTCATTAGAAGGACATCACACAAGATGTGGTCATCATAAGTGCTTACCCTAAGTGGCACTTAGCACTGTCGACGAATGGGTAGTGCAGTGACGTCTATCCACGATACGTCGTAAGGGGCTGGATGGCTGATAGTACTCAGCCCTACCCTCTACAAGACCTAGTCTGACATGACATTGATGCAACTGTCGCTGTCCACAATCACCTTGCACGTGTGTCCGTTGATCTTCACATAGGTGTAGAAGATCGACATGCGAAGAGAATTGTCTGTCGTTGGGCATAGTCATCCTTGGTGCCGAGGTGATCTCTCTAGCTTCCGTGGTGTTTGGCTGTGGTGCAAGAACTGCATCTTGAGATGGACGATGGACAGCGATGTTGACCAATTCCCTCAATGAAATACTTGTCGATGAGGTAGTGAGAGAGGCAACCTCGGCTGCTGGTATGGTGGCTAGTCGGATCTAGATGTAGCCAATCAAATTAGGAGTGTCATCACACTCCTTGACCAAACCTTCGTCAACAATGTAGACATCATCGCTTACGGGGACGTCATCCTTGTGTGAACTGCTACCCAATTCTTCAATTTCTATGAGGAGATTCGAAGATAGGCATTGGCTCATCCGGTGCCCTTTACCTTTACACTTGAAACAAGTGATATGAGCTTGAGACGCGGCCGTAGCACAGTCGGATGCATCGGCTGGTGGCGGACATGGGGGTGGTGCAAATCCTACTGATATCGCTGGTGTAGTTCGTATGTTCCCTACATTAGTATGCATCGGTGTTGTCGTCAGTGTTTGTGCAGATTGTGTGGACGTGATTTTCGTGGTGATTAGAAGTGGGGTGAATTGTGTGTCCTCGACGGGTCGGTCCATATGCTCTACTATGCGGTAGGCCTCGTCTACTTCAGACAGGTTGTCTTTCAACACTTCGTTTTGAAGCCATGGACTAAGTCTGTGGGTGAAAATACTCAAAATCACACGTGAGTCATCGACAAAGCGACACCTCATGCGGCACTCCTCAAAAGCCTGAATATAGTCTCGGACGAGCATCTTGCCTTATTGGAGGTCTAACCAACTGAGGAATAGTATCAACCCGTACTATCGAGGAACATACTTGTTCCTCAAGCTTAATGCCATATCAATTCATGATGTGATGGGCTGCCCTCGTCGGTGTGCCGCATAACTCTCGTTTTCTCAAAAGATCTTGACTTGTTCGTCAAGTCTCATCTTCGCATACTCCACACATAAATCATCATCTATGCAGTACCACTAGAAATAGGAGTTCATACTAGACTCCCAATTTATGAAGTCCTTGGGCTCACGTGAGCCGTCAAAGATTGCCACATCGGCGCGCACACTTTTCAATATGCGGGCTCTGTGATCCTCACGTCGCCTCTCCTAATCATCTAATCGATTGGCCCTATGGTCACCACTAAAGCCATGGGGGGGAGGACTCAAGTAATGCCCTTGATCGTAGTAACGATCCTGGTGGGCATCCTAAGGTGCTCGGTGAAAGTCCGGAGAGCGCTAGTAGTTGTGGTAGGAATCATTGCGATCTCGTGGCTAATGCTCCGCTCGCCGATCAAGCTCCTCTCGTCGGGGAGGGTCAACTTTGTAACTTGGAAGGTCTCTCCTGTCGTGTCCCTAGTTTTGTCCGTGGGGTCGATAGTCTTCATAGTGGGGTCGGGGTAGTGGTGGTGGCAGACGTGGGAGATCGTCCCTACAAGCAGGGTAGACTAGCTCGCAGTGATCATAAGTATCCTATGGCCAATGACTGCCCAATTGATCATGGCCATTGTCGTGACGAGGTGTGTCATGGTGATCGAGGTACTAGTGATCATATGGATCACTATAGGGGCTCATGGGCCGGTGGGGTCACGATGCTCATGGTATGCCTGTGTAACAGGCAGTGTGGTCAGTGGTGCTACAAAGGTAGCTCGCTCCAGACACTCAATAGCTTGGGTCATGCTACACATGACATCATCTAGGAGGGAGCACGCTCCATCCCTCGAAGGGTACCGAGGCGAAGGTTGCCATCGGCCACCTTTGCCACAACCCCTAGTACTCTTCGGTGGATAGTAGGACATGGATTCCTTCCCAACTTGGCAGCTCGTAGCCACGGGCAGTTGGGGCCACCCTGATGCCTCTCCGGCTGACATAGGGCTTGGAGTCTCCCGGGGTTGAGAGGGGTCTGGTACCGAATCCATTGGTCTCGATAGAGATGGTGGACTTGTGTCCACTCTAGTTACTCGGGGAGTAGTGGGATCTGAGGCCTCGCACGAGTGCCGTTACGATGGTGAACCTCCTCGAGCTTTGGCTAAGTGTGTCTCTATTATGATTGGGTCTTATGGGTGCCTAGATGCCAATGCAATCCTATATGAATGGTCTACTAGTGGTATAGAAGCTCGGTGAGCATCCTTAGGGGACCGAGGTTAGGTGGTAACCCAACTTGGCTCTGATACCAATTTGATGTAGGACGAGGTGAAAACCCTTGTACTTGATCAATGAAACTCAAGACTTGAGACGAGGAATTAAACCAATCCGATAAGAATGTATAGACCCTAGACTCTAGTTTTGACCATCTAACCTAAGTATAGGTAGGCATACCAATATGTACTATCAACCTATGACAACCTGGAGAAATACTTGATGATAGTAAGTGTGAGACCCTCTCAGTCTATGTTCAGACAAACAGTAAAACAGTCGTCATGAAGTAGCCTAGGGCTGTAGCTCACGAATGGTGACGAGTCTATCCCAACGTCAGAAGTCACAATCCTATAACCCGTTCTATCCTGTCTACGTTCTCTTGATGACGGTAGAAATGAGCTGAGAAAACCCTTTGAAAGATAATTAAACTTAAGTAAGAAGGGATACGGAGTTAACCATCGGGGTTGTGTAGACCGGTGGGTCATGACAGAGCAGAGACTCAATGTAAGTAGAGATGTCTAGTGAAGAGTGATGCTCAGCATCGATGGTCGGTTCTGGTCGAGAGTTGCAGTAGTCGTCGTCGTAAGGTGTGGCACAATTGGCACGGGCGTGGGCCCACTATTGGGCCGAAGGGCTTGCTAGCGGGCACATGCAGCATGCCTTAGGGCACATAGGCGGCGGTGCTGGGTGGGCGCGTAGGCTGCAGGAGCTGGCACGCAGGGCGCACGTGGTGGCGGCAGTTCAGCAGGAATCTTGAGCATTGGTGGTTGGGCAGAAGCCCAACTATCGCCGGAAAGATCGGCCTTCTCTGGTGGCGCCGAGAAGTGGAGCAGAGGAAGGAGACGATCCCAGCCGACGATACCAAGGAGGGTTGAGCCCTCCTAGTCTAGGCGGCGTCAGAAATGGCATGACGGCGGTGGATCGTTGGGAAACTCTAGTGGGGGCCTGTGAGGAGCTTGGACTGGATCTGGCTTGTTGACACGACTATAGGGTCTATCCCAATGTCGGCGGCAGGTAGGTGTTTGTCGGCGACGGTCAGCGACTAGGCAGAGTGGTAGATGGTGGCTCCAGTGAGTTTATGGTGAAGTTCCGAAGGAAGAGGTGGCAGTTGAACTAGGAGTCAAGAGACTTCGGTGGAGTGCTTAGTGATGGCTCGTAGGGAGGTGAAGCAAACCCTTTTTGTCATGACGGCATGACGAGGTTCTAGTAGAGGCAGTGGCGGTTGCAACGGCAGTTGTGATCGTTTCATCCGATGATGGCTGCGATCTCACAGACGGCAATGAAGATGTCTGGTGGCGGCAGTTGGTCTTAGGTGACAGCAAGACTTCTTAGGCAGCAGCGTCACGATGAACGAAGTCCTCAAAGGGTATCAACGGCCTTCTTCTCCCTCCTTCCCTCCCTACCCTAAGTCACGAAGAAGGTAACTCACAAATGATAATCTCTCACAAAATTCGGCACTTTTGGGTTGAGGGGGGGTCCTACCTCCCCTTATATAGAGCCCACAAGTGAGCTAAGGGGAGGTGGGCCCACTTGAGGCCCTTAATCTCATAAGCCACAAAAAGGCTACAAAAGGGGCTTATTGGGCCTCTAAAAGAGAGACCCAATAAGCTCTGCAAAAAGGAGAAAGAGGAGGGCCCTCGTACAGTACTTAAGTGGGCCTCAAATGAAGACCCAAATAAGCCCTCAAAGAGGCCCAAAAGGAAAGAAACATAGCCCCCCCCCTTAGGGTTTGAATTGGACCTCAAGAGAGAGACCCAATAAAACCCTAAAGAAAGGGAGACACAAACAACAACACACACACATAGAATTGGGCCTGCTAACACACAAATACGAGGCCCAACAAGTCAATGTGAAAATACAAAGAAAGATAAGGGTGAGCTCGAGCTCGTCGTTGTCGCAGAGGTGGAATGTCGTTGTCTTGAAGGGCTAGGCCGTGTAGCGAAAGCTAGGCTCCTTTATCTTCGTGTGTCGATCGGGCTGAACTCGGATTGTTGGTGTCTCTTGAGCTGATGGAGACGGATCCCACTCGCCATCAAATAGATTTGAAAATTCTTCACACATCCTTGGCACCTTGAAGGATTATCCATGAATATTTAACTTGGAAGCATTGACTTTTCAATCCCAATTTTTGTTTTTATAACTTTTAACTAGAGTTATTGACGTGACTCAGTTGTTATATAACTTAATTGATCATCATATATAGTTTTACTAACATATAAAATTATTATGGGTTTTGACTCTTTTGTTTGTCCTAGAACTGCCCCACTGCATAATTCGATGCATCAAGAATTTGTAAAATGAGTGCCTCAGTAAGTAATCTTTTTATTTCAGAAAAAGACTCAAAACATTTCTCATCAAAATTAAAAGGCACATCTTTAGATAATAGTATGATGAGAGATTTAGAAATTTTCAAAAAATCTTGAATAAAATTTCTGTAATAACCTGCATGACCCAAGAAAGATCTAATCTGTTTTACTAAATTTGGAGGTTTCATTTTAGATATAATATTAATTTTTGTTCTATCCACCTCTAAACCCCTTTCACTTACAATATGACCCAACACACCTCTCTCTTTAACCATAAAATGTGATTTCTCCCAACTCAAAACTAATTTTTTCTCTATACATTTCTCAAGTACATGCTGTAAATGATTTAAGTATTCATCAAATGATTCACCAAAAATAAAAAAAACATCTATAAAAATTTCCATGCATTTTCCAATCATAACAGAAAAAATAAACAACATACATCTTTGAAATGTGGTTGGAGCATTACATACACCAAAAGGCATGCGTTTAAAAGTAAAAGTACCAAATGGACAAGTGAAAGTTGTTTTTTCTTGATTTAAAGGGTTTATATAAATCTAATTATAACCAGAGTATCCATCTAGAAAACAAAAAGAGTTTTTTTGAGCTAATTTTTCTAGAATTTGATCAGTAAATAGTAGGAGAAAATGATATTTTCTAGTAACTGAATTTAAATTTCTATAATCAATACAAACCCTCCAACTTAAAAATGACATTGTCCTTAATGACACAGAAAAATCGAAACAAAATATGTAGAAAATCTAATTTTCACATGAAGCATGCATATGTGCAAAGTTAAGCATTAAAAATATTTTCATAAAGACATCACCTCAACCTCATTTTTAATTTTCCACTTCATCTTACACTCCTCCTGCACTTTTTCGAAAGAAAAAATATAGAAGCAAGTATTGCGAAATTCTAAGAAAAATAGAGTTTAAAAAAATCAAACAGAATGAAATAAAAACCATGGGTTGCCTCCCATGTAGCGCTGAATTTAATGTCTTTAGCTAGACAGCTCTTAGATCATATTAGATGATCTATGGCCATCAAAATATATTTGTATCCAAAGGTAAGTTTCATGATATTGTTTTTCAGATTTAGCATAAATTCATATACTTCATATATATACCTTGACATACATTCAGCCAAAACAAAATGAAAATTAACAAAATTTTTCCAAAAATAATATTTTCATTTTGAAAAGAATCTTTTCTTATTTCTATCTTGCTTTGTAAGGCTCTCATTTATTAATAAATACTGTCTATTTATAGATCATAAAATGTGATCAGGCCATATAATTTTCAAATTAGCTCTTACCTAATCTATTTTTTTCATCTAAATTGATATCTCTAATTCTTCCATTCATCCATTTCTTAATGTCTTCTTTTATCTACATAATCTTCCTCTGCTCTATTTTATCTTCCATACATATTTGTTCAATTTGCGAGGAGTGAAATATTTCAAGCTTAAAAGTAATTCTAATGGACTGTGGGTTTTGAAGGATGGAAGGATTTTCTTCTTTAATCTCAGATCTACTGAATTCAGTAAAATTTAAAGTTTCTCTTCCAAAATTATCTCTATATTCATATCCATTATTTTCGTTTCTCCCCATTAGTTGAATCAACTCTTTTTTCTAACTTTTCGTTTCTCAACTCATCAAATTCTTCATCTTCCCAAAAGTTATCTTTTAATTTCAATATATGATATACATCATCATCCTCACTATCAACATCTATGGCTGCAAAATTATGATTAGATTTATTAATTTCGTCTCCTACATCTCTCAAATCATCTAATTTTTCCTCACCTGAAATATGTTTTTCTTCATTTCTATCCTTACTCCCTTCTACTAAAATTTGGATGATTTTTCTTTGGTTAGCTTATGTTTCTTCATCTAAGGGCCCTTTCTCTTCATCATCCTCACTATATTCATTCATCAATTGTGAACAATAAATTATTTTATTCAATTTTTTTGCTACTATATTTTCAGCGTTAATATTCTCATTTACTTCTAATAGATCATCGATTTCTTCTAATAATTAAAATAAAGATCAGGTAAAATATTCTCACTCAATGTATTCACTATCCTAATATTTTTATTTCGTGGGTTTTTTTCTAAATTTATTCAGCTAGACTCTCCTTGTTGAAATTCTATTGTTGAATAGTTCCTGAATTTTATATGGGCTGACTAGGTGGTTGTCCTTCTTCTCTCTTATTCCCAAGAGCCTCTATAATTTATTTCTGGTGCAGCATCATTTGATTCATAGTTTGTTGCATCATTTTCATAGCATTAGGTTGGATTTGAGAGGACTGATTTTTTTGAAATCTATGTTCCTATTTTGGACGAAACTCAAAATGTGAATTGGATCTAAGTGCTTCTGGATTTTGAATATTATTTGAGTTTCTTCACGAAAAATTATTCCCTCAATTAGGATTATAAGAATTAGAAAATTATTCTCTATTTTTACTAAAATAGTGGGGTACTTATACTTGTTCTTGTCTATGATGATATTGAAATTTGAAATTATTATTTTCACAATACATAGGACATGTACTATTTGAATTAAATTGAGGGTTAAGAGGCTTTCTAATATTGTCAATAAGTAAGCTAAGTTTTTCTAATCTTTGATTAATCTAATTAACTTTATTTCTAAATTTAGATTCATTATCATGATGTAATTTATGAATTCCTCTCTTCTTATCTTTGTCATATAATTCAAAAGAGACTTAATCTCTAGAATTTTCACTTAAATTCTCATAAAGACTGTAAATCTCATCAGGAGTTTTCTTCATAAAAGCTCATCCACATATAAAATCAACCATATTTCTATATTGTTCCAATAATCTATCATAAAAAAATTTATTGAGCTGTCACTTAGGTATAGCATGATGATGACACTTCCTAAGTAAATCTTTGAATGTTTCTCATGTCTCATGTAAAGTTTCTCTTGATCTTTGAGAAAAATTCTATATATGTTTTCTCATATTTTGAGTTTTTCCTAAGAGATAAAATTTTCAAAGAAAGATTTATTCTATGTCTTTTCAGCTAGTTAATTCTCTATATAATGTGGATAGCTAATGACTAGCTTTGTCCCTAAGTGTATGAAAGAATAATTTCATCTTAATAATTTTTGGTATCACTTGAGGGAGATTAAGTAAATCATAGATCATATGAAATTTTTCTAAGTGCTGATGAGGTTCCTCTAAAAGCAATCCATGAAAATTAAGGAATATTTGAAAAATTCCTAGATTTATTTCAAATTTAATAGTGGGTGCTAATGAGACTCTAATATTGGATGCTCTTTGAAATGAATACGGGATATAATGATTTTTCATGGCCATAGGATTGCTCTCAGTTTGATTTGTACTTCTTTGAGGATCCATCAAAATTTATTTTTCTTTCGAATTTTAAATTTTGAATGAAATAATAAAAGGATTTTCTAGCCTTAGATGCAAGGATCTTCTACCATGTATAAAAAATCAATAAATTTGAGGGAAAAGTTTAGTAATTGTTACCCTCCTTTAGGATGTTTCAATCCTTGCCTTGCTTCTTTTTGTTCTTTTTTTCTTAAAACAAATTCAGCAAGAAAAAAATAAAATAAAACAAGAGTTAATTTTTTTTTGTGTACTCTAAGAGAAAAACAGAAAAATACTAAATATTATGCAATACATCCCCAGCAAGGGCACTACAATTTGATGTGACTTAGTCGTTGTATATCAAATCACGCAAATCTAAAATTTATAAAACTAGAAAATACAAAGTTTTGGATATTTAGAAGTATTTCTGAATAAATATATCAATTATAATTTAATAAAACTTTAAAAAAATAGTAGTAATTTTTTAGGTCGATCACAGGGATGTATTATACCATCTGATAATTATTTAGAATTTTTCTCAATGAGTAAGAGTTTCTATGAATTTAATACTAGGAAATAAAAAGAAAATATATTTAAAATTCACGAAAAAGGAAAATAAGGATGCGGACATTAAGATGACGTCAGCACCTGGCAAACACAAATCAGGAAGAAATAGAGTTCCACTTGGTGATTCTTATGTAAGCGATTACATATGATTTAATTAATTAAATTAAGATCTATAAAAATCGAAAGAATTGTAATTGAACGAAGTATATTTTGGTAAATTAAAATCATAAAAGTTATCATTAAATGAAGTGTAAAGTAAGTTGAAAGTAGGAAAATAAAGTTTCAGCATTGCGACAACGATGCGTTGGTAATGCACCAGAATCTTGAGCATTCGGGAGGATTGTCGTGTAGTGTCTATGGCCTCAAAGGCTCTCCTTGCACAAAGATGACGTGGGCAATCTCTAGATCTTCTCGCGAAGTCTAGAGATTAATAAAATGGGTCGTTGAGTCGTCTCCAGCGGCTGTCACTTGGCGGAGCAGAAAAACGGCAACTTTGTGACTTTCCGACGACTGTCACTCGACAGAGAGGAGCTGGATAGAGGTGGGGCACGTGTCAGGGAATTTCATCTTCAGGTCCGCGCAGCAAGAGGAGGCTCTTCATCGCATCTGGTACGCTCTCAGGAGGTGGTGACTCGTCTCCTGGCAGATCGTCCTTTTCCCGACGACGGCTTGTTCGTTGATCAATTAGAGATGCTTTACTTGATTGATTTGCGATCCTTTTATTGTGAATCGTTCAATAATTTTAGTAACAATACTCCACGAATCATGTTGACAAGATTTTTGTTGATGATCTAGTGATTTTGATTGTTTAATCTTTCACCGGCGATCTACAAGAAAGTCATGATAATCAGATAAAAAAAAATGAGTTTTGACTCTAAGAGGATTCAAACCCACGCCGGTTGTCTGCCCCTTCTAAGGAAGGTGTGACATGGGTTTAGTTCCACATTGGTTGTGCACCAAGTTTTCAAGAAATATATAGTAATGTTATATTTTTAAGGAAGTTCCTTCTCTCACGTGTACGACCACTCCTTGCCCCACAGCCGGTTGGCCACCGATGACGTGAGGGGAGTGGCGGACACATGCCCCTATTAGTCCAAGCCACTTGAGCCCCTGCTCGCAACTACTTCCTAACTGAGCTTCCGACCTGCTTGTGGGCCCAACTAGCCAGCAGGTCCCCCTCATTTTGTCTTATTTTTATTTTTTATTTCTTTTTCTTCATTTATCTTTATTTCTTTTTCTTCATTTATCTCAAAAGTAAGACTATAAAAAACACATAAATTCATATAAAATCATATAATTACCCAAAAATTCACATTAATTAACTGAAAATCACTTTTCATACTTTAACACAAATATAAGTCTATTTATCATGAGTTAAGACTAAAACTTTTTACTAATTATTAACTCATGATAATGAAGACTTATCAACTACTCAATTAAACTTTTTATCCCTTCTTGGTAGCCCTTTCTACTTTTATTTATTTGAATTTTCTCTAATTTATGGAAAGGCTTTTTTGATTCATTCATTCTTAAATAGTTAATAAGATAATATTTTGTATTATTTCTTCAATATCCCTTTCTTTACTTTTGTTTTATTTATGTAGTGCAATAAAACTATTTGATTCTTTCATTGATATGAAGCTATAACTTTTTAAACTATTAAATTATTATACTTGTAGTTGTTTATATTATCAAGTTAGTTTTGTTGAAAATATTATTTATCTTATATTAACATGAGGGTGATTTAGTGTTATTAGTATACTATGATCCATGGTGTAAAATCCTTGCACTTAGATGTGTAGCTCAATATATATCAATCTTAATATGTCAATATATGAGAAATTATATTATATATTAAATAAGCATATCGAATAGAATATTTTTGTACATAAATATTAGCTTATGCAATGTAACTTCTTATATAGTGACAAAATAAAATTGATATGCTAAATTATTTTGTGACATAATGTCTCATATAAAAAATGTTAACCTTGGTAAATGATTATTCTAAAATGAAACTTCTTATCAACTATAATTTCAATCTTAATAGACTCTATTATTTCACAATGTTCCTTATTTACTAAAAAGTATTCCACTATTACACATCAGTTTTCATATATTAACATATTATCATTATAATATCTTATATTAAAAAAAACATTTGATGTGCTGCATCATTATGCAATATAATATTTCATATGATTGTCGGTTTAAAAGATGTACAAAGAACTAGAACAAGGTGAATTGGTTTGCTTGAGCATCACACTAATTAAGTCTACTCACCTTCTACAAAAATAAGTGAAGAAAATGTTATGAAGGGGTTTTTGTTAAAAAAAGTTATCACACAACCCTTGCATGATGCCTTTCTCACTATGAGTATAAACTCTCTAGCTAAGTGACTTGACTCATGATTCTACTAACTTCTTGAAGATAGAAAGATAGACTCTAAGTCTTGAAATAATTTTTTAACAAAAACCTATTAGAAACTGTGCCTTTCTAAGGGTTATATAAATATTTGGAAAATTTTCTTAGAAACTTGTAGCATGATTTTTTAGTATAATTTTTTTTTTTTCACACATGTCTATTTTCCATCATCAAAACTATTAATGCTTCAAAAATCAACAATTTTGACCTATGAACCTTGATATGCTCTATTATTCTACAACATAAACTTCATATACTGAAATGTGAGGCTTTATACAATGTGGTTTATTTACTCCTCCTTGGTATTTTAATGTTTTTATTATGTTGGGATTGTAGGTTTTTGGTCTCTTTCCTCAATTGTTTTGATATGCTTACAAGGGAGTGCTCTTAGCTCAGCATGATTACCTAATAGTACTTGGTGCAAGAAATGTAACCTAAGATTAAACCCCTCATTTCTATATGTTAATTTTGTTTTGTTGTGTCAATTGAGTCATAGTAGTTGATGGGGAAGAAAGAAAAGAATGAACATCTTTTTGGGAAACATTAGAATAATACACCTATAGGGCTGTCCCCAAAAATGCCTTTTAGTTTTATAAAATCTATACCTATCATGTAGTCTATTACATAATTTCATATGCCTTGTAAATGCTCCTAAATGGAGAATTATCTAAAGTTTTTGATTACTTTCAAATTTATGTAAGCTTTCCTAGAGGTTAGTAGCTATAAGTAAAATAAATATTTTGTTGACTGAACTAACTTGAGATGACTTTTTTGTCATTATAATTTTCTATCAACTTCAAAACCAATTTGAGGTTCTAAAACTTATTTGAAGACCTAATAGATTCTTACCCACATGGAAAATCCACACGACCAGTTTTATGTTGATTCATAGTTCTAATTAAATTTGCTTATACCTTGAGCATTTAATAATATAGATAAATTTAAACTTCTAATGATTTTAACTGAAGGGTCAATAGTCATATATGATGCACAACATAGAAACATTGTCTAGAACTTCTATGAATTATAATTTTAAAAATATTGTTTGGTGTTTAGTCGTCATATCTCTTGATTTTCATGATCTTAGTGGCCATATTCCAATAGTAGAGGCTGCAACACCACAATGGATTCCAACCCGTTAGGATATCCATAAGCCCACTAATGGGTAAGTGCATGATCCCTCTTACAACTTGATTCAGTCTTAAGTATGCATGCACATGACTGAATGCAAAGGCATTATTATATTGACAAGTGGCTGACTAGTGTATCAATCAATAGACATCATATGAGGTGAATTCAAAGGATGTTGTTTTGACATGAACACTTCTGTGTATGTTTATTGACAAAAGAAAGATCATAACATCATTTTGACACCTCTCTCACTTCAACATTTGACCTTCATCTTCAATGTAAACCTGCATTCACTCTCTCCCTCCTTTTCTCCAATAGACTTATGTAGGACGAGGTGGAAAGAGGGTGATTTTATGGGATAGCTGGCGTTCATTCAAAACTTTGATGCTTTTATGACTTTTTCACGTTTAATCGGGCTTCATTCAGCTATTGGGCAGCTATATGAAAATAGGTGAGTCAGATCTCGTAAATGAGCTAATAATGGGAACCACAAAGGAGAGGCTCGTAAATGGGTTAGTTTAGAATAAAATGATTAACCGAATTAAGAGCATATGGTGACCCATATTTTGGAGAGGCTGATTCTAACCAACTTTTGAACATATTTGTTTTACTTTCCAACGAGAAGTAATTAGTATCAGTTTGCCAAACAGCTGGATATAACTGATCCTGTCCAGTTTGACTTTCAGACATTACTTTCAATCGATTGACTAGCATTAATAGAGATTGGTAGGTTCACAGTCTACGAAGAAATATAACGTAGGAGCGGGCCAACAGCTGCATATCGCTCATCCAATTTGACTTTCAGACATTAATTTCATGAGGTTGACTAGTATTAATAAAGATTTCTGGGTTCATAGTCTAGGAAGAAATGTAACGTAGGAGCGGGCCAGGCTAGGCAGCAAACTTGATTTGCGTTTGATAGTGAGAAGGGGGCCTACTCAATAGTGAGATCTGACCAGGATAGCAGCTCTACATCTTGATTTGCGTTTGACAGTTGCGAAGGGGGCCTACTCAATTAAATACTCATGTGCACAATGTATTTTGATGGTTACGGTTATGGGGCAAGTAATGCCTTCCTGAACTCCCCTCCTCCTTCCCCCTCCTCCTCTCTCTCTCTCTCGCTTGCTAATTAGTTCTTATGGACAGCCGGGTCAGACATGGACTCAACAGGGACCTAACCTAGAGAACATTTTTTTTCGCTTTTGCTGGGCCCCGTAGAAGAAGCCCAGGACAGGGCTGGGTAAGGTGAGGCTTGGGCCGACCCATCAACCCTATTTACGTTGAACCTAATACTCTCATTTCTTGTCATTTGTGATTTGAGATGACTTGAGCGGACCATTATCGGGACGCGCGGAATCGTTCGCATATAGGTTGAATCGGAGACACATGGAACAGCACCACTTGAGAGACATGGAAGTCGATCCAGATCCTCTTTCCTCGGGGAAGCTAACTGGAGTTGTTGAAGGTCCATCACGGGCTTTGATTGCTCACTGGCCTCTCTACCCTCCTACAGACCAATTGAATGCGGCGGTCCCTACGCGCGCTTGCCGGACTGGAAGAGACGTGTTCCTATCCGGCCGATCGTCGGTGAGAGGGGAGGGAGCGGCCTTCTGTGGTCCTCTGGGTGGCATGCGAGTCGCCTACGGCTCCATGTCGAGGCCGGTGAGATTCACAATTTGCCCTGGGAGCCTTAATGGTAGGTGTTCGAACCGTTCGGACGGCAGAATATATTTTAATAGTGAGAAGAAAACCTCGTCGACAATGCGGTCTCCTCGACTCGGATTGGTATGGTAACTGAAAGATCGGTGAACCTTGCAGAAGCGAGAGAGAGAGAGAGAGAGAGAAAGAGAACACCGGTGTCAAGTCTAAGTTGTAGCCCACGGGCACCTCGTTCTTACCGCGAACAATGAACAAACCGTACTCGCTTACTAGACTAGGTGGGCTGTTGATCGCATCGCTCGCGAGCAGACACTTCGTCACAATAATTCGTCTGTTCCATCACCCAACTACTATCTTTCCTTTCCTTAAATGCCATGCCCACACCTGTCCTCGCCGACGGCGAGGTACGCAGCCAACCCTATATAAAGACCCCACTTGTGGCTTCTCCACCTCGACGAAGTAGAGCCAGAAGAAAGAAGGCTAAGGGTGACCCATGGCCGCCAACAGGGTTTCCGTGCTCACTACTGCCGTGCTTCTGTGCCTCCTCGTGGCAGCGCCTTTCGCGAACGCCGCTGTGGCCTGCCCGAGAGTGACCATGATGATACTCCCCTGCGTCAACTACGTCCGCGGCAAGGGCCCGCTCACGTTTTCCTGCTGCAACGGCGTGAGGACTCTCAACGATCAGGCCCAGACGACCTCAGACCGCCGTGCCACCTGCAATTGCCTGAAGAGCAACGCGGGGAAGATCCCCGGGGTCAACCCGACCCTGACCTTGGGTCTCCCCAGCAGGTGCGGCGTCAGCGTCCCCTACCCCATCAGCACCACAACTGACTGCTCCAAGTACGTCTCTCTCTCTCTCTGTCAGCTGACCTATGAAACGCCGATTCTTGTGGCAACGGTGGCTAACATATGATTCCCACTTTCGTGGGTTTGGCCTTCTTCCTTCTGCAGGGTTAGATGAAGGCCCGCTGGAGCTCGTCTGCAGTGAAATTTCATTTACTTTGAGCTCCTGGATGATAAGAGAATAAAGATGGGCGCCGTGTCTCTGCACAACGCACTTGTTCTGTCTCTCTCTCTCTCTCTCTCTCTCTCTCTCTTCTCTGACTCTGTTTCTCTCCGTGAAATGTCATCTCTGTTTCATTTCTTCAGAATATTATTCTCCTTGTGATCGTCTTATCTTAGATGAAGGATCTAACCTCGTGCCCCTCAAGTCTAGCCATGTACCCAACATACACTAGCTCAGAATAAACACGTTTTATGTATAGTCTGGAATTCAGTATCCTAATTACGCCTGAAATTATGGCCAATGGTCTTCGTAAGAATCAGTTTAATGCGTACAAGAAGAAACACGTTAATGGTAAGATTTTATCGGTCAATGTAGGTGGATAGGGGCAGTCGTGGATCCGTTCCAAGGAAAACTCTGATCTTGATAGCACCAATTTCACTTAGCTCACCTTTTGCAAGAAATGACCTTTTCAAGCAGCATCAAACTTTTCTTTTTAGGAATATGTCGCTTTTTGGTTATCATAATGAGTTAATATCCTTCCAAGCAGCATCAAGGGAGTGTAGTCATGACGAATGATGAAAACTTTCGATCTCAACATGATTGAGAATTGCTAATTGAGGTAGCCACTGAAGAGATTGACATACTGTTGAAGAGTATGAAGCGGGCCAAGTGAGACAGCCTGGCTGAGAGCTAAATTAATGAGAAGTTGGAGATGACCGACAAGACTATTCTAAGGTCGTCCTATCTAGGTGTATCTACACCTTAGATCAACCAACATAGTAAATATTGGTTGTGGGGCATCTTCACATGCGGCATGTGTGGACCTGAAAAATGACTCATTTATGTGAATCTGATCTTGCGGAACTAGGCTCATGTCTGCTTATTGGCTGTAGACCTTTTCTATCTAATGTGGGTCGTCCTAGATGGTTAATTGAGTCCATTACACAAAAAAAGCCTCTCTTTATTAGTTAAGGTTCCGAAAAATAGGAGAGATAGAGAGCTTATAAGTAGTTGTTGTTGTGTGTGCAAAGAGATGGCATACATACAGCTCCCTATTTAAAATGGGAAGGTTTCTCACTAAGATGACCACATGATGCAAATGGCATAAATATCCTTAGTTAAAATTCTACTTTATTAGTATCATTTCTTGGACCTTTTGTTAAAATACTATGAACTCAGATCCACATATCTATTGTAGATTTGGGACGATAATTCTCCACAAATCTCAATTATCTCATACTTAAGAGACTGATCATTCTCTCTGCACCACATCACGAGTAGCCTTGCGCTTGTCACCCTAATCACACCGTTTTGTGCTGCAACACCCTCACTGCATCACAGCTATTAGATATGTACCATTGTGAGTACAATCCTCACCCAACCATTTTGCATTCTCTAGTGAGTTCCATTAACCTCCTCACTCATGATGTCATAACTCCCACTTGATGAGCGTAATGCCAACTCACTCTCACTACCTGAGAGATGTTCCAATGCAGATTGCAAATGCGCACTTTTCATGGGGTTTCTTGTGCCTAATACTCCTCTATACTGCTTAAGTGTATTACACCATTTGCATACGACATTCCATACGATTTTTTGTGCTTGTACTATTCTACATGGTTTCTTATGTTGAAGTTGGTTGTGCAGCACCAACACACACTCCACATACACTTTCACACAATTTCCCATGCCAACGTTGATTGATAATGCACGCCCCTATGTACAATCTAAACAAAGGTGATTCTCATATCAGCATTGATCCATGACATACCAAAGCACATCAAAGCATTTCATACCAATGAACGGGGTGATTCATGGGAAACCAAAACACCAAAATATATCATTATGTGTAGTACAAAAGGAATGACAATGTGCTACACCAATACACAATTCATGCATGTAATATGAACAAGGGATTCCCATGGTAAGGTTGATATGTACTACTTTAAAGCCTGCTATTGTGTGCTGTCCAAATGGGTGTTTTCTTTATGCTGATATGCATTATTCCAGAATAGGCCTGTACAGTACAAACAAAGAATCTCTTTGTACCAAAATTGATACATGACATTCCAAAGCACATGCTATGTGCAGTCCAAATAAGGTTTCTCTTTGTATGTATTGAGTTATTGATTAACTCACTATGCTTTTTCTAATTTTTAGACATTAATATGAAATCATGAAATTAATAAGATGTGATGTAAACTTAATTAGAGATTGATATATTAGATGAGATTATTTCAGCAAATAATTAATATATAGATCATAGAAATATCCTTTTATATTTCAAATTCTCATTAGGGATATAATTATTATGCTGTGTTGTCATAAGGACAATAGAAGTATGTGTGAGGTAAATATGTTATCATCTTATGTGTAAGTTTTAATATTTGAGTTTTTTGTAACAAATGACTTCACTAGTACAATCATATTTCTAACCAATAAAAATGTATTTGAATGATGAGTCACATGAAATAAATTTTATTTCAAAATGTTGTTTTTTTATTGATTTTATAAGATTACTCATTTAATGTATTCTCGTAGGGGCAAAAATGTCTATAAGCTTGACCCTTTCTACTAAAAAAATTTTGATCTCAAAAAGTATATCACATATATAGGCGTGAAAATCAATAGAAAGTTAATCCAAAGTGTAATCCAGAGCTGAAAACCGTTCATAAAAAAAAATATTTTTTCATTTCTTATGGTCATTTTTCTATATTTTCTAGAATCTGCATGCAGCCCATAAGGCCCACTTAAACCAAACATTTGACCTGATAAAGGCTAAAAGAGGGCAATCTTGTCTGCCCATAAAAGGAGCATTTCACCCAAGTAAGGGCAAGGGAAAAAAAATATGAATTTTAGATGATGGTTGTTTCAATGAATATTACTCATCTTTGTCAACTCTTCTCAAGTCTTCACGATCTACAGGCAAAGTCTGATCATTTCAAGAGAGTTGTGGACACCATTCCAAGTCTTGAGCACTTCCTCCCACAGTCCAATACCTTTCAAGTTCTTCATCTACTATTAATGCACCAAAATGCTATTTGAATTTGAAGGCTGTGATAAAATAGTTCTCCATTTTTCTTTATTTTTATTTAATCTATGATATGATATTTGTAGTGTGTCATCAACATAATCACATAGTCTGTTGAGGCACATGTGGTGTGCATGTAATGAGAAAAGTTAAGAACCTAAAGATTATTGAGTTAGAGTTTTAAGTTGAGTGGTCATAGACTCATAAAGCCTAGGAATGTGAGGGGTTCTTGATCCTTGTAAGCTCAAGTGTATTCCAATGGTGGAATAATAGGCTAAAAGTAAATGTTTGCTAAAAGAGTTTGATCAAAGTACTAAAATTAACTGTACACCATCTCTTCTTAATTTGTTTATATTTATATATTAATATAGAGATATTAATATATAAAATAAAGTGAAAGAAAAATGATTCTACTTAATTAAAGGAAAAATTAAAATCAATTTACCTTACTGCGTACACTACTTTGATGTATGATGTCTACTTATGTTGTGCACCAGATAAAGTTGTCATTACACTTGGCACTGTTCCTACATAGTCTTTTGTGCTCTTGTCATTTTTATACGGTCCTCAATGTCTATGATCATAATTGTATGATCCTATGTTGATGTTATCTACACAGCTTAATATGTTGGCACTATCTACAATACTCCATGTGTTAGCAATATCTACAAGACCATATGCTGACACTATCTACAAAATCCTAGTGACCACTATTAGTACACCTTGTCACAACTGTGCCATCCTTCCAAGTTGTGAACTATCATGTTAGAGCCTCCACTACTCAAGTGTATTATGTTACTTCTGCACTATGTCATCATGTGCCTTATGTGTATTCTGTCCAAGATCTTTAGTGCATCTTAACTTGATGGTGCCATCTACTCAGGTTAAGTGTTCATAGAGACAAGCCTTTGTTAGGTTATGTGTTCATAGAGACAAGCCTTTGTTACTTGTGTGTACCACACTTCATACACTTCCAAGCAGTTCACCATGTACGATCATTGCACACAACACTTCTTCGTACACTCTACATTATACATAGATGTGACTCCTATGGTGTATGCACTTATTGGCCTTTCTACAATCATTTTTACTTGATCATTATATAAATGTCTTCACGTAGGACTATACATGAATGTTCTCATTTAGGTTGTTATGTAAACATCTTGACCTAAGTCATTATGATATATCTTTTAACTCATAATAATGCCTTCTATTATGAGTTAAAAGATATCATTGAAATTCTTAGCAATTCATCAGAGATATACTTACATATCCATCAAATATCCATGATGATCATTCTTAAAACTTGGTGTTGATCCTTAGATGACTAAATGAATCAATAGGAGCTGAATTGTTTCTTAATTTTTGTTATGATTAAATATAATATATTTTAAAAATCTGAATACTTTGATAATTTTCAAATTGGATATATAATATGAGATAAATCAGGAATAATTATTAAAGACATTATTTTAGAGTAGTTTGGGTAAACTCATTTGAACTACATCTACCTATAGTGAATCTATCTTTGGTTCATATTAATAATTATTCATATCACTGATGTGGGACTAAGAAGAGGATAGAGACTATCCAAAATGGGGTTCTCTTAATCTTTAGGAAATTTAAGAAGTGGCTAGAAATTAGATTTAGATCAAATTCCAAAGAAAAGATTTAAGTTAAGAGGAGATTAATCTCACAGTTCAGATGAGAGGATCATTTAATTACTCTTTAGGAGGCTTAATTCAAGAAATCAGAGATGATTAGAACCGTGTTTAAGATCACCAAGATGTAGAGAGTGGCTATCCTATAGATCACAAAGTTTTAAGAGTAACGACTTTTGAATAGACCAAATTGTATGATAGGAGAAGGTTCAATGTACCTTAGTCAATGGAAGACCTTGAAGATCCTTGAATTTGAAGAAGCACAAGTTTTAAGGTTGCAGCAGCCGGAGAGAGAAAAGACCGTGAATAAATATATGAGTAATTTGGAGAGCAGGAGGTATGAATGGATAAATAATAAATAAACGGGCGGAGAGAGAAAGTGGTGAAATGAGAAGGCGTCGACGGAGGAGAGAGAAAAAAGGGGGGGCGGGGCGTCGGCGGGAGAGAGAAAAAGGGGGGCGACGGGTGGACGGCGAGGAAGCGGAACGGCGGCGAGGAGGCGGAATGGTGGCGGCAATGTGGACGGCGAGGCGGACGGCGAGGAGGCGGATCGTGGCGACGGTGGGAGAAGAGATAGAAGAGATAGAGATAGAGGGAACGAAGGGGTAAGAGATTCCGGCGGAGGATAAGTAGCGTAGAAAGAGGTAAGACGAAGGGAGAGAACGGGACGGAGAGGGAGAGAATGAGAGAGAAAGGGAGAGGCGGAAAATAGAGAGGGAGAGGAGGTGAGAGAGAGAAGAACGAACGAGAGAAAGAGAGAGAGAGAGAGAGAGAGAACGAGAGAAGAATTGGAGAGAATGAGAGAGAGAATAGGAGAGAGAGAGAGAGAGAGAAAGACAAGACGGGTGGGGTTATTCCAATTCCAAAAAAGTTGTTCTTTTCAGATGGCATTCCATCTTCAATTTATAAGAGACGAGATGAATGGGAGAGAAGGTGGTTATTCATGGAGGGGCATGCCTTATCCTTCTCCTATGGGCCCATTGGATGATGGGCCTTCCTCCATGGGCTCATTTCTTCTTCTTCTTGGGCCCATTAAATAGGGTGAATCCTCTTATTGGTCCTAAGGGATCCAATAGAGGTTGACCCAAGGTTCCACTTGGGATCCACCAAGGGTGGCAGCTGCCGGTTGACTTGAATCAAGTTGATCCGCACATTAGGGAGGACCCTAATTTGGGCTGACCTCCTTGGGAAGAGAGGTCTTGATGTTAGTGGAGGTTCCACACTTGAGGTTGATCATATTCTTGAGCTGGCTCCATTGAGTCAACTTGAGATGAATTGATTGGCTCAGTCACTCCATCAGTCACCATGCTCTAGGAGCTTCTGATGACTTCAACTAGAACCCTAATAACTAATAATCATATATCTCTCCATTGAAGCATGACAATGAGCAACTCAACACTTATATAATTGCAATGCTAACACACCAGGTTTTTCAACCAATTCACCTATTAAAAATCACAATAGTAACAAATAATCACTATGAAATTGTAGTTAATGCTAGATTCAACTATCATTTAATGTATCATGAGTTATGGAAGGATTTTAGAAGAGTCAAATTGATGGAGGAAATATCTAAAACTTCTTTTGATGTGAACAACTCTCTTAAATCAATTAGAAATTCACCCAGAGTTTTTCAAGATTTGAGAGGACATAAATAGAAAGAAACCTTTTGAAACAACCATCACCTCTTATGCCTTTATTGGATCTAATGGTTGGTCTAGGAGAACCTTAGTGGGCTGTGTCCAAGTTTTGAAAAAAAAGTAAAATCATCCATAAGACAATTAAATCAAGTAGGTATGACTTTTAAGAGTAACTTTTTCTATTCCATTTTTCTTTGGAGGAGCTTTCTATTGATTGACACATACTATATATATGAATTTTTTTTTCAAATAAAAATCATTTTAGACACATTGGTCATACTTTCAGATTATTTCACCCTAGGGCACAGGTATTAATTCATTAATCATGGAAAATAAATAACAATTCAACGTTTTACTACATTATTTTACACAAATCTATTACTATATTTATACTCAGATATTTAACTTTTATACTTGTAACAAGAATGTAATTGAGAATTTTTTAATATCTAGCAACCAAGATTGTCATCAATGTCTTTCAATGTCATTGATACTAAAATCAAGTAAATAATTCACAATTTCACATTTAACGTAATCAATTTCATAATTTGAAATAATTAAATTATTACTAAGTTAATCCATATCTCAACACATAGGATTTGATTAAGTTGGTTGACAATATCATCTAATGTACAATAAGTCTCAAATTAGAAAAAAAAAGTACCATAAAACTTACTTGTTGTTGAAGTATTTCAATGAGAAATAAATATATTGAATTATTTTTTGAGATTGTTTGTAATAGTTCAACAAATCTTCTTTTTGCCTCCATGGGAATGTTAGTGGGCCACCTTCATTATTGCTGCCACCCATTGAGCAATGAGGGAATTAATGATAACAATTTGAAGTCAATTTCAGGATGAAAATTGCCATGGTGGAGATACGCATCCAGCAACTCTATGTATTATGATATTCTCAGAGATACTAATGGGTTGGGTAGGAAACCAGCCTTATTTTTTTGAATTTTGACTTCGAATATAGTTGAGAAAGGTAAAATGACATGATCTAGTGTCTATAATATTTAGTGAGACAGCGGTATAAAATTAAATCATACAATTATCCTAAGTGGAAGTAAGATCCTTAGTTGTATTACTCACAAGCATAGGAGTGTTGAAAAGATCACTAGAAAATATAGAAAGAAAATGTGAGAAAAGAGAAGAAGACGATGACACTAGGATTTGTGGTTTGAAGGAATCCATCAACATCCACAAGAGAGGTAAAATAACTAGGTGCGATGATTAGATATTTCATTAATTATCAATTCAACGATAATTTTATACTTTATGTGAATTTCATGTGTTGGGATAACACATTGTGGAAGTTTGGTTAAAAAATGGAGTTGAATATTGATTATTTGGTCATTTAATAGTCAAATGTGGCATAGATGAGTTTATTTAAGATCAAAGTAGCCATGACATTTAAGGAATTGTGCACAGACTATGATCATTCAAGTAATGAATGAAGAAATACAAAATGAAATGAATATAAGAAGCTATTGATGAGTGAAATTAATATAAAGAACAAGTTGTTTCTCAACACTTTGCATACATGCCTTGAGAAAATATGATGGCTGAGGACATTGAGCAACAAGGACTAAATTGTGGGACAGGTCTTCAAAGCCATTAACTTCGTACAAAGCATATCAGAGAAACTTCACCAAGAAAGCATCGCATATCTCATTAGAAGAGAGAACAAAATTTTACATGAATTGAAACGTAACATATCTTCTAGGATCCAAAATAGATATATCTACAAACCCATGGTTTTCATAAAGATAAAGGAGAGAATATAATCAAAAGACACCTAAACACGCAGGAAAAATCTCACCTCCCCCTACCTACGTCACTCTCTCAATTTCCTCATTATTAGTTATGAGAACTAAGAAAAAAATAAAAAAATTGATAGAGAGAGGATAAAGATTATAGGAAAAATATATGAGCATAGGATCATAATAACAGCAGAAATTCAATTTCTAGATATCAATAATAACAAATAAAAGAAAAATCACAAAGCTATCAGGAATTTTATTATTTCCTGTTCTGATTTATTCACAAAGACATACTCTCGCTCAGTTTTTTTAGTCGACAAACTCTCAATTCTTACTCTCGCTCAGTGTTGGATCGACGAGCCATTTCGTGAGTCAATGGAATGTCTGTCTATCCATATCTATTCTATCATTACAGGCCATAAAAAAGTGTGCCTCTTAGTTTAAGGGTTCCCCCCCTACTTTTCAAAAGACGATTCAAAAGAAAGTTCGGGGTTGGTTTGGCAACAAGCAGACGGCTCTCTATCATAGTTGCAAGAGGGGCTGTTCGCCTTAACTACTTAAGTTAAGTACCAAAGGCTGCTTTCGGTTTCGTAAGGGGGGCTGCTCACTACATAAGCCCCTGGCTGAGAAAGCTCGAAGAGCTTCCCTTCATTCGCTTCGCGGGAGCCGCACAACACATAGCTGGAAGTCAGAGGGCCCGTACTACCTGCCTAACCTTTTGTTCGATCCGAGGGACCGTTGAACGGAACTTCTAAGCTACTCGGCAAAGGGAAGGGGCCTATGTATTTGCATGACTCCTGCGTTCCCTACTTACACCCCGAGCTAATCCCCTAGCGGTCCTGCCACCACGCCGCAGAACGGTTTGTGGAACCTGACCTTGGACTTCTGGCGTAACAGCGGTGGAACGTAACAAAAGATGACGGCCGCGTCACAGAGGAGCCTACGGTACGGGGAACTACTGCCTTTATGTCTGAGGCGGGGGAGGGGAAAGCTTGGGCCTACTTATCCCGATAGGACCCCAACAAGGGAGCAGTTGATAGGTTCCATATTATATTGCCGAGACGAAAGGGCAGCACTTCTGTACGTGATCGTAGTATGTCACGTCGTCTCGTCCCCGCAGCATCGAAGAGTACCTATGCACTATGTTCCGGTTCACTGATAAGGAAGATAGAGTTGGGATGGGGATCTACGATGTGATACTTTAGTATGACCGTGGGAAAAAGATGTGAAACTCTAAACGGAAGCAGGAACCATGTTGTCCAAAATGTCGGGGGATTACAGATCTCTGATACTACCATCGATCCGACAGAGCGGAACGACCAGAAGTAGAGTTAGAAAGCCGTATGATCGGAGGTAACTATCTTGTACGGTTCGGGGGGTAATCGGCGTACTCCGATCAGGGGGGGGTGGGGGGGGAATATTTGGCTCTATCGAACATACAGGGAATTAGAGGTAGCATTCTACCGATGTCAAGTCATGGACCGGTTCCTCCAGCCCTTTTTCTGTGTTGCTGTTCTATATGAACGACATAAGACTCGACTTGCTAGACATTGTGGAGGTTCAGTGAGCACCATGCCGAATCTCTCTACCATTTCCTTCTCTTCCACTTTGGCCAATATGAGCTCACCTGGTACTAGAAGCTTTGTCGGGGAATTTCCCATCTTAGTAGGAGCTTTTCAAAGAAATAGCTTAGTAGTCACATTAGCAGCGCTTGGGATGATTTTAGGCGCGGCGTATTCCCTTTGGCTATATAATCGTGCGGTTTCTGGAAATTTAAAACCCGATTTCCTCCATAAATTCTCCTATCCAAATAGCAGAGAACTTTCCATTTTTCTACCTTTTATTGTTGGAGGGGCGACCGTCCGTTAAACTACCAAAAAAGGGGTAAACCAATGTGATCATGACATTGTAGGTGCTTGAGATGGGACGGATGCGACTTCCCTCATAAGTAATGTGTGGCATAGCCGGTTGCAGAAGTCCCCTTTTTTCCATTTCTTTATTACCTTAGGGACCGAGAGAAAGAAAGGACGGGGGGCGACCATGCATGGCACTTCTCGACCGTGTTTCCGAGGGACATTTGAACGATCGACTCATGAATGCTGCCGGGTCGGACGAGCCAATAACTCGAACGCGTTCGGTCAGTTTTTTGAGCAAGAATCACAGCGCAAACGCAAGCGCCTTCACCATGATACGGACTGGAAGTTCTTATGGCAGAGCACGAGTTTCCATCAATATGATGATGGAAATGGAAACCAGAAGCACGACCGAACCGAGAGAATACTTGGATATCCGTAACAGTAACGTAAGCATGATTTGGTAGTACCGGTGAACCAGATGGCCGCGGCGAGGGAATCTGGGACGGAGGACTCGTAGTATCTCTATAGATCCGGCAAAAGCAAAAGACCCCTAACGTAAGAAGGGGCTGACCGCTGAGCAAGTACGAGAAATTGGCCCCGCTCCGCTTTATTAAAAGCAAGGACCTCAATTCTCATTAGGAGGTCGAACCAAGGACCTATTGAAGTCGGGGCTCGTCCCTGGTCAATATTGGATCAAACAATATGAGACCGTAGCACGGACCTCTTTTTGTATTGATTCAATCCAATAGGGGAAAAGATCGTACTGTTCCCTACCGAGAAAACGGACACTCTCAACGAACACGCTTTCTTCCGTGCGTCTTTATCGTGGCGGGAACAGAACAAGAGATAAAGACCCCCCCAGGGCTCAAGGGCGAGCCATACGAGAGAGTCGAAAGGCTTCCGTTTCCGTTCTTGGTTTGGTTCGGGCCCCTCTCGATCTTTTTCGTAAAAGGGAAGGGGGAAGGAGTCTAAATCAATTGAAACTAATGAACCATCATTGAAGGACGTTGCACATGACACGATCAATTCGACTCGACGGTCCGTCGCTGATAGAACTTGCTGACTCTCTTAGTTAGAAGGTGCCAGGGCAGGGCTTTTCGTAGGTTTAGTAGGCGGGGTCTCATGAAGGCCGGCCGTCGGAATCAAACGAAGGTTTCGTGTCGGCGCTAATCAGCGGACCCTGAACACAGGAGAGGCACAGTTAGGGGGACGGACGTCAGCGAGCGCCGACACGACACGCAGATATTCAGGGAGATCAGCAGCGACGGTCAGAGAGAGACCGGGAAGCAGGGATGGAGAGGTGGAGAGAGAGGAGGGGAGCGTCTCACTTGGTGCAGTCGGTCGTGGTGCTGATGGGGTAGGGGACGCTGACTCCGCACTTGCCCGGGAGACCCGAGGTGAGGGACGGGTTGAGACCGGGGATCTTCCCCGCGTAGCTCTTAAGGCAGTTGCAGGTGTCACGGCGGTCGGCGGGCGTCTTGGCCTGAGATTTGAGGGCCCTCACGCCGTTGCAGCAGGCGGGCGTGAGCGGGCCCTTGCCGCGGATGTAGTTGACGCAAGGGGCTATGGACGAGGCCACCTTCGGGCAGCTGACAGCGGCGTTGGCGCAGGGCGCGGCCGCGAGAAGGCACAGGACCACGAATGCGACGAGCGCGCGAACCCCGCCGGCGGCCATGGCTGAAGTTCCTACTCCTCCCGTGTAAGCGCGCGGTAGGCTTCTATTGTCGAAACCTCTTACTCGGGAGCGGTGCTCGCTCTGGGTTGGTGCAGAAACCCTTTACGCCACGGTTCTTTATAGACGATTCCATGCAACCCGGTTTCGGTTTGGAAGAGACGAGTAGCGTGGTGTCGTAAGGGTGCCACGTGGAGGTCTCTGGGAGAAGATGGGGGAACGGTCCCCACTTCCGGTGGGAAATTTATTGGGACGGAGGTTCGATCGCGCAGCGGTCACATCTCCGGGACGGCCCGTTCGCTGTACGAACGCGGTAAGTTGAAGGAGCAGACGTCGGGTTTTCCAGTCGTCGGAGAGCAACGTCTAACTCCCACGGACCGGCCTGATCGCACAAGGTTCGTTTCATCTCCGGCCAGATGCTCTCGGCATATCCCGTAGAGAGGCGGCCGCGCGTTATTCCGACGCCGTCCAACTTCCCGACGTATTAATCTGCCGCTCTGGCGCAACATGCGGTGAATCCCGAGACAACTGTCCTCCGTTCTCATCCGCGGTGCAATGCTCAACCGAATCCGTCTGCAGCTGGTTTCCAGCTGCAATAAATAATTACCGGGACTGTGAAACCCGCGCAAATGCAGTCCTCTCATTTATTTCCCTTCTTCGGGCTCGCGCCGCCTTTGGCCTCGGCGTCAGCTCGACGGTACCTTTACGTCGTCCCGCTTCTCCGCCTGATGGGCCCACTGAAAGTCAAAGGGTTCTTTCACGGGGTTGACCCATGGAGGGTGAGTGTGGTCGTCTAATTCATGGGTGTATCTTTCCTCACATAATGAAATTTTCTCCCATGCTCATGACATAACCGATGAGGTGAGCCGGTTGTTGTGTGACCGCCGTGAGTTGATGAAGGAGATATCCGACAGTCGCCATCTTAGCGTCTCCGGTTCTCGTCGAAAGACCCGTAAAGTCGTTGTCCCATCTCCCCGTGAAGCGAGCGACGGTGCACAACCTGAGCCTATTGGCAGCCAGGGCACCGAAGTCTACGTCAGAGGACTCCTTGTAAAAGCCCTAGTTCGGACGCTGTGCACATAGATCTTCCCCTTTCCCATCAGAGCAATAGTTCCTTTCATGTGTTTCAGGCCGGGAAAGATTATCATATTCTCTAATATGGTGTACTGTAATGAACCGGGGAGGGGAAGGTAGTTGAACCAAGTCTGCCTCCGACAAATGAGCTAGAGCGCATAATTGATTCGATAAGCAAATAACAAAGTCTGCAGTATCTAACCTTTGAGGTTTCCTCCTGTGAACCAATCGCCAATGAATGTGTGTCCGCGATGCGAACCATCCCCCGAGTACAGTTGGTGTTGGTGAATCGAGAAGCAGGTTTTCTCTACGAGACGGTATGCGTGGTCCCATTGCAGACGGAATCATCTAAGGAGAGAGAGGCCCAGCTCGGCGGTGGAATATGTTTGTTATCCCGGACGTAGTTGCAGTCGCTCAGATGGGTTCTGCGCAGAAATGGCGAATGCTCCCTCGCTGTTAGCTTCCAGTCATAGAATCACCTGAGTGATCAAGTTGGAAGTTGGTTTCGCAGTAGAGTAGACGGCAACAGGGTTATACGGACTTCTTGTTAGAGCTGAGGGGACGTATGATGTGCGGTAGGCCCCGCTTTTGAGGCATGTGCGTTGTCACCTGGGTTGGCCTTTTAAGTAGGTCTATTAATTCAAGAAATGAGTAGGAACGAACATCCGTTTAATTAGTTTTTCGATTTATAATTCATATTTATTGGTGTCTAGATGATGCATGCGGACCCCCATTCTGATCATATGACCGATGAGGTGAGCGGGCATGAGTTGATGAAGGAGATATTCGATAAACGGCATCTTAGCTTCTCCAACTCTTGTCAAAAGAGACGTACAGTTGTGGTCCCATATCACCCTGAAGCGAGCGGGGGTGCACAATGTGAGCTTATTGCCGCTACTATCTCCCTCTCTGTGTCTAACGGGAGCATGAAAATATGATAGGAAAACTCGTTTAAACACATATTTTGGCTGGTTCAGCTTGAGACATTTACGTAATATCTAGTATACAAGTTTCAGCCATCAATAGCAATGGAAAATGGCCTGAAGTTCGCCCTGTAAAACAGTGATTTTTTTTCCGAAAGAACATGTGTCACTATGTCCTTGTTCACTCGTCAATGCATCCACACAAGCCTAAAAATGAACTAGCAGCACTGGAGAAGAAGACCGACTGCCACTGACCACCATAAAAGGATTTGGGGCTGAGGAAGGAAAAGCATCTACCTTGGAACGCGTTCAGAACGAGTCAGTACCGTCGGTACCGTCAGTACCGTCAGTACCTCTCTCTGTGTGTCTCTCGTTCTACCTATCGAGAGGGGTTTAAGGGCTCTGTCTTCCTCCTCTGTGGGTACTGCTCATTCGAGAGCACGAGGTTTTATAGAATAATCCGTTTTAGTGGAGGAAGACGAGTTTGGCATTGTGTCTAGGAAAGAGATGTAACTTCCGAGGTTCCCGTTCTGTCGGTGTGTGCGCTACTCCTTTATCGCCTAGGTTCTTTGCATGGTCGGGGGAGGATTTCCCAAACCACATCAACCTGGTCCATTATATTTTCTAGGTTTTCTATCTGTTTTTGTCTTGCCTAGCCGTACATCTATTTACGGTACCTTGGAGACACTTTCATACTCGGCGGGCAACACATTTACGGTATCGCTTCGGGTCCTCGTTCACACCCTCTTAACGGCTTAATTTATGTCATGCTACCAGGCCACAGCAGTTCCCACATACTACGCTACTCCTGCATCTGTATCTTTGAAAAAGACGTGCAACAATTTGGAGTGAATGCATGAGAGCGAATCACACGAATAAAGCAGTCCAGGAAAGGAACAGGTGAAAATAACGAAGAGGCGACGAGAGAGTTGATTGAAAACCCCTCTACTAGATGTGTTGAGAAATGTAAGATGATCTCCGTGGAGGAGAGATAAAACTTAATGATTTATTTAGTGCGTTGGACATGCCAGAAATGAGTCCGCGGTGATAGCATCAAAGAGTAGCAGAGCATGAACCGACAGGATTACGACCAGTGTACTTGTCCACCTGTGATCGAGGGCGAGTCTGTCTGTCTCCGTCTTTCTAGCTCATTCTCTTTATTTATGCCTCGCCTGGTCTTTGTCTCTCTCCCTCTCCCACTGTCTCTTTCTGTTCTGTTTTCGCCATCTCTCTCGTATTCACTCGCACCGTTTCTCTCCCTCTCACTGTTGTCCGACTGCAAACGGCAGACACTCATACTGGTCGATCAACAAACGGAATGAGATGGGATTAAATAATCCAACCAAAGACACATAAAATGGAAAAGCGACGTCGCGCGGCAGGTACACACATCCCTTACTTAGCCCGATTGCTTTATTTCGCTAGGATACCTTTCGGTCGGTCACATGCCCGTTTTATACGCGCGTCGTCCTCGTCCTCTCTTTACGATACAGAAGCCACCAGATCGCGCCGTTCGTCCGTCGCACTCTTATTTCGCAGAGAAGTTCACATCTTGTGCCCGGTTTTTCCGTCGCATTTTACGACCGGCCCTACTCATTCACACGTGAACGGTGCTCTAACATAGTACCCAGCGAAAGATTCACCCTCTCTACAACGTGGTATGTGTGGCGCCGTTCCAGCCGAAATCGTCTAGTGGATAGGTACGTCGCGAAGGACGTAATTGCGTCTGAGAGAGAGAGAGAGAGAGAGAGAGAGAGAGAGAGAGAAATGGACCCGAGGAAGAGGAACGGCTCCAAGTGGATTGGCACAGCTGAAGAATGAGGGAAAAAGGAATAATAGAGAGATCATAAATCAGTAAAAATGGGCGCCTGAGCGCCTAGGACATCTATCGATCGGGTGTAACCGCACGTCCACTGCACACGGGCAGGAAGAACGGGTGGTCGGTGCGTAGCACACACCCTTTATTCCCTAGCCGTATAGTAAGTAAATCACGACCCGCAGCCGGACTCTCGCCGCAAGCCGGCTCCACGCAAGGCTCAGCGGACCCTGCACACAGAAGAGGCACAGTTAGGGGGACGGACGTCAGCGAGCGCCGACACGACACGCAGATATTGAGGGAGATCAGCAGCGACGGCCAGAGGGAGACCGGGAAGCAGGGATGGAGAGGTGGAGGGAGAGGAGGGGAGCGTCTCACTTGGTGCAGTCGGTCGTGGTGCTGATGGGGTAGGGGACGCTGACGCCGCACTTGCCCGGGAGACCCGAGGTGAGGGACGGGTTGAGACCGGGGATCTTCCCCGCGTAGCTCTTAAGGCAGTTGCAGGTGTCACGGCGGTCGGCGGGCGTCTTGGCCTGAGAGTTGAGGGCCCTCACGCCATTGCAGCAGGCGGGCGTGAGCGGGCCCTTGCCGCGGATGTAGTTGACGCAGGGGGCTATGGACGAGGCCACCTTCGGGCAGCTGACAGCGGCGTTGGCGCAGCGCGCGGCCGCGAGAAGGCACAGGACCACGAATGCGACGAGCGCGCGAACCCCGCCGGCGGCCATGGCTGAAGTTCCTACTCCTCCCGTGTAAGCGCGCGGTAGGCTTCTGTTGTCGAAACCTCTTACTCGGGAGGGGTGCTCGCTCTGGGTTGGTGCAGAAACCCTTTACGCCGCGGCTCTATATAGACGATCGTTTGGGCATCGCGCCGGAGTACGCTCACGCAGGCAGCTAATCAATAGTTCTCTGTATTCCGCGGGGCCGCTGGCCGACCACGCCCGGCCAATTAATGAGTAAGGATCGTCGGCGTTGAAAACATCAGATCCCGGGTAGGGGGGAGCGGCGGGAGGGGGCGAGAGTGAGAGAGAGAGAGAGAGAGAGAGGAGTTGACTATCCGGCTACGGCAATTCAGGGTTGAAATGGAGAGGTGAAGAGCCGGCCATCTGATCTCCGCCGACCGCGTCGTTGGTTCACCCTCTATTCTCAATATAGAATTGGTTAGAGTTGATTGCCGAAGCTGAGCCAATATTCACCGCAATAATTCGCCGGGCTGCAACGCCCGCCGCGCCGCCGGAGGCCGCCGAGCATTGGATGCTGGTACAAGCCGTCGCCACCCGGTGTCGTCATCACCTACTGCCTGTGATAGCGATTTTAACGCGGGCGCCTCCGACTAGGCCGTGTGTCCCCTCCTTCATTTAGACACCATGGGAAATAGGCCTGCGTCACGGAAACAGCCCATAAAAGCGCCCTACGCGGGTGTTACGGACCGATTGGGAACCGCGTTACGCAGATGAAGGCACCTGAAACTATGGCAGTCAATGGAATAGACAAAACGCCTTCTACAACTGTCTGGTAGTCAATGAAATCGCAAAATGTGATTCCCACAAACTATGGATCTGTCCAAGGATTCGAGACAAAGATATGGAGGAGACGAGGCATAGTGCAGATGAAAAGGCAGAAATGAGTGATGTGCTGGGATTTGAGGTTTGGAGAAATTATCTTTCATTTCTGGAGAGTATCCACGACTATTTCTTTTAGTGGAAGAAGAGATGGAAACAGAATATTAAACGCCGACTACATCCATTTCCCATACACGATGCTGAAGTGACACGACTCACAATATTCGTGACTTGAAGACTCCACAGTATTTTCTTAGGATTGAATTTGCGTATCTAGATAGAAAGCCTGCCTTCACTTAGTAGAAGTATGTCCTCGACATGTTTTAGGAGATAGGTGTCTTTGGGTGCAAGCCGTAGACTTTGCCAATAAAAGTCTGATATGTCTCATGGTCACTGACCCTGATATCATATACATAGTGTCTTGAGCTAGTTCATGTAGGAGTTTTGATGAGTTCATTAAGAGAGAGTTGTACGAGTCCTCGTCTACATCAAGTGAGGCCCAAGAAAAAGGCTCATCTATTAGTGACACGACTATCTCTAAATTGCATCCTACTTTGAAGTCCGATATATAGGTGATAAGGGTGACTGAAAATCTACTACGAGTTATTGTATATACGTCGATGGTAACTTAGTCACCTGACACTCCTAGAAATAGAGAATGGTGTCTTGCTCTAATGCAAAATCAGAGTATGAAGCCATGACTAAAATAGTAAGGAAATATTACATGACTTTGATCAATTCTCAACAATCTCAGCATTACTTCTTGTTCTCCAATGCTTATACATTGCGAAAATCAAGCCGTCATCTTCATTGCTCGCAATCTCATCTTTCATAACCGTACAAAGCACATTGAGATTGGCTATCATTACATTCGAGATAAGGTTATGTCTAGACTTATCTCTAATCTTCATACGACATCATTTCATCAACTTACAAATGTCTTCACAAAGAGTCTGGTCGGCATCTCCTATGATGTCATGTATACCAAGTTGAGCATATTCGATTTATATGCTTCAGCTTGAAGAGAAGTGTTTAATAGTGATATCAGACTCCCAACTCATTAGGGCCCATTATCTCTCTCTCTCTCTCTCTCTCTCTCTCTCTCTTATATAAGAGTCATGTATTCTATGTTGTTATTTTATAGATTCTAGGATATTTCTCTCTTGTGTCAACAGTCCTCAAGGAGTAGAGAAGAAGTGTCTTAAAATTGCAGATGGGCTTCTATGGGTGAAGTCTCTAGCTTGCATCCAAAGAGGTTAGTCTCCTAAAGTATGTTGAGAGTATACCTCCATTGGGTCATGGTGAGCTTCCCATCTTGGCATGCATATTTGATCGCAAGAAATTATCTTGGAGTCCCTAAGTCACGGATGCTGAGGTACTATTACTAATAAGTTTTAGTAGAATGAATGTCAGTCTCATCACTTCAAGTCACAAGAATGTTGTCAACATAAGTTACAAGAATGATTAGGCTGCCTTCAATCTTCTTTGTGAGTATAGTGAGATCCGCAATGTATGATGAGAAGTCAAATGTAGTGAGAAGATCACTAAACTTGACAAACCAAATGCGTGAACTTTGCTTGAGTGTGTAAATCACCTTTCACAAAAAGCACATTTTAGATGACTCCCTTTGAACAACATACCTTAGAGGTTGCTTTATAAAGATTTACTCTTTGAGATCACCATAGAGAAATACGCTAGAAATATTTAATTGGTGGAAAGACCATGTCTGATTTACGGCGAGAGAGAGGAACACTCAAGACAAGTAGTCGACGATGGGGGTGAACATCTCAATGTAGTCAGTGCTATATACTTAGGTGAAGCCACGAGCAACCAGATAAGTCTTGTGATGTACAATAGTGCCATTTAGATGGTATTTGAGTGTGAACATCTAGTTGTACGTGATGATATTAGCATCCGCCAGATAGAGAATCAATGTCCAAGTCCCTTGAGATACCAAGACATCCACTTCTAAGTCCATAGTCACCTTCCACTTAAGTATTTGTACCACGTCAATATGCGAGTGGAGAATCGAGTCGTAGGCCACAAAAAGGGCAAAAGTACGAAAGGAGGGGGAAAGGCGATTATAGGAAATGAAGTGAGAGATGGGGTGTTAGATACAAGCACGAGTACATTTGTGCAAGGTGATGGCAAGGTGAAGATTATCTTGAGGAGCACTAGGGACGTCAGCAGAAGGCACAGTTGGCTCGATGGAGGAGGGGGACGACAAGGAAGCTGCAAAGGAGGCCATGGAGGCGCAGGTGCCGGGGGAGCACGGACAGTGCTGGAGTGCCGTGGGGAGGTCACAGCTTGAAGGCAGGTGCCGGCTGAGAGGGGTGCACAGGGAGGGCACCGGCTGAGGGCATGCAGCCAACGACAAAGACCTCGGGGCGTGGCCGGAGGGAGACAATGGTAGTGGTGGAGACTATGGTGGCGGTGGCATCTGCTGCGGTGACGGAGGTTGCGGTGGTAGAGGCTGCGACAGCAGAGGCCACGATGGTAGAAGCCACAGTGGTAGAGCACGCCACCTAGGGCATGCCCGGCGAGGAGGCAGACACCGCCTAGGGCACACCTGACACAGCAGCCTAGAGTGGCTGAAGGATCCTACAGCGGTGGTGGCATGACGACCTGGAGAGGGGTGGAAGTAGAGGAGGCATTGGTGAGGGGCGGCAGTGGAGGAGGGCTGCCGCGAAGACGGGCCGCTGTCGAGGATGAGGGCACCGCCGAAAGAGTGCACCGCTAGAGAGGGAGGCGGCAGCTAGAGAGAGCGTGGGGCTCTAATACCATGTTGAGAATTAAAAAAGGAAACCCTAGAATACATCATCAACATTAGACAACTACATGTGTATAGGGCCTTAATGGGCCAGACTCTATCGAACAGAGATAATATATATAAGTAGTAAAATTTTTCAAAATATCGTTAGCTCTTTCTCAAAATACCCCTCACTCCTCTCCTTCTCTTTCAGAACCTTATTAAAGCTAATTTGTCGGTCCGAACATAAGGATGTAAAGAGCACATCTTGAAAATCGTGCCCACGAAACTTGGGCTTGAAACCCCTTCTCCTTTTGCAGATATTGATCCTAGAAGATGGAGAAATCTGGGCCATTAAATGGGTGTCCCCATCACAAAAGAACCACTAAAAGGTTATGGTCAAGAAGAGCAATCTTTAACTATTGCTTACGGTGACAAGACATTCATAACACCGAAAGCTAACGATTAAGGAGAAAAGACGTATTGAACCGTCACTTTGGGTGACAAGATGTCCTTAACCACTGAAAATAAGAGTCACAATAATCCTCGACGAGCGGTCCATGCCTTCTTGCCTTTTGCTCGTGTGTGATACCTTGTATTCTCGCATTCTGCATAATATGGTAGTCAACGTCTTCTCACAACCTATGTAATTGTGGCTTGAATAAAATATTAATGAATTAAATAATCATGGCACTGCTGCATCACATACAGCATCACGTCAAATATATAAAAATAGTAATGGCTGACATGTGTCATTGACAGTAGGAGAATGTGGAAAAGCCCATAGAATGTGTGAAATAATACATACATATTTCCTGAAATTACTTTAATATCCTCATGACTTTAAATATATCAAAATAAATCCAAAATAAAGTCATAAAAAATCTGAGAAAATTTATAAAATAGATAAAATTCTTAAAATCACTATAAAGTTATTATTTGGTTATTTCGTAAATGATAACATACTGAAATAAGACATTTGATCCTAAAGTATATTCATTTTAAGGTTATTAATGAGTCTTTTTTGCATATTATCATATCCCAAGGTATGTTTCATCTTATTCTTTTTCAGATTTAGCATGCATTCATATACTTCATTTTGAGATACTTTCAGCCAAAAAAATAGAAATTAAATTTTTTTTCTCAAAAATAATATTTTCATTTAGAAAAGAACCTCTCCTCATTTTTACCTCATTTTGTAAGGCTCTCACTCAATAATAAATACTTTATATTAATACACCATAAAATGTGATCTAGTCATATAATTTTTAAATTAGCTCTTATCCAATTTAATAATTTTTCATCTAAAATGATATTCTAATTCTTCTATGTCTATTTCTTAATGCATTCTTTTATTTGCATAATCTTTCTTTACTCTATTTTATTTTCCTTACATATTTATTCAATTTGTGAGCAGTAAAATATTTGAAGCTTATACATAATTCTAATGGACTGTAACTTTTGAAGAATGAAGAATTGTCGACTTTAATCTCAGATCTAATGAATTCATTAAAGTTTAAATTTTCTCCTCTCAAAAGTATTACTATAGTCATATTTCATTATTTTTATTTCTCCTTATTAGTTGAATCAACTCTTTTTCTAGCTTTTCATTTCTCAACTCATTAAATTTTTTACCTTCTCAAGAGCTATCTTCTAATTTCGATATATGATATGGATCATCATCATCAATATCAGTGTCCATGGCTGAAAAATACTGATTAGATTTATTAATTTCGTCTCCTACATTTTTGAGATCAACTGATTTTTTCTCACTTGAAATCTGTTTTCCATTTCTATCCTTACTCACTTTTACTAAAATTTAGATGATTTTTTCATGATCAGTTGTTATTTCTTCATCTAAGGGTTCTTTCTCTTCATCATCCTCACTTTATTCATTCATCAATTGTGAGAAATAAATGATTTTATTCAATTTTTTTGCCACTATATTTTGAACCTTAATATTTTCATTTACTTTTAATGATTCATCTATTTTTTCTAATGATTTGGGGTAAGAACCAAGTAAAATACGCTCACTCTTAAATGTATTCACTATCTTAACATGTTCATTTTGTGAGTTGTTTCTTACATTTATCCTACTAGACTATCCTTACTGAAATCTTACTATTTAATAGTTTCTTGAATTTTCTATGGGCTGACTAGACAGTTGTTCCTCTTTTCTCTTATTTCCATAAGCCTCTATAAATTACTTTTATTACAACATCATTTGGTTCATTTACTATGTCATATCCATAAAATCAGGTTAAATTTGAGAGGAGTGATTTTATTTGAAATCTATTTTCCTATTTGAGATGAAATTCAAAATTTGAATTAAGTTTAAGTACTTCTATATTTTAAATATTATTTGGGTCTCTCCACGAAAAATTATTCCTCTAATTAGGATTATAAGAAGTAAAAAAATATTCTTTATTTTGATTAAAATTGTGGGCTACTTGCACTTACTCGTGCTTAGACTAAAATAATTGATCTAAAATATAATATTGAAATTTAGAATGATCATCTTCACCATACATAGGACAAGTACTATATGCATTAAATTGAGGGTTAGAAGGGTTTCAAATATTCTCAATAAGTAAATTGATCATTATAAATTAGTAATTACATCTATGCATTAATATCTTATATATAAATACTAATTAATAGGTAGAGAATATAATTATATATCTATTACTAACTCATTATGAAATTCATAATAATTTATGATTTAAGTTCTGATGGACTTTGTTGTTATCTAGTAAATCATGCAAATTTAAAATTTATAAAAAATTAGAAAAATACTAATTTCTAGATATTTATAAGTATTTCTCAACAAATATATTAATTATAATTCAATAAAACTTCCAAAAATAATGATAATTTTCCAAGTTGATCACAAGGATGTAATATAATATCGGGTAATTACTTAGAATGTTCCTCAAAGAATACTATTTTCTATGAATTTTATACTAAGAAATAAAAATAAAATATATTTAAAATTCACAAAAAAGGAAACTAAGGGTGCAAATGTCAGGATGACGTTAGGTGATTCACTTAGCGAACGCAAATCAGGTGAAAATAGAGTTCTGCTTGATGATTTTTACATAAGCAATTACAAATGATTTAATTGATCAAATTAAGATATGTAAAAGTCAGAAGAATCGTAATTAAATAAAGTATAGCTTGGTAAATTTAAATCACACAAATTATCATTAAATAAAGTGAAAATTAAGTTGAAAGTACGAAAGTAGAGTTCCAGCGTTGCGAGGATGATGCGTCGATGATGCACCAAAATCGAGAGTATGTAAGAAGATTGCCATGTAGTGTCCACGACTTTGAAGGCTCTCATTAGACAAGGAAGACGTGGATAATTTTTAGATCTCTTTGCAAAGTCTAGAGATCAATGAAATGGGTCATCGAATCGTCTCTAGTGATTGTCATCTGGTAGAGTGAAAAGACAACGACTTTGCGGCTTTCTAGTAGTTGTCACCTAATAGAGAGGAGCTAGATAGAGGTGGGGCGTGTGTCAGGGGGCTTCATCCTCAAGTTCGTATAGCAAGAGGAGGCTCTTCATCGCATCTGGTACACTCTCATGAGATGATGACTCATCTCCTAATAGATCGTCCTCTTTTTGATGACGACTTATTTGTCGATCAATCAGAGATGATTTATTCGATAGATTCGTGATCATTTTATCACGAATTGTTCAATAATTTTAGTAACAATGCTTCGCAAATCACGTTGATAAGATTTTTGTTGATGATCTAGTGATTTTGGTAACTTAATCTTTCATCGTCGATTAGAAAAGTCGCAATAATCAGATAAAAATATAAGTTTTGGCTCTAGGAAGATTCAAACTTGTACTAATTGCCTGCCTATATGAGAGAGATTGAAATAAGTACTCTAATACCTTTATCAAGTGACATCATCATGGTATATCTTTGTTATAAATAAGGGGTATTATAGACATTAAAATTATTGAAGCCTTTTGGAGGAAGGTGTGATGTAGGTTTAGTGCACATCGCTTGTGTGCTGAAGTTTCGGACGAATATATAGTAATATTACATTTGTAAGTAATAAGTCCTTTTCTACTGCATGTATGACCATTCCTTGCCCCACAATCGGCTGACCACTAGTGACGTGAAAGGAGAGTGGCGCACATATGCCCCCATCAGTCCTAGCCGCTTGAGCCCTTGCTTGTGGCTCTTCCCCAATTGTGCTTCCGACCTACTTGCAGGCCTAGTTGGCTAGTGGGTCCCTCTCATTTTGCTATATTTTTATTTTTATTTCTTTTTCATCATTTATCTCAAAAATAAGATTTTAAAAATCATATAAATTCATATAAAATCACATAATTAGCCACAAATTTACGTTAATCAATTGAAAACTACCTTTTACACTTTAACATAAATATAAGTCTATTTATCATGAGTTAAGGCTAAAACTATATTATTTACTAATTATTAACTCATGATAATGAAGACTTATCAAGTCCTAATATATATTATTTTATTTGTATTATGAAATTAACCTTGACTTTTATGATGTCAAGTGATGATTTTCTCATATTTTTTGATAATTATTTGATTGTAAGGACTTAGGTGAACTCTTATTATGAGTTGGAAGTAATAAAAGAAGCCCAAGTCTTATGGAAAGGGCCGACCGAATATGTTTATAGGCTCAAGAGAGGGTGTCACCTTTACCTAGTCCATTTGGACTTAAAAGAGTTATCAAGAGGTGAGATCTAGGTTGTCCATCTTAGGGCACCTTAAGATAAGATTAAGAAGATTAGTGCATCACCTTCATGAGAATCTAGGCCAGCCACCAAGAAAGTCAGTTATTAATCATAACTATCTATTGGAGGTGTCTAATTCTCTAGAGATTTAAGATATCTCACCCTCATCTTGGAAGGCATTTTTTGGCTATCTCTCTAGTAGTGGCTAGTTGAAGGAAAAAAGAGGAAAATTAAAGCTCGGTCAATGACATTCTCATATTCAAGATTGTTGTTGAGAAGAGATTACTTGGAGTGCATCAAATTATCATGGATTAAGCACCACTTAGCTTAGGACTAGCGCACAACGAGGTCTATGCAAGATCGTGATTTGAGACGTCCTTGTAATATTCTCCATGAATAGATTAACTCTTAGTTCAAACTAGTTTTATCATTTATTCTATAATTTCAGTATGTTAGATCCATTCTCTTCCCTTTGTCACACTTTCTATTTCTCTTCTCTTCACTCTTTTTATATTTAATTTTGTCCTTCACAATGTTAATTATTTTCATACATATATAAGAAATAAAATAAGTAAAATTCTTACTCTCATTACCCACGCTTCTTGAGGATCAACCCTTACTTATCCTAATCAGAAGAGTGAGGTTTTATAAATATTATTTATATAAACTTGATTGTATCACTATGACATATCTAACCTCTAAATCAAGTTCATCATAAATTAAAATTTTATAATATTTGCTTAATATGATTAATCTCATTTCCTAAATTAGAATCATCATCTTGATGTAATTCATAAATTATTCTTCTCTTATCTCTCACATATAACTCAAAAGAAGCTTGATCTCTAGAATTTTCACATAAATTCTTATAAAGTTTGAAAATCTCTTCAAGGATTTTCTCCATAAAAGTTCCTCCACATATAGAATCAATCATATTTATATGTTATTCTAATAATTCAACATAAATTTTTTTATTGAGCTGTCCCTTGGGTATAATATGATGAGGACACATTCGAAGTAAATCTTTGAATTTTTTCCATATCACATACAAAGTTTTTTTTAGCCTTTGAGCAAAACTTCATATATATTTTCTCATATTTTAAGTTTTTCCTAAGAGATAAAATTTTCAAACAAAGGCATATTTTATATCTTTTCAACTAGCTAATTCTTCATCTAATATGGATAGCCAATAACTAGCCTTGTCCTAAGTGTATGAGAAATTAATTTCATCTTAATAATTTTTAGTGTAACTTGAGAGAGATTAACTAAATCAAAAACCATATGAAATTTCTCTAAATATTGATGAGTTCCTCTAAAGATAATCCATGAAAATTAGGAGACATTTGAAAAATTCATGAATTTATTTCGAATTTAACTGTGCATGCTAATGGGATTCTAATATTAAATGCTCGTTAAAATGGATTAGGGATATAATAATTTTTCATGCCCAAATGATTATTCTCAGTTTGACTTGTACTACCTTTAGGATCCATCAAAATTAATTTTTCTTTAAGATTTTTAGTTTTCAACGAAATAGTGAAAGGATTTTCTAGCCTTGGATGTAAGAATCTCCTACCATGTATAAAAATCAATAAATTTGAGAAAAATATTTAATAATTATTATCCTCCTTCAGTTTGATCTAATCTTTGCTTTGCTGCTCTTTGTTCTCTTTTTTTTAATTTTTCTACAAGAAGAAAATAAAAATAAGATTTTTTTATGTACTCTAAGAGAAATGAAAAATTACCAAATATTATGTAATACATCCCCAACAATAGTGCCAAAATTTGACACGACTTAGTTATTCTATAATAAATCATGTAAATTTAAAATTTATAAAGCTAAAAACTACTCATTTTTAGATTTTTATTAGTATTTGAAAACAAATAAATCGATTCTAATTTAATAAAAGGTTTAAAAAATAAGAGGATTTCTAATTCAATCTTGTGAATGTAAGATAATATTGGGTAATATTTCAGATTTTTTAAAAGAGAATATAATTTTTTATAATTTTTAGAGTAAATGATAAATATAAGATATATTTAAAAATTAGTGAAAAAGAAAAATAAGCATGTGGATGTCAAGATGACATAAGAACATTGAGGAACACAATTTGGGTATGAACAAAGTTTCACTAGGTGATTCTTATGTATGCGATTATAAATAATTTAATAGGTCAAATTAAGATATGTACAAGCAAGAAAAATCGTAATTGAATGAAGAATATTTTTGAAATTTGAAATCACACAAAGTGTCACTAAGTTAATGAAAATTAAGTTGAAAGCAAGAAAGGCAGAGTTTCAGCCTTGCGATAGTGATTGCCAAAATTCTATGTTCAAGAGGATCATCGAATGATGTCCACAACCTCAAAAACTCTCCTTGGATATAGACAACTTGGGTATTTATTAGATCTCCTTTTGAAGTCTAAAAAATGATGGTGAAATTAAACTAGTTAAAAGATAGTAAAACAAAATTTCAACATCACAATGACAATACATCAGAATCTTGAGTGTTTGGGAAGATTGTCGTGCCATGTTAGCAGCCTCAAAGGTTCTTCTTAGATGAGGGTAATGTGGGCAATCTCTAGATTTTCTTGCAAAGTTTAGAAATCAATGAAGTGAGTCGTCGAATCGTCTCTAGCAATTGTCACTTGACAAAGTAGAAAAATGGTGACTTTGTGACTGTCTAGTGGTTGTCAGCTAGTAGAGATGAGCCAGATAGAGGTGGGGTGTATCTTAGGGAGTTTCATCCTCAAGTTTGCCTAGTAAAAGAAGGCTCCTTATTGCACTCAGGAGGTGGCAACTCCTCTCCTAATAGATTGTCCTCTTTCTAACAACAATTTATTCGTCGATCAATCAGAGATAATTTAATCAATAGATTTATGATTTTTTTATTATGATTCATTTAGTAATTTTAGTAATAATGCACCATAAATCATATTAATGAAATTTTTGCCGATAATTTAGTGACTCTTGGGACTTAATCATTTATTGATGGTTTGTAAGAAAATCACAATTTAAGTAGATAAAAAATATAAGTTTTGACTTTGGTAAGATTCAAACCCTTGTCGGCCACATGCCTATATGAGAGAGAATGAAATAAATACGTGGATACCTTATAAAGTGATGTCATCAAGGTATCTCTTTCTAATAAATAAGGGGTATTTGAGGTATAAAAATTATTAAAATATTTTGGAGAAGCTCTAAGTATGGATTTAGTCCCACATTAGTTAATGCCAAATTTGAGATGAATATATAGTAATACTAGATTTGAAAAGTAATGAGTCCCTTTCTCACGTGTGTACAACCACTCCTTACCCCATGCCTAGTTGGCCAGTAATGATGTAGAAGGGGAGTGAGGCACATGTGTGTCCATTGCTTGCGTCTCTGCTCGACTATGCTTTTGACCTACTTGTAAGCCCAACTAGTTGATAGGTTTCTCCCTTTTTTTATCTTTTGATTTGATTTTATTTTTTTTATTTATAAAAATTATATAAATTCACATAAAATCACATAATTAATTAAAATTCTATTAATTAATTAAAAACTATTTTTCACAATTTAACATAATTATAAATCTATTTATCATGAGTTAAGATTAGGACTATAATATTAAATAATTATTAACTCATAATAATGAAGACTTATCAATTGACTAATAAATCAATTACTGTAAACTCATTATTAGGCCTCATACCACCTCATTATAATGGGAGATATTTAAAAGAAGAGAGAAGAGAGAGAAATGAGGAGAGAGAGAATCGACATAAATTAGGGCTTGTGGAGAGAAGATAGACAAGGGTGACAAGTGGAGGAATAGAAAATCATTATGGTGACAACCATGACAATGACAACACCAACAACATCGACAAGTAGAGGAGTTGAGCACAATTGTAGTGGCTCTCATAGTGGTGACAACAATAGTGGTGGTGATAATGATAGTGGCTGCAAACTCTTGTTCTATGTGACATGTAGAGGAGTTTAGCACAACAGTGGCAGCAATAGTGATGACAATACACTCATGATAGCAGCAGCAGTGGTGGTTGCAAACTCTCCTACTATGTGACAAGTAGAGGAGTCAAGCATAGTAGTAACATGATTCACACTCTGAAGCTTTGAATTGGGTGTTTTGATTTCTACATATGTTTAGTACTATGTTTCTTTCTTTCACAAATGCTACAGAAAATGATGGATTATATGAGGTTTCTAACACTAGAGGAGTTGAGCACAGTAGTAACATGATTCACACTTTGAAGCTTTGAATTGGGTGTTTTGATTTCTGCATATGTTTAGTACTATGTTTCTTTTTTTCACAAATGCTACAGAAAATGATGGATTATGTGAGGTTTCTAACACTAACTGGATTTCAACCAACTGATTGTGTATTTTTCGTAATTGTTAATATAGTCTAGGGTTCTAATAGAGTCAACATGAGGGTTCATCCTCTTAGGTGGACCCATGAGGAGGAAGAAGAGGGAGGAGGAGGCCACATCATCCACATACCCCTTCTCTTCTAAGATAGGCACCTCTCCCTCCAAGAGGCACCAGTTGGCATCCTTTGGGAGGGGGCGCCTCTAACTACCATCCCCTCTTATCTATAAATATTTAAACTCACAAATACTTGGAAAGAAAAAAGTTGAATTTGGAATGAAAAAAGTTCTTATTATCTCTCACCTCTCGGAGTAAAGGTTCTTCTTTCTTTCTCACTCACCTCTTAGATTAGGGGTCTCTACTTCTTCCTACCCACTTAGATTAGGGGGACCTTTCTCTCTTTCTCTTCTTCTATGTTGTCTTATTTTCATCTCATCGTCGGCCATCCATTTCCTCTCTCCTACCACCATAGTTGTTCTACCTACTAGCCGTTCGCCCCATCGCCACCATTCCACCTTCTAGCTATCTGCCCTATCACTAAGCCCAACTTTCTTTCCTCTACCACTGTCACCATTGTTCTGCCTCCTTAGCATCCACCCCATTGCTACCATTCCACCTTGCCATCACAATCTCTCTCCTTTCTCTTTCCTATTATCACCACAAAACCCCTCTTTTTCTCTCTCACACCAATGCCCACAAAACCCTCCTGTGCCTTTATTATTTATTTATTCATCCCCAACTTTCTCACCGTCACCTCATTTCACACCCTACATTTCTTCCTTCGATTTATTAATATTTTTATTATTATTTTACCCCACCAACTCTGCCTCTTGTCACCTCACGTTGCGACCCCTTATATATACCTTTGACTTCATTCCTTTCGAACCACACTAGTTCAGTTCCTAGATTGAACCATTTGTTGGAAAATCCCTAACAAGGCTCGTGGGATCCAAGCCAATTAGAACTTTCCATAAATAAAAGATCTCTATAGCAAAGGTGTGTTGATTTTTAAATTCCTTGTGAAGTTGGTCATTGATTTCAAATCCTTGCTCTTATAATTTGTGAGATTCATAGGATAACCACCCTCCTGTGAGAGATTAGTGGTCCAAACCCTAGTTGAGAAGCCTTAAATGATTATTTGAATTAGATAACCCAATAAGTAATTAACAATCTTAACTATCTTCTAAAATAGTGGGATTCATCTAGATATTAAACCCTCTAAGTCTTAAGTCATCTCTAAAGCCCAATTTATAATTATCTTTAAGAAGATCTCTTTTATCCCCCTTGTCCCGCATTAGGTTTTCTCCCAAACACAAGTTTAGTACTCCACTCGTGGCTACGCCCAAAGCACATGACATTTAAATGTGATTATTTTAAACTCAATTGTGACCACAAGTCAATGGTAGAAGGTAGGAACATGTGGGTAGGGTTGAGCAAAAGATTGGTAGAAACACTCATAGTGGAAGTCAAATCCTCAAACTTGTTAACCCCTAATATAAATGTGCCAAAAGAACTAGAGAACAATTTATGGATAGAGTAGATAATACACCATGATTATATTGTTTAGAGGTATCCTCTATGTCTAAGGAAAGAGCAAAAGAGATACTGCAATAAGTGTACAAACAAATGAAATAGTACCTCACAAATTAGGTCTCTTGGTCTTGAATGAGCTGTATCAAATAAATAGAAAGATGGAACTCCTAGAGTTGAGAGAACAATATTTACAATGAACTCTATGAATCCCTACTCTTTAAACAAAGGAGGGAAAAAAGAAAAAGAGGAGAGCGGGATAAATAAATGGGAGCTGACATAACCCAAACATTGTATAATAAATCACAAAAATTTTAAATTTATAAAAATAGAAAATACTATTTTTTATATTTTAAAAATATTTAGCACAAATAAATAAATTATAATTTGATAAAAGGTTCTAAAAATAGTAGAAAATTTCTAACTCAATCAAAGAGATGTAAGATAACATTGGGTAAAATTTTAAATTTTTTACCAAAAAATATAATATTTTATTATCTTCAAACTAAATAATAAAGAGAAAATATATTTTAAAATTTACAAAAATTGTAAATTTTGGTGCAGACATTAGGATGACATTAGTGTCTTGATGAATGTAATTTAGGTAAAAATAGAGTTACATCTGATAATTATCGTATAAACAATTATAGATGATTTAATTGATCAAATAAAGATCTATAAAAGTTAAATAAATCATAATTGACCAAATAATATTTTTGAAATTTAAAATTACACAAAATATCACTAATTTAAGTAAACATTACGTTTAAAATTTGAATGATAAAATTCTTGTGTTGTGGTTGTAATCTTTAGAATTTTAAATGTTTGAGAGAATTATCATGTGATGTACATAACTTCAAGGGCTTTCTTTGGACATGGATGTCATAATAATTTCTAAATCTTCTTCCGAAGTCCAAACATTAATGAAATAGATCAATGAATCATCTCTAGTTACTATTAGCTAGCAGAGTAGAAATTTGGTGACTTTCAGATCTCTAACAACTTTCACTTGTAGAGATAAGTTCAATGGATATAAGATATATCTTAGGGAGGCTCTTCATTGCATTTGGTATGCTTTAAGGAGGTGTCGACTTGTCTTTCATTGGATCGTCTTCTTCTCAATGATGACTCATTTGTTGATCAATTAAATATGATTTCCTCAAAGAATCTGTGACTTTTATATTTGAAATCTTTAGTCTATTGCTAACAATGATCTGTAGATAACATTTATGAATTTTTTATTCATAATCAAATAATTTCGGCAACTATATTATTGATTGATGTTGTATAGAAAAATCATGGTTTAATGAGATAAAAACTTGAATTTTGGCTTTCATAGGAATTCGAACCCTCACCATTTGCTTAGCTACATAAGAGAGAGAATGCAAATTACGCACATAGCCTTTCCTAGTGACATCATGAAGTCATTTTCTTCTTATAAGTTAGGGTTATTTTCAATATAAGTGAAAACTTGCCAATGAGCATTGGTGTATGTTTAGTCCCACATCAGTTATTTTGTAATTTTTGAGACATATATGAGTACCCATTTTTCTCATCAAAATGTTTTCTCTTACATGTGTATGACCACTCCTTGCCCCATGTTTGATTGACCATTGGTGACATGAAAAGGGAGTGACGCACACATGCCCCAAGTAGTCCTTAGCCACTTGAGCCCCTTGCTCATGGCTTTACCCGATTATGTTTCCGATCCATGTGTTGGCTTGGTGATGTGACTTAGTCATTGTATAATAAATCATACAAATTTAATATTTATAAAACTAGAAAAATACTAATTTTTGGATATTTAAAAGTATTTCTGAATAAATATCTCAATTATAATTTAATAAAAGTTTCAAAAATAATGGAAAATTTCCAACTCGATCATAGAGATGTAATATAATATTGAGAAAGTTTTTAAATTTTTTCTCAAAGAATATAATTTTTGTATGAATTTTAGATTAAGCAATAAAAATAAAATATATTTAAAATTCACAAAATAGGAAAATAAGACTGCAGATGTTAGGGACTGATAAGTCTTCATTATCATGAGTTAATAATTAGTAAACAATATAGTTTTAGCCTTAACTCCTGATAAATAGACTTATATTTGTGTTAAAGAATGATTTTTGGTTTTCAATTGATTAACGTGAAATTTTGGGTAATTATGTGATTTTATACGATTTTTACAATCTTACTTTTGAGATAAATGAAAGAACAAGAAATAAAAATAAAAATATTGCAAAAATGGGGGGACCTGCTGGCCAACCGGGCCCGCAAGCGGGTCGGAAGCGCAGTTGGGGAGTAAGCCGCGAGTAGGGGCTCGAGCGGCTTGGCTTGGAGACCGACAGGGCACGCGTATGCCACTCCCCTTCCACGTCACCGGTGGCCAGCCGGCTGTGGGGCAAGGAGTGGTCATACACGCGAGAGAAGGGACTTTGTTCACAAAGCTAACATTACTATATATTCGCCCGAAAAATCGGCGTACAACTGATGTGGGACTAAACCCCCGTCACACCTTCCTCAGAAGAGGCGGGTGACCGGCGCGGGTTCAAATCCTCCCAGAGTCAAAATTCATATATTTTTATCTGATTATCGCGACTTTCCTGCAGATCGCCGGTGAAGGATTAAGCAACAAGAATCGCTGGATCATCAGCGAAAATCTCGTCAACACGATTCGCGGAGCATTACTACTAAAATTGCTGAACGATTCGCGATAAAAGGATCGCGAATCCATCGAGTAAATCATCTCCGATTGATCGACGAACAAGCCGTCGTCGGGAAGAGGACGATCCGCTGGGAGACCAGTCGCCACCTCCTGAGAGTGTACCGGATGCGATGAAGAGCCTCCTCTTGCTGCGCGGACCTGAGGATGAAGCTCCCTAACATGCACCCCACCTCCATCCAGCTCCTCTCCGTCGGGTGACAGCCACCGGAGAGCCGCAAAGTCGCCGTTTTTCCGCTCCGCCGGGTGACAGCCGCCGGAGACGATTCAACGACCCACTTCATTGACCTCTAGACTTCACGAGAAGATCTAGAGATTGCCTACGTCGTCTTTGTCCAAGGAGAGCCTTTGAGGCCGTGGACACTGCACGACGATCCTCCCGAATGCTCAGGATTCCGGTGCATCACCGACGCATCGCCGTCGCGACGCCGGAACTCTGTTTTCCTGCTTTCAATTTAATTTACACTTCATTTAGTGATACTTTATTGATTTTAATTTACCAAACTATACTTCGTTCAATTACGATTCTTCCGGCTTTTATAGATCTTAATTTGATTAATTGAGTCGTCTGTAATCACCTACGTAAGAATCACCGGGCGGAACTCTCTTTCTGCCTGATTCGCGTTTGCCGGGTGCTGACGTCATCCTGACGTCCGCACCCTTATTTCCTTTTTTTCGTGAATTTTAAATATTTTTCCTTTTTATTTCCTAGTATAAAATTTGTAAGAAAATCGTACTCATTGAGAAAAATTCTGAATAATTATCAGATATTATATTACATCTCTGTGATCGACCTGGAAAATTACCGCTATTTTTGGAAATTTTATTGAATTATAATTGATATATTTATTTAGAAATACTTCTAAATATTCGAAAATTCGTATTTTCTAGTTTTATAAATTTTATATTTGCGTGATTTAACATACAACAACTGAGTCACGTCAGGGACTACGAATGTTAGGATGACATCAGTGTCTGATGAACACGAATCAGGCCAAAATAGAGTTGCGCTTGATGAATCTTACGTAAGTAATTACAAATAATTTAGTTGGTCAAATTACAATCTATAAAAGCTAGAAAAATCAGAATTAAATGAAGAGTAGTTTATAAAATTTAAATCATGCAAATAATCTCTAAATAAAATGAAAATTAAGTTGAAAGTAGGAAAATAGAGTTCTGGCATTATGGCGGTGATGCGTTGGCAATGCACTAGAATCTTGAGCGTTCAAAAGGATTGTCATGTAGTGTCCACAGCCTCGAAGGCTCTCCTTAGATAAGGATGATGTGAGTAATCTCTAAATCTTCTTACGTAGTCTAGAGATCAATGAAATAGGTCGTCAAATCATCTATAGCGGCTGTCTCCTAATAGAATGGAAAGACAACAACTTTGCGGCTCTCCAATGGTTGTCACTTGATGAAGAGAAGCTAGATGAAGGTGGGGAGCATGTCAAGGAGTTTCATTCTCAAGTGTGTGCAGCAAGATGATGCTCTTCATTGCATCTGATACACTCTCAAGAGGTGGACACTCATCTCCTAGTGGATCTTCTTCCTGATGACGGTTTGTTCATTGATTAATTAGAGATGTTTTATTTGATGGATTCGTAATCCTTTTATCATGAATTGTTCAACACTTTACTTGATGCATTGACGAGATTTTTGTCATTGATCGAGTGATTCCGATGACTTAATCCTTCACCAGTGATCTATACAAAAGTCATGATTTAATTAGATAAAAATATAAGTTTTGACTCTAGTAAGATTTGAACCTACACTAGTCACCCGCCTCAATGAGATAGAGGGAATAAGTAGTCGAATACCCTTATATAGTGATGTCATCATGGTATATCATTGTTATAAATAAGGGTAGTTGATAAGTCTTCATTATCATGAGTTAATAATTAGTAAATAATATATTTTTAGCCTTAACTCGTGATAAATAGACTTATATTTGTGTTAAAATGTGAAAAGTGGTTTTCAATTGATTAATGTGATTTTTTGGATAATTATGTGATTTTATATGAATTTATATAATTTTTATAGTCTTACTTATGAGATAAATGAAGAAAAAGAAATAAAAATAAAAATATTGCAAAATGGGGGGACCTACTGGCCAGCCGAGCCCGCGAGCAGGTAGAAGCGCAGTTGGGAAGTAGCTACGAGCAAGGGCTTGAGTGGTTTGGACCGATAGGGGCACGTATGTGCCACCCCCCTTCCATGTCACTAGTGGCCAGCCGATTGTGGGGCAAAGAGTGGTCATATGCGCAAAGAAGGGATTTGCTTAAAGATTTAACATTACTATGTATTCGCCTGAAAATTCGGTGTACAACTGATGTGGGACTAAACCCACGTCATCTTCCCCAGAAGGGGTGGGACAATTGGTAGGGGTTCAAATCCTCTCAGAGCCAAAACTCATATTTTTTATCTGATTATCGTGGCTTTCATGCAAATCGTCGGTGAAGAATTAAGCAACCAAAATCCCTAGATCATCGACAAAAATCTCACCAACGCGATTTGCAGAGTATTGTTAGTAAAATTGTTGAACGATTCGTAATAAAAAGATCACGAATCCATCGAGTAAAGCATCTCCGATTGATTGATAAACAAACTGTCATCAGGAAGAGGAGACGAGTCGTTGCCTCTTAAGAGCGTACCAGATGTGATGAAGAGCCTCCTCTTGTTGAGCGAACCTGAGGATGAAGCTCTTTGACATGCGCTCCACCTCCATCCAGCTCTTCTCTGTTGGGTGACAGCCACCAAAGAGCCACAAAGTCGCCATTTTTCTACTCTGTTAGGTGGCAGTCGTCGGAGATGATTTGACGACCCATTTCATTGATCTCTAGACTTCATAAGGAGATCTAAAGATTGCCCACGTCGTCCTTGTCCAAGGAGAGCCTTCGAGGCCATGGACATCGCACGACGATTCTATCGATCGCTCAGGATTCCAGTGCATCATTGACGCATCACCATCTGCAATGTCAAAACACTATTTTCCTACTTTTAACTTAATTTCTGTTACATTTAGTGATAATTTATTTATTTTAAATTTACCAAGATAAACTTCATTTCATTATGATTTTTTTGACTTTTATAGATCTTAATTTGATCAATTAAATCGTTTGTAATTGCTTACGTAAGAATGATTGAGTAGAGCTCTATTTCTGCCTGATTCGCATTCGCTAGGCATTGATGTCATCTTGACGTTCGCACCCTTATTTCCTTTTTTTGTGAATTTTAAATATATTTCCTTTTCATTTCTTAGTATAAAATTCATAGAAAATAGTATTCTTTGAGGAAAATTCTGAATAACTACCAAATATTATATTACATCCCTGTGATTGACTTAGAAAATTACCACTATTTTTAGAAGTTTTATTGAATTATACTTGATATATTTGTTTATAAATACTTTTAAATGTCTAAAAATTTATATTTTCTAGTTTTATAAATTTTAAATTTATGTAATTTATTATACAATGACTGAGTCACGTCAATTGTGTAAGTATTAAAATCATAAAATTATTATGGAGAATGTGAGACCACCAGTTTAATCTCACATTAATTATATGTCAAATGTTGAGACAAATATATGGTAAGGTGAGATTTAAGAATCAATATGCCACTAGTGATGTGGAAGGAGAGTGGTGCACATGTGCCCTTATTGGTCTATAGCCACTCAAGCTCCTACTCCTAGCTCTACCTTGACTATGCTTCCGAGCCACTTGCAGGCCTAATTGGCTGGTAGGTCTTCCCCTTTTTCTTCATTTATCTCAAAGATAGGATTATAAAAATTATATAAATTCACCTATAATTACATAATTAGCTAAAAAAATCACATTAACCAATTGAAAATCACTTTTCATAATGTAACATAAATATGTCTATTTATCATGAATTAAGGCTAAAAATATATTATTTATTAATTATTAACTCATGATAATAAAAACTTATCACCTAGCTAGTTATCAGGTCCTTCAATTGTGCTTTTAATGCACTTGTAGGCCCAATTGACTGACAAGTTCTTGCTTTTTCTATATTTTAATTTAATTCAATTTTTTTATTTTATCTTTAAAATATGATGAAAATAATTATATAAAATCACATAATTAATCAAAAATAACATTAATGAAATAAAAAAAAAATTATTTATTTAAAATAAATATGAATTTATTTATCATGAGTTCAAGCTTAAAATATATTATCAATATTATTAATTCATGATAATGAAGACTTATTAAGAGACCTTATGAGACTCATGCCTTATTGGACCATTCTTTTGTTAATTGTTCCCCATGAATAGGACATAGGGACTTATTATTAACGCTATGATTGGTTTCACCAGTTAAAAAAATTGTATACATTGTCAAGAACAACAATATGCCATGGTCAACTAGAAAGAATGGTTCACTAAATCAAGAAATTCTCCTCTTACAATACTGAAGGCATGACAATTGAGGTTCTGTAGATAAACAACATTAAACGCTAAGGGTCAACATGGTTATATGTATGCTGATACACATACACAACCCATCATGTTTTTGCATATCAGTTAAAGAGCCTACGTACTTTGTCACATGCCTTTTGCCTTAAAGGAGTAGCCCAACTACTGGTCCTAAACAGAAGGTTTCTCCAAGTAAAGTGTTAAAATTTATTTGCATTTTGCAGAAGGAAACATAGAGGGCAATAGGACAAAAAGGCCTTATATCATGGAGCTTTTGAAGAATCTATGAGGAAAATATCGAATCTATTAGTATAATTTTCATATAATCGAGTAATGTTCTCATGGTCATCTCCTATAAATGTGCTATGTTCCACATCGAGTAGTAAATAATAAGTAACGAGTTTTGCATCATTGATTCCATTGATGCCTCCACTGCACTTGGAGAAATAGGTTCCTTGGATGTGTCTGTATTGGTTGTATCCAGTATTACTGAAGGGATGAGGAAATTGTGGGTGAGGACACAATGGGCCACGGGGTGATGAGGTGCCCTCATTACCTAATGCAAGTGGTGTGACACATAGTATTAGACCCACATTTTCGTCCATATGAGTTATTGGGATTTACCTTCCGGATGGATAAGGCAGACAACGGATGAACACCACATAGATGTGATGGCGTCCCGTCAATGGGGAATGAGGGGAAAAAAGATGCATTCGTCGGCGTCGGAGTTGTAATAATATGTTTTCTGGTTTATCTTGGTTTTACGTGTCTCAACAATTTGTTCAGTAGGTGGTCCGCCTTCTTCCGATGCGTTGAACGTAGCATACCCAGAGAATGCGCTCAGAAAACAGGCGTTGTTTGTGTGGTCCTCTGAGAGTCTGGGAACGCCTATTCCTGCTCTTTGGCGCGGAAGTTGGTGTAAACAGGACTAAAGATTTGTGACCGGCAGTAGGGTGTCATCGAATGCACCAGTGGTTGACTTTTAATAAATGGAAACTACCTCGCATTGAATGTCGCATTCGTGCGGAACGCCCCGGAGAGCAGGGCATTGAGTCTGCATGGTCTCCGCGGACGTTCATGACAGCCTAGACCTGCGGGTCGGCGGGGGCGGCAATGAAAATACGGAGCTAAAGAGAAGTAATTGGGAATTAGAGCTTGCGGTCTGCATCGGACTAGTAGTGTTTCGCTTTCTACTTAACCACAGCTCTATTCATCACCTAAGTACCGGTTCACTGGGATTTCCATCCTCCGGCTCAATGAATTCAGGATTCCTGGTTAATGCCCGCTAAAGGATGGCATGGTGATCATGTGGGGCTCCTGAGACACGCATGGTGAAGCGTCCCAGCGGTGTGGTACCGAAAATGCGAGACCGTCTGTTGAAGCATTGGATTTCATCAAGGGGACATGAAGCTGGGTATTGATCAACGGAAACTTCCGGAGTAGGGAGATAAGACCGATGTGTCTGACAAGTTATTCTGCGGTTGCCTTCGAAGTTCATCCGAAGGACCAATGTTCTCTTTCTCCCTCTCTCTCTCTCTCTTTCTCTCTCTTTCTCTCTCTTTCTCTCTCTTTCTCTCTCTATCTCTCCCGCTCTCCCTCTCTCTCCCTCTCTCTCCCTCTCTCTTTCTCTCGCTCTCTCCCTGTCTCTTTATCTCTCTTTCTCCCTCTCTAATTCTCTCTCTCTCTGTCTCTTTTTATTGTGTGCATGCATGTGCCACAAAAAGCTTCTCCGCGGATAAATTGGACGCGACACAATTCATATCTGACGTGATTGCACGATCCGAGTGACCATCCATTCTTCTCTTCTTTAGGTGTATGGTCTTCGTCCGTGATATCCCTACGAGATTCTCGTCCATCGGTTAATGCCGCCAACATCAGTGACCTCTTCGGGGACAAAGACCCCATTGTGATAAAAGCATTTGTGGCGAACAGTAAATATATGCCTAACTGATAGTCTCTTTTGTCTCGATGCGAAACGAGAGTTCCCGCTCCGTAATAATACCAACTAGCAGTCTTAGTTCACGGTACACCGAACTGAAGCACAAGCGGTCTAATTGATTTGTCGGCTGAGCACCCAAATGGCTAACGAGCACAGTTGTCATCCCAATAAATTTTCTTAAAGAGGCACAGCTCTTACGTCTCATTCCTCCCCAACTACCATCCTGTCCTTTCTTAGAAAGGTGCAATCTCTTGTTCTCTACGCCGACGAATATGTTCACCTCCACTCCTATATAGAGGGTTCGGCATGGAAGGCTTGACCGCCACGACAGAGAATATATCCATCGGAAGAACAGTCTCAGGCAGGAGGAATATACAGCGTGCTAAGGTCGAGGAAGCTTGAGGTTTAGTCATGGCCTCCAAGGGAATTCGTATTCTCCTCGCCGCCGTGGTCGTATGCCTCCTCGTGGCGGCGCCCTGTGTGAACGCAGCTATTACTTGCGGAAGGGTGGCTTCGTTGCTCGCTCCTTGCAACCCCTATCTACGAGGTACGGTGCCTTCCCCGTCGCCTGCTTGCTGTGCTGGCGTGAGGACTCTGAATTCGTTGGCAAACACGAAGCCAGACCGCCAAGCCGTATGTAACTGCCTGAAGAGGTTGGCCGCGGCGGTCAACATTGCCAGGGCACGCGCTCTCCCTGGAAGGTGTGGCGTCAGAATCCCCTATCCTATAAGCGCCAGCATCAACTGCGCCACGTACGTAATTCTCCACCCCTTTTACTGCGATAAGATACGCTGACATTTCTGTCTATTGTGATTGACCGATAACCCTGATTCTCGTTGGTTTGGCCTTTCTCATGCGCAGGGTTAGTTAAAGCCTGGCTGGAGATCAGACATCTCCGAGAACTACTACCCCACATTAATAAAGTTTGCGAGAATAAAGATGGGCGTGGTCACTTTAGGCCACCTTTGTCCAATTACGGTGGGCTGACTATTGGTGTATTTTGTTGCTTGATAATGTAGGCTCTTGGGATGCCCCTTGATCTATGAGATATGATACTATTATTCGCCGTAGCTGTCTTCCTGTTTCGCATCTAATGGTCCAAATTTTTCCGTGCTGGTAGAATTTTCGTTTTTTTCTGCTTTAAACTTGGTAACTTTCCGACTACCTGAGTTTTGTCATTCTAAATGAAACTAAAAAGGGTTCCTGACAAGTTGTCGATAAATATTGTACCAGAGCTCGAAGTTAATTCCCTCAGACTCAGGACTTCTTAGCTGTATTTCTCAGGATCAAAATCGTCTGATAAAGTAATCACCAGGTGAAGATTTTAATGCGATAGTCCAGCATCACTTAACATCAATGTAAATACCTGATTAAATATGTAAGATTGCCCCCAATTTTAATTATGTTTTATTTCAAAACCTGTACTTTACTATCACCAGAAAAAGTAAAGAAGTGAAATTCAATCACGTAAATCTGCACTACATTCACTGTATAATATGGATGAAAACAATTTTGAACCCCATGGCCATCGTAATGTGTCTTAAAAGTTCAAACAGTTATGCCTAAGATTGGTTTATCAATAACTTTGTTAATCTGTTCAAAAAGCTTATCCTTGTAGATGAAGAAGGTACGTAATAAGGTAATCATCATCTATGTTTTAGTCAAAGGATCATGATGGCATCTCGTACAAAAATACTACATCTCCGGCCTTCTCAAGTTACTCATTATATTTGTATTTATGGCCAGACTGTTTTCGTCCACTGGTTATCTTATAATGTCATCATGATTAATGCAGACAATTGTAACTTTAAAGGGATCCCGTTTAATGAGTGTCAACATATGTTGGTGTCGAGGTGGTCCAGATGGAGTCCAAAACAATAAATGTCCACATGCCATCCTCATTATTATGGAAACAGCTGATTTTGACATGGAGAAAATTCACTGACTTATTATCTCTGTCTCTCTACCTTTGTCTCTGTTTGTCTATCTGTCTGTCTATGTCTGTCTGTCTGTCTGTCTGTCTCTCTGTCTCTCTCTCTGTCTCTCTCTCTCTCTCTCCGTCTCCCTCTTTCTCTCCATCTCTCTGTCTCTTTCTCCTCCTCTCTGTTGAGTCACCAGAATAAGTAGCCGATCCCCCTCCTGATCCTACTTGACTTCATGGATAAACAATACTTCGTGTAGTAAATTAGTCAACATATTGCTTGAATTGCTTACGAGAGCACATTTCGTAAAATTAATGTCATTTTTAATCTTGGCTTTGTTAGAGATAATGCCCAATATGGACTTAGCATGGAAGCTAGATGACAGAAGTAAAAAGAACAACTCACAACCAAAGACACAAGAATTTACATGGTTTGAAGGTCAGCCTCTTACGTCCATAGGTGACAATGAAAAGCTCCACTAGATGGAATAGAAGTACAGAAGAACACTCCCTAAAACCTAGAATACAGATCTATAATCGTTCCCTCAAAGAACTCACTAGTTCCTCACCAACAAGTAGAGATCTCTTTGTTGGAAACCCTCTCCCAACCTCTCTAGTACTCTTTGGTCACTAGTGCTGTGAGATGAGAAGATTTAGCCTCTATTTATAGACCTACTTCAGCTGCCTCAGGAAATTTGCCAGTTGTTTCCTCCTTGAAGCTGAAACGGCTCAGCTGAATTATTTCTCTCTTTTGGCTTGGCTGCCCATAACTAGGCCATTGAGGGGCATGAGAAGTGGTCCACGTCTAGTCCATTTCACACGTCTTATCTTCTCTCTCTCCTCTACATTAAATGCAGTTCTTCTCCACTGCCCTATGAGTTGACATGGACGTTGCCACTTTATGAGCCACGTTCCCAACAATCTCCCCCTTTAGCTCATGAGGGAGATTGTCTTCATGATTCTCAAGGAGTGTGCATGCTGATCAACTGTCGGCAAATCTCTTGCCTCTCTTTAGGCAGAGTCTTCGTCAACATATCTGCTCTATTGTCATCTGTGTGAATATTTTTGATCTGTAATTATTTCTTGTCAATTACATTCTTGAACCAGTAATATTGCACATCAATATGTTTCAACTTCAAATGAAATGTGAGATTTCTGCTCAAATGAATAGCCCTTTGACTATCAAAAAAGATCACATTCTTCTTGTGTTAGTCCTGATTCCCGTGAGAATTCCTTCATCCATAACATTTCCTCACAAACTTCTGTAGTCAAGAAAGCAACACATTTTTGCAACTTAGACTACCACAACACAACTCGCCCTACAAAACTAACCACATAGCCTAAAGTAGACTTCCATGTGTCAACATCTCTGGTCATATCAGTATCTGTATATCTTGCCAATATAGGGGCATCCTCTCCATAGTTTAGACAAACTTTAGAGCTCCTTTTAAGATATCTGAATATCTACTTCATTGCTGCCTAGTGCTCCTTTCCTAAATTTATAAGAAATCTGTTAGCAATGCTCACTGGATATGTGATGTGGGGTCTTGTACACACCATTGCATACATCAAACTCCCAACGACTGAAGCATAAGGTACTCTCTTCATCTTCTCTTTCTCCTCATCACTTGATGGACTTTGTTCTGCACAGAGTTTAAAGTGATTTGTCAAAAGAGAACCAACAGGTTTTGCATAGCTCATACCAAACCTATCCAGCACTTTCTCTATATATTTTTCTTGTGATAGTCAAATCTTCTTGGTCTTCCTATCATGAAAAATCTGCATACAAAGTATCTACTTTGTTGGTCCCATGTCCTTCATAGAAAATGACTTATTTAACTCTTTCTTCAACTTGTTAATTATTGACAAATCTTTTCCAAAGATAAGCATATCATCAACATATAATAAGAGGATCATAAAACTCTTATCAAGCTTCTTGATGTATGCACAATGGTATGTAGAAGTACATTTGTATCTATTTTTAGTCATAAATGAATCAAACTTCTTGTACCACTATCTTGACGCTTGTTTTAGTCCATACAAGTTCTTCAATTTGCACACCAGATGCTCTTTTTTTTCTATCTTGAAGCCTTCTGATTGTTTAATGTAAGTCTCTTCCTCCAAATCACCATGAAGGAATGTTGTCTTTACATCTAACTACTCAACCTCCAAGTCCATACTAGCAACCATACTTAGAGCAACACGAATAAAAAACATTTTCACAATAGGAGAGAAAATTTCATCAAAATCAATACCTTACACTTGATTGAAGCCTTTGACAATCAATCTGGTAACTTATGTTCTTGAGTCTTCATCTTGAAAACTCACTTGTTCTTCAATGCTTTCTTCTCCTTTGGTAGCTCCACAAGATCATATGTTTGATTTTTCTGTAGTGTTGCTATTTCTTCATGCATAGCTGCTAACTATTCTTTAGTATGCTCACTTTTTAGTGCCTTCTGATAACTTTTTGGTTCACCTGTGTCAGTAAGCATAATATACTCATCTTGTGGATACCTTTGTGAAGGTTGATGTTATCCACTAGACCTTCTAAGATGAGGCTCTACTAGAGGTAACTCTCCTCCTTGCTCCTCTTCTTGTCTCGTAGATAAATCTGCATCATCTTCAGCCCTTCTTGCAATTCTCCCCCTCCATCATGGTGCTCATGATGGACAACTTAGTCATAATCTGCAAATACTTTTCTAGAATTTTCGATGACTGCAACCTTCTTTATATCTTTGATATTCTGATATTCAAAGAAGGTTATGTCTCGGCATTAGAACATCTTTTGCTTCATTAGATCCCATAACTTGTAACCAAACTTGTCACATGAGTATTCAAGGAAAATGCACTCCTTTGTCTTTTCATCCAATTTTGACCTTTTCATGTCAAGAATATGTACGAATGCATGACAACCAAACACTCTTAAGTGTTTTTAGGAAACATCTTTTCTTTTCTATACATTATTTGCAATATTCCCATCTAAAGGCATACATGGAGATAGGTTAATGAGATCAATAGTTATCCTCAATGCCTCATCCCAAAACCTTTTGGATAATTTGACATGTGAAAGCATACTCCTGATCTTCTTTATAATGGTGCGATTCATCCTCTTTGCAACAACATTGTGTTGAGGAGTGCCTGGGATTGTCATCTCATGAATAATACCTTTTTGCCTGCAATATTCATCAAACAAACCCATATATTCATCACCATTATCAGATTTTATGCATTTCAACTTTCTATTAGTCTCCCTTTCTACCTTGACATGGAACTCCTTGAAGACATCAACAACTTGATCTTTAGTCTTCAAAGGATACGCCCAAACTTTTCTAAAATGGTCATCAATGAAAGTGAAAAAATATAATGCACCACTAATGCCACAAACGTCAATAGCACCACTAGTGGTCTTTGTCCTCACTAGACCACAAACATCTATATCAACTCACTCCAAAATATGTAGTTTTCTAGGCAAAGGTGGACTAAAAAATGAAACTGTATGTTGTTTGCCAACAAAACAATCAATGCATGAGTTCAAACGAATACCTTTCATATTTGGTAGGACTTCTTTCTTTGAGAGAGCTTGTAATCCTTTCTCACTCATATGTCCTAGCCTTTTATGCAACAACTCCATTCTTGAATCTTTTTTTGTAGTATTTATCTGGTCACCACAACCTGCAACTTACATTCTATATAAGGTATTTTACTTCTTTTTAGAAGCTACAATAAGTGAACCCTTAGTAATCTTCTAGTTGCTTGCACAAAACTTGTCATGAAAGTCACATCATCAAGCATTTCAACTGAAATTAAATTCAGTCTTAAACCTTCCACTTGTCTCACATTTTTCAGCACCAATTCATAGCCAAGATTGGTCTTG